ACCAATATTTGTTTATTTCAAATGGAAATATAAAAAACCGTTTCATTGAAATTTACGCGTTTTACCGATCGGAAATCTTCGCTGCTATCAGCTATGATAGCTTCGCAGCTATGAGTTCGAAGAGCTTTTTGAAACAAAGCTTTTCTTCAGATATCTAATAATCTTTCAAGTTCTCCTAAGTTGTTTGGAGGGTGTGTCTGTGACCTGTTGTTTATCTACTGCTAATGGAAAATTTCGAAGTAAGACGTAGTTGATGTTGAGAAGCTATTTGCATTGTGTCATCCTGTCAAAGTCTATCGGTAATTTCGTCTCTTTGAAGTTGCTTTTCATTTCTAAGAGCCAAGATAAGTTCCAACACCGCGAAACGCTGTCATCGGGATATAAAGAGGAGTTATCTTTTATCAGTTTATACCACATAAGTGTATAGTACTTTTCGCGCGCGTTGATTGACTGTCCCGGAGGTGATAAGCCGAACGCCATTTACCTCAAAGCAGCCGGAGATAGAGGAAGTGGCTTCTCGTTCTGCTTTAGTCTCTGGTGCGAATTTTTTATTCAATATATGAGGAGACCATACCCAAGGAAACCAAAGTGGCAACAACTATTTGATGGTAAGTTTGTCAATCTTTGAGTTCTCCAATTTAGGGAAAAGCATCAGTATATACTGACTTGTTTAAAGAAATTGAAGGAAACTATACATGTAGTGTAAACAATAAAACTTTCAGTGTTTTGCAGCACGGTTTCAACAAGGCCCATCTCAGCTAGAAATTGAAGAAATCGCATCGGAACAACGAGATAAGTGCTTCTAAAATTTTACTTATGCCGCAAGTGTCAATTTCGGTGGAACGAATTTTCACTCTGATCTTTTTCGGCATTAATTGGAATTTTCGATTACCGAATTTCCGTTCGTACCTTTAGAACTGTGTGTAAATGTAAGAGTGTTTAGTATGCAGAGAAGAGAAGCCAACAGCATTGACAGACACTTACCAGGTCTCGTCGCACGTCACTCTTTCAACTTTCGACGTCTTCGTCTAAGAAGGCGAGCAAACACAGTCACCAAGACCCCACCTGCCCCTCTCCCCCCCCCCCTTATAACACGTTGGAGATCTACGATCTACGTCAGAGTATACGTCCGTACGTTAAGGGGCGTTAAATTTTTTAAATCAATCACTTTGGAACATGTACAGAATGAGTGACAAGATGCTTGTGCTCGTCTGTTTCAGCTCGAAACGCGCGCTAAAGAAAATACAACTCTTATACATTAGCTTCATTCCCACAATCGGTAAATAAGCAGTTCTGGTGAACACGGATTTGCTAATGAAAGACACTAAATCGTGTTAACTGTTTTATTCCCATTTAGGTGGTCTTTGCATTAAACTGATATTAAGCAATCGTACTGCAATTTCTTTGGAGAGACTGAATGCGATTTTTTTTTCCATTTTGACATTCCATTGTCAAAAAGTGTGCTTATGTCATAGCAATCGTTGCTATTTGGGTGATATCCGTCTCCTTGAAAATAATTCAAGCTTTCGCAATTAAAAGAAATCTGTTTTCTATCAATGGAATCGTATACTTCTCTTATATTCATTTTAATTATTTCCAAGGGGCATTAAAATTATTACAGTTTCGTTTCTTTTGACATGTTTTGCTTTAAGTAAGACAAATTTAAGGGAATTTTAATGCGTCCAGCTTTCACACGTTTGCGTTAGGACCCTGTAGAGAGCAAAAGTCGCCATCTACGTCAAATTTCAAAATATATCATGGAAAAGAAAGTCTCGCCTAGTCTCGTAAATATCAGGAAATATCTACCGAGCCAACGGTTCAACAAATATTCACAAATTTCTCTTTCACCTTAGGCGAATAATTCAGTGTCTCATGCAAACTTTAACCATAATCACGTATAAGTAGCACTCACTGGAAAAAATGGAAGATGATTGAGAGATTCATAAACACGCTATGTTAAAATGTTTTCTTTCCTCTGCCTTTCCTTTTAGACAAGATGTCTATCCTGGAGTTACCACACCGAAGCTTGGCAGCTGTTGTAACTGAATCGGGCGTTTGCCTTGCCTTGAACATCATAGGTATCGTTGGGAATAGTCTTGTCTGTTTAGCAGTGTACAGAAACCGTAATCTTCGATCAACCACCAATGTGTACATCATTGTTCTGGCTGTCAGCGATCTATTGGTCGCAATGATTGAAATGCCTTTGGCATCAGCTACACTAATCATTGGAAGATTTGATTTCGGCTTCGCCTTATGCCAGCTTCAAGGATTCATTGGCCCGTTCGCTACCTACGTGACCCCGGCAACCATGGGCTTAACAGCATTCAACCGCTATATGCGAATTGTTAAAGGGAACAGTTACAACAAGGTATTTTCTCCTTTCCGATCTAAGATCTGGGTGTGTTGCCTGTGGATGTCTCTGGCCCTTTACCTGTTAATTGGGCGACTCACCGGTTGGCTAAACATTGGATTTATCCCTGGCTACGCAGTGTGTGCCTTTACATACCCAACTGCTGCAAGTCAAATCGTTCAGTACACCATCATGGTCGGAGTGCTTTTTTTTATACCGTTGTGTATCGGTACATTCAGCTATTACAAGATCTTTTTCAAAACCAGTCAGCATCAGCAGATTGTGGTTCCATCGCTGCAGAACTCGACTAATGGTAACAAAAGCACTGCAAGGAGAAGCACTGTGAAAGAGATAAACATTAGTCGAGTGCTGCTCTATGTAGGCGCCGGGTTTTTGTGTTGCTGGATTCCATTGTGGGCACTTGCACTTTGGAAGCGCTTCTCACCAGAAACATGTCCGCGAATTGCGGAATTGCTTGTTACCTTTTTCCGCTTTCTGAGTTCGACGATAAATCCCTTTATTTACACTTTCAACAATAACGATTTCCGAAAGGAATTCCGCAAACTGCTGTGTTGCCCCACAATTACAGTTACCTCAGAAGGAAAGACCATTTAGTTCTATTTTGTGGATTTAAGAAAGGGACTTTTGTAACTATTGTAAACAAAAATTATTGAACGTAATGTGCCCACGTAACAGTACGGATATGTACGCATATGTTCGTTACTAAGCTGAAACCTTTAGGAACTCTTTTCCAACCAGAAGAAAACTTTTCATTAGAATATCGAAGCGGAGATCGAAGAGATATCGAAGAGAGTGACTAGAATTTCCCCTGGGTAGATTTTTATTGCAAAAAAACCTTGAAACATTTTGAATGTTTGGAATTAGGTAAATCCTGTTCTTCTTCTAACCTGAAATCTGACGAACAATTTGATTAAAAAAAAAACAGGTGCCAGGCATATTGCCAGACCTGTTGTTTACTGATAAGGTAAACAATTCAAGAAATTTTTAGGCATTGCATGGAAACATAAAGCCGGAAATTCAGAAACTGAAAAATGTACAAAACTATATCTTTTATCCATGCAGTTAAGTAAAAGTGTTTTTTTCGCTATAATTGTTGGATAAGTGCTTATCAAAACTTTACGTGCCTATATAAATACGCTGCTAAGAAAAGCATTATCTGTAATTTTAGAAAAAGAAATTTAAAAAAAACACGACTAGGATAGTAAATTTGCTATTAACAGGAGCATATAGTTAAATATTCCCTTTTCATGAGCATAGGGGTAATACACGACCATGGAGTTCTTTGACCTCGCATAATTTGGCCTTTGAAAATCTACAGTTACCTTAGAAAGCAAGACTATTTAGTTCTATTTAGTAGATTTAAGAAAGGGACTTTTGTAAATAGTTACACACGATCATGAAGTCCGCTTGTTCGGTTGAGCGTAGTCCTGGGGAGGAATTTTGTCGATTCTAGTTATTAAACTTTTCTCTGCTGACTACTTAAGCAGCTTAGGTTGTTGAAACGCCAGTCATTGTCATTAAAAGTCGTGTTTAGGACTACTCACAACCGGACAATCAGACCACAATTAATTTTCTTCACTTTATTTATCCGTTCTTCATGTCAATCAAATAGATTCCAATTTGTCTCATTGTTTTCGTATTCTGTTCGAATGAATTTTTCAGTATTTCTGACAATAGGTGTAGCGAACGAGAAGAGGAGGCGAGCAGTGCACACCATGCAAAGTCACAGCACAACTGTTCTTTTATTCGCTTTGACGAAGGCTTAACTCTTGAAACGTCAGCTTTGAAACTTTTTACGGTAGCCAATTTACATCATCAACTCTGTCCATAAAACCAAATTATCTCGTTATACTCGCTCACCGAGACAGCAGCACAGTTTCTGTAGAAACCCACCCCCGTTAATCATTTGTCTTTTCCTCAAACCTGATCGTTGCGTGACAAATCTGCGTGACACTGCACGAGAGAGCAAGTTCCTGCTTCATGCGCAAAATCTAGCCGCAGAGACAGAAATACAATAAATGAGCTAAAAACTCATTAAGCTGAAGAAGTTACCTCCAAAGACATTTTTAAGCATATCAACGAAGAACGAAGGGCTTAGAGTCAGAAGTCCTTTTATTTCGGCGCAGAGAACTGAAGTGTCGTGATAATTTCAGAGAGAAAAAAAAATAAAACAAGGACACAAGGGCACTACAAAGTTTTGAGGCTTTGAGAAGTTCTAGCAAGAAATTATTCCGTAAGTAAGATCGAAAATTAACATTTGATCCATTTTCAAACCTCGCCACTTCTTTTGAGAGTGTCATTAGGTGAACAACCCGACAAGAGAAGTTCATCGGTATATTTTTATAAAAGTTTTCGTGGTTATTCAAAAAAGGAACTCACAATTCCATCTTATCAACATTGCCTAATTCTATTTCTGAAAAAAACAAACAAACAAACAAACAAAGACGAAAAATTGACGATCTCTCTCTAAAATCGTTCTTTGGGCGTCGAAAATACAGTACATTATTTCAGCAAGTTGCATTGATTATCTCTTGCGATCCCAGAGATCTCTGCGCGAAGATCAAGACTCGGTAACTGGACCTCTCAAATCGTGGTTAAATAAGAATAATCTTACTATGCGACCCAGCAAATGGCGGAGGCAGAAAGCACTCACTTCGATTTGATTATTCGTCATGGTAGAGTTATAGATCCAGCTAATGAGCGAGACTTTATAGCAGATGTTGGAGTCAGAAGCGGAAGAATTTGCGCAGTCGCTAGAGGTCTTGAAGGAACAGGGCTGGAGGAGTTTGACGCATCAGGCTATATTGTAACACCTGGGTTGATTGACAGCCATGTGCATGTTTATCAGTATGCCACGCCCTTGGGTGTTAATGTGGACGAGACATGCTTGGCCAGGGGTGTTACAACTGTTGTTGATGCTGGGAGTGCAGGTACATCCACAAAGTTTTGTTGTTTATATTGATTGACTGTTCAGAATTTCCCACTCTACCCCACAAGAGAAGTTCAGCTATCATAAATAAAATGAATGATAATGAAAGTTTACAAATTTTTGTCAATCGTTTTATCCATAAGAGTGATTGGCATCTAATTTCTTCTGACAATTTCACCCCTGAATGAACATTAAGGTCACGAGAATAAAGGAAATGATCATCAAGTAAAGAAGCTGTTGATTGTTAAACAAATTCTCCTTGTCAGTACCTTTGGAGATGTGTAAAGAAATGTGTGGAGAATATGCATACTAGTGTTCTGATGTAAAGCATTTCAGGTTTTGTGAATCTGATTATACACAACTTTTTTTTTAAAGTATCATGTGCATTTTGAATTCATTTACCAGTAGAAATTTTCAATCAAAATGCCAGAATGTGCGAGTGCTAAAAACAAGCTTCCCCTACCTATAGCAAAACCCTGCAGCAAAATCATTTTTAGCAATAATTTTTATCTGCTTTTATATCTATCAACCACTTGCACCCTAACATTAGTATGCATATTATATAAGGTGCTGACAAGGAGAATTTGTTTAACAATCAAGAGTTTATTTAGGTGGCGGCCATTTCCTTTATTCTCATGACCTTGTAATGAGTGATTCAGGGGTGATAATTTAAGGAGAAATTAGATTCTAGTCTGACTCTTGAGGGTCATTATGGGTTAACATGAAGTAGTTGTCCAGTTACCTTCAATGTGGTTAATATATATCTTAATATTGTTTAACCAAGCCGTAACTTGTCACCTGTCTGTACCCTTATCATATGTATGTGATCATTGTCATTTTGAAAAAATAAAACCAAAAAAAAAAAGAAGTCATCATGCTCTCAGTGCTGGATATTGTCTGTGATATTGTAAGTTTTTCTATGTGAATACCACTCACTATCATCTGTTAGTCAACAAATTAAAATGAAGGAAACTAATGGCATTAGGCCCTAACTGAACAGAATTGAAAAAAAAAACAGTTTTTAAACAATATATTTTAGGCCTTGAGTTCCCACAAATAGAACAAATGAAAAGGTAAGCAAAAATGGTGCTTCTGATGTCTGTTAATATGCATAAGACTGGCCACTCATATTTACTTGCAAAAATTACACATATGCATGTCAAAGCCATGGGATCTTCTTAAACTGCTTTGGACTTTTTTTTCTAAGCCTCAAAAATACTTTTGTCACTTGTGGGATCAAGCTTACCTATGCAACATTGAAACCTCTTTTTTTCACAGGAGCCTCAACCTTTCCTGGCCTTCGAAAATTCATTGCAGAAAAGTCCCAGACCACAGTTTTGGCTTTACTCCATATAGCAGCTCATGGTTTGGCATCTGCAGGATGTACTGGTCAAGGTATGAAATGTAATTAAAACTTTGTCAGATCTTTATATACAAAAGAAGCTTTGTTTAGGGCTATCAATACATACTAAGGTTTCATGAATTTTTAAGAGGGTTTGTATACAAGTGGCTATAAAGTTTTAGGATTACGGTAACAGTGAGATTTACAATTTAATTTTAAAGTAATTGGTTACTACAAACTTGTGTGGATTTGGAGTTAAGGCTAGTATTAATTGTGTTACCAACCTTGCAAAAACTTATAATGCAAAGGTTTACTGCCGGCTCCAAAGGTTTTGATCTGGAGTTGTAACTGAACAGTTTTCAGTCCAATTTCCTTCATTCAATTATTTTAAATTGGCAGCAGGAACAAAAAATTTCAACGTTTTTCTTTTGACTTCATAGTCATAATTTCACATGTTATTGAAAAGTACACTGAATTAGCATATAAAATAGTAACACTGCTCCAAATTATGCATTTCTCAGCAAGCACAATTTCAGGTGAAGATGCTCAAGTGGTAGTCGTAGTCAATTTAGTCACAGTCAAAACCTTTCAAACCAAACCATATTATTATAACACCTTTTCTGTAAAGTTTAATTAACCCTTTCACTCCCAAGATCTAACTGGTAATTCTCCTTACTATCTGCAATACAATTCTTATGATGTTAGTTCAGAGAATTTGGTATTGGATCAACCAATAATCCCATGATTGATATTCTTCTCAATTCTAATCACCTACCTGCTTGATATTGTATTGATATTGTAAGGAGAAATTCTGTTTTGGTCACTTGTGGGAGTGAAAGGGTTAAGCTTTGTGCCATAATGTTTGCAATTGAGTTATAATTTTAAAAACACAATTTCTGAATCTCACTATTTACCTTTTATATCTGTTATTTTTTGTCTTTGCAAAAGGGGGTGAGTGTGAGTTAAAATTTTAAATACAACATTTCTAGATGTCACTATTTACCTTCTATTTATAATATGTTATTTTTTGTCTTAGCAAAAGGGGGTGAGTGTGATTCATTAAATCAAGTGGATGCAGAATTGTGTGCAGAATGTGTGAGCAAAAACAAAGATATGATTGTTGGTGTAAAAGTTCGTCTTTCAGCAAGTGCTGCAAATGATGGAGCTAATGAAGAGGAAGCTTTCAGGTATGTTTTTTTTCTATTTTTTAGTTAGAAATGAGACCTTACAATTGAGCTCATTTCCAAATTGACTTTTCATTTGTATACAGAGATCCATAATTACTAACACATCATGACCTGATTTGAGTTATAAAATTTTAGCTGAGAATTCTGGTAGGACCTGTCATATTACGTCATACCACGCGCTCCCATCGGACCTGTGGGAAAAAACGTGGTATCGGACCCGCCATTTTGATTTCGCCCATGTTGTCATGTAGTAGCTGTTGCGTTATTGAATAAAGAGTTTAAATGGAAAAATTGTGACATGGATGTCGGAAGTGGGATAGATTTACACCAATAGAGGAATTCTCACCGCTAGAACAACCAAGAAAACCGGTACGTACGATTTTACAGTGTTTACTACAAAGTCCTGTCTTATCGTGCAATTTAGCCAAAAATGAGCGACTTGGTTGGGTTTGAAGTACCAAAAATGGACTGGACCTGGCCCAGATTTATTAACTAGATTCAAGAGATTCCGCCAAAAGTGTGAACTGCTACTTGATGGACCGTTAAAAGCTCGAGACGGCACTCAAAAATGCAAATATGTGCTACTATGGTCAGGCGATTACGGAATAGACTTATTTAACACTTGGTCGCTAACCGAAGACCAACAAAAAAGACCTGAAAGAATACTGGAAAAGATTCGAAGACCATGTTAAACCACAAGCAAACCATATCTTGAACAGATATTATCTACGAGGTCTGAAACAGAATAATCGTCCCCAGCCACCTTCCTGACTGAAGCAAGGCTACTCATACAGAGCTCAGGTTACCCACCTGACTTACATGACGAACTCATGCGTGACACATTAGTTTTCGGCACCGATTCGGAAGAGGTCAGACGAAAATGCATTGCCCGCGGTAATGAATTAACCTTTGCAAGGGCAAAAGAAATTGCACGAACTGATGAGGCTACCCAGATGCAATTAAAAGCAATGAGTGACACTACAAACCCAAAGCAAGAAGAAGGGGAAGTCAATGCAATCAGCAGAGGAAACAAGCCCAGAAACCAGCCCCACCAAAGGTACACCAGTGGTAGAGGAAACAGACGACGTGACAACAACCTAAGACAGTGCTACAGATGTGGAGACACACCACACACCAAAGACCAGCAGTGCCCAGCCACTGGAGTAGAATGCTTCAACTGCAACAAACGCGGTCATTTTAGCAAAGTTTGCAAGTCTAAAACAAGGTCAGATGTGATGACCCTACAAAAAGAACAACCTGATGGTGTAACAAGTGAATGCACAAGCTACGACAAAGTCTTCCTGGGAACACTAGAAGCCCGAGACAGCCCCAGTACCTCAATGATCGCAAGCATTGAACAAAAAGAAAAACAACGCACCAAAGTCACGACTGAAATACAAGTCACGGTAGACCCCCATGATACACACCTGATACCTATTATCTGCAAGGTCGACACTGGTGCAGAAGTTAATGTCATCTCCAAAGACGACTATGACAGACTCAACCGCAGTTCCCAGCAGATACCCCTTGGCCCAACACACCACAGGATTACTGCGTATGGAGGCCACGCCATCAAGACCCTTGGAACCTGTCCACTATACGTCCATCAAAATGGCAGCATTAAAGAAGTCGTTTTCAATGTTACTGACGTACCAGGACCTACAATGCTTGGCTGTAAAACCTGCGAGGAACTTGAGCTGGTAAAATTTAATTGCAGCCTAGAAACCTCCAAAGAAGACAAAGAGACCCGCCTTAAAGAACACAGACCATGCAAACCGCACCAAAGGACCAGCAGATACCCTAGCCGTCTAGACACTGAAACATACCCCCACTGGACAGGATAACCTTCTTCAACAACTTCGAGACTGCTTTGAAGGCCTGGGAACCTTCAATATGAAACCTTATCACATCACCCTAGACTCCAATGCTGAACCTGTCATCCACGCACCACGTACCGTACCAGTACACCTTCGAGACATGTTTAGAAAGGAAATCAACACCATGGTAGAACTTGGAGTGCTCATACCCGTAAGCGAACCCACAGACTGGGTTAATAGCATCGTCCTCTCTGAAACAACCAACGGCAAAGGAGAAGTCACCAAAATCAGAGTCTGCCTCGATCCACGTGACCTAAATAAGGCAATAAAACGCGAACACTACTACACCAAAACAATTGATGAGGTAGTCACACAGCTTAGTGGTGCCAAATTCTTTAGTGTAGTTGATGCCAAAAAGGGCTACTGGCATGTACCATTAGACGAAGCCAGCTCCTACCTGACTACTTTCAACACCCCGTTCGGGAGATACCGTTTCACCCGGCTCCCCTTTGGCCTTATTGTATCACAAGATGTGTTCCAGAAACACTTAGATTCAGCACTGGAGGGCCTGAAAGGAGTCACCGGCATTGCAGACGATACATTCATATACGGAGCTACAGAGGAAGAGCACGATGCGAACATGGTAAACCTCATGATCAGATCCAGGGAAAGGGGAATCAAATTCAACAAAGACAAAGTACAGCTCAAATGTCAGGAAGTCAGCTTTTTCGGCCACAAATGGACCCAGGATGGAATCAAACCAGATGACAGTAAGATATCTGCAATCCAGAAGATGACCCCACCTGAGAACCGCAAAGACCTCCAAAGCTTCTTAGGCCTCGTAAACTACCTTACAAGATACTCAGGGCGATTGGCTAGCCTCACAGCACCACTGCGAGAACTTACCAAGAAGGACACCGCATATGTATGGGGACCTGAACACGACGACTCATTCAACCAAGTCAAACAGGAAATCACATCAATGGGAGTCCTCAGATACTTTGACCCAAACATCGAGTCTGTCATTCAAACTGACGCTTCCCAGAAGGGAGTAGGCGCCGTCCTTTTTTTGCAGCAGGGGCAACCTGTATGCTATGCCTCCAAAGCACTTACAGACACAGAAAAAAAAACTACAGCAACATTGAGAGAGAAACACTTGGTGTAGTATGGGGCCTAGAGAGATTTAACTACTACATTTTTGGGAAGCACTGTACAGTAAACACTGACCATAAACCTCTTGAGGCGATTTTCAAGAAGCGACTGTCCAGTTGCCCACCTAGATTACAGAGGTTCTTGATGAGAGCCCTGAAATACGACGTTACGGTCAACTACGTAAAAGGTCCTGATGTACCAATAGCCGACGCTCTCTCAAGAGTCAGCCCCAGCCTACCCCTAGCAGCAGTCAACTTTCAGAGATATATGTCCACCACGTCACACAACATCTCCCTGCAACTCCAACAAAGCTACAACAGATCCGTGACGAAACAGGGAGGGATCCTGTGTTGTCTCTGTTAAAAGAAATGGTCTTTGAAGGATGGCCACAGAAAAGAGAAGAGTGCCCCAACTGCTACATGGCTATTGGAATTTCAGAGAAGAGCTGACCATCGAGGACGGCTTAGTACTAAAAGGAGACCGCATCGTGATACCTCCTACTCTCAGACCTGAAATCCTGAACATCATACACCAAGGCCACCTAGGGCAAGAGAAATGCCTTTACGAGCACGTACATCCGTTTTCTGGCCTGGAATTACAAAGGAAATCATCAACCAAGTTAACCAGTGCGAGCCCTGCCAGAAATACCAAAATAAAGCAAGGAAAGAGCCAATACTACAGCCAGAACCGCCACACCGACCATGGGAAAGACTCAGTTCGGACTTGTTCGAATTTAGAGGGCAGCAATACCTCCTGTTGACAGATCAATACAGCAGATTTCCTGTCATCAGGAGACTAACAAGCACCACGTCATCTGCAGTTATCAACCATCTGAAGAGCATCTTTGCAGAACACGGCATCCCTACGCAGTTGACGACCGACAACGGACCGCAGTACAGTTCGGCAGAATTCAAGCATTTTATGAACGTCTACGGGGTAGAACACATTACTAGCTCCCCTATACCCCCAATCCAACGGGTTTGCTGAGCGAATGGTCCAGACCGTGGAAAACATTCTCCAAAAGTGCGATGAAAATAAAGAGGACCCGTACCTTGCTCTCCTATCATACCGGGCCACTCCCTTGGATCACCAGCTGAAATCCCCAGCAGAACTGCTCACCAACAGAAAATTTAAAACTAGATTACCAGCATGCCATAGAGTCCTCCTCAACCACTCTCACCATGAGGTCATGAAAAGTAAGCTCATAGCCCGTCAGGAGAAACAAGCCCACTATTACAACCAGCATTCAGGACCACCCAAAAAAGCCATTCGAAGCTGACCAACCCATCCGCACGTACAACCACCACTCACAAACCTGGGAACCTGGCATTATTGTAAAACCCGCCGAACAGCCAAGATCTTACATCATCAGATCCAGCAGTACAGGTACCACCTATCGAAGAACACGGGCCCAACTGAAACCAGACACAACTGCAGTGAGGGGAACACAATGCCAGCGGGTGGAAACCCCAGTATACCAAGGTTCTGAGATACCTCAGCAGACAACTAGTCTTGCCCCAGTCAGTCACACACAGACATCGCACAAAAACGGTGCAGCCCCCAGACCAGGATCTGGCGAAACAGTGCCACTGAACAACATCCCCCAGGGACCCTCAGACATAGCTGGAGGATATGTGACCAGATCTGGGAGGACTGTGACACCTGCACAAAGGCTGGATCTATAACAGTAGAGACACTAAAGAATAGACTTATAAGTATAAGCACAGGAGGGATATCCTTTCAACCAGTATTGTAATGTTCTGGAGATATGATAAGTTCCATTTTTTTTTTTTGTCGTTATTATTATTATTACATCGGTAGAAAGGGGGATGTCATATTACGTCATACCACGCGCTCCCATCGGACCTGTGGGAAAAAACGTGGTATCGGACCCGCCATTTTGATTTCGCCCATGTTGTCATGTAGTAGCTGTTGCGTTATTGAATAAAGAGTTTAAATGGAAAAATTGTGACAGGACCCTTTGCCTGGGCCATACTTTGTGTTGTTTTGTTGTTCAAGATAATTAGCTCTCACTGACTGCCTTCATGTAGCTTAGCCCACCAAAGAGTGTAAATTAGTACTATACAACTGTTAGGGTAATCTGATAAACTTAAGGTGTAATATGTGATCATGAACTTACAACTTTCATGCAGGGAGAGCTAGTGCACCTCTCCTAGTTGCTAAGAGGGACCTTATGCAAACTATGATGGCAATGGCTACTTAAGGGAACGTTACATCTCTGAATATGCATGTTAGAGCTATCACCTAGCTGTCCAATGTAAAATAATTTTGTGAAATCACCAAATTCTTACTGTCAGAACACTTTAATTGATGCAACCTACCCCTTATTCTGCTACTGCTGTCAGAAAGCAGAGGTATTCATTCTCAAAAGTCTTGAGAAAAAATGTAGGTTTGTTTTGTAATTACCTGTCCTTTAGCATAATTACTCTTAGCTAGCCTCTTACTGCTTAACAAAGGTCCCTAGTTAAGCAGTATACCAGATAAGCTCTGGTGGGCCCCTTCAGCCAAAGCTATTTTTGTGTCTCTGTAGGAGAGCTCTCAAAGTATCATCAGAAACCCATGTTCCTCTCATGGCTCATCACACATTTTCCACTATTGATACTCAAAGAAAAGGTAGGATATACATCAATATACTTACAAACATTTTATGAAACATGATTGGCGTGAAGCAGCAAACAAATTCCAGTTTCCTTTGCTTCCCAGGTCATAAAGTACACCAATAATTCCAGGTTAATCAAAACATTGCAAAAAAAAAAAAGACTCATCTTTGTTTGGTAAAAAAATGATGCCGTTGGGAACACTCGGCAACTGTTAACGAACAGACACAAACTGGGTTCGAAGTTTCTGAATTTGGTTATGAATTATTGACGGAGTACGAAGTGTCCGTGCGTACGAAACGACTGGCTACCCTTAGCTTTGTGAGTTGCGTGACTCACGTGATCAACTCAATAATACAACTTATTTGTTTGTTTGTTTTTTTATAGTAGTATTTCTCCGTTCCAGTTTCTTTGCATTTCACTGAAATGGAATAAATAAACCTTAATCTCTATTTGGAGTGAAATTATGCACAGATATTTGTCCGCGGACATTACCTGTTCTAAGATGCGAGTAGTTTTTCGAGTGCGGAGCGCGAGGAAAACTGTTAGCCTCAAGGAACATATAATGTCCATTAACAAATTTGAGAGCATATTTTTGCGCAAAATAGAGGCTATTGTGTTCATTATCTCTCAATTATTTTTCCGCACGCGTAAAAAAATGGTTAAGAACAGGTTACTGTTTGCTGCATGGCATGTTTCCTTTTTTGTGTCCTCTGGTTCGACGTTATTAAAAAAACAAATGTTTCCCCCTCTTCTGTAACAACCATGAAACGCTCTCTCGTCTTGAATCAAATTTTAAACAAAGGCTTATCGTAGTGGACGTAAGGTTTGAAAATTGGGGAATACCACTAGGGTGATATCGTCGAAAATCCCCCAGGTTCTAATCGGGAATATTTGGTCACGTGATGCGTTTAGACCAATCGCGCGCGAGCAAATATACTTGATAGATCATAATGGTAGATATTTACCGAGCCGTGTGAATATCCGTTTCGGCATGTACTCGAGGGATAATACAGCACAAAAAGACGATTTTAACTCATTTATTCCACAGAGTGCTTCTTCAGTGTTATCCACTGTTTCAGTATATATTAATTCCTATTATTTTAATTCAAACGTGTAGGCAAAGACATTATTTCATGTCCCGGAAGCCTTCGTCCGGGAGATATTCACACACACTGTTTTCATGGCTGGCCAAGTACCATCGTTGGCCCAAACAAACAAATTTACAGTGATGTTTTAAAAGCTCGCCAACGTGGGGTTCTTTTTGACGTGGGCCATGGAGCTGGGTCGTTTTCATGGACTGTAGCAGAGATCTGTGCAAGAGAGGGCTTCTGGCCAGACATAATCAGTTCCGATTTGCACGTAGAATCTGTAGAGAGCCCTGCGTACGATTTATTGACTGTGATGACAAAAATGCTGCACGTAGGAATGCCCTTGAATGACGTCATCAAAGCTGTTACCATGACACCCGCAATTGCCTTTAGACGAGGCAATGCGATTGGATCGCTGAATGTGAATCATGCAGCAGACATTACGGTGTTGCATTTTGAAGAATTTGACATGGACCTTGAAGATTGTAACGCACAGTTAAGAAAAGTTAAACGGCGTTTTGTCCCTGTCGCTGTATGGAAGCACGGAGTTAGCTTTAAGACCTCTGAAGCTCAGCCATTTCCCAATGAGGGTAAACTACAGGAGTTGGCCTCATTAAATGACGCACTTCTGATCAAAGATGAATTTTGAATATTTTGTTTTTCAATTAAGATGATTATTGATTCAGAAATTATTTACCAGAGTAAACTGAAAGCTATTCACTTCTCCAAAGAAGAATGAGAATTTTCCAAAGCACCTTGATTTGGAGTGCGATAAAGGAATTGTGATCGTATAGTCTGATCGTCCGGGTGAGAGCCGCTTTCTTTCGTCTTTAAATTACCAATTCTTGAAAATTTTAAAAATATAGTGTACCGACGAGGATGGGATTCGAACCCACGCGTGCAGAGCACATTGGATTAGCAGTCCAACGCCTTAACCACTCGGCCACCTCGTCTATTTATCTGTGCATTACAGATACCATTTTTGAGCTTTTTACTCTTTACGGTGGCCAATTTACGTTTTCAGCTCAGTTGTTAGTTGCTAGCCGTAAGTTTTCGAAATGCTCGAGCAAAAAACGGGACTCAGCATCACGCGTTGACTGGGAAATTATATATGCGTTTTAGAACGTAAAGGAGTGCACACATGAACTTTAGCGTGCTGTTTGAAATTAAGTTATACCTTGAAATAGAATTTATTGACAGATGAGCTTTATTTTCAGTAAATGACTTCGCATCATACATAATTCACGTAAAATAATTGATATATATTCAATATTTGTTTTACCTCAAATGGAAAGAAGAAAACCGTTTCATTGAATTTTACGCGATTTTCCGATCGGAAAGCTTTGCAGCTATCAGGAATATACACCATGGTATTTTTTTTTAAAGTTCGAAAAATGAGGTAGAAAAGCTGTTTCTAACAAGGGTTTTCTTTAGATATTTAATAATCTTTCATTCTGTGCAGAGTGGTTTGGTGGGCGTGCCTGTGACCTGTTGTTTATCAGTCCCTACTACTGCTAATGGAAAATTTCGAAGTAAAACGTACTTGACGATGAGGCAATATTTGCATTATATCATCCTGTCTAAGTCTATCAGTAATTTAGTCTCTTTAAAAGTTTCTTTTCAGTTTTAGGAGCCAAAATGATTTTAAAAAACCGCGAGCAGCTGTCATTGGGTTAAGAGGAGGTATCGTGTAATGTTATATACCACATTAGTGAATAGTGCTTTTCGCATGCGCTTATTGGCTAGCCTGGAGGGGATATGGGGAACGCTATTTACCTCCAAGCAGCCGGAGTGAATGAAAGTGGCGTCTCTTTCCGATTTGGTCTCTACTGCGAATTGTTTTTCAATATATGTGGAGACTATACCCAAGGAAACAAAAGCGGCAACAAGCATTTGATGGTACGTTTGTCAGTCTTTGGGTTCTCCAATTTAGTGAAAAAGCATCAGTATTGCATGACTTGTCTAAAGAAATTGGGGGGAAACTACATATGCAGTGTAAACAATAAAACTTTCAGTGCTATGCAGCACGGTTTCAACAAGGCCCATCTCAGTTAGAAATTGAAGAAACGGCATCGGAACAACAAAATCAGTGCTTCTAAAAATTTCACTTAAACCGCAACTGTCGCTTTCGGTGGAACGAGTTTTCACTCTGATCTTATTCGATATTGATTGGAATTTTACGATTTCCGAATTCTTGTTTGTACTTTTAGAAGCTGTAAGTAAATGCAAGAGCTTATTAATATGCAAAACCAAAGAAGCCACTTTCAACAGTGTAAAAAATGCCACGGCTGCTTTTATCTAACTCAGGCTTTTGACGTGTTAAACAGCGCTCGATTGGCATCCTAGATCTCGTTAGACGTCACTCTTTCAACTTTACTTCTTCCGATGTTTTTGTTTAAGAAGGCGAGCAAACACAGTCACCAATATCCCACCTGCCTCCCCCCCGCCTTCCTTTATAAAACGTTGCAGATCTACGTATACGTCCGTAGGTTAGGGGGCGTTAGATTTTTTAATCAATCACTCTGTAACAGAATGAGCGACTAGATGCTTGTGTTCGTCTGGTTCAGCTCAAAACGCGCGTTAAAGCCGAAAATACAACGCTTTTACATTCGTTTCATTCCCACAATCAATGAATAAGCAATTCTGGTAACCTCGGATTTGCTGAGGAAAGTCATTAATTTTTGTTGACTGTCTTCTTCCCGTTTAGGTGATCTATGCATTAAACTGGTATCAGAGTGAGTTTGATGGATACCAATACCAGCGACGGCAACGACTCTTTCGATTGGTCTCGGATCAATTTTACTAAAGCCGAAAGTTTTTCTTGGTTTGTTGTCATCGTAGCAGAATTATTGGTTACATTTATCCTTAATTTGATCACCATTATTGTATTTGCGAAGCAGCGCCAACTACAGCGCAAGAGCACATATCTGATCATCCATCTGGCCATAGTTGATCTCTTGGTCGGAGCAGTCTCTGGGCCTCTGTGTTTGACTCCTCCATTAACAAACGTTTCCTTAGAATATCTTCGAAGTATGCTGTGCAGGTTGTTTCCTATAGCATCTGCAACTACACTTACTGCAATTTCTCTGGAGAGACTACATGTTACATTTTGTCCATTTCGACATCTCACCGTCAAAAAGCGTGCTTACGTCGAAACAATCGTTGTTATTTGGGTGATATCCATCTCCTTGGAAATAATTCAAACTTTTGCGATGCAAAGAAATCTGGTTTCTATCAGTGTAATCGTGTATTTCTCTTATTTTTCAAGTGTCATTATAATTATTTCAGTCTCGTATTTTTCGATATGTATAAAAGTTCGACGTAGTCGGCATCTTCTACACGAGTCTATGGCCATCAGAAACAGAGAAAAGAGACTCACAACTTCCTTAATCATTGTTACATTTGCATCTCTACTGACTTTGTCACCAGTTTTCATCTACGTAACTATACAGATCTTCTTCAGTGTACCTGAGTTAAGTCCTACCAAAGCATCAGGCATTCGGTTTTTTCTCGCAGGGGTTCTATCCTTGGGCTTAAACTCGTCAATAAATCCATTAATTTACTCCATAACGAATTCAGAGTTCCGAAAAGGCCTTGCACGGATATGCTGCAGGCGTCACCGACGCCATCCAATCCATGCCATTCCTGCAGTGAGCCCGGGCAGTTTTCGTCTTCGAGAGCTTCGCCGGCCATAATTAATCTTCCCTGACAGTCATCGAAGTTTAGGAAGCGGCCATTTTGGTCGTAGAAGCAGCCGAAACGCAAGTTGATGAATTTTACTTCAGTGCAGAACTTAATTTTGTCTGCCTTATTTGGCGTGTTCTTTTCATTCTTTTCAAGTTTGTTCTTCGTCGTGGTTGAAATTATTTTATCAAACGTGACAAGAAAAAGTGTTCTCTCACAACTGATTGAGATCAGTCAGAGGCTTGGTTCATCAAGCATCGCCTCTTCTTCTCAATCAAAGAGTCGATTTTAGCATCCGAAATCGTTAATTTTGGAATCATCCTTTTTTTACGGCGGAAAGGGGATGAGCAATAGTAATATGAGTAACATCAAAAGAGCATCACGTAAAGTTATTTGTATCACAAATTGGCAAAGATGGCAGTGAAGAGGTGCAAGTAACACTTGACCATCGCCCATTTTCCCAAGGACTGAATTGAGAATCCTTGGCTGCTTGTTAAAAAAGAGTATAAGATTGGTTTGATCAAAGGAAAAAAACAAAACATTAGGCAAACAGATGGTATATACTAAATAAAACGATGTTGGTTATAATATTAACTTATTACAAGAGAGGACTTTATCCTCTCTTGCTAATCATTAATAGGAACGCTTTTTTCTAGATAAATTGCTGTCAATGAGGTAATTAATGCTTAATTAAAACTCCTGTTGAATGTGTATCAACTTCTCTTTTTCCTATGACACCAAAAGTCATGATCATCTTAGAGTCTAGTTGTCAGCGATGAGTTAGTAACGGTCGAGGAAAGAATAAGGGTTTGCCTCAAGTCACCTTTGTTGCGTCATAATGAGGGGGAAACTATAGTTGCAGAGCGCAGCACGCATAGCGAAAGGAACTAAGGACTCTTCACCTTTCCTTTTCAGTCTTCTTCAATCTCTATTCTTTAATACAATCGTGTTTAAATTAAATTCACTTCACTCTTCTCTTAAACCACTTAAAACCACTTTCATGCTTTGACTCTGAGAGACTGATCGACTCTGATTCCTTTATTTACTCTTGTCGACTTCATGACTCTACCTCTGATCGTTACTTTCTCTTTGATTTTCACTGATTACTAACTCTAAATACGCATTTTATTTTCCCTATCGGTAGGCATAAGTAGTCATGCTGACCAACAGAAATTTGAAAATTAAATCGTTGTCAGCACTCCGAACCCAAACGTTTTTTACAAAAATCTCACAAATGAGCAACAACGTACCGAATGCTTTCGATAAAACAATTAATCTTTTATTGGTAAAGCCAAAACAAGATCTCTAGTGCGGGTCCAAAGCAAACTCAGTAAACAAACTGAGGGAAGTTAGCCAAGGCAGTCACAATTTCGAAACTCGTCGCTGTCTAAATTCATAGATTTGCTTTGGATTATCAAACAAACAACTGACAACGCCGGATGACATAATACAGAAGGATTAGTTTTATGACGTCATTCTGGCATATCCTCCCTTCCAAAAATAAAACTTCCTCTATCCGTGCACGTCAAATGTAATTATCTATTGTCGGTCCTTAGCTTTGCGCACGTCTGAACTAAAACTATTGAAAGGTTATGAAGTTAATCTGACTGCATTATGACGATGAAAGGGATATCTAATAAAATCAATGCCTATCTCATCACCACTTTTATTATCATTGTTGCTATTAGAACTGTTCATTGTGCATTTTCTTATCACTTTTTGTGCAGATTTAAGATCCAGTACTCGCGCGTCCGTCTGAACGTTCATTTTTGACTCCTGTAGTTCTCTTTCCAATTTCTTTTCGACTCAGATAGCCTCACCCGTTCAATTGATCTCGCTTAATCCTTTACATCATACATACTATTATAGTATATTATTGCATTTGTATTTTCCACACAGTTTTCTCTATACACGCCCTATGAGGCAAACAAGAAGAATTTTTTTGAACACTCATTTCATTTCATTTCCTTTCTAATGGTCGACTCAAAAGGTGCACTGTGAAGAGAAATTGGATGCTAGTAACTTTTAGGGGGGGAAGGAGTAAACACTGCATGTAGCACAAAATTTGCTGCAGGAAAAATACCAACCAAAATTTGAGAGATGTATGGAAACTAATATATGATTACCACAAAATTCTTTTTACACTGTTGGATCGAAACTATGTTTTTGTTAATTGAAACGAAGCTAAGAATATTTTCATGGACCCCGTGCTCTGTGTTATCGGGTGTTTATTACAAACAGATGTGCGCAAACAGATATGTTTGACAAAGCCTAGAACTGGATTTCATTCGAACTAATGATAGATTATCGCCTATCACTTTGGTTTAACCATTATTGCTTGTGTTACTAACTGAGCCACCATAAGCTTACTAAAATCTGTTGAAGATTTCGGAATTCGGGCTTCGCAATGTGGCAACAGCCAGTACAGTATAGCTGGGTCATTATAACCCTTCAATTGATAAAAATGATGATGATAAACTTGGGGCAGTTTTCCCACACATTGTCTCAACTTACTTTCATGATTTCGACTGCAAGTTCTAAACTGCGAATTTATCCTGGAATTACCAAGATTCCTTGTCGACAGTTATTTCCTTTACCCTTGAACGCCGTGAAATATGGGAAAGTCGAGTTACTTTCACACCCCTAGAGAACTTTAATTACAATAAAGATAACAGATTCTAGAAGGGTAAACAAGTAACGGTGAAGTTTGGCTAGCTAAAAACTATAACTCGTTACAGTCTTGTACCGCCTAAATCAAAGGTTCGAAACATTTCAAAAACTTCAAAGCATTTCCTGATTCTTATGCCATACCCACTGACCTAAGTATGCCGTTAGTTTAACGAGTTTCCGCTTCGGAAATGTTACGAAATATAGAGGACTCGTCTCGTTAGCTGCCATTGTGTTTCTTAGAGCTTCTGATTATTCAAATAACATGAAATCTTCTTTAACGGCTCATGTTATCTGTTGTAACACGAAAAACTGTCAAAAATCGATTAGCCGAACAAATTGCAGCGTAAATATTTCATCTAGGAGTATCAACATCTGACTGCTTTCAAATGATCTATAATCTGCAATAACTGATTTAGATTTTTTTCGTTTGCGTTTCCTGAAGCGAAGGAAAAAGGCGAAACTGAGAACCTACGCGGAATTACGGTAGTGGGTACTAAATACGTCCGTCGCATGCATTTTCGTGTAGAAGTTCGATCCGGAACCAGTCGCACACTTTTACGATAAATATAAATAAATTTCGTTACCGTGTTGAATACCTACCAGCATACGTACAAATAGAATTATTCCACTAAATATAGTCGAATACTCCCATTCAAATCAAATGATTTGGATTCCTTTCATTGACGATCAATTTGCTTCTATGACACAACACAGTGGCTCTGATGTCCGAATTTCGACTAAATATTTAAACATATACTCCTTTTGCAAAAATTTTTGATATTGCAGTTTGCAATACAATACCCACTTAACGGCAGATATTTGTAGGAAATGTGATTTTCACGGATTTCATGTCAAGCGAAACGTGAAAAAATCTCAAAAATTAGAACTCTCCATCAATGCCAGAGTTCCTGCAATGTGTAAAATTTTATAAAACAAGATTTGATTTGTTCTTTTTTTCATTCTTTTATTTTTTCAGACAAGCTGCGTTTATCTTGAAAGCTCGCTATAAATTTTGCCTGTCAGGTATCTCACACCGTTTGTCAATGCAGTGGACAGTAATTAACGTCTGTAGTGCGACCACAGAGAAACTGAAAGAAGGAAGATGATTCCCTGACATTTACCAAATTTGGAGTGATTCGGAGAGGTCATTTGGTATGATTCTAGAACGTTTCTGATTGGCCGTTCTATTGTTTATTTGTTCTCACCAAAGTACTTGTAATAAGCTAGCGTTCATTTGCGTACTAATTCTGACTGAGGGCGTTCGTTCGTGTCCTCTGGCCTTGTGATATTATTCTCTGTGGAATTTTCCTGTCTTGTGCTTCTGTTTCAACTGAAGACGAAGAAGTATTAGTTTAGTTATGGCCGACGACCTCAGTAGCGACGAACGAGACGATATGGAGTTGGAAGAGGACGAAACCGGCCCGCCATTGAAATCCAAAGTTTTGAACGGAGATCATGAAATAGGAGAAACCAAGGTCAGTTCCACAGCTAGAAACACTTCTGTTAGCTCGAGTAGCGGTAAGAGTGGCAGGCACGTGGAAGAAAATGGCGAAATTGAAGGATCAGAGGAAGAAGTCGAGGAAGAAACAGGGGAATCGGAAGAGGAAAGCTCGAGCGAAGAAGAGTCATCTTCGGAAGAATCGTACAGCGACGATTCGGAGGAATCTGAGAGGTAACATGGGAACTTTTGCTGAGATTTTCTAATTTAAATTCGCATATTTCTTACTTTCGTGTACATTTTGTGGAGCACACTTTTCACCCCAATGTAGGCGGCCATAATTTTAAGTTGCTTTTCTTCTGGTTGAATTAACCGATAAGGCCACGGTTTAACATTTAGCAATGCAGCCGGTATGCAATTTTCAGGTTTATCACCGCTGTGATCTCTTAGATCAGTGGTTAAATTGTCGGTATTTCTGTGTAGTGGTAGCAAGTGTCATTTCATAGCTTCTAAATCGGCTTATAACGAGCTTTCCCTTCACAAAAGCATTTTCTATCTTTGTTTTCTGACTTATTAGCGAGCCTCCCTTAGCACATCATGCTGAGATGTTGTTCTCGACCGTACGTTTCATGTTGGACATCAAAGCAAAGAAAATATTTTGATTGCAGCTTTTGTTGTTGAAAACTTTTCCTCTGGGCAGATTAACCAGGACTTACGTAACTGTTAGAATTTATTTCGTTTTGTAAATAGCGAGCTTTCCGTCCTTTTATTCACAAATATTCAAATGGAATTTCACGTCACATGAGGTTGCTGCTATTTCTTGTCGCTCGTCGATTCAAAGGTTGCATTGTTTCACCGACTGATAGTCAATTTTTTATTGTGATTTTAACACGCTTTCCAATTCAGAATACTTGTGAAAAGACGAAGGATCGAAAGATTATGAATCATTAAACAAATTCATTAAAGAATCAAATCCTTACGTCAAAGCTGTCAACTCGACAGCCAAGGTTTGAACTCACGAAGTAGGTGTTAATCGAAAACTGTGTTAGAAATGAAATGTCAAGGCTTCTAATTGGCTATTAAAAGCTGACTTCTTTTGTTTTTATTGTTTAAACAAACTTGTCTTTTAAGATTCTCGTCATTGCCGGAGTTTCACAGTGTCCTTTGTGAATTTTTAATTTATTGGAAGTGAAAATTTTGATATCTGAAATGAATCCGTTGCAATCGAATGAGAAGTGACCTTCAAGAGCCTTTTAATAGTTTTTATGTCATAAATATGCATCTCAGAATTCAAGTAACACACAGATGGCTGTCATCTGAGCCTCTTTTTGGATGAAATTGTAAAACAGCTGCCTCTGAGAAGTAGATTTAAGGGTGTGATAGCAAATATTCCAACATCACTTGAATACCAAGTTTTACTAGAGAGCATATAGAAATATTCACATTACCCAAATAATGTATTTTTTGCTGCCAAGTATGACTTTGTGTAACTACTGGTAAACTGTATCCACACTAGAAACTTTTTCTGGCTACAGTAATGATTTTTGTGGTTTGACATGCAGCATATTGATTGCACCAGACATGACATTCTCCACTTTGTGTTGGTCTTCATCACACAGATTGTAAGGGTTAACTTCCCACTCCCCTCCCCTGAAATGTGTGTACCATGCTCACTTAACCCTTTAACTTCCAGAAGTAATTAATATTAAACTTCTCCCTACAATATCAATACATTCTTCAACAAACAGGTAATGAGAATATTCAAACTTGTCAGGTAGAAGCTGCTATGTTGATCTAGCACCAAGTTCTCATAACTAACCTACAAGGAAATGTGTAGCAGCTACAGAGGAGAATTAACAATCAGATCTTGGCAGTTAAAGGATTAAACTGTGATCAATAAACTCCTTTTAAGGAAAATAAACTCTAACATCTGTCTGTTGACATAAAATGTTGTGAGAAACATTTAGTTCACGAACAGAGAAGCTTAAGGGAAACTAAGGTAGGAACCTTGAAAGTAATGTCTCCAGACAGGTTTCCTCAAGGATATTTTTTTGTTCCCAGTATAGGCTACTGTGCTTATCACTGGATATTCCCTCGTTTTAGCTGGGTCATGTTTATACACATGGTATATTTACACCATTTGACGGGCTTGTAATATTTTGTAGGAGCTCTCAGTAGTGATATCTTTTTCATGTGAGTACCTCTTTATCCTCTTTATTTATTTAAGGCTCCAGCAAGCAGGGAAGATAGCTGAAGGTGAGCGCCCTCAGCATGGTTATGCTGCAACTAGTAAATCACTATTTGAGAGGAAAGCTCAAGAGGCAAGTGAAACAGGAACAGCTAGAATCAGACCCATAGAGCAAGAGAGAGACCTATTTGTGCCTACCAGTTCTCGACGCAGCACATTTGAGAAAGCAGCTGCAGATGAAGTAAAAAAGGTGACACCAAAAATCAAAGTGGAAGACGAGGAGGTTGACCTGTCAGGAAGAGCAAAATCTCATAAACAGCTCTTTGAGGAACAGGCCAGGCTAAGCGCCCAGGTGTCTCCATCTCTTCCGAGGAAAATATTTGGTGAGCAAGAAGGAGAAGTGGATATTTCTGGGAAGGCAAGATCAAAGAAAGAGTTGTTTGAAAAATATGCATCAGAGAATAAAGCAACATCACCCGGTGCAGAGAGAAGAATCCTTGGAGATGTAGACCTTTCAGGGCGAGCAAAAGCTCATCGCAATATTTTCCAACAAAAGATAGAGGAAGAGTCCCAGGTCAAAGCATCTCGCAAGTTTCATTTAGAGGAAGATGTCTTTTCTGGCAAGGCATCATCGCGACGTGCAATGTTTGAAAAATTTGGGTCATCAAATGATGGAAGTCAAAGGGGTTCTAAACGGGTGGAAGATGAGGAGATTGACTTGAGTGGAAGAGCAAAGTCCCATCGCCAAAAGTTTGAGCAATTTGCTGAGGAAGCCTCCAAAGTCCAAACAGCCAGGTCCAAAAGTGATGAATTGGATCTTGTGGGAAAGGCGTCCTCACACAAAGAATATTTTGATGAAAAGGTCGTAGAGGCTGGCATGATCAAAACATCAGAAAAGAAGTTGAGAGATGAGGAGGAGGAAGCTATTGCTGGTAGAGCTCGATCGCACAAGATGACTTTTGAAGAGAAGGCTGCTAAAGATTTGGAAGTTCAAACTAGTGATAAATCAAGACTGCAAGAAATACCTGATAGAAGCACAAGGAAAAAAAGCAAGAAAGAGAAACATGGAGATGAACATGAGAAGAAGAAGAAGAGGCGCAGATCTTCATCAAAGTCCAAAGAACACAAAGAAAATGTGGCACATGAAGAAGCAACTCCAGAAGACAAGATTGAGAATGTGTTTGAAGAAGAAAAAGCTCAAGATGAAGAAGCAGAGGAGAGAGAAGGAGAGGCAAGGGAAGTCCTTGAGGATGACAACAATCATAAAATGAATGGTGAGGAACATGAATCAGATGAAGAGGAACAAATAGAAGTAAATGAGATGATTGAAAATGATTTTGGAGGTGAAATTACAGTCGCATCTTCAGATGTGTATGAGTCCAGTCCAGTTGATCTCCATGTTGAAGAAGACACCAATGATGGCAAGGAAGATGAAGAACATGAACCTAAACAGGTTGAAGATGAGCCTAAACCAGCCGCATCTGTTACTATGCGTGATGATGGAGGTGTCCCAATGGATTATCGTGCAAGGAGAGCTTTGAGAGAAAAGAAGAAAGCTATGGAGGAAGGTGGGTGTACCAAGAGTTTCACGTGGTGCATGTATATTTTAAGTTATGATTTGAGTTGCTGATTTTTGTGGGATGTGAATGTAAGTTCAGGCAACTTTGTGAATATTTTTTGCTTGACTCTGTAAATGAACATTTTGGTAGATGTATGTTCAGGGCTAATTGGTCAGGTTGCATGAAGTGTGACCAAACCAGCCTCATCCAGAATTTGCTCTCTGTTCATTGTAGGGTTGAAAAAATTCTTAATTTTTGTATCGTAAAGCAGCTGATTTAGCTAATTCCATTTGTTCATGATGATTTGTTTACAAATACATGTGTTTAATTTGAAATATCACAGGCAAGAATTTGAAAATCTAAAATGTAGATGGCCTGAACTTAGTTTTTAATTCATATATGAATAACTTTTTCTTGTTACTTCACATTATTTTCCTTCCAGTACACCAATGAAAACCCAGTATTATGGCGAGTGGACTGCTATTTTTTTTTTTTTTTTTACCATGGTTGTATTTTTGGTAGCTCTCTAAAACATTGTCATCTTTTGTTTGTTGCTAGAAGCGAAAGGTAAGGATTCACAAGATGGCAAGGAAAATGAAGTTGAGAAAAGTGAAGTTAAACCTGCAGAGGAAGAAAAATCTAAATCAGAAGAAGATGGAATGAAAGATCTGGCTACAAGAAGGGCTGAGAGAAGAGAAAGAAGAAGGCAGAGTACACATGGTACCTCTGAGGATGATGCAGAAGCTCCATCAGATGCCTCTTCTGCGAGGAGAACATCTTTAGCAGCTAGAAGGGCTGAACGAAGATTGAAAAGTGCTGGCAAGTCTGAGGAGACTGGTAATGTTGAGAAATCCACTAGTGTGGACAAAGTAGAAGAAGTGCAATCTACAATTGAAGAGAAAAGAGCAGCGCGAAGAGCAGCGACAAGGGCTGCTGAGAAGGCAACAGAAAAGAAAGAGGAAGCCAAACCTGATAAGGAAGAAGAGAAGGAAGATGCATTGGCACGTAAGAGACAGGAGAGGAGAGAGAGAGCCGAGAGAAGGAGAAGCAGCAGTAAAAGTGAAGCAATACCTGTTGAAGCCTTAACTAAGAGAGGATCTACTTCAGAAGAAGACCAAACAAGTAATACTTCTGAGCAGAAGTCAACATACACAGCATCTGTGAAATCAAGATTTGAGAAGAAAGGAGGTGAAGAACAAACTTTGAGTACATCTCGAGTGAGAGATTCAAAGCCTTCAGAGGCTAAAACCAAGACTGTGTCAGCACGGAAACAATCAGGAGATAATCAGGTAAATCAACAGGTACTAGTATGATCAAAAAATATTTTTTTCTTACTTGTGCAATCATTATATACTTATATCTAAGGTAGTTTTGGATAGGTACAATTTACATGGAGTATTTAACTTTGGCATTTTTTGTATTGTCAGTACATGCAGTACATGTGTGTTAAATGAGGTCCAACTGTACTTCTGAACAATGATACTATCACCTTAACAAATCTGCAGCCATCAGGGAGGGAAAAATTTGTTCAATATTTTGCAATTCATTCCACAAGCTGTAAATAAGCTATAGATGTGTATGTACATTTAGTAATGCTTTAAGTTTTGCATACCTAAATAGAGAAAGTTTGGCTCAGTAGTGAAATCTCAGTCTTACAGTACATGTATATCTGACTTTTGCTTAGATGTGGACCAAGTGTTCTTTTGAATCATGTCTTTGTTTGAATATTTGAAAATCTGGTTCTCGCAGAGCTGTTGTTTCTTTCCCTTACTCTTTCTTCTTTTGTGATGTTTTTCACTGGTAATTCTGATTGTACTCACTATAGAATGTGATTGGCAGAATGCACTTTGAATTGAAGGGACCCGTTATGCCCTGTACATGTGCATTCAGTGCCAAAATTGGCCTGTTAATTTAAGGCTGTTGTTAAGTTCTCTCCTTCTAGATAAAAATAATAAAAACAGCCTATATGTGGATTGTCTTGTGAGAACTTCTCAGATATTCTTTAAAGATTTCTTTTTAAATCTTTTATGACTTTCTGCATTTCAGGAAAAGAGAGCACAAAGAAAAGAGAAGAATGATGAGATTGACAGTGTCAAATTGAAAGCAAGTGTCCAGGGAGAGAATAGTGGTTACAAGCCAAGAGGTGCAAGAGAAACTCTGAACAAGTTTGAGGGAAAGGAGAATACCAAAGATACAACTACTAAACCTGTTACTGTGAGTAAAACAACTTTTTAAAAAAACTTGTGATTTTTTTTTTTTTTTCAGCAGTTACACACTCAAATGATAGGTGATACAGTACCTGTTAACCTTGTACACCCTAACATCATTATGCATATTCTCCACACTGTTCTCTATACATTTCCTAGGTTCTAACAGGGAGAATTTGTGAAACCATCAAAGAGCTTTATTAGTTGCTGATCATTTCCTGTATTCTCATGACTTAAACCTTTTATTCAGGGCTGATAGTGTGAGGAGAAATTAGAACCTTGTCACTCTCAGGGATTAAAGGGTTAAATTTGAAATTTCTTTTTACTGTAACTTGTGAAATATATGTACAGTCTACATTTCATATAGCCAACTATCAAGTTACAGACTTGTCACACTGAAACTTTTTTCAAAACATATTTCTTGAGTTGTAATCTGTGATTTACTGTTTGTTTCTGCTTATTCTTAATTATCATTGGCATTCTACTCTTTCAAATGAAATTACTGGGTCAGGGGACGTTTTTCTTCTCATGCCCTTGCTTGAGTGGACATGTTCACCTTGCACCACTGTGCGTCTCCAATGTGCATTACATGAATGTTGTGTTGGTGTTAACAGTCGTATTTATAAACATGCTTATGTGTCATGCTGGCTTATGCTCATAATAGAACTACAAAATTAATTTGCTCATGTGCTAACCTATGAATGTGTGATCCATTAATGTGCTAATGTCCTCAAGTATGAGGTTAATCAAGATGGTTCCAATAATGATTGTTTTGAGGTAAGTGAATTAAAAGTGGTGTTCTTTTAAAACTTGCCTGCCATTAATGTACTGCTGTACTGCCCCGTTGCCACAACTTCATGGAATTTTGAATACTTAGTCGTATGCTATGGTTTGAAATTTAAAGTCATCTAGTGGTCATCAAAAATTGCCAAAATTTATCGCTGACAACCACCTTGCAGAACATGGTTGCCCACTGATTAAATAGTAGTTCCAGCTGCCAACCTCTCAAAGTTTTGAACAATTTGAAATGCCCCAAACTATGGAAAAAAATTCTGAACAAGAATCTGTGCTGTTATTTTCTTTTCATTCATATTTACAGCATGTGGTTGTTGTTTTCTTTTTTGCACTGAGAAGTAACACCAAATCCAGTAAGAATCTTTGAGTCTGCTCTGCTGCTGTAGCATTTATTAACTTCAGTTAACTGTGTTGTTAAATTTAACCAGCTAATCTTTATCAAACTTTAAGCTTTTTAACCAACTAACAGCCAGTTAATATCCTAAAGGAAACTGTGAATTTTGGGGAATCTGATGATGATAGTGAAAAGGTAGGGGTTTAGTTCAAGAGTTTGTATCATACATTTAATCTTGTTACTATAATGGTCATATTTGTATTTTACACTGTAAATAGGTTGAACCCAAGGGTAAAATGTGATAGTGTTGTCTGATTGTCTGGCTGAGTGTAGTCCTGAGAAAGACTGTTGTCAGTAGTGGTGACTTGTTTATATCTTATATTACTTGTAGCTCGTTTGTCAGCAAAGGCTCTGTCAGAGCTAATGGGTTAGTTTATTTTTACATAGATATGAATTCTAACACTAGGTTCAGTTGAGTGCATGTTAAAGTAAGGGGATTTAATGATTCCTAAGATTAATCATACATGTAGATCCCCTGTTTTTCATATAGTATTGCTGTACATGTACATGTATGTAGCAACCTCACGTTGGGTATTTTAAGTTAGATTTGAAGATAAGGTATTTACAATTGTAGTTTTATTATACCCCATTTGTTTCCAACAGAGGACTAATCGCTTTGCACCACCTCAACAAGAGAAATGTGAGACATGCACGAAGACTGTTTATCCAATGGAGAGGCTTGCTGCTGACAACAAGGTGTTCCATAAAACGTGCTTTAAATGTGCTGAGTGCAAATCAACATTAAGGTTTGTCAACACTTGCAATAATTATTAGTTGATATTTACTTTGGGAATGTGCATCATGTGAGGTGAAGATGCTAGGAATTGATGGTATTAAAAACTAGAACTGATCCTAAAGGGGGAAATGTGTTGAAATAGAATCAAATTCTCACAACCAAGAATTTTCCAGAAGTACAGTATATGCAGGGTTTGTAAAGGCCATGGAAAACCCGAAAAGTCCTGGAAATCTGCTTAACATAAGCAAGAAAGTTTTTCAGAATTCATGTTATTTAAGAAGTATATGTTGACCTCAAGGAGAATTGATGGTGAAATCTTGGAAATGAAAGGGTTTAAGGTGAAATTTGGAGTCCTGGAAAAAACAATCCACCTCCTGGAAAAGTCCTTGAAATTTCTTTTTGAAAAAGGGTACAAACCCTGTATATGGTTGTATTCATAAACCTTGTGTACATGTATGTAAATGTGTCATCAATACCTCTGCAATTTGCTTGGGAGGGGAGGGTCAGTATAATGTACATTGTAGTCAGTAGCAACTCAGTGAAATGTACTCAGTTAGTAGAACCCCATATTAATGGTAGTAAATGGGTACAAATGCTTTCACACTGAGCACAGGAACCACAAGTACTGCATACCAGCTCCAAGGCTTCACTCAAGGCTTCAGCTTTGGCTGCAAGTGATAATACATAATCTAAAAATCTTTTACATGTACATGTAGGTCCACTGTAAGTTGTAGAACTAGTGGATGGTCTCTAAACTTGTTTAAGTGCAGTTTTTGTGGTACTTTAAATGCATGTACCCAGTAAGTACTGACATAATGCATGAGTGGGATAAGTTGATATTCTGAAAAATAATCAGTAAGTATAGGTATATTTATTTTTCATAAGATGTTTTAATTTAGTTTTTTTTTTTCTGCATACAGTTTAGATTTGGTTGACTACTATAATTACATACATATATGTATGACTGTTATTTACAATGTTGATTTACACTTACTCATTGCAGTATGTCACACTCTCATCACAGCTTATTTGTGTCAGTTGTGCATGCATTTGCACCTGTGTTTTTTATTGACATCTACATATATTATTAAACATGCGACCATTTGCATCTCAGAAAGTAACTCACCCAAAAACTTAAGTAGTCTGTCGATTTTATCACCAAAAAATAATTTTGTGAGGCCTGCCAAGTGATTTTGCAATTGTAATTCATATTTTTGTTCATAATTAATTTAAAAGTCCATCAGTATACTGAACAGTTTAAAAGACAATTTTTTTTGCTCTTTAGTTCCAATTTAATGGTAATAAATTCAAGTAATTTAAATACTTTTGATGGTAAACTTTTCAGCTTCTGAAGAAATGTTGAAGAGATATATACAAACTAACTGATAGAGTTATATACAAGAATTCCCTAGTTATTTTTATTAGACAAAATTGCTCCTAGCCAGAATGATATGGTGGACGACGATAATTGAATATTAAGAAATGATAAAATCAAAACATCTTTACAATGTAGGATAAAAATAAAATTTAATCATGAATCAAGGAAGTTGCTATAAGAGAAAAAATGCTAAAATGGAAAGGACCTATGTTAGAATGTAAACAAATTTTGTGTAACATACGTTGCACATATACTTTAAGCTCGAATAAGGTCGTTACATCTAAAATAATTAAATAGAACTTCGCTCTAATATAAGATGTTAATTTTGCATTTAGTGGCAAGGGGACTATTTGGATTAATGTAGCCAAGAAAATTGCTAAGATAAACTGAGTTTCGCGTAAATATAAATCGAAAGTCAACTACAGCGTTCATCCAATTAAATTATCAACATCACTGTGTCGTCCGTGTATATGCCTGATGAGAAATTCACAGTCCTGTCATCTTCACAAGATCTTCATGATCACAAAACACGCCAGAAATTTTGTTTCTAGAATATCGTGTTACTTACTGATACATTTTTGTTTGGTAGAGTGGGAAAACCACCAAAATCTGCCTGAAGGTGAGAATAGAATACAACAAGAATTCCAACTGACTTACAAATTACACCTGACTGCCTAAGTTTTTCTAAACCTCTTGACAGTTGGCTGTCAGTGTCACATTTGAATTGTCATTTATGTTATACATGGCAAGTTTCCCAAGTTTCTTACAGCCCAGTAAATTTTCTAGCAGTTTGTTGTCTTTAAGAGTTTACATTGGGTTATAGGCTTCGTCTTGAGTTGTTAGTCCTAACTCCTTAGACTTAAGAAGAATCATTATGTAATGACATTTAGGGAGGCAAAGTGGATGATAGTGATAACATTTGTGTATGCTTGTACTTGATGGTTATTTTCCTCGTTTGTTTTGTTTCGTTTTTTTATTTCATTTGTTGTTTTGTTATTGTTTTTGGTCTTAGTCTTGGTCTCGCTATCGTTGGTTTTGTTTTCTTCTTTCCTTTCCCATCTGATGTACAGTTATTCAACATGAAAGAGTCTACCTTCTCTGTACATCTGTGCATTTTTTCAAATTAGCCGACTGATTAGCCCCCCCCCTCCCCCCGGGGGCAAAAACTCACTAGAGGAGGGGGACATTATTGCAGTGTTTTATATACAGTGAGGTAGTGGTTGAGAGAATTAGATACTAACTCTAGACATTTTCCGAGTACATCTGTTTGCTCTTTCGGTAATGTTAGTGAATTAAACGCTTTTGATATCATTATAAAAGGCCAGTGCAATGTGCGGAATTTTCACTGCATGCGGCTTAACTAGGAATTTTGAAAAAAAATAACTTATCTGGTTAGCAGCAGACATATGAATATCTAAAAACATTTCAAGCAGCAAAATCAATCGGAATGCACGGAAACAAACCGAATAAGACCCTAGCCCTTCACTCCCTGATCTAATTAGTGATTCTCTTTACTGTCAACCGTGCAGTTATGATGATGTTAGTTTGGAGAATTTGGTATTGGATCAACTAATAATCCTCTAATTGTTTTTTTTTTATATTGTCATCATTTGTATGCTTGATATCGTATTGTAAGGAGAAATTCTGCCTTCGTCACTCATGAAGGGAAAGGTTCTGAAACACGTAATCTGACAGATCTTGACATGACTCAATAACTTCTAGGAAGAGAATTGTATTTTCTCTTTTGGCCCTTAAATGTTTTTTTTAAAATTGATAAAGATAATAATTTGTTGCCCCATCGAGATAAAACCCTTCAGGGTGCGAGCCTTTCTTTCCTAATTACCTCTATGCTAAATGTTAATCACCTCTACGAGTTTTAGGGTTAACGCGCTAAGATACATGTATTTTATGGTGGAACTGTTGGTTACAATACCATCTTGAACAGTTGAAGAATTCGTAATGATGAGGCGGTGCCGTTGTACTTCTGTGATATCCATGCCAACTTCATTGTAGCCGAATTGACTCTTTTTCTGTCACTTTTTTCTTCTTGTAGACTTGGAAACTATGCTGCCCTACAAGGGAAACTTTATTGTAAACCGCACTTCAAACAGCTGTTCAAAACCAAGGGGAACTATGATGAAGGATTTGGCCGTGAACAGCACAAAACACAATGGACCAAGGGTAGATGAAACATGTAATGAGCAGCAAAGGAAAAACCCAATTGCATTCTAGATTTCATTACTGGTCATTCGCTTAAGAAATATTAATGTAGACTAATAGCAAGCAATTTAGGTCACTTTAAAAATCTTCAACTGTAGTTTCCTCTTTTGTCTCTTGCTTCCAAGAGGCAGTAATGAAACGCTGTCAGGAGGGAGCTATGTCAGCAACCAATCTTCCACCCCTTTCATTAAAAGAGAATCGAAATTATTCTTAATGAGGAATTCGGCGATGGAGGATGTACAGTTGAAGTATTTTTATGATTGTTTGAATAGTAAACAGGAGATTTTTGAAATAGTTTTGATAATTTCACAGTAAAATTAATATCGTTGGATAATTTAAACAGTTTTCAGGGGCTGACATAACAATGACAGTGTGAGATCACTCGGATAGCTTGAATTATAATTCACTGTAATATGTGAATTTTATGTTAAATAATGGAAGCTACAAGCTTTTATGAATTTTGCTATGAAGAGTACAAAGAATGAAAAGTGCGTGACATTTGTGCTTTGCATTTAGAGTATCGGGTTTAATATCTTTTGGTGAAAATCAAATCACTTTGTACTGTAAATATTTTTGGAAAGAAAATTTAGCGTGGAGTTGATTACAGCATAATGTGCACTTGCACATTGACTGGCCACAGTTGTTTCGTAAATTTTGTTCGACCTTAAGTACTTGTAGCGGGTGGTATAGCACATAAAGAGGTATTTCATTAATCATTTGATTATTAATTTCAGTCAAGTTCAAGAAAATACTGGCTAACTTTTTTCAGGGAGTAAGTATTTGTGATCAGTGTTGCGTGACCCTAGCTACAGAAAAACATTGTTTGCGTCACGCAAGATCGATTAGTTTTCACCTGAAGTACACTCGTTGTGTTAGTCCCACAGAGGTTTGGTGAGTGCATCATTGGCCAGGTCATGACAAATTCGGTTCTCCTCAGCATGTCTAAAATAGTTTATTTTGATCAGCAATAAATTGGAAATGATTTTTAGGAATAATTAAATCCTTGATCTGCGTCTTTTCTGGCGTGATTATGTTGAATGGTGGTAATTTTTCATAATTGTCGATGGGGTGCCCACCTGTTTGGGTATCTCTAGCTTTGGTGCGACTGATCTCCCTAAATTGCCCTGAAAACTCGCTCTCCTCTATTTTCGGAAATTTAGTCGAAGAGCGCAGGAAACAGACGTACATGTTCAAGCCGAAAGAGTTCATGTTATTAACCCTTTACACCCTAACATCAGTATGCATATTCCCCACACTGTTCTTTATACATTTCCCTATAGTGCCGACAAGGAGAATTTGTTCGTCAATCAAAAGGTTTCTTCCCTTGTGATCATTTCCTTTATTCTCACGACTTTAATGTGTGATTCAGGAGTGATATTGTAGGGAGAAATTAGATGCTGGTCACTTTGAGGGTTTAAAGGGTTAACCTCCGCTTGGGGCTTTGTTGTGAAGATGAGGGAAACGACCGCACTTCTGGTGTTTTGTGTTGTTGAGCTTGAAGAGTGCCCATAGTGCTGGGCGTCAAAATCAGCAACATGGAGATTCCAGCCTGTTAGTGTATCTCTGAAACTGGCATGTATGCTTTGAAGATGAAGCGAGCGCAGAAAGCTAAACTATTTTCTACATTCACGACAGTTCTTTGATGGTTTCGTGGTATGATTGCTTACGTTCGAAGACCACAATCTTGACAAAACAAGTAAGTTTCAAGCGTTGACTTCGTTTTTAAACGAGTTGCTTGGTTAGCCGGGATGCGAATGTGTCCAAGAACGAGAAAACTTCCAGAACCTTCCCCCGCTCGTCCTTTGTCGTGCCACATTTCATGGTTAAGTACCTAGAACACGTCAAAAGAATCACCTTGCTTCCCACGGCAGTCGTCCACTGAGATGTGAGAAGAAATGTGTGACAACAAGGAAACTACTGTTTTCTGAACAAAACAATACCCTCTATGCTTTTGCTAGTGAAGAACGTACTCAGATCCGTCGAAGGTCGCATTAGACTTATCTTCTGCTCTAAAGAGCATCTTATTTCTCCTTACAGTGTCACCACCAATTGTTAAGGAAAGTCTTTTTACCACTATAGAGGATGTATGTAGAACAGTATAGTGCATATGTAGACTGATGAAAGAGGAAAAAGGTTTGACGGAGTTAAATAAGGCCACAGTTTAAGACAATCGGTGGACCTCAAGATTTCTTCACAAGTGGGTCTTGGAAGTAAGGAACTTTGCAAGATTTAAGCCATCTTTAAAAAAATTTAGGTTTAGATAAAACGTTGAATTTCGTTGAAGACGGATTAAAACGTAGTTGTGCTAAAAACGGCTAAACTTTTTTGTGTTAACTGGTCTTACTGGGTCCGTCTCTTACCAAAATGTCTACGACAACTTCCAACCTTTACCATGCGGCCGAGAATGTTGTTGAATGCGAAGATAATCACCTTTGTTACCAAATGCCGTGCATGTTTACACAAATGTGGACATTTTAGTGGTTGACCCTATTTAGGGTGGCAAATGCCCTTTCAAGTACTTTGAAATATCAAAGAATACAGGTGAAGTGGTGTGGCCTGTAGCTTAGTGTTCAAGAGAGATTGGTTCGCGCTAAATATCTCGCCTTAAATATAAATTTCAAAAACTAATAGATTTATCTAAACAGTATTTAAACGTGCTCGGTAAAATCAGGAGATTTTTTTTGTTGAAATGACACACTTTTCTCGATGTTAATTGGTGATAAATATTTCATCACATTGTTAGGTAAGCTTCTATAATTGTTTTAACTTCTGTGAGAGACATTTTATCAAAACAACCGAAAAGATTGTGGGATTTTTCCCTTCATTTTTTTTCCTATTAATCTCCCTTATCACAGAAGGTTGGGTCGTAATTTCATTTATTTGAAAAAGGGAAAGCACAACAATTTGATTAGATCACATTGAAGACATTGAATAATGAAGAAACTCGGACTATGAATTGTCCAAACGGCAAGCCCTGATGTAGGTTTTCGGTTGGATCAAGGTTAGTATTGGAAGACCAGCTCTTTTGTAACTGATTCAAAGCAAACCTCAATCTCTAATCTCATTTTTTTTATTAAACTGTGTTTGTAAACGGCTTGTTATGTAGTCTTCGAGAATTTTCAACTTTTCTGTAGCGCACAGGCTAGTCACCCATAGCATTTTCTCTAATTACCACAGGTGCACTTGAATTAAGTAAACTGAATGCTAGATAGATGTTGATTAAAAGTATTTGCGCTCCTTTTACACACATCTGCCTTTATAATGGATGGTTGTTTGTATGATTATGAATCCTTTAATGTTGGATTATGTATGTCGGTGGATATATGGAAGGAATGTTTTTCAGCTTAGGTTTTGAAACCTTTGGCCCCTTTCAATTAGGGCGCCCATACCAAGAGGATGAATTGTATCGATTGTTGCATATACTGAACTCAGACAGGTTCTTTGTTGGACAAAATATTTATCGTACTATATGATTGATAGAATCGACAACAGCTATCGAAACAAGTTTCTCTTCAGTAGCATTCAAAGTGAAGGTTAAATATGGTAGTCTCCCATTCAAATCCCTTCTCGTCGTGTTGACGTCAATTGGAAAAGGACAATTTGATAGAGCGCACTTACCTGTATGGTCATTCTGATTTATTCATTTAGTGTCTCATTTTAATGAATCAGGAAGTGACTCAAGTGTGCTGGTTTTCCTTTTCCAGTTGTGGCGGTTTGGAAGCAAGAAAAAACCAAGATGCAACGTGTTTCATACTTCATATGGCTCTTGACATTCCTTTTTAGCAGTTTTCAATGGAGAGCACTCTCAGAGAATTCTGAAATGTTGCAAAAAGTGAAATCGATCAGAAGAATTCGTCCAAATTATGCAAATATGAACTTCCTAGCAAAGAGGAGCCCGCAAATTCAAGGTGTCATAAATTCAGGCGTGCCTGGTCCGGGCGCCCAAAATCGATTGAATACAGGGCAACCTATCAGGCAAAATCTAACGCCTTTTCAACAAGCTACAACAGTTCCTGCTGCAGTTTCAACGGTTCCTGCTGTAGTTTCAACAGTTCCTGCTGCAGTTTCAACGGTTCCTGTTGCAGCTACAGCGGTTTCTGCGGCTCAACCTGCAGGACAGGTGGCTGGTGCTCAAACTCAACCTGCAGGTCAGCCAGTGAACACGATAATGCGAACTACGGCACAAGCGTCAACTCTTTCAGGGCAACCTGCTGTTTCAGCTCCTTCTGTTGGAACTTCTCCGCAAGGAAGTACCAACGCTGCTTCTACAAATGACATCGAGGATCCTAATGACGATCTTGCTGAAGACGATGCCGCCGATGACGATACGTATGACGAGGATCAGTTGGACCGCGATGAACTAGATTCAGAACCTGAGGCCCCCTGTGTGCCACGTCGGCGCCGGCGTAGACGTCGATGTCGTCACCCTTATCCTCATATGAGTCGAAGGCTGCGTGGACCAGGACCGCCAGAGTACGACGATTATGAAAGAACCCGAAAACAAAATGATTGGGTGGACTTTAGAGGGGATCCAGGGTTTTTTGATCAGGGAAACCAAGGAGGCAACCAAGGAGGTAACCAAGGAGGCAACCAAGGTGGCAACCAAGGAGGCAACCGAGAAGGCAACCGAGAAGGCAACCGAGAAGGCAACCAAGGAGGCAACACGGGTGGGATTGGAGGTCAAGGTGGAATTGATGGTCAGGGAGGAAATGGTGGTCAGGGAGGAAATGAAGGTCAAGGTCAAGGGGGCACAGGAGGCAGAGGTGGCGGTAGGGGAGGAAGAGGGGGAATGGGAGGTGGAGGAGGTGGTGGTGAGGGGGGAGGCAGGGCAGAGGGAACTGGTAAGATATTTCTTTGTAGGATGTTATCGGAAATCAACAGCAATAGCATCGGGCGGGGGCTTGTCCGTTCATTTCCTAGACAGCACTTGTGAATAGCAAACTAGTTTATCTCCTGCCAGCTTAGTCTCTGATCAATTTTCGTTTCATTTCTACAATCAATGTCTGGTTACTGGAGTGTTTATTCTTTATGTGGACGTCTTGGAAAACAAACTCTTTTTTCTCTTTCTTCCCCCTCCATTTCCCTTAGACTGATACTTGTCCATAACTGCGTGGCCTCCATATGTTTGGATGAACGAGGCCCGAATAGATATATCGCGCAAAGAACTCGAGAGTGCGTAATTCATTTGCTTTTATGTAAATCTTCCATTGGTCCAAAATCTAACAAAAAGACACGCCCATAATGCCGTTTTATTTTGTGTACTAAGGCACAGGCCTCTCACTTAACTCACTGTCTATTTTGGGATAGAAAATAATCATAGCGTCGCTAGTCAGATTGCAGAATTAGTGATAGAGAGGTGATAGATTCATTCTAAAATACAATGTAAGACAGAACTCATGATAAAATAGATTTGTAAACTCGACTTCTGTTGGAATTTTTGCCTCGTGAGTACGATGTCAATGTAATACGTCGATCGTTGAAGGTAAGGTTTTAGCTGCAGTGCACAAAGGTAGTGATTTCCTTTCTTTGTTTTGGTGAATCGTTATCTTGTGAGAACATTGATTAAATCAAAATATGGCCTTTTTTTCCTTAGACTGCTGTTGTGTCAATTGGGGAGGACTCAAACCCCACATAGAGTGGGTAAATGTTCCAGTTTGCTATCACCCAAGTGAGTATTTTACCACTCATCACAGTCTCAGTTCACTTAATAACGTTTTATTTCAAATAGTTAGCGATTAACAAACTTCTAGAAAGGTTTTGTGGGGTTAGTCGCGAAATGCTAATACGCTACGGTGTTATTATCCGTAAGATCAGGCCATTAAAGGTTACCGAATAAAGGGGGTAAGTTTCTCAAGAAACTGTTGTGCTGCGTCGGTGGGAGAGTATAACGGGGTAATTAATTGTTATCAACTGAGTTAATAACGTATATTAGCCACCGTAAAGAGTTTAAAAACCGACATTTCGAGCGTTAGCCCTTCGTCAATCGCTCTGACGCTCGAAGCGTTAGCTTTTAAACTCTTTATGGTGACCAATTTACGTTATCAAGTCAGTCGATAATACTTAATTACCCCATTAGTGTCTACTATTGAGCTCATGTTCTCTTGCTACTGCAGATCTACAATAGTTTTGTACATATTGCGGGCCTATATCATCTTTGTTTCAGGCTGCATCTGCCAACCTCACTGTGAGCACTGCTACGACCTGGACTGTCACCACTGCTGCTGTGAACCTTGCTGTGGCGGCTGCTGCGGCCATCACTGTCATCAATGTTGCCATCACTGTCCCTGCTGTCACTGCTGTCACCATTGCTGTCACTGCTGCCACTGTAGGCGAGGAGTGGTGACAAACAAACCGCCATTAGGTAGGTCCCTTCTCTTTTGAGTGGTGCTAGTTTTGATGCTCAAGGAGACATAATCTTTTAATAGAATAGAGAAATATGGAGTACATTCTATTCACGATTCTGAAATTGGAGGTATTCATATTTTAAAAGTACAAAATTTTGGAGCTCTGTTGAGCTATGTTATGTTTTTACTCTGCTAAACGGAAACGGTAAGAAAAACGTAAAACCAACAACATTAAAAAAAGAGAGAGGAGAGAGAGATTAAATCTATGAACCGATCGAGGCTATAGGATCATTGTCATAAAAATCTTATTGTTCCAGCTCTAACCAAAATTATGGGTCAACGTGATAAAAAGACATGTCGTATCCGTTTCGGTGGACATGTACAACGTGCATTTCCTCGACGAGGATGGGATTCGAACCCACGCGTGCAGAGCACATTGGATTAGCAGTCCAACGCCTTAACCACTCGGCCACCTCGTCGTGTGTTTGTTGGGTATGTCATATCATAAGTCATCAATGAATAATTATAAGGAAGCGCGGTATCAAATAACCGGAACAAAAATAAATTATTGACAAAAACGTAATACATGTATCTGTTCTACTACAATTCATTACGCTGTAGAGCGTGCAGAGCGCAGATAATTAATAGTACGTCAAAACAGATCATAATTTTCTCATTCGGATCCAAGTATTGACTTCTCCGCCATCCAATAGTAGTCTTTCGTTACTCCTTCATTAATTTTCAGCTCCTAGAAGGAAATCAAGGAAACATGATAAGTCCAAGAAAGTATCGAAGAAAAAGAAGTATCACAAAAGAAATTGCTTTTGTGTAACACCGCTCGTCTTGCGCATGCCCTTCTTCCCGAGACTGTGGTAATGGTAATTAGTACCAAAGAGTACTAGTGCAGTAAGGAGATATCTCCTAGGATTAGTTCAGCAAGAATATGGCTGTGTGCAAAAAGAATGCCCACTGATGAAACCGAAAAGAGCTGGAAGCAATGCCAGAGACAGTTTCGAACACAACCAACTTCGTGGCTAGGGTGTTATGTACAAAATTATGTAATTAGCTAGGAGAAAGAGAAAAATGCTTGGATAATAAAGCTTCATTGCTTTTGTTTTTAGATTGTGTCAAAGATATTTTCTCGATTGGAGAATCAGAAAACGTTTTTGCTTTTTGTTCTATTTTTTCGAAAGCAGCGTGAAGGTGATAGAAAACAACTGCTAACTGGGACGTAACGGGTAATAGAACAAGTGTTTCAATTCTTAAAAATAAACAGTGCCTGTCTTTTAAAAATATCGGTAGCTTAGTTCACTAAAGAGCATTAATCTGCTCTGTTTTGTTAAGGTAAAACGTCTTTCCTGAACGACTTATCAGCATGAAAATTACTTTAGAGAATTACCTGAAGCAGAACCTCGAACATAAGATTACAGGTGTAGTATTCTAAGTCAAGTTTGCCTTGGACTCTCCTCTTAGAATGCATTATTTGCTTTATTTCTAACTTATTTAACTTAGTTTGGCGAAATAAAGCTTGAAATTGCGTTGAAGGGGTTCATTTCATCTTAATTGGTCGTGTGTCAAACGGATAAGAAGTTTGTCTTTCTTTTTTTGTGTGGGTTACTTTGACATACTTGAAAGCCGTACGTGAACATTTTTTTTCGGAGCTTAAAGGATAAAGAGAGGTACTGTAATGACACTTACAGTCATCAAAAGGCCTTTGAAATCGACCAAGTGTAAGGAAAGCTGATTTGTAGCTACCTAGCTGAGGGTGACATCTTTCCAACAACTGCCTCGTCGTTTCAATTCTCTCAAATATTACAAAGACGGAGCAAAACAAACGACAAACACAGTAAGTTTCATTGTTCTGTTACTAATTTATCTTCATTATACCACCCCCCATTCTCTTTTAATAACATTAATTATTTCGAAAGCAATGGCGCTCGCCAGTTATTGAATTTCTGCTCTCTGATAGAGACAACAATACGAAAATTAAAAGTGTTTGATCGAGTTTTGATCGAAGCTTTTCTAACTTTTTTTGGGCCTTCTATTTTCATGGGTGAAGGCAAAGGGGATGAGGTGAGTTTTACAGAAGAGTTTGTCCCCAGAGGCAATATTGGCTTTAAACACTCAAAGTTGTCCGTTGAAGAGGAAGAAACCTTTAGACAACTGTGGTGTGTAATCGTTCTCAAGCGCATAATTGAATTACAATCGAGGCTTATTGAAGAATACCGAACAATAGTGAGTAATAGAGTAGTGATAGAGCTTGTTTTCTCTTTATTATTTGAAAGCCAAACTAATAAAAGTTCTTTTTTATTATGTCATCCCCCCCCCCCAGGCCGCCATGAAGACAAAAGGCTTCAGTCCTCAGATATCACCTTGCGTATGAAAGCCAGCTTGAGCTCCAAGCTTCATGACTGAGACTAAAATTTAAAGAAAAAAAACTCTCAATTCTACCGAGTGGCATGGATAACGATAACGAAGCTCTTAAATAGGAAAGAAATTTTGCAAACATGCGTTTAAGCACTAACCTGTTCTTAAGTATGATCCAGCACGGACCCCTGAACATTAGCAGGTGAGAATCTCATTTCACTCATTTTTTAACAAACTGTCAAGAACAGGCAAAGGTAATTGGCCACCGCAAAGCGACCCCAATTCACTTAATATCAACTCAGTTGATAAAATCAAATTATCTTCAGAAAGTCACTCCTTAAATCCAAAGATACCCTGCAATCTGAAGCGAGGATTAGAGATGTCACGATTTCCTCCAGGTGTTGTGTTAGGGGAAAAGGGTCATAGGGTTTTTCAACATCGACAGTTGAAGTTGAAAACCACCTGCCTATTTCAATTTGCACCAAACCCGTAGGAAATGTTTTGTTAATTGAAAATTTAGCCCTAAATTTCTGCAAATTTTATGGCTGAAAGATATCTGCAGATACAGAAGTTGTGATTGATTTTTCCAAGGGGTCTTGTCAATAGTTTATTTTGCCATGCATTACTGGGCAAAATAAAAAACAAATAGCCTCGCCGGATGCGGCTTGGACTTTGTTTCGTTTTTATGACTGCTATAAAAGTTTTTGTTGTTTGCTTTATTTGCCCTTTCGTTTCCTCTGTGTAAATACTTGTCATATGGTCTTACATTGTAACTTCTATGAAAAATAAGGGATAAGCAGAAGCTCCATATTCAAGATCTCATACAACGAGTCGCCTCACTGAAGAGAACTGAGGCGCAGCAACAAAAGTCCTTTGATCAAAGATGGCATTGAGATGGTAACTGTTATCCACTGATGGCCGCTGAAGAAAGGCAGGTTAATCTTTCTTTGTATTGACTTCTTATTCAGCGTGTCAGTGTTGCAGAAACAAAATATCGATGAGGCAAAAAAAATTTAGCAAGTATTTCTTAAAGAGGGCGTATTTCAATCCTCAAAACCTCTCTCCAAAATTGTAAGGTGTTTCTCAACACTCAGCTTAGCACAATCTTTTAATGCATTTTTCTTGTGAAACAAAGCTTAATTAAAGTCCGATGTGTTCTCTGCTAAAGAGACAAGAACAGTATGATCAAAACACAATATTCACGAGAGTTTTGAAGTATCCCTGTACCAACGTGGACGACATGGAAAAAAAATTTTCGGTCGAGTACCCTCAGAGCTGTTGACAAAAGGAACGTATTTGGTTCAAAACGACAAAAAGTGTGTGAAATATATTTTAAATCATCGATAGAGTTGACGAAAAAAAAAGCAAAGGTTGAAATAATTGTACAATAATATGAGGTAATTAACAATTCTAAAATTATTTTTTATCGACACCACTTATATTGTACCATACAGCATCTACGAGATAAAGAGTTCCACTCCTCATGAATCAGATTGCATCTTGTCGTTAGTGGTTCTCACCTCTGAATGTCTGGCGATTTTCACCCTTAATCATCGAATTTGTGAGGCAGCAAATAGAGGCAAAAATACCAGAGTTCAGGGCAGGAATGATCCGAATATTTCACAAGGCCCCGAACCATATTCGCCCGGCAGATTTGCCGGTTGGTAATCTCAAGGCGATTTTAGATCCTTGAGGCCAGAACTTCATGATCGTTGGCACTTTCCTCGTCTTTGAGCGACGATGACAGCACAATCTGTCCACGTAGAGCAAGAAACGAGATTTTTCTTACTTTTGTGCGCACAAAAAGATAGAGAACGATTTTAGAACTTTTCGCAGAACTCGTTGCAGTGCACTACCTCTAATTGAGTTCAGAAAATTCAGTTCCTCTCTCCGGCAAATTTTCTGGGAAATCGAAATCAGTACCCATCCTTAAATTCTGTACAATTTAAAAACCTCGAAATCACCTTATGTATTGCCATGGATAGGCTCCGGTGTAGCACAGTTCCACAGACCATTTTTGATCATTCGTTTAGCGACTTTTGATGCTCGACTGGGTATGTGACGGGAGAAGGAGGAAATTGTAAACAAAACAAACGAAACAATCTCAATTATTATAGACCACTAGATGTAGTTTTAAACCTCCGCCTTGATTTAGGTCTAACCCTAAGCAATAATACATTTAAGGCTTAAGCCCTGCTACGATGTTGTGAGCTCAGGCAATTTTGGCATCTAGTACGTTCGCTTGATAAAAATGAATCGTAACCAGGCTTTTAACTGTATTAGAGGACTTAGAGTGCTACAAAGATTGTGACATAAATTGTAACTAACAGCTCATAAGATTTATTGAACAAGACAAGTTCGCTAATATAGCTAGTATTTATATGGTGATATGTGTGGGCAGTGAAGATGAAGTAAAACTAAATTAGAAATCATTATGTAGGTTTTCCTTTCTTTACGAAATTCGTGTAAACCATGGTCACGTCTTTGTCATTTGATGATAATCCTCGCAATTTAAAGAAAAATGCCACTTGTCAAAGCTGTTTTAACCAACAATAGATATTGCTGTCTGTATACTGCTGGATTTTAGAGTCAGACTTGAAGCGCGGTCATTCTCCTCAACAACGAAGTTTCTACGTCTCCACAATGAAACGAAACTGACGGACATTCGCATATTTGCATATTTCTAACAAGATAAAACCTAGGTAAAAATTTCTTCTTTGACCTAAGATTTTTGTCTCTGTCAGCTAACAATACAGACCGGAGGGAGAAAGCGTTTACAATTTCTCTTCATTCATAGGTCATTTGGTGAATGGAAAATGTGAATGGAAACCTAATGGCCACAAACACCAGCAACAGATCTCTTACCAATTGGTTGGTGGTTCCTGTCTCGAGGTGCATTCCATGGTTCGCTGTGCTCGTCACTGAGTCTCTGGCCATTATCGCTCTTAATATCATCACTATTGCTGTCTTTGTAAAGCAGCGCCAGCGAAAGCGCCAGAGTACATACTTAATCATCCATCTGGCCATGGTCGATCTCATGATCGGAGCAGTGAATGGACCTGTACGGGTTTACGAGATCGGGAACTTCTGTGACCTGTGGGGACACGATATGCGAGACGCCAATTGGTTGCCTGGATTAGAATATGTATCAATGCATTTTGTCCATCTGGTCTCCATTCTTAATCTCGTTGTCATTTCATCAGAACGAGTGCACGCAACATTTCGTTCTTTCAATCATCGTTTTATTAAGAAATGGGTTTATGCTGTGATGACTATCTTAATTTGGTTAGTGCCTGTAACAATTTTCCCCATAAGAGAATCAATACCAGTTCATGATTTAAGCACACGTGCCCGTCGCAACCTTGTGTATTTTTTATATTATTTTACCTTTCTTTTCATTATATCTATTTGTTATGGTTCTATTTACTTTAAAATTCGATGTAGTCGTCTTCCTCAACCTCATGGCGCAACCGGTCTGAGGGAAAGAAAGCTGACAAGTGCGTTGTTTCTTGTCACCCTTGGATCTTTTCTGACCCTCCTACCTGTGGCAGTGTTCTGGGGTTTGGTGGGTTTAAATACTGAGCTAGTTTTAAGCCTTTCCTTCCAGTCACAGTTTGATAGCTTTATGGCAATAATAGTAGTTTTGATGGCTAACTCAGTATTGAATCCTATAATCTACGCCATACGAATGCCAGAAATAAGAGCTAGTGTATTACAACTATTATTTTGCAGGGCTTCAAACCGCGTAAATCAGGCCGATATCCCAATTCAAGGTCTTTAATTGTTTATCTTAAGAGCTCAGTACATATTTAAAAAAATGAAGCAAATTAAATTTTTTATTCGTTATGTTTCGATTTCAATCGAGAACACCTCTCTTCTATAGGATTTTCTTCAATCGAGAGGCAAAAGGGAATTCATAATCACATGCATTGACTCGTTTAACATACTACTTTAAAAGAAAAATAAATGAATGATTAAAGGTAAAGAAGATGTTTAACTTATTGCATAGCTTTCTTGGTTGAACATAGTTTACCAAAAGGAATAAAATGCTGCAACAACCGGCTTTATAAAGAATAACCATGCTAAGAAAGACATGTGCCACTGGACAACAGTTAGTGACAATCCTTTTCAGTTGATATAATTGTCTTTTTAAAGGCAACTAAAATTTCTCTTAAGAATGGTCCATTTATGATCACTGAAACGATTGAAAAGCGAGCTAAGTTTTATTTTGCACTTTTTAATTGAGTACTGGCTTCCTAAAAAGAAAAGAAGCAACAACTGCAACAAAAATTATAAAAACCATTTTTGCAAAGACGGATAAGGGATGCCAGGATTTTTTACAGAAAATTAAATAGGAGTGAAGAAATTAGAGGCTTTTAATTAACAATGTTACGGCCGGACTTCTTTTTGTATATGGAATGGTGAGCCAGCCTTGTAAATTGTTATTTTTTCCACATATACAGCATTTATCCGCCATACCAAGGCAAATGTGAGGTTAAAAGATATTTGCAATCCTAAAGTACAATCGATATCATTGAGAAGTCAGACTTCCAGCTCAAGTTATAAACGTGGGATTTGACATTCGTTACTTTCTGTCAAAAGATTATTTAGCCGTGCATTATTAGCCAAAGAAGAAAAAACCAGGATGGATTCGGATTACATCTAATATGATTTTAAGACCGCTATAAAAGTTTCCCTTATTTGCTGTATGTAGATACTCTTTCGTTTCCGCAATGTAAATACAAGTCATAAGTCGCGCAGTCTTAATTCTCTTAAAAAATATCTAAACATGAGTAGCATCATCATTTTCTCTTACAATTCGAGCAACTTAAATCTAATTTAATTCAATAGTCCTAAACTTGAATTTGATACCAGCTTAGTCTTGCATGGAACATCATTGAGCTCGATAAAATAGTATATGACAGGTCATTAAAGCCAATAAGGGACGCAAAACGTTACCTAGAGCAAGATAGTAGTCAATCAGTCTTTCTTTTCTGTTACTAGCACCATGGCTATGAGGATAACGACTGCAACTGACTCTTACACAAATAAACATTTCAGGAATGCTCATGGCTGAAATAGGAGCTGAATTTTACGTTATTTCATTACAAATTTCTAATCAGGACAAGACATTCTCACTGCAAATGTGATGGAGAACCTGCAAAAACTGCCTCACGTGATGAAGTTAAAGTAGCGTACACTCACTTTTTAATAAAATGATACTTGAATGGGAAATTACCTCGTGCAAACCTTTTAAAAGAGCCAAACAATATATGATGTTGGTAAAGAGCAAATGAAATTTGGTCAGACATCGTTGGAAATTAGCGGCTCTAGGCTATTAGCAAACAATATGTGGCAATATCGGGCAAAGCTTCGCATAAAACAAAAGCGCACAGGTGTAATGCTAGAGAATTAAGTTTGCTTCGGCCTTAATGGAAAGACTTTTAATAGTTGGATCAGTAAGAGAAAAGAAAAGGACCGGATGCGGCTCGAGATCTCATGACAAGAGCTCTTTCTCTGTTGATTCTTCTTATTTCTGATTAATGTGAAAAGCTTTTGTTCTTCAATTTATTTAGTCTTTTGTATCCGCTATGCCAACATCTATCAGAAGTCATATTTCTTGTCAGTTATCTCACAATGAATTTAATTAAGTTTCATGATCATAATACCAATTACTCTCCGTTTGCAGAACTTGCGAGAAGATAAATTTACCGACTATAAAATAACAGTAAGTGAATCTCCTTCAGACTAAAGGGGAGAAAGCCGTTAAAGCCACATACGCAAATTAATATTGTACCTCTAATTATTGTTTTAATTATGATCATACTATTCAGCAAGATTTCAGTTGCTTAGAACCATACACAACGAGTGCCATCAATTATTCAGGATAAATTTGGGAAACAACTAAAACGTGCCTTACTGTTCATTACTGTTTGTTCCACATCGATCGGACATGGACAACAACAAAATAAAGGAAATGAAGATGAGGAAGTTGTAAAATGTGAAACATCACGACAGTTTTACTCAACCTAGTCTGATAATTGTTAATTATTTCCACCGAGTGGCCAACTCATTAATGTGCAAATATATTGAGTGAACGTTTTTGTAGTTCTGACAAGATAAACCAGACCTAAGATTTTTGTCTCCGTTAACTAAGAGACTAAAGGGAGAAAGCGTTGATGAATAATGTACGATATTTAATACTGTTCTCTCCACTCGTAGGTCGTTTGGTGAATGGAAAATTTCAGTAGAAACGCAGTGGCCACAAACACCAGCAACAGAACTCTTACTAAGTCAAGTGATGTGCGCTGGTTGGTAGTTCCTGTCTCAAGGTGCGTCCCATGGTTCGCTGTGTTCATCACTGAGTCTCTGGCCGTAATCACTCTTAATATCATCACTATTGTTGTATTTGTGAAGCAGCGCCAGCGACAGCGCCAGAGTACATGCTTAATCATCCACCTAGCAATGGTCGATCTCATGATCGGAGCAGTGATTGGACCTGTACGGGTTTACGAGATCGGGAACTTCTGTGATATGTGGGAACACGATATGCGAGACGTTACTTGGTTACCTGGAGTAAAATACGTTTTAATGGAAATTGTTCATCTGGTCTCAATTTCTAATCTCAGCTTCATTTCATTAGAACGAGTGCACGCAACATTTCGTCCTTTCAAGCATCGTTTTATTAAGAAATGGGTTTATGGACTAGTAATTGCTGTCATATGGTCAGTGCCTGTAACTTTAATCCCTATAAGAGAATTTACGGTGTACGATATTCACAGCTACCTTCGTCTCGAAGTAATATATTTTTATTATCATTTCACCCTTCTCTTGGTTATATCTGTAAGCTATTGTTCTATTTATACTAAAGTCCGATGCAGTCGTCATCCTCAACGCCATGGTGCAGCAGGCCTGAGAGAAAGAAAACTAACGAGTACACTGTTTCTTGTCACCTTTGGATCGTTTTTTATGCTCCTACCTGTGGTGGCACTCTTAGGTGTGGTGGGTTTTAATTCTGAGCTAGTTTTACGCCTCTCTTTCCAGTTAAAGTTTCGTATCTTCATGACAATGAACATATTTTTATTGGCAAATTCGCTAGTAAATCCTATAATTTACGCCCTGCGGATGCCAGCGTTGAGAGCAGGTATATTACAATTATTATTTCGCAGGGCTCCAAACCGCTTAAACCCAGTAGATATTCCAATTCAAGGTCTTTAATTGTTTATCTTAAGAACTCGACACATGAAAAAGGAGCAAGCTTTAATTTTTTTTTCGATTTTAATCGAGAACAAACCTCTTCCATAAGGTGTTCCTTTAACCCCTAAGAGTGTCTAATTTCTCCTTACAATATGATCTTAAATCAAACATTAAGGTCATGAGAATAAAGGAGATGATCACCAACTAAAGAATTTTTTGATTGTTGAACAAATTCTCCTTGTCAGAACCCTTGGAAATGTCTAGAGAGTAGAATGGAGAATATGCATACTGATGTTAGGGAGTAAAGGGTTAATCTTTATAAGTGAAAGGCAGAGAGGGTGATACTAGTAGGCGATAAAAATTCATAACGAACTATATAAAACACGAGTAAAGGATGTAAGTTTCTAAAGAAACTGTGGTACTGTGTCGATGGGAGAGTATAACAGGGTAATTTAATACTATCGACTCAGTTGATAGCATAAATTGGCCACCATAAAGAGTTGAAAGGCTGAGGTTTCGAGCGTTAGCCCTTCGCTCTGACGAAGGGCTAACGCTCGAAACACGGTCAAATCAGTGACAAGTAAACTCATCCTAATGGGAAAATAAAATCACCGGAGTAATACAAAGAACAAAAAACGTTCGAGTCATTGCGGCAATTCAGAGTCAAGCAATCTATCAAAACATATTGTATTTAGCGATGCACAAACTGAAGATTATCACTAGAGAAAAATGGAAGTGTTGCAACAACCAGATTGATCAAGAAGAGCAATGACTTGAAAATACAACCGGACAACAGTAGTTGACTGTTTTCCTTTAAATTGATATAATTGGAACGAAGTTTTGCATTCAAGAAGAGTCCATTTGGGATCAATGAACTGATTGAAGCGACAAATTTCATTTTGTTCTTTTAACTAAACATTGAGCGTCCATTAAAAAAGAAATACTGTTTGTTCAACAAAAAGAATATTTGACTCCAAACTAAGGTATATTCGTGGCAATCGAAAGATACAATTGATTTCATTGAGAAGTTGGATTTCCAGCTCAAGAAATAAACGTGTACTTAGATGTATTTTGTTTTTCTAAATATATTTTTAGGCCACGCATTCCTAGCCACAGAAAAATATTGTTAGTCCTGATGCGGCATTTCGTTATTTGCTTTAAATACCCTTTCGTTTCCGATATGTAAATACAAGTCATGCACGAGTCGTGCAGTTTTATTAATTCCCTTTAAGATCAGTAGAATCATCATTTTTTTCCTATAATTCTTACAACTTAAAAGTTATTTAATTTACTAGTCTTAAAATTGCCTGAAACGAGCTCAGTAATGCAGGGGCCATCATTACGCTTAAGAAAATAGCATATGGCTGCCAAAAAGTCAAGAAAAGGATGCGAGCGTTGCTCATAGCAAGATAATGGTCAGTTTTTCTTCTCTGTAATTTGCGCCATGGCTAGGAGGATAAGGACTATCAGACTCTCAAACAGATAATAATAATAAGAACAGTGGTTATAATAATAATAATAGTTATAATCGTAACAAAAACTTTCATCAAGAACAAAACCGGCGACAGTTGAATCGAGAGTTACCAAAGGGATAAATGTGATATTAAGCCAGTAGAGCAACAGGTACGAAAACCAATAGAAAAGAAAGGGCGAGGTATGAAGAATAATAAGCAAATTCTACAGCTAGCTATAGGAAAAAACAATATTTTATATGACAGTAATGTCTCTCACTCTTTTGTTACAAGAACTGAGATTTTCACTGAGGAAATAGCAAAAATGTTAGAAGGAATAACGAGGTTAGTCGCGGCACATTTACTGCCCAAATTGCGAAAGTAAGTAAATTGTACTCAACTTATAAAGGGTAAAAAAATAAAAATCGATGCTGGGGATAATTTAATTTCAGTGATTAGTGAGAAGAGGAAATTCGAACGGGAGATTTTAAGGGACATTTTTAAGAGGCAAATCGACTCGGCGTGTGTGGTTTTGGTTCCTACAGAATATTTTAGCCAAGCCTGCCCTAAATTCTGGAATTCTTATGACGTATATAATGGGGTTTATTAGGGAATTAGCCCCAATTAGTAGTAATGGTGCCGCAACGAAATAAATGTTTGAGATTCCCTCAAAAAAAATAGTTGTGATGGAGAAAACCACATGCGGCAGCCAAGAGAGTAAAGACGCAAAAGTAATCCAAATCAAGGTGATGGTCAGTTTTCTTTCGGTGTTAGCTGCACCATGGTGTTGTGGACTAGGACTGCATCGAACCTTGATAAGGATAAAGCAGTAAGAAATACTAATGATCAAAAGGCAGATCAGATGATATACGCTTCGTAGCAGCACACCGATGTAAATAAAGGAATCTGATTTTAAGAAAAAATTGAAAATTACATTTAACATAGCGCTGAAACAACCCATCAACCAAATAACAGCTACGATAACGCCATACACCCATTTCTTGATAAAGCGGTGCTTGAATGGGAAAAATGTTGCATGTAATCTTTCTAAAGAAATAGCTGCTAGATTAACTAGGGAGGTGACGGGAAATAGTTCCCATAAAAATCTTGCAACAATAGTATTATCCCTCTGATAACAAAAGAACGAAAATCCCTCTGCAATGAAAGAAGGCCCAGAGACTGCACCGACTAGGAGGTCGACAATCGCCAGATGGATGAGCAGGTATTTACTCCGACGCTGTAGCTGACGCTGCTTCACAAATACAACGATTGTGATGAGGTTAAAGATAACAATGGCCAGTATTCCAAAAATGACCACTATAAACCATGCAATACATTCTGATGTAGAAGAGGTTGATCCAGTTCTCGCATAGGTGCTGTTTGAAACTAATTTATTGGTGGTGTTTGCCGTCATTTCCGCCACTGAAAATGTTTCAGAATCGCAAGTTCAATGCACAAGACTGACATATTTTTAAAACTTGGCCAAAAAAAAAAAAAAAAAAACGAACGAAAAAGGCAGAAAGAGAAAAAGACGAATAAAAAAAGATACTTTGAAATTCTCACCGAATTGTGTATCTTGGTTAAGCTAAAAGTTCGCCTACCTCATCGACAGTCTCCAAAAGAAGATTTTCATGACAATTCGCTAGGTTGATTATGTAGCGCAACTCTGACCAGCTGAAAGCAGCTGATGAACTGAAATTATCATTCTTTTTAATACCGATGATCCTCGCTGATTGGTTTAAATTTGTGTCAAATCAGAAATTAGTTGTCCTCAAAAAAAAAAAACAGAGGTTAATAAGCTCAGGTAAGATCCAATTCGACAGCGTAACGATTGGTTTTTCTGTTTGTTTCTCGTCTCTCTGTTCTTCGTGATGGTAGGATGTTTGTTGATTGCAAGAACTAATCAAGACATCAGCAATTTCAAACAAGTATAGTATGACGCTTTAGTTAAAATCCCAGTATATTTGTCGCTAAAACTCGTCCCTGTTTCTGCCTGATGAGCCAGTGTTAACGTTGTACACATGACCATTTCGTTCCAGAAAAGCATCATTTAAACCATAATACTTATTTTGGTGATTCAAAGAAAGTAATGCTGTTGCAATTCAATTTTAACAGAAAGCGAATCGTTCTGTAATGCATAATTCAATTGTCAGCAAATGTCAATAAAATCAATGTGATCAAGGGAATATATTCTCTCGTGTGCAACATTAGACAGGAACACTATTTAGCCAGCCATTTCCTCAGGAAGGAAACTGGTACTTTACTGCATCAATCGGCCAGAAAGCACTTTAATACAACAGCGGTTACAATGCAATTAGTTCACGTGAAACTCCATCCATTGTTAATAAATATAACGCAGTGTGTAACCAAGTACTCTCTATGCATCACTTCAACATTCAAACAGGAGGTAGTATCCCTTTCTCAGCAGAATATGAAAATTAGTCTGTGAAGATCTCCGAGGCAACCTCTATTTGTTGCCAATTCCAAACTCGCATCGGTTACCCCAGGGGAGTTCGAACGAGAAGTATTTTGCAATTAGAGCGGGCAGGTAAGTTATCAAATTTTGCGCTTGGTCCTTAGATCAAGATATATGCGCATCCCAGACCTTCGGATACCTCGCTCTGATGCTCAAAATCGAGTGTTAGCCTCGGAGAACTCCATGGTGAGTTAGGCCATTATAGAAGCGCGAAGGCTGTGCTTCGATTACTCATGCGAATGAGATTTTGTTTTCTTTGTCCCGCGCCCGACTGATAAATGTTTTCTATGAGAATTTTTCTCGGTTAGGGTTCTGGCCATCTAATGCAGAAACGAGACAACTCAGTGTTTTGGTTTCATGAAAATGAGGAAAGAATGTTCATGACAACACGTTTTGCCTAATTGGGTTTTTGCTTGCCCTTGTCAAGGGTACGCCCGATGTATGCCAACACTGATGTGTGTTCACAATAAATTAATTTATGCTTTTATCTTTTTTCAGAACAAAGTAGTCCAGAACTTTTAAATACTTATTATTTATTGTTTTATGATTTGCTGCGAAGTAGCTGTGGATGGATAGCTTCATTTGCCAGAAGTTTCATTTATTCGGTCTCCAACAGTTGATTTTCAAGGTAACATGTCGAGATTGTGACAAAAGCTAACCAGCTGAAAACAGCAGTTGAACTGAAGTTATAAGTTTTCATTTCTTACCAACGCTAATGGCAAACCTGATTTGCCTAACTTGTAACATGTCACATGCAGGTTTTTTTTCCTATGCCATTTATTTTTTTCTGTTTTGCTTTTCTAATGTTCTTTTGCTTCCTCTCGCTTTTTATTTATGTGTTTGTCTTCTTTGTTTACACCTTGGGAAACGATTTTCCACGATTTCGAACAAACATCGAAATTTTAATAAGTTTAAAAGTAAATCATTTGTCATCCGAGGGAAACACTTTCGGTTTTGCTCTGTGAGACTGGCGCAAATGGTAAGAGAGTTCCAGTTAATAGCTGAAATCTAAAGGACTCCAAACACCTAAGGGCCGAAAATGAAACCCTAACAGCAATAAAAGTTGCCTATATATCTCCCAGATAATAATACTTTTTCATCAAAGGGCAGATTTCTAGAAAAGCCTGATAGTGATAACCCTTACCATCCGAAAATAGCCCATAAACTAGAAGGTTAGTTTTGATGAAGAAAGGAAGCTACACGCGATAGGGAGAGGTACAGTTGTATGACCTTGTATCTATTTTTAAGAAGAAGCAAATAACACTTACTCGATTGAACATCATCGCCATCCTATAGGAGATATAAATTACGCCAAAATATGAGTGTGATCCATTTTTAAGGAATTAAATTGCCAAGGTTTGGAGGCTTTAGAATTATTTATAATTTGTTCCTATAAGTATTCCCGCCAACGTAGATTTGAAGGTTTTGTTTCTAAACAATTTTATGCCAAAATGGGGAAGGGTATGAAGAATTGCCAGTTCATTTTACAGTTAGCGAGAGCAGAGTTTGATCATGAACTATTTACTCCTAACTTCTATTCCCTAAAAACTGAGAGCTCCACAATGGCATAGCGACAAAATAACCAACTTTCCAAATAACCATACAATATCGCAGGATATTTGTAGGCTATTCGCGCGTTATTTGTGCTCTACTTTGTGCAGTTGGATAATAATGAGGCTTACAATGTTCAATGAGTGTCAAGTTCCCGAACTCAGCCAATATTTGTCGTAAACAATTTCAGTGAAAGCTCTAGATTAATATAGATGACGATAGTAACACCTTCAGAGCGGAGCGCTGACAGCCATTTCAATACTGCTAAAAGAATCTTCGAGACCACTTAAAGGACTTGAAGGCAATAACGGGAGAGCCATTCTTGTTGAAAACAATTTTGCATGGATGGCAGGTCGAGCACGTTTGTACTGTTAAGCTGATTGTTAGTAATGATCCATCTCGTTCTCAAGTTCGAGCTCTTTTTAACAAATCTTTTTCAGTTTGAAATTATCAGTTTGCGGAAGAGAGTAGAGAAGTAACTGCCCTAATGAAGAACTAAGATTATTATTTGCCATAGACATTCTTTATTATGTTTTGCAATATAAAAAAATCATAAAATTTCCAATTCGAATTTCAAAGTCATTTATTTGAATTCAAGAACAGCAACCTCTGATTGAGTTGATTATTGTTAGATGTTGCTTGCTCTTGCCTCATATATTATCATAAACAAGCTTATCCACATTGGCACACTGGTTACTTATTACACAAATTGAAACGAAAAAAAGATAAACTCGACGGAGACAAGTTTTTGAACAAATGCAAAGTATCCGTTCTTCGGGCAAACCCCTGATTTAGGGACGTGGGACAAACTAAATTGCAATATGCTTCAAAGGGTTATCAAAGGTATACTTTTACAAAACAAATCGCGAGACTTGACGCAGAAATCACCTTATTTTGGTAACAATCTTATGACCAAAACATTACTATAAACAAAAGTTGAGGTCACTGGACATTATCGAGCAGCATATTCGGTGAATAATTTTTAAGTAGTTACCAGTACTTAATAGAATTTAATATACATATTGGAGATACTAAAGTGGTAAATCTACTGGGCGTGTACGGTTAGGCACCTTACATAATATGTTTCTAACACCAGCTCTGAATTCTGGCATCCTTATGGCGTAAACAATTGGATTTGCTAAAGAATTAGCACCGACAAGTGTCACAGCTGCGTTGTCTGCCCAAAGCCAGGTTGAAATTGCTTTACTAAAACTCGACAATATCGCGAAAACATTAAATGGTAACCAAGACAATAAAGATGCAAATGTGACCCAGATTAAGGTTGTGGTCAGTTTCCGTTCTCTGTTTGTTGCACCCCGGTGGTGACGACTGGGGCTGAGTCGGACTTTGATTAAGACTGCTGAATACGAAACACAAATAACAAAAAGAAAGAATGCATTAAATGTGCAGGTTATAATTCCTCGAATGCGTCTATCTACTTTCAGATATAAAATCAAAACCAGTTGGAATGTTTTTCCCAATGAAGCTATCAGCCAAATAGCAGCGATGAAAGCTCCATTGACCCATTTCTTGATCGATGCTTGAATGGAAAAAATGTTGCATAAAATCGATCAAGAGAAATAGCGGCGAGATTGACAAGGGAGGCCACTGGGAATATAGACACAATAAAAATGAAAGCTTCAGACAACTCCCAATGGAAATAAGCGTTGGACATTCCATTTATGATGAAAAGAGGACCAGAGGCTCCTCCAACTAAGAGATTGATTATCGCTAAGTGGATAATCAAGTATCTACTCCGGCGCTGTAGCTGGTGCTGTTTTACAAATAGGACGACAGTGATCAAGTTGAGGATGACAATAGCCAGGCATTCAATGATTCCTATAATAACCCATGGGATGCAGTTTGATGTCGGAAGGATTGGGTATGCCGTGCTCCCAAAGCTGATGTTTGAAGTTTTGGTAATTGTGTCGCCAGCCATCGTGAATTGTGACCGTGAATTTTAAAATCCTGAAATAATTTGACATGGAAATAGAGTCACCGGTCGCGATAAGGATCTGCACAAAAACCGAATCCAAAAGGATGGTATAAATTTTATGTATTTTTGATTTTTTCCTGTCACTTTAGTTCATATTTTTCCGAAAGATAGAAAATACACATACACAAAGAATAAAAAAAGACTGCTACTTCATTGATTAGAATTGCTTTCAAATCTCGCTTTATATATTCTGGTTGAAGAAGATACAACCTGAGTGCAGCTTGTTTTTTTTTTTTTTTTCTAGTCCTTTTCATTTCATTGTGAAGTGTTCTCGACGGCTATTTACGTGTGCTGGATGTCTGAATTTTTAACTTCTCAAAATGTCCTTCTTGAAGACCCTGTATTACATTTGTAAGGGCTCTCTGATTGAGGAGTCTCAAATCATTTTTTAAGTCGATGTCAATTAATTAAGCTTGATTATCATGCAATACTGGTATATGCTTTAAAAGCAAAATAAAATAATTTCGATAAAAATAGGTACAAGGATATTATTGCTCTATTCTGTCTTACCTCACATCACAATACTCTTAGCTTGTATGAGTCAGTTAAACTGCGTCTATATGGCTTGATCTACCAGAATTTATTTCCATCTTGAGGGGCCGTTTTGTAAAGGTAAATCTCATCTCTAATCGTGTAACAAAACCTGACCCGCTGAAAACAGCAAATGGATTATAATATTAGTTTACAGTTTTAACAAGACACTATTGGTCATTTTGATTAATTTCATTAGGTATCAAATTATAGATGTGTCGTTTGTTTTGGAAAGAGGAAGATTACCTGTTTGAGATAATAGTCCACCTGCAGAGTCTCACTTGATAGTTAACATGTAAAGCTTTGAACGACAAAAAGAGGCTTAACCCACGGACAATTCCAAATAATCATCAGATATCTCCAGGGAGTTCTGCTTCACCACTGATCTGAGCTACTGAAAACTTTCAGTCCCACGAACGTAATGTTGTTGACATTTTCCTCGACTAGAGTGCTGGTCAATTTATGCAAATACAAGACGCTTAATGTTTTTTTTCCTCGACAATGTTATTTGGCATTTAGGGCTACTTGATAATGACAGTTCTCCCAGGAAGTTGGAGAAGTTCTTTAATCTGGCGAAGATTTTAGCAATGGAAAATTTGATGCAGCCTCATTGTTTAAATTAGATGTAGAGTTGTACACTTTTGGTTTATGAGTCTTTCGAGTTTTCGATAGCTTTCAAATGGTGAACGGCTGCACGAAAAGTTATCAATAACACTTGTCAAATAAAACAGGGGAGATCACCTCGCCAATAAATAAGTTAACAGACGCGGCGATTAAAACTTGGCGGGAGTATCCATCAGCTATTTAACTTTTACTTTAGGTATTCTTAGGACAAAATGCTCTCTCCATGCTACTGTTTATCCCCAAATCAGATTAAAATTATCAGCTTAAGTTTTTTTTAATACTTGAAATTGTATTCGGAACTTTTTTGGATAAATGGAGAGCCCCCTTCTTAAGGATACCTCTTGAGAACCTTATTTTATCAAATCGTTAATATTATGCGCTTATTAAATTTTTCGTGAGTCGAGTGTGGCGTTTAATAGAGGGCGGCGTTTATCTAAAATCCAATTTACAATCCTCATAGAGACTCAGAATTTTTCTTTGTCCCACGCGCGTGACAAGACGAAAAAATTTTTTCTCATTTGTATGGTAACTGACAATTTTAATTGTAAAAAACAAAAACATGTGTAGTGCTTGTCTAAAAAGTGATTTTTTATATTGTTCTCAATTTCAAAATATCCATTTTAATACTACTGCAATACACAAAGTGAATAAAGATCTAATGTCGGATGTGCTTTCTGGACATTAAAACTGGTACATTAAAAAAGATCTGTGTCTGGTTCACTCAAAATTTCAAATTCCGATCGAAGCAATGATCGCTGAGTGCTTTTTGGCTCTATTATTCGAATAAATGCCGCATAATCATGTGGCGTTTATTCGAGGGCGGCCTTTGATCGAATAAACACGGTATAAGTAGTAATAAAAGTATTATGATCATACAATTCTTGTGATGTTATCATTACCAGCCTTCGTTTTCTTTGTTCATTTTGGATGTTTTTGTTGAAAATTTCTACGGTCCAATTATTTGGGGCAGGTACGATTGAGGGGACAAGCTCCTGATCCAAGCCTCAATGCATTGTCCCCCCCCCCCCCTCCGCGCCTATTCGAGAGAATACAGTAGGTCAATTTTCCTTAATTCATTTGTAAATAGCTTCTTGGACGGAAGTTGTTTTCGTCATTCGAAAACAGGAAGGCCAATCTGAAACCTCTTTTCAAATGAAAACAGATAGTATAAATTAAAATGCTTTTTGGTCGACGAAAACTAATTCGAAAATGAAAAGAAATGAAATTCTTTAGAGGAAACATTTACTTTATTGAGATCTGAGAAAAAAAGTAGTAAAGTTTTTTTTTCCAAGCGCATAGCTGAACTTTAGTGAGAAGCAATATTTTCCTTCTCCATCGCATTGTTTTTAAAAGTACTCGGAAGTAAGAAAAAGCTGGTCATGACCAGATGACCTTGGGATGAGGCGCAAAAAACTAAGTTTTCCTATTGAAATGCAAGACCACACATTAGTCACTGCTTTCAATGACGACCAAGTCATCGGGTGTTTCATATCACCTAAGGCTCTTTGCTTATGATAAGGTAAGGAAGATGCGAAGAGCAATTTCCAACGCGCAAAATTCTGTCAACACTTTATATATTTTATCAAATGTTACATTAAAAGGTCTCACGATGCCTACTCAACTAACGAGACACGCATCACAATAATAACATTACATAGCTTAATTACAGCTCACTTATTTCTTCTTTCCTTCCTAGAGAACTAATAATACAAATAATATTTGCTAAATAATATTTACAAAAAGAATCCTTATTAACACCTTAATATGACCGTGTTATCTGACCGTCTGCTTGAAGGTAGAAGGAATGTCGTCGGTTATTCTAATTCGGATATGTGACTGACGTCCTAAGTGGAAGTTATCATCCGACTCTTAACAGAATCACGTTACCCCTTGGCTCAAGCCATTTATTGAAATATTACATCGCATTGATATAGAAACTGCATGTAGATCATGCAAAAAGTGATACTCAACAGGCACCCATGCCATGGCGATTAAGACTAAATTTGCAAAAAAAATTACTATCATTGTATCAAGGAAAAAGTAAGAACACCGCATATATATGCAAGATATTTCAGGACATGATTCTTGCGAGAAGTTAAATTTTTGGTTCAGGAATACTGTTTAGGGTAGGGAGGACTGCCTAGTCCTTAGTGGTGAATCAGCCTCATATGCATGATTCGGGGCTTTGCGGAATAATTTTACCAAACCTTCTCTAAATTCCGGCATCCTTACGGCATATACAATTGGATTTACCAAGGAACTGGCACCAATCAACGCTGCCACTGTCACGTAAATATAAAAAAAGGACTGAGAAGACATCATTCTGTGACCCCAAAATATGGCGATTCTGAAAAAGGTAGACGGCAGCCAAGTCAGCAAAGACGCAAGCGTCACGAAAAGAAGGGTGGTTGTTAGTCTTCTTTCTCTTTTAGTTGGACCAAGATTGTGAGGATGAGGATTAGGACTGCATCGGATTTTTATAAAAATTGCAATGTAAGAAATGCAGATAATACTAAGAAAAACTGACGAATATAATACATAACTAAATCTTGAAAACAATATCGAAAGATCCGAATTCCCTTCTCGATAGTATAAAACATCTTGAGCGATCTCTCTACACAAAGGTACGAACCAAATGGCAACAATTATGATCCCATAAATCCACTTCTTAACTTCTCGATACTTAAAGGGATAAAATGTAGCATGGCGTCTTTCTAAAGCAATGACAGCAAGATTTGCAATTGAAGTTGTGGGAAATAAATCACTAAATATTGGAAATATTACTGAATGCTTCTTTTGTGAGTCCAGGTAAAACTTAAATAGGTAAGCAATAATCACAGGTCCTGAGACTGCTCCGACCAAGAGATCGACTACCGCTAAGTGGATGATCAGGTACGTGCTCCTGCGCTGTAGCTGACGCTGCTTCACAAATACAATAATGGTGAGGAGATTAAAGATGACTATGGCCAGACATTCGGTGATGCTCACAGCAAGCCACGGGATACAGTCTGAAGAGCCACACACGGAGGAATTCCTCGATTCGAAGCTGTGGTTAAATGAACTGTCATTATGGTCTTCAGCCATTAAGGAACTGCAAACATTTCAAATTCAGAAAATAAGCTATGTGTTGTAAGAGACTGAAGAAATTGATGTGGGGAAGAGAAATCTCCCAATGGATATGAAAACGTCAAACAAAATGAATGAACGTATACGTAATCGTTAGTCTCAAGTTGTAGAAAGTCTATCAACCGTTGATGGCGTTGGTGAGAAAGTCTATAAACCGTTGATGGCGTTGGTAAGAATGTCTTGATGCAATCTCCATAAGGCGATAAAGTCGACTGTTTAAGCGTCTTTTAGATCCGTTGTTTCATAACTATCGGAATGTTGTTGAGTTGTGTTTTGTATATTTGAGACTCGTTATTATAGCGTTTAAAAGATCTAAGGTGCTTAGTCCTATAAATGAACATCACTACTGATTCGCATTCTTGCGATATGATTTCACTCTCACATGCGATAAAGGGTCCTCCTGCAGGTGGGTGGGGAGGGGAGGAAGGTGAATTGGGAAGACATTTATGCTCTTCTGACGAAAGGCTTTTTGGAGGTAGCAGGTTGTGAGAGAGACTGCCTGTATTTTCGCCTAGCTATGACCAAAACCATATACAGCAGATGTCTTTAGTTGAATATCTACGATATCTAAAGCGGAAACGAATGGAACCCTTTCAGCACAGATACTGAACTGCTGAATAGCCCAAAAAGGAAAAACGAAAATATAATAATTGTAGTTTTTGTTTTCGGAGAGGAAGAGGAGGAAGGCTTATAAAAAAAAACCTGAGGAAGGGGCTTTTTAGACAGAGGAAGCGGTGGCTTATTTGAGTGTCTATGGTAAATGGTTTCAACCTTTCCTCGCTTTGATGTTTTTTAAAGGTTCTTAAAGCATCTAAAAAAAAGAATATTATTTACCTTTAGAAGTTTGGATATTTCAGCCTCTAATTCGCAAGTGTTTCCTACTCCAAGTGCTGTACGTGAGAGAATACAATCACAACATAATCTTCACTAACATCATTATTTCTCAGGATACACTGGAATGAAAAGCAAACATTCATTTGAGAATAATCCCACTGACTTCGCACATTCGTCACGATATATTTTTGTGACAGCGGAGTTACCAGGTAACGCTAAGACAATGATATATGCAGAAGGATAATAAAATAAGCGATTGATATGAGCCACGTTTATGAATCTAACTTTTTTCAGCCATACCAGTATTTTAAAAAGTTTATTGTCTGTCATCTACTTGCAAATGATAACTTTAATTCGATAACACTTCAAGTTGGAGGTTATCATCCATATCTGCTTTGCATGATACGTTCGATTAGGCTTAACAACAAATAGCATGTACTTGAAATTCTTAATCAAAAAGGACAGATGCCCTGAAATTTAGCCTTGTCAGATACCAAAAACTGTTCCCAAGGAAGAAGAGATTTATACAACACATCCAAGCGCCTACAAGAATAAAAACTAGAGAGCCAGAAGAAAATTTTGTGACGTAGGCCATTCCCGCAGTACTCATTTTAAGGGATAAATTATTGTCATCAGTCTTATCGATTGTCTTCTTGAGGCCTCTTGGGACGAGCCCCTTTATATCAACGGGGTCAGTCGAGCTGGGTGCCTCGTCCGTTTATTACTAGAGTAATTTTGATAAGCAGACAAAGAACTTCCCATATGAACACTCCAGCTAAACGGAATAAAATTTAAGATGTCGCACCTTGTTCAAATTCATTACAGTGGTCGAGCTCACTGATTTCCTACTGGAAATTTAACCAACGCAAAAAATGAGTCGAACCTGGCTGCAATTTTCCTCTCAAACATAACATAAATTTATCCTTCTTAACCATACAATTTATTACTTGTAGAAAGTTTGCGTAAGAAACGCTATGTTCCAAAATAGACGGACTCTTTAATAATACTCGGTTAACTTCGGTATAACTTTAAACGATCCTTGCTTGTTTAGTTATTGAACAAACTGAGTCGTGACAACAAAGTATGACTAATATACTCTTCAAAATGCAAAGCGAAGTTTAATATATATACTATGTTGCTACTTGTGTATGTGAGCAAATATTTTGGAACGTTCCTTGTTTTTTACAATGCCGTGCGACGGAATATGACACGACGTCACTTGACATTTTAACATCAGTGTGCATCTGTAATAATTTATCTGTCAGTCTCTACAAAACATGACACTTGATAGGCAAATCAAGCAAACCAGCTTAAATGAAAATCTTCTAGCATTCCTTGTCAGCAATAAAATACCCCTTGTTTTTCAAAATTTTAAAAGTTTTTGTTTCAATTACCATACACTTCTAACGTAATGATGATTGTTAAAGGTACTTAACCGTCTTCCTCTAGGAGCGATTCGAAGATGCTCTATCTTCCGCCCCGCAAGGGTGATGGCGACCTTCGCAAAGCAGGAGAAATTTCACTATTTGGCAGACATCTCAGAAATAAATTACCTAAATTTTCTCTTAATTTTCTAAGTTTGAAGTGATTAAAAGACATTTTCTGCTAACGAAATGATACGAATTCCAACTTTTTCGCTGAGGCGGCGTTTAGTCGACGAAATGTATCGCACAGTCTATCGAGCAATCATTCGAGACGATTAACTACTGCGATTCACCTTTACATCGAATAAGAGATTTCTCTGTCCCACTGAAAAAGGACAACATTTCCTTTCTAATGATTACTGAGGCAACGAATGTTTTTAAAATGCTTTTCATCAGCTCTGCGTTGTAAGAGTCGAGACTGACCCTTTAATACAAGCGGTTCTTTCCGCAATCGATTCCTCGTCATATTTAAAAGAGGACTTGAATGATAAGTTGATAATTTCGAATGGAAATAACTCACCTTTCATCCAAAGCACTTGCTGTGCAACCCCTTTGTGTTTACTGGAGATTATTTATGATGTATGTAAAGATGTGAATGACAAATATTGTGAAGCGTCTTTTTTGATAGTGTATTTCTTCGGGGAACCACTGGCCGGAACGGCGTCACGTTTCCTATTGTTGTGTCCGACTTCCTGTGCGTCAAAGCCAGCTTGGCCCGCTCACATTCGGTTAGAATGCATAGCAAGCGATTCTCACTTCCGGTCTCTCTACAAATATTATTTCCTCACAATTTATTTCAAGGTTTACCGCAGTTTGATCATAGAGCGAAAAAAAAAAACGAAAAAGGAAAGAACTGTGTAATTATCGCTTCTCATAATCATAATTGACTGGTTACTAAACAACCAAGTCATTAGATCAAAGTACAAACCACGATGCTTGAATTCCCAGCATAATTGACCTATCCGGAGCAATGACAATCATCTAATCGATCTGTTTGACTGATCATCGCCTGGATTTCAGTTAATCTGTTTATCCAATAAAGTCGGGGTTCATTCAGGAAATCCAATCCCGCGATTATTTTAAACACGTGGGACGAGTTCTTTTGACAAATCTCAGCCTTGCAAAGGTTATCGACAGCAAAATCGACACGATTATAAATTGATCTAAATCTAGTGTTATTGAATTCGATTGAATGAACATGATAACTAAAAAACTTAGTTCTAAGCAGACAATCGGGCGCATTTGAACGTGGGATTCTTGACTGTTTCATGTAGCTAATGTTCTGAGAAAGGTCATTGGGGTCTCATTAAGGTGCAGATGCTGCTTGACGGTTCTAATTGGCATGAATTCTTCTTAATCTTTTCTCTCTCAACTATTTTTACATTTGTATGCGTCATATGCGTGGTGAGATATTTTCTTAAAATGCGATTTTCATGAGGAAATGGACGATCAGTGCATTTCTCTGATAAAAATTGGAAGGAGGGGGTTGTTTTTAGAGTTGTTAAGAAACGAGGCTGTAAAAGTCAACTTCAAAGCAAACTCGTCCAGTTGCTATGGCCTGTAAATGCTATTATTTCATGACTCGCGATGAACGATTGGCACCGTTGTCGGATTAACCTGTTTCCTTGGCAACCGACCTAACAACAGTTGATTTGGTAACGGCACTCAAAGAAAATTAAAGTGTCGTTCCATTTTGTTTGACTGCCGAACAAACTCATTTGAACTCAGCCCAATGATCGAGCCGAATCCATGGATTGCGTGCAATCGCGATCAATTTAGTTCGATTGTCTACAACGGTATTAAAAGAATGCTGCCAGGATAATTGAGAAGAATTTTGAGTCCCTGAAATGGTCCTAATTTAAGAAAAGTTTGGAAATCTTGCCAAACCAGGGCACCAAAGAACTACTCACAGCTGCATTAAGGCCGTGGGTTAATGATTATTATTATACGATCATTGTCATAATCCCCCTTCCCTCTCCATCCACTCAACCAAATTTTATTAGCCAGTCGAAAGATCTACAACCCTCCTAATAATCACAGCTCTTTATTTTTATCATTTTCGAAACGGTTAACTAAACGCGTTACATTTGTTGCAATTGACTACTAGCACATCACGAATCAGATAATCCATTTACTACTCATAAACTCGCGTTTCAGTAGCTTCTGCAACCAAAATGGCTGCTTGTAAAACTTCGATAACTGCCAAAGAAGATCATGGCTGGGAAAACTGTTAAGGAGGAAAATTTTCCGGGTCACTTATGCAGGAATGGCATGGATTGGATGCCGGCGTCAGTGACGCTTACAGCATATCCTTGCAAGGCCTGTTAGGAATTCTGAATTCGTCATGGAGTAAATTAATTGATTTATTGACGAGTTTAAGCCCAAGGATAGAGCTACTGCGAGAAAAAACCGAATGCCTGATGCTTTGGAAAGACTTAACTCAGTTACAATAAAAAAGATCTGTATAGTTACGTAGATGAAAACTGGTGACAAAGTCAGTAGAGATGCAAATGAAGCAATGATTAAGGAAGTTGTGAGTCTCTTTTCTCTGTTTCTGATGGCCATAGACTCGTGTTGAAGATACCGACTACGTCGAACTTTTATACATATCGAAAGATACGAGATTGAAATAATTATAATGACACTTGAAAAATAAGAGAAATACACGATTACACTGATAGAAAACAGATTTCTTTGCATCGCAAAAGTTTGAATTATTTCCAGGGAGGTGGATATCACCCAAATAGCATCGATCGCTTTGACGTAAGCACGCTTTTTGACGGTGAGATGTCGAAATGGACAAAATGTAACATGCAGTCTCTCCAGAGAAATTGCAGTAAGTGTAGTTGCAGATGCTATAGGAAACAACCTGCTCAGTATACTTCGAAGGTATAATAAGGAAACGTTTGTCAATGGAGGAGGAGTCAAAGACAGAGGCCCTGAGACCGCTTCGACCAAGAGATCAACTATAACCAGGTGGATGACCAGATATGTGCTCCTGTGCTGTAGTTTGCGCTGCCTCACAAATACGATAATGGTGATCAAATTAAGGATGAATTTAGCCTATAGGTCTGCCATGAAGGCAACAAACCATAAAAAGCCTCGGCTTTGGTAAAATTTATCAGAGACGAATCGAAAGAGTCGTTTCCGTTGCTGGCATTGGTATCCATCAAACTCGCTCCGATATCAATTTAATGCAAAGACCACCTAAACGGGAAGAAAACAGTCGACAAAAATTAATGACTTTCCTTAACAAATCAGAGTTTACCAAAATTGCCTATTCACTAATTATGGAAATGAAGCAAAAGCATAAGTGTTGAATTTTGCATGGCGCGTTTCGAGCTTAAACGGACGAGCGCAAGCATGCATCTTGTCGCTCATTCTGTTCCAACGTGATTTATTAGGCGTCAATAGCCTGCGGTTAGATAAAAGTGATCATGTCATATCTTGCTTAATTAAAAAAGTATAGAGTTCTTCTCTCTGAATGCTTTAAACTCCTTTATATACATACAGCCTCTAAAGGTACGGGCAATTCATCGCCATTTCTCTGAAAAAGGCATTATACTTTGAATGTATGGTTTCCTCCTAATCTTCATATACCAAGTACATCGATCGATTTTTTGCCCTAAATTCGAAACCCAAAGGTTTGACGTACTCACTATCAAATACTTGTTGGGAATGGACTTTTCATATATTGAAAAAATTTCCCAGCGCAGACCGAAGCGTAACAAGAACCCACTTTCTTTCTCTCCGGCTGCTAAGAGGTAAACAGCATTCCGCTAATCACCTCGGGTTAGCCAATCAGCGCACGCGAAAAGGACTATTTACTAATGTCGCAAAAACTAATAAACGATACCTCCTCTTCAACCTGCTGATGAAAACGTCTCGCAGTTTTCAACTTGGCTCTCAAGAATGAGAAGCTACTTCAAAGCGATAAACTTAGACAGGATGACATGATGGAGATATCTCCTTATCATCAACTACGTTTCACTTCGAAATTTTCCATTAGCCATAGAACTGATAAACAACAGGTCGCAGACACGCCCTCGAAACTACTCAGCTCGAATTGAAAAATTATAAGATATCTAAAGAAAAACACTGTTGGAAACAGCTTCTCGAACTTAATTTCTTAAATTTTCCGTGGATTCGTGATAGCTGCAAAGCTTTCCAACCGGTAAAACTCGCTAAATTCAATTCAATGGTTTTTTCTTTCCATTTGAGATAAACAAATATTGCATGGATATACATCAATTATTTACGTGATCATGTATGATGCAAAATCATTTATCGAAAATAAAGCTCATCTGTCGATAAATTCTATTTTAAGGTATAACTTAATTTCAAACAGCACACCAAAGCTCATAGGTGCGTCCGCGTTTTAAAGCGCATATATAATTTCCCAGTCAATGCTTCCGGCTGAGTCCCGTTTTTTGCTCGTGCACTTTGAAAACTTGCGGCTAGAAATTTGAATTTTAACATCTACAATCCTTTTTTCAGTCTACTCCATGTCTGTCCTCTTATCTATTTTGGTTATTCTGGCAATTTTGAATTTTTTTCTGCCCAATCAACCTTAAATTTTGTGACTCAAATCTTCTCAAATGAAAGGGATTATGCAACTCGCTGGTCTACGAGGATAATAAAGATAATTGAAAATTTTTAATCTTTTTAATTTGAAAACATGGTAATCTGCCTTTTATGAGGTAAATGAGCCGTCGAAACTCTATACAATAAACACTGGTTGTTTCGGTGTGTCAAAAACACCCATCGCTTTTGGTTCTACTTTAGCTCTTATGGCGATGCACGAACAAGAATAACTTTCACCGAGAGGGAATCAAGAAATCATGGTCTACTGGTTTCCTAATACCAATGCCAAAACCCCAAACTGTAACAGCTCAAAAATGGCATCTTTAATGCAGAGTAATTTTATAAAAATAGACGAGGTGGCCGAGTGGTTAAGGCGTTGGACTGCTAATCCAATGTGCTCTGCACGCGTGGGTTCGAATCCCATCCTCGTCGTTACATTATATTTTTGAGCTTATCAAGAATAAATAATTTTGAGAAGAAAGAGAGCGGCTCTGAACTCGACATTAAGATATAATAAGAGAGTAAGTCTCTAAAGAAACTGTGGTTCTGTGTAGGTGGGGATGTACAACGAAATGCTTTTGGTTTTATCAACTGAGTGTCAATGTAAATTGGTCATTGGAAAGAGTTTCATAGCCGACGTTTTGAGTGTTAAATGGTGAAACAGAGAATTAACTCTGAAGTGTAAATTAAAGTGCAACTTAAACCCATGAATAACCCACAGGGCGTTAGCCCTAATAAAGGGAAACAGGGAACCACACGAGGCAAAGAAAAAATCTTTTGACCTCGGTGGGAATCGAACCCACGACCTCCGGATTAGATCTACCGTTACTCTGCCGACTGAGCTACGAGGTCGCACAGAGAAAGTCGGGGACGATTTAGGATGGTGAATCTCGGTGGGAATCGAACCCACGACCTCCGGATTAGATCTACCGTTACTCTGCCGACTGAGCTACGAGGTCGCACAGAGAAAGTCGGGGACCATCACCTGTGGGTTATTCATGGGTTTAAGTTGCACTTTAATTTACACTTCAGAGTTAATTCTCTGTTTCACCATTTGTGTTCCCAGTGCTACGCGGCACAACATTCATATGTACCCTTACTTTCTCTTCGCCGCGATTCACCATCCTAAATCGTCCCCGACTTTCTCTGTGCGACCTCGTAGCTCAGTCGGCAGAGTAACGGTAGATCTAATCCGGAGGTCGTGGGTTCGATTCCCACCGAGGTCAAAAGATTTTTTCTTTGCCTCGTGTGGTTCCCTGTTTCCCTTTATTAGGGCTAACGCCCTGTGGGTTATTCATGGGTTTAAGTTGCACTTTAATTTACACTTCAGAGTTAATTCTCTGTTTCACCATTTGTGTTCCCAGTGCTACGCGGCACAACATTCGTTTTGAGTGTTAGCTTTTTGCATTTGCTTTGAAACTGTCTACAGTGGCCAATTCATATTACCAACTCAGTTTATAAATCCAAAATTATCTTGTTATACTCCCCCTCCGACGCAGCACCACAGTTTCTTAGAAACTTATCCTCTAACTTCCTTAAAGTAAAGGCTATTTCGAAGTTCGTTTAGACACGGATACATCCTCCCACAAAGGAGTTATTTTACCTATGGTATGTCGGTGTCGTAAATAGCCCTAGTTACATCATTCAGCGTTTTTAAAAAGAGACGACTTTACCTTGACTTCTACTTAGATGATTCTTACGTTTTCAATTTCAGAGCTATCGATTTGTTCCAAAAAGAATAAAAGTGCTCTGCATATCTTCCATTTCTTGACAGGAATTAGGCAAAAAAGGGAAGTTGTTAAATTTTTAAATCTTGATTACGACAAGCCCGATTATTAGATTTGTCACCTGCACTGCAACCTGCATGAAACAGTAAAAAATTATTTACGCTGATTTTCGATTCTCATTCGGTTTTGAATTGTTTCCGAGCTAAATTCGATTTCTCACAATAAGATACTTGCAAACGTTAAAAGAAATTGTTATGCTTTTACTGTTTCGGGCCGTGGCGCAGTTCAGCAAATCTAAAAATAGCGCTTGTCGTAATTAAGATTTAGAAAACAAATAACTTCCTCTGTGCTTAATTCCTGCCAAAAATGGAAGATATGCAAAGCGTCTTTACGCCTTTTGGAAAAAATTGAAAACTCTAAAATCGAAAATGTCGAAGCCATCTTAGGTTTTAAAAGAAATCTGCTCTTTTTAAAACGCTAATGTCACTAAAGCTATTTATGAAGCCGACGTGCCACATGTAAAGACTCTTTTGTGGAAGGGATGTATGCATGCCATGATATTCTTTTTATTGACTCAAGCTCCACGCGACATCTTTTACACGCTTGAGCTCACCGAATATGTGCAGATCACATCTTCTAAAATACTTTGACCGGACGTAGGACGTAACATGGAGCTTAGTTGTTGTGATTTTCCGCATGATAATACAAACGTAAAGGTAGCTTACCATGCTTCCCTCATTAACGTTGCCTCGTTGGCTTAAATGGTGGGAAAAAGTTAATAGAAGAAACCGTTTCGATCGACCTAGCGAAATATGTAGTAAGTGAAGCCAGACTGCCTTCACATGCAAAAAGGTATTTTAATAACATTATTTATTTTTTTCTCAGTTCGTGAGCGGGTGGTATTCTACAAATCTTGCAATCTGATTGGTTCCGAGAGCGGGCAGTATTCTCCACATCCAGCCCGCTCACAGCGGGCGGTATCCGATCCTTTTAAAAAAAAGTTTCGAAGTTTTCTTGGAAGCCTTTTAAATCACCTTCTAGTATCATCACGCAAATAAATCTGTTTTGATGAAACCTCTCTCTTTCATTTGCATTGCCCTTGTTTTCTCTACCATCTACTCGCGCATAAATTGTTCTGTTTATGGAGAATCTTGCCGTAATTACGGCCCTTTATCATTCAGGTTCTTTTCGCAACCATTTGTTAGGTTTTAGAAAAAAATAAAAAATGTTATTAACCAGCCAAGGTCGGTCCGTATTGGGAAAAACTGTCCCCTCTGGCTCGTGTACCGTTTGTGTACACAGTTTTTCCCAATACGGACCTCCCGTCTGGTGAATAACATATATGTATGTTAAATATAGTCTGCTTCTAAACTACTCGTCTAACTCTCCGTTCCAAGGAGGCGTAACAGCTGATCAAGAACGGGAAACAAGGGCCGTCTATCAGCCAAAACGTTGTTAGTCAAGCAAAATAACTACTTGCGTAATTTCTCTTTTTCCACCTGCTTGTGAACTCTTGCAGAGCAAGAGCCGTCTTGCGGTCTCTTGCGCGAGGGCGGTAATGTTTATCAGGCATGGTTATGTTTATCATGAAATTCTCAGTAGTCGGAAAGAGGACTTGACAACCAACCGAGCGGAAATGGGAAACATCACGGCTGAGTCAAGGGAGATATGGAAAGTTCAAAACAAATGTTCAGTTTCAACACTCCATCCATAGTTTTTTGGTTATTTACTTTAAATTTTCGTTGATCCTCCATTGGAACCAATTTTCTGTTCCTTGTTCACAAACTCGTGTTCTTAAATTGTTATTTCCATAATTATAATAATATTCCCATAGATACTTTTTCGCAGTTAAAATAACCTTCTTAATTTCGCTAAGCTTGGCGCTTTCCTGTTTGAATTCATTAGTGCATTGCATCCATTAGTGGACTGGTGCATCAAAATGATTAATTATTATTCGCCAACGAAGTGAATGTTATGGAATAATATGAAACAGGGAATTATTAGTTCATAGCATTGTTCTACACTATAGGCCCAGATGATCGAAGATGACTATCAGACAATTTTATTTCATTTTTTTTACCTTCCGCTGTATTCACAACAAGGTATTATAACAAGGAAAAACACGGTTGGTAACCGAATGATGAACAATCGTTTGAGATGTTTTCCTTCTAGAAGTAAATGCCCTTTGAGGGGCGCAGAACTTCTCCCTCAAAATATCAAGTTGCCCGTTTTTCCACCATCTTATTTAGAATTTTCTCTCAACCGAGTCGTCTTGATTCTAAATGATCAATTCAGCATAGCGGGGTTCAATTCCGACACCTAGTTTTTTCCCTCAATAAACTATAAAAACAATTATTAAGCGAGATTATCTCTTTAGAAAATACCGTCCGTATCAGACACCAAACTTCTTTTGACAAAGTAATTACACCACATGGATGGCGCAGTCTTTCTGATATATAAATGTACCAAACGGGATAGAATTAAAACACATTTGATTAGACTTTCTAAACCTAAAGGTTACTAGCCGAACTTTAGGATGGTAAAAGGTAAAGTATATAGGCTGAATAAAAAAATTCTAGATACTTCGTGGCCATGCTGGAAAGGAAAACAGATGGTGAACAATGACTGGGGCAGAAACTCACTCATTGAGACTTCATTGATCAATCGAAACTAAAGGAATATCAGCAGGGTGCAGAGGAATAATTACAGCGAAGCTTCTTAATTGGAAAGCATGGGGCCTTTGAGTAAACTGAAATGTGTGAGCGTATCACCAATTTATCTGTTTTCTGATCCCTGAATATCTAAACGGACAAATAAATGGCCCTTTATATTTTCAAAACGCTTCAAACTGAAGTGATTGTCAAGCATAAGTGCCTCAGTTTTGTAATAAACACTCGAAAAGTGGATGCATTGACGTATGACTTTAAACCAATCAGAGAGCGCAGGTCTCTGTAATCACCTGATTATATGGTTATTTAAGAGTAACATGAATCCAACGCCATCACCAGGAACAAGCGCAAAGCCGAGTGAGCTTAGAATTTAATTCTCCTCAAATCATCAGAGTCACTTCTTTATAGCATATTGGTATGGTGTGAGGAGCAAATGACTCAAGCTTTGCTATAAATTGAATTGGGTAACCTTAGTGTGAGAAACAGTTTGCAAATGTTTCAACGATGAAATCGGTTTGCTGGGAGCAGACGAAGAATTTTGAGGAAGTCTCTTCAAGACAGGAAGTGTTATGAACCAAAGGAACATAAACATATCACGCTCAGCATTAAGAGGTATGTCGCACATTTTCTCCTTTTTTTTCTTTTCTTTTTTTTTTTTTTTTTTTACGTCCCTTTGGCTCTAAAATGAATGATTCATTAATAAAAACCGACAAGTAAAAAAGCAACTGCGAAGTCTTTGTTTTCGAAATAGAGATAACATTTCACAATATTCATTACTCAAATGTTGCCCGATAAAATTTGAGCCAAAACCTTTGCATTGGATGATCCGTATAATTAAAATCGGAACCGAAATAAATTTAAGAAGCTTCGTACAATTTTAAACAACACAGCAGCTCTAACAAGCGTGAAAAGCTTTATTAAAGCCATATGTAGTTCTTCTTTAATGTTACGTCCTTTTGCGAGGAGCATTAAAAAATATTGGCAAGAAATCTAGAAAACTCAAGAAATTGATCTGAAAAAATCGCAAGCGAAGAACTCAAACGTTTTTTCTCCCGGATTTAACGCCTTAAGGTTGCATGTGGGAAAATGCTATGGTGCCATTCGATCAGTCTCTGACTTTATTTTGCGAAAAGAAAATGATTTTTAGTTAAAGCTGGCCAGCGCGATCTTTATTAGAGTAAAAAGATGGTTTAGTCAGTTTTTCAATGTCTTTGTCGTCACTGGTGGTCTTTGTCAAGTCACACAAATTTCGAATAGTGTTTTGTTTATTCAACGTTTTGCCACTGAACTTAATCAAAGTGCTCTGTGAGCAAACTCGTGAATTGACACATGATTTTTTAGATTATGTTTAATGTTATCTGGTTTAGGGAATTTTGTGGTTGATTGTCATATCTAGAGTACGAGCAGTAGTTCAGTGTTCGCTAATGTAGCAAAGAAACAAAGTAACGTTGGGATAAGAAGGCATTACAATTGAAATGATCATGCTATCATTTGACAAGGTGGATGTGTCATGTGTTTTAAACGTCTATCATTTTTGTTTCTGGTTCAAAAGAAAAGGTTGGAAGTAAATGTGGGTGAAAAGTGAAATTTACTGTCTTTCGTTGTAAATATTAGAAAATCAAGGCAATACTGTCTTAATGAAAACATTAACGATTCCCTCTTTATCAAATGAGACAAACGGGAACGAGTTTTGAGTGATATAACTAAGCCAAGGCTGCCACCGTCATTTTGGATCTCCGCCTGGGTAGATTTAAGTCACGTGCTAGGCAACGTACAATCAATAACAAGATAGAATTTCATTTCAGGCCTATTTATCAGTTTTGCGGTGTGTAACTTTCGCATTTTAGTACGTTGTATGTATGTTGAATCTTCAAATCGTCTTGAAACTTAAAAGAAAATTGTTCTTTAAAAATTCACTGAAAATCGGTAGCTAAAATTGTTTGTTTAGGTGTTATTTGATTTTCGTGTTAACTTGTTATTTCGTCAGTCGCCGGCATCTTTTGTTGCTTCATACAGGAAAAACACACGCGACGAAACGTAATGATCAATTTTGTCCTCAATCTCACACTATAACAGAAAAAGCTTTTGAACATCTGTAAACTCCGAGCGCTTCGCAGTAAGTGATATCTTCAATGAATCTTCGGATTGTTTTCAAGTTCAAGGATTGTAAATTACAATTTTATGAAAAACGAAGGTTGTTCTGTTATTTCACTGTGAATCCTTGCATGCCTGCCAGTCGCTGGCGCCGCTTGTTGAAACTAAAACGAAAAGAAAACTCTTTTAAGATTATCATTGGCTTCTTTTTCACCCCACCACTATTCTTAGCAACAAAGGTCGCCATTTCGTCTGTTTATTGCTCGCCAAAAACTATAAAATGCACTCAAAAGCCTAAAATCTAAAAAAAATTTACAGGAATCGACCAATCGAGCGAGCGAGCGAGCGAGCGAGCGAATGCCATTCCCCACGTCGTATCTATAACTCGCTCTTGCGCATGCGCGCAATTCACGAGTTAAAAATGGCCGCGGGTAACAAATTTGCATCGAAAAGAATAGGTTACCCACAAATTGCCAAAACTTCCGTGGCATAATAAAGGTCTCCGATAAGAATTTAAATTGATGCTCAGAACGAAAGGGAGGAACCCGTATGGCTGTACTGCGAAGGAAAATTTTGCAAGATTCTATTAAGATATTGTTCTTCTCCATCAGAGCATTTTAGTTTAGAAATTGAACACCCGGCGACACATGTGAAAACACATAACTTCAAAATAAACAATCTCATAATTCAAACGAATGAAAAAATAAAGGCAAATAAATTAAATCCTTTGAGTATTTTTCAAAAGTTTGGTAAGTGAAAGAAGTCTTCTCGATACCCTGATTCAGATGTTAAATTCCTAGTTTAGCTGAATGTCGAAAAGTCACCTTATATATAGTTACTTGGAGATGGAATTCGTTTGCATAATGCGTGGTAAATGTCGATGAAAATAATACCACAATTGCTAGGAACCATATTACAAAGACGAAGGGACTTTCGACCCTTCAGATTTCCTACTACCCTTAAGACCCGATACCTTTCGTAAACACAGTTCCTAAATATAGCTATTCTCCTTTGCAAAATGTTCACAGTTCCAAAATGGATCAAGACGACAATATCAGTACTTCAAACAGCAGTTACGGACAGAACACGACGTTAACCCTGGATCTTGCCTCAGACTGTATCCCATGGCTCGTGATATCCATAACTGAGTGCTTGGCCATAGTCATCTGCAATTTGATCACCGTTATCGTGTTCGTAAAGCAGCGTCAGCTACAGCGTCGGAGCACATACTTGATCATCCATCTGGCAGTAGTCGATCTATTATTTGGTGCAGTTTCCGGTCCTGTGATTATTAGTGATCTATTGGGGTCTTACTGTGATTTATGGAAGTACAATACTGAAATCTTTCCATTAGCAAACCTTTTTCCAGTCACTTCTATTGTTAATCTCGCAGTCATTTCATTGGAAAGACTGCATGCAACATTCACTCCATTTAAGCATCGCTTTGTCAAGAAATGGGTTTATGGAGTAGTAATTGGTACTATCTGGTTAATGACTTCATCGAGGGAGACTGTTCAAGTTATCGTATATAATACAGAAAGTGTCGTGTCTCCTGTCACGATTGCATTCTCGCCATACACATATTGGTCAGTTTCTCTTTTAGTCATCTGCATCTGTTATATTTCAATCTTTATAAAAGTTCGACGCAGCTCTAATCCTCAACGCCACGGTGCAATCAACAGAGAAAGAAAACTGACAGCTACGTTACTTTGGGTTACGCTTGCATCGTTACTGACATGGCTGCCATTTATTGTATTTAGCCTAAATACAAACGCTCTTAACTTGAGGTCTTTCTTTCATATCAGGATGACACTGGCGGCGCTAGTTGGTGCCAATTCCTTGTTAAATCCAATTGTGTATGCCCTTAGGATGCCTGATTTTCGAGATGGAATATGTCGAATATTCCGTAGGACTCCAAGGCAAATCGCTCCAGGCCGTTTACCGCGTCGAAATCCTCTGCACACGAGTAGACTAGATGATGATGCCTGATTTAATTGTCAGTAAAGCTTGTATTAAGAGTTTCTCCAAAAATCACAGCTGATGAGGAACTCACTAGATACGTAGCTACAGATGAAATGTATCAGCATTCAACGAAGTACCTTTCATTTGAACAGAGGAGCGAAACACAACACCAGCAAGAAAAAAAAACGCTAGGGACAAATGTCGCTCAACCGTGCGAAAAAATTTGACAGTGTGAACCAAAATGGTCCATAATATTTTACGTGTGGTTATACCTTGGAATAAAACTGTCAGCTGAGGTATTTCATGGATTGCTAATAAAGATCTTTGCACATAGTATTAACCGATTGGGGTCCACCTTCTGTTCATCGATACAAAACTTCAATTTTCTAAGAATCAAAAGTCTAAAGAATCACATTCAAGCCTGGGCTCCTCCTCTAGCTTCCAGCGGCTGCTGGTAGTCGCCATCGCAACAATTCTTCTTTGGGCTGTCACACAGCGTTGGGTGACATTCAGAACGGCTTGGAAGGAGAATATACTCCTGGAGGACCTTGAAGTTATGGAGAATGGTGGACCCAAAAGAACTGTTCTTTCATGTCTCTAAAACATATCGTCTAATTTGCTCCAACTTCTTTCGGTGTTAGGTAAAAAAAAAAAAAACATTTAAGACGGTTGCATTCACTACCCATCCGGCACACCACCTAAATTAAACTCTTGAGAAAGCATTCTATTTCCGTCTAACAAATTGCAATTACATCAAGAAAGTATCGGGACCCAAGAGATCACTGATCAGTTCAGGTGCACCTTCGCCGGTGTCATCTGTTACATAACTTGCACTTAATGCAAAATATATACATTGGTGAAACAGGAAGACGGCTAAGTGACAGATTTCGAGAACACCTTCGCGGTGCAGAAAGGAATAACAAGGACGCGTCCAAACCAGTCAGTAAACACTTTAATCTCCCTAATCATTCTGAGTAGCATATGCCAGTCTGCGGCCTTTCTCTACATCTAGGCAGTTCGGAAAGCCACAAAACTTTCGAAAAAAAATTTATTTCCTCCCACTTATTCGTAAACGTCCCACCGCAGTGCGCTACTGTTCATGGCCGTGAAATATATTTCGCCAACCGTTTATCGTTACCCCGTTACAGAACAGAGCGCTTTAGAAACAGCGGTTTTCCAACAATAGCTTTCATAGAAAATTGTAAATACTAGCAATAAATTTACTATCATTTCCCCAGTGATCAACACATGTAAACACATTTTACAAAAACAATTTTTCAAGGAATTGTATCCCCAGCCCTCTTAAAGTCTTAAAACCTTAGTTATCATATGTAATTTGTAAAATAGGTTTTAAATTTTGTCAATGTAAACATGTTATTATTACACTCTATGCGACGACATGTACTTTAATAAACCTTCATTATTATTTTATGATGCTATTAAAACACCTCTGCAGAACATTTGATGTAATATATTGTTGACATGTTTAGCAATAACCATCCTCCTTTTAATTCAAGATTATTTCCAACATTCAGGGAAGTAATTCAATATTTCTGTTCTGTCTATTTTGAAAGAGGGTATAGCTTGTAAGTAGCCACGATTAATCTTTTCTTCAAGATAGAGATAAAACATATCCTGATCTGATATTTCGAGTATTGTTTCTATAAATTTCTTTTAATCTATCGAGTTTATAGATAAACATGTGCTCATGCTCTAAAACACTATGAAACATATCTATACTAAAATGACCGAGAGATATTTCGAGACAAAAGCTATGATCTCACTTAAAGGAAGTGTAGGATGTGTTTGTTTTGTCGCACTTTGTAATAATAGTCGCTCTTTGTAATACCTGTCGCACTTTGTTATAAAATTCTCGCACTTTAGAACAATAGTCGCACTCTGCATGAACACTTGTCGTAATTTGTAATAATACTTGTCGCAATTTTCAGTAACACATGTCGCAATTTGTAGTAACACTTGTCGCAATTTGTAATAAAACTTATCGCACTATGTGTGATAACATTGGTACATATGGTCGGAAAGCGAGTAGAATCAGTAACCACCATCCTCGTCAATAATATTAACGATAGTAATAAGAATTTTTATTCGCATAGATTTACTTTCAAGAGTAACATTTGCAAGCGCTGCTGTATACTTCAATTATTGTAGCAGTACTAATTTCAAATTGTGTACGATTTAAACGTAACGTGGAAAACCCAAACTCAACGGTTCAACTCATTAACCTGATGATGGCATGAGTCATGCCCTTACACATATCTTTGAAAAGCTTCCTCGCGAGTCTCACATTTATTTAAATAGTTATAATACTATTCTACGCGCACGACTTTGAGCCCGCCATTTAATGTCCAGAACAGCGAAAGTTCGGATTGAGCGAATTTGTAAGAGAAATAAGGTGATATCTGTATTATCGGGTTCTCCACATTAGTAAGGTGTCTTCGAGGTGAAAGTTAACTGAATACCCACTTTGTTAAGATATTATTGATAGCACGAGCAACGAGGAACTCCTGTTTTGTGTGATGGACCACCAACTTAATGAAGAAATGTGATAACGATTACCTGGGAAACGTTTTATTCAAGCATATCTCACGTGAAAAAAAAAAAAAAAAAACGTCTCGAATTAGCATACGATGTCAGAAAGCGTGTAGGATGTGACCAAAGATATACATGTAACTATATAAGATGCAGACTCTATAAAAATGGTCCGGTGCGTTTCAGTTCGAAGAATCGATTTCTTTCAAATTTTGCCCGTAAATCTATTTTATTCTAAGGGTTATCGCAACCAAATTGTTTTTTTTTTTCAAATATTGCAAAATAAATGCCGAGTGAAAATCGCTTCAGCACTCTGAGGCCCATTTTTACAGCGTCGATCATCAAAACTGGCACAAATTGCCGAGCCCATTCTTTTGTAAAATTCTGTTAAAAATTTTCTTTTTTTCTTTGCATGTTTATATGAATGCTTTCTGAGAGCAAAGCACATGATCTTCCTCAGAAAGCTGATAATTTTCAGTTTGACACTTACTTTGACGCTACCCCAATGGCCTTAAAGATGCAACCTTTAATCTTGGCTCAACAAAAAGTCCAACTTCCTCGCCATGATATTTTCATTCAGACAAGCTGAACTAAAATAAAGGAGTATGGAAATATTGTGGTCTCGGTAAACTTCTAGCCAGCCAGCCAGTCAACGTATTAAACACATTTTTATTTTCGTCAATATCACCATCACTATTACTGTTATAGTATGTCAATCATCATCATTATCATATTTATAGCTATTCTCATTATTATTATTATTATTATTATTATTATTATTGCTATTGTTATCAATATCATCATTATTATCATCCAGATTGTCGTTTACGAGAGGTATAATGGTTGTTGTTGACTCCACTTACCCTTGACCATCTATATCAGGTTTATTACCTATTGCGACAGGTAGGTTTGCAAAGTGCGATAGCGTTTTTTTATCAAAAGGGCCAAAAGTGTGATCACAAAGTGCGACAAGTGTTATTACAATGTGCGACAAGTGTTATTACAATGTGCGATACGTATTCTAAAGTGTGACAGGTATTACAAAGTGTGACAATTTTATTACAAATAGCGACGATTATTACAAAGTGTTTCTGTGGTTTTCTATGCTCGAGAGCACGAAAAAACACAAAGTAAAACTTCGATGTTCATCTAACTGCGTCGCGATTCTGCTCCATTCAAAGTTAAGGTATGAGGAGACTCTCCTGCCTGAAATTTAATTTTGGTTGGGGGATTTAAATAGAAGTTTTTGTTATTTGTGTATGTAGGCGGAAGAGAGATACGGCTCCGTAAGACAGTGCCGCAGAGAGTGGAAATAGAGAAGGCTTTGGATTCGTTTTTTACCGCTGAATTCGAAAGCCTTCAATTTGGCTACCAGCACAAGTGTTACAGGTAGCTGTCAGTTAGCGGGAAGACGGTGGATACAAGAAGTAAAGAACATGGTAAAATTTTGCGTTTCCTGTAAATGAAATCTTTAAATCGCCAACTAGTGAGGGGTGATAAAATTTATTCTTGGTTTATCTAACTTGAAAGCCGTCGTTGTTGTAAAGTTGTATTCAGTCATGAGAAAGTAAGGACTCTCCTCCTCTGACACACAAGTAATATTTTTTAACGTTTGTAAATATATGTAAATCATGTAAGTGAACTGCGGTTTAAGCAATGAATATGCAAGCGATCTTCGCAGTAATGAACACTACGGGATTTAAACCCATGACCTCTGCGATACCAATGCGCTGCTCTACCAACTGAGCTAACAAGCCAACTGGAAGCTGATCATTATGTTGGTTCCATACTAATAAACCCGTGAAGATTTGAATTTTTTTACTGCGAAGGTCGCTTCCATATTCACGTCTTTATCCGCAGTTCACATACATGATTTTCGTATATTCACAGTCATTTATTCATCACTTCACGGGTTTATTTGAAACTAACTTAATGACCAGCTCCCAGTTGGCTCGTTAGCTAATTCGGTAGAGCGCTTCACCGGTATCGTAAAGGTCATAGTTTTAAATCCCATACATTTTTTTCAGACCTTATTTTCACTTCTGCTTACGTAGTGATCATCACTGCGAAGATTACTTTCACATTCAAGTAATATTTTTCTTTCTGGAAAATTTTTGCAGCTACTCAATGGCCGAAGAAATCAGAAACATTTCCGACAACGAAACCTCCGAGGAGAAGAATTTCACCTTCAGTTACTCCCCGGACTGCATTCCGTGGCTTGTTGCTTCCATCACTGAATGTCTGGCCATTGTCATCCTCAATCTCCTCACTATTATTGTATTTGTGAAGCAGCGTCAGCTACAGCACCAGAGTACATACTTGATCATCCATCTGGCCATAGTCGATCTCTTGGTAGGAGCAGTTTCGGGTCCTGTAATTGTTAATCATCTTTTGGAGCACTACTGCGATTTATGGAGGGGAACTCAGACGATTTTTAGATTGGCCGATTTGTTTCCCATGGCCTCACTTGTAAATCTCGCTGCTATTTCTTTAGAAAGAATGCATGCCACATTATTTCCATTTGAGCATCGTGTAATTAAGAAAAAGGTTTACGCAATGGCAATTGCCGCTATTTGGTTTCTAACTTCATCGAGGGAGACTGCTTTGGTTGTGTTATACGAAACACAAGGAAATTCTCATCTCGCTATATCATTCAAAAGGGTTAGCTTAGTATCAATTTTGTCAGTTTCTCTAATTCTGATCAGCATTTCCTCTATTTCAATTTTCATCAAAGTTCGATTCAGTCCTAATCCTCAACATCATGGTGAAACCAACAGAGAAAGAAAACTGACCGCCACCTTACTTTTTGTCACGCTTGCATCTTTGGTAACTTGGCTTCCATATAACATTATCTTCATAGTTCTATATCGGCATGAAGGTGCCTCCGGCTTAAAAGGGGCCTACTTTCATGTTGTTATGTGGCCGGTAACATTAGCTGGCGCTAATTCCATAGTAAATCCAATTGTGTACGCTATATGGATGCCAGAATTTAGGAAGGGTGTTATCAGAATGTTCCGTAGACCCCAACATCGTACACGTGTCGCTGATTTGCCACTTGTGAATCTACAGCACACACCAAGTCCTACTGCTCGTAGATCAGACAGACACGTGAATACCCAAACTTGATTGCTTTAAAGAATGACAATTATCTTGTAGAGTCATCCAAATATCATGTTTAGTGAACTTTTTGCAACCAGGGCACGAGCGTAAGCCGTCAAAATTTTGGTTCGCTCCTTGTTTGCTGGTTCCTAGTGCGACGTGCGACGTGATTTTATATCTACGCAGTCAAATTGACCGTTAACTTTTCAGTAATTGCTTAAGGAAGCGTTTAAAAGCCCAAGGAAAGAGGAAAACATGGAGTGTAATTAAGACAAAAAGACATCGTTTTTTTGTAATAAAACAAACATCAGAGTACACAAGTCTTGGCCACGTGCAAGACAACGAGAGTTGCTGACAAATCTTTTTTCAATGCGACACAAACACATTTGCGATGCCCTCGTCAAACCATGGGAGGTCGTCGCATACTGCCAAGGTTCAACTGCCTAATCAGTTGCGGAAGTTTGCAAATATTTATGACATAATACCATTTTGGTTTTAAAAATAGGGGCAAATCCAGGAATTATTTTCTTGAGAATCCAAAATTTGTTTTAGAAAAACATAGGTATCTCTACTTTCTCCGAAGATCACATAGGGTGAGAGATCTCTCGAGAGGAGTGAAATTTAGAGATTTCACGTTGAGTAACAACATTCGATCCTCTCTTTGCAAGAAACTTGCGGGTGTCAGACAAGTATTTAAACAAACTCACAGGTCTGAGAGGAAGAGATCTGGGTGCCCCAAACGCTTCCCCTGGATCCATCGATGCGCAAACACGAACGCAAGATGCTTTGTCATAGCACCTTCAGATTCCTTAGAGCAGATTACCCCTAGCAAGAATGATTTTCCTTACATCTCTTCCAGTACCAGTGCTGTGTCCTAAGTTAACGCAGCTTCCTAAAAAGTTTATTCTTCTTCTGATAACTGATGACACTCTTGTCAGCTACCTATCACCCTAACGAAAAACCTCTTTGAAACCTTATACTAACTCTGTATTTGCACATTCAGGAAAGTTGACCTGTACCAGGCTTTCGCATGCAATAACTGTTGTCGTTCTGTCTCTCGTCTAAACTGTTACTCAGAGCCTAAAACTGTTTGAGGAAAAGAACTCGGTAACCGTTGCAAGATGAGGGATACATATCTTGTCTCATCTCGGTTTCCTTGATTAGGAAATGGCTAATCTTATCTTCTGTTCCAAATCATATGGCAAGTTATGGCGTGCTGCAGTCAACGCTTTGAGTGGGTAACCTGCAGACAAGCACAGGGGAGAAACCGTGGTAGATCAACTCAAATGTGTATGATTAATCCATAGGCGAAGCTGTGTGGTCTCACTGCAAACTATTGAACAAAAGGAAGTTCATTTGGTCATCTTTATTTTTGGCTTAGATCTTACAACTTCCTGAACTCATAGGAAGTTGGATTTCTTTAGAGACTCCTTCGAGGTTACTTCACTTAAAAACAGTTCGATAAGTGTCAAATTTTGGACAATCTAAACGGAGGTCCCGATCATCCAACGAATTGTTATGAAAAAGTAGAAATATATTGAGGAATCCATACGCTTTGAACTGCACTCTATAGCTACAGTTTGACTTAACATGAACTGTAAAACAGAACCATAACCCCGTATCTGTTTTCATGTGTTCATAACATGTCATCGGGCTAAAAGCATTTATTCTTTACGTCTGGTGTCTTTCTCCACCACTTAAGTTTACATGCTCCTGTTTCTGTTTACATCAAGACTGAGCGCAGCGCAAATTGATTCTAAAAAAGGGGAAGAGGGAAGTTTCTGCGAATCTTCTTCAATTTGCCTTTACACATCTAGGTCCATATAAGGTTACGCTTGTCATCGTTGTTAATTAAGATCACCGGGATGGTAAGGTTTAAGTAGGACGTCATTCCACCACCAGCAGTATGAGGCGTCCATGATCGATTGAATTTCCTCGCCAGGGATCAGAAGGAAAGGTATTTTGTTAAAAAGTTTAAATCTCCTTCTGTTTGAATTAATCGCCGAACTATATCATCCATATCCTTTTCGTGTTCGCACGAAATCAATATCATGTCTGAATGTCGATAATAGAATCAGCTTTGAGAGGTCAGCTTTCATCGCTTTTTTATAATCACTATGAAAAGATTTTGAACAGAGACCGGGATGGTCGCCGACCAAAATTCGGAAGATTGGTCAAAATTTGCATCGAAAACGAAAACACAGAAAAAAAAAATCGGTCGAAATGTCAAAAGGAATGATTGACATTTCTTAGTTCTGTCGCATCAAGCGGTTTAGTTCCGCTGCACAAACAGTTAATACGTTGCAAGAAAACAAATTATATCAACCAGGCTTCTAGTTCGTGAAAGAGAATCGGAATCAGAATCAATAGGGATTAGTTTATGTTTTTATGTTTTTTAATATCTCTCCGTTGAAGTGTTAGGCGGTATTCAAACACAATTGCCCGCTGCTATAAAATATTTCCAGTCGTTGTTTGTATTGCAAACGTCACTGCGAGGAAGTTAAAATGGATAAAAAAAACCAAAAAAAAGACCTGAACTCTTAGGTCAGAATATTAGTTTGCCTCCACAGAATTGACCAACGTGCGCGAAAGTCAGCAAGACAAGAAAAGAGTTTCGTGTATTGGGGCAAGCAGCCTATGAGAAGAGGACATTTTACCCCATTAAAGATATAACTTTTAATTTTCATTTATTTTTAATTATTTTGGAAAACGATGAGGAAGATCTTTATTTCCCTACTCACAATAAATTTAGGCTGGACTAACAGCAAGATAGAGTTTAAGAAATAGAATGTCATATTTCGACACTTCTTTAATTTTGCACGAACTGAAGGCATTAAGTAATTACCGTTTGGAGTCAAATCCAACAACTGTTTTTCTCGTTATTGGTCTTTGTTAAAATGTTGTTAGAATACATCTTTTTACGCCCAGGGCATTGTAAGGGATTCGTTGTGAGAAAGGAGGGATCACAACAGTTTCTTGCAAAATAAAGGGCAGCATAAACTTTGGTTAAGTTGCAATTTTATGCGCAACGTTTGCTTCGAATTGATCGACGCATAAATAAAAAGTAAAGTGTGAATATGAATTCAAGTATAAGAAGTTTGGCAGACTGATCTTAAAGAATGGATTGAGTGACGCACTCGAAAAAGTTTTTACTGTGTTTTCAAAATCAAACAATGAGAACGTATTTGCCAAAAGGTGGTCGTTAAAGAAATTGTGAACGGAGTTTGACTCCACTTTGTCCTTTGGCCGCCCTTTACTCGATGCATTTTCAGGCTCATTGCGACCAACTTTCCTTGTCATCTGTCACTTTGCGAGAAATGCATGACAAAGAAGGTGCCGTTTTTGTCATCAAACCATAATTATTCAGAACACGGTCTACAATTTTGTTCTTGACCAGCTGTTCATACCCGGTTATAAAAAGTTGGTTTTCATTGATGCAAACACCTTGCTCGATAATGTTTGATAGCAACAAAACATTTCGAAAAACCGAGGATCGCTTTAGGAAATATGCTTGCGGCTAGGTATGCTGAGATAATTATTTAATTACGGAAGTCAACTGATAAATGTTATTGCTCACAAATGGCTTCTAACTTACACCTCCTCTAAACTATCTTACCTAATACAAACAACATTATTACTCGCTTTGGCTTCCGACTCCCATTTGGTACAAGGAAGACTTACAAAAAGATAAGGCGTTATAAATCGGCAAGAAAAGTCATCTTTCCAGCTAGTATCGTTTCCGTTTTACAAGGACTGATCTTTTTAGTAATGGTGAAAAAACGGTGTGATCTTGTGCGGAAGTGCGAGTATGATATTTTTTTTTCCAAGCTCTTACGCGCTCGCTTCGGTTTTCGTCGTTGGTTTTTCATCTGTAGCTTTCATCTGAAGTTTATGTTGCACAAGAAGTGTCCATTTTAAACAAGCTCCCAGTTGGCATACATACATTCCCATAAATTTTTTTCAGGCCTTATTTCCACTACTGCTTACGTAGTGATTATCATTACGAAGATCGCTTTCACATTCAAGTAATATTTTTCTTTCTGGAAAATTTTTGCAGCTACTCAATGGCCGAAGAGATCAGAAACACTACTAACAACGAAAGCTACGCGGAGAAGAATTTCACCCTGAGTCATTCCTCGGACTGCATCCCGTGGCTTGTTGCTTCCATCACTGAATGTCTGGCCATTGTCATCCTCAATCTCCTCACCATTATTGTATTTGTGAAGCAGCGCCAGCTACAGCGCCAGAGTACATACTTGATCATCCACCTGGCCACAGCCGATCTTTTGGCTGGAGCAGTTTCGGGTCCTGTGGCTGTGCATGATCTTTTGGGGCACTATTGCGATTTATGGAGGCAAACTCAGACGATTTCCCCATTGGCTAATTTGTTTCCCATAGCCTCACTCGTAAATCTCGCTGCTATTTCTTTAGAAAGAATGCATGCCACATTATTTCCATTTGAGCATCGTGTAATTAAGAAAAAGGTTTACGCAATGGCAATTGCCGCTATTTGGTTTCTAACTTCATTGAGGGAGACTGTTCAAATCGTGTTACTCAAAACACAAGGAAATTCTCATCTTGCGGTATCATTCTCAACAGTTCCACTAATTTTGATTTGTGTCTCTTATGTTGCTATTTTCATAAAAGTTCGATTCAGTTCTAATCCTCGACATCATGGTGCAACCAATAGAGAAAGAAAATTGACCGCCACCTTACTTATTGTCACGCTTGCATCTTTGATGACATGGCTTCCATTTACAACTTTCAGAATAGTTGCATATTTGCATAAAGATGTTCTCTCAAGCTGGTACCCTCAACGTTCCTACTTTCACATAACAATGACGCTAGCGGCTTTAGTTGGCGTTAATTCCCTGTCAAATCCTATTGTGTATGCAATAAGACTACCAGAATTTAGGGCAGGTATTTGTGAAATGTTTCGCAGAGCCTCAAGCACTACATCTCAAGCTGAATTGCCTCTGACAAATCTACAGAGCAAGCATCCTATTACTGAACGTCAATCAACGTAAATACTCACATATGATCGTTTAAAAGTATGAAAAGTATCTCAAAAAATTTCATGCAATGTAAACCTTTTTGCTGCCGGAGCATTGGCATAGCGGGCACATTCTTGAAACATGTGAGAGTTTTGGTTCAACCTTCGTTCGTTGGTTCACCTCATGGAACAGCCTATAGCTATGAGGAATCACCATTTATGCGAACTTATAAAGTTGTTTGCTTTCATGAAGACCTAGATCTCATCCAATCCCGCGTTTACGCGAGGAACAGTATCCATGTCTACAGTCAAATAAAAAACTCGTCGTTCCAGCATCAATCAACAATCTACTTATTGAATAATATATTTGAAACATGTTACGGGGAAGTAGACAATAAATTTAAATATAAAAGAAAACCATCTTATTTCTATCGAATAAACATAAGAGCAGATTTTGCTCGAGTGTAAAACAACAAGTTCTGAAAAGAGATCTCACTTCATTCCACACCCAATCATTTACCAATGCAACGTAAAAATTGTCTCACACTGTGAATTTTTCAGTTAGTCTAGCAAAGTTTGCTTCAGCAGACTGACAGACTGACAGCTCACGATAAGGCTCTTTTGACATGCAAATGAAGAAAAGAGCGTCTGAGGGGCTAGCTTGAGGGGCTACCCCCATACCCTTCCCCTGGGTCTACTAATGCACAAACTGCGCGATGCTCTACTACTGAGCCATAGAGACTTCACGGTAAGCGAATTCAATTACGACGTTCATCTGACACGCGTCCTGCATACTGCTAGGATCAGCAATGTCGATAGCGTTATGTTTGTAGAAAAAAATAAGAGAGATGGTAAGTTTTGAGCTTGGTGAAGAAATTAAGGAATATGTTTTTTTCGTCTTGTTACGAGTGTGGGACAGAAAAATTTCTGAGTCCCCATGAGGAATCGAACTTCAGACCTTGGGATTCTGCGCTCCGATGCTCTACCACTGAGCCATAGAGACTCCGCGCTGAGCGAGGTGTATTACGAAGTTCATATGACACGCGTCCTGCATACTGCTAGGATCAGCAATGTCGATAGCGTAATGTTTGTAAATAGAGTCCTAGACTAGTCCTACGCTCTTGAAAAGATAAAAAACATCTTTCTTTATTTCTTTGCCGAGCTCAAAACTTACCATCTCTCATAATTTGAATTTATAAAGAGTTAAGTTTCTAAAGAAACTGTGGTGCTGCGTCGGCGAGAGAGTATAACAGGGCAATTTAGTATTAGTAACGAGTTGATGACGCAAATTGGTCGCCGTAGAGAGTTTCAAATCTGACGTTTTCGAGCAGTCGGCCTGAAACGTCAGGGCAGAGTCAGGACAGAGGAACACTACTAAATTTGAACCTAGTCTACTACACGAGTAAGGAATCTAAGCCATCCAATTGAAACTAATCGTAGCAGTTTGCATAAACGTTGATTATGACAGTCTCATTGAAATTCTATCTCATTGAAATAATTATTCCGATTTGTTTTCAGGCTCAATTTTACTTTCGTTTCGTTACCAGCTGCGCGGTTTATTTGGAGTCATCACCAGAAAAATCTTCTTATTACAGGTGTGATTATATTTTCTATTGTAAATAAATCTAAGGCTATTGAATACATTCATTTGTGAATGTGGTCATAGAGGGTTAGGAAAATCTTCTTCTTGGGTGCACGTTCTTTGAAAAGCAAGAGGTAATTGTACTTGATATTCGGCCTACAGTTACATTTTAGAACATACTCATTTTCCATTCAGTATGCATTTTGCGACTCCTATCTAATCTTTCCAAAAACCTAATCGACGCAACTCTACAGTCTCTCGAGTGAGAAACTTCCCCCACTTATTCTCTGAAATTAATATTCCTATTTTGATAATTTAGATGATTGCGAGTTGCGAAGTATTTCGAACAATGCGAAAAATGTCCGTTCGTTTTATGCGAAATTTATTACTCCGCCAAAATTTCATTTTCTTGCATTTTTACCTTCAATTTTTGAAACACCTTACATGCAAAGCCTTGTTTGAGCATGGAATCAAACCCATAATGCCTGTGCGAAAAAGGAAAACAACTCAATCGAAACAAAATTCAAAAACTACCTAGTTCAGTTACGTCGCTCGGTTGTGTAGTTCCCTTTCAGTTTTTAAACTCTGGGGAATCTCCATTAGCTGGATCTGGGTCAGTTGTGTCCTTAATAAGATTTACGGAGTTTTTCTCACCGATCACTAAGCAGGAGACTCTAGTTTGATGTATTTATGTAATGACTTTGAGTGATACAATTTTTGGGAAATCGTGCTTGTACTTCAAATCAGACTTGTGCTAAGCGACTGAACATTTTGAAACAACCTGGTTATTCTTTGAATTGTTCGCTATCCATTCGCCTTATCATCTTTGATCGGTTTGAGTGCAAAAGTCAGATCTCTCGATGAATCTCAAACTAGTGAGATGCCGAGGTAAATAGGGGTGTGTACTCACCAAGAACGAAAGCGTATATCAGACACTTTCACACCAGTTGAGATAAGTACCCCTCAAGATTAAGTACAATCGGCAATATCGTGAGACAAAAATATTCATTGTAAACCTCTAACTTACAAATTTCTTTTCCTCTAGTTCCTGATCACACCATTGCTAACGAATTGTGTCCCGTATTTCAGTATCTGAATAAAACAAAAAATCACCAAAGGGAATCCGAAATCCCAGAGCTGCAAGAGAATCAAAATTAGCCAAAATATTACTCTTGATTACGAGAGCTTCACTTTTAGTTTGATTCCATTTCAAATTTGAACTAATTTTGTTCGTTTTTAAAGGTTTAATGGTTTTATTGGGAACGATATACTTTATCATTAAGCTTTTCAAGTTCAGCAACTAGCTTGTTCAGCGACTAGCTTGCTGATTTATCCGCTAAGAATTCCAGAATTTAAGAAAGCTCTTTCTAAGAAAATATCAGTGCAATGGGGCTCCATTTACGAGACCACAACCTAAGCGTTCCCCACCTGCTGTTCTTTTGACTAGAATCGCATGAAAGTGATGCTAACTGGCACATTTTACACGACGTATGGAAAATGGCTTTCTTGTGATGTTGTGGATAACCGAAAAAAAGTGATATATTAAATTGTCATCTCTTCAATTATTAGCATTTAAAACGCCTTGAGAAAGTTGCTATATCCCTTCTCACCAAGCAAAGTGATTTTAAGCTTAATGTATAATTTCAAATGAAGTAGCCTTAACTGCTATGATCTTAGGTATATACAAGGCAAACTTATTAACACACACCAGGGGAACTTTTTTGGTGTTAATCATCTCAAACAAAAATATATAAGATAAAATTACGATACAGTCACTCTAAAATTACAATATAAGACGATATAAGTTACGATGTGGTAAGAAGTTAGACATCCACGTAAGAGTTTATTTCTTTATTTTCTTTTAAAATAAAAACAGATTCACATAACTTAAAAGTATGATAAAAATCTTGTTACCGAAAGCAAAACGTAAACTGCGGCTAGCGCTGAAGCGTGTGAGTCGTTTTCGACCGAGGTAAGAATTCAACCCAATACAACCGCAGAAAACAACACCGAAAAATTTGCAAACTCGGGAAAATACGCAATTTGCTGCAAAGAGAGGGGAAAATATGGCCACCTGGGACGTAGAAATGGAGGAATGCGTACCTCGTTCCAAATGTGGGAAAGTATTTGTAACGAGATACCAAAGATTTAGAGTAAAGCTGAATTTTTAATGCGTACATAAGCGGAAGTTAGCATCTAATCCAAAAATCTGGATTGATTACTTTTTTTCGCAATGCTTTAAAAATAGAAGCAATATAATATAATTTAGTCGGACTGCGTCATTAACGAATATTTGCTTGATCTCTTTTGCTAGTGAGATTCCTTTGCTTTTTAACCCTTGAAAGAGACCCAAAATATTGGTAGTAAATTTCTTAACTTCTTTGTTTACCATATAGGTATCTTTATTTTAGGGAATTTTGAGACATGCCCGGAGCATTCTGCAATTCTGAGTTCCGTTAGATTACCTTTGGCAAAAAGGTCCTTCCATTCATATTTACATCGTATAACATATCATCAGTTAGAAAAGGCACCCAATTTATTACCAAACTCAACAAAACATGCACTTCGCATTCCATTTGTTCGTTATGTTCCTAGCTTAACACGGGGGAAACCCACAAGAAGTGAAATGTCTTAAACTAGATGGCCCAAATTATATCTCTCAATTTTTTACACCTCGTGCTCGCCTGAATAATGTAAATTTCACAGGACGCCAATGTATGAACTGTGTATAATTTTACCTATTTTTACATACTCTTGAGCTATATATATATATATATATATATATATATATATATATATATATATATATAAATGTGTAAATTTGACTCTCAACTTTCACTTATATATATATATAAGTTCTGTCTGAGGGGTACTTAGGCGCGAAACTCAGAGTCACGGAGAATCGATGCGTCCTCTTTAATTCTTTAACTTATGTATACTAAGCTCTGCTACCAAAGCATTGAGCACTTTATGCCAAGGTAGACTCTACCCCCACATTTATATATATATATATATATATATATATATGATTTTAAATATATGAAATTCATATATTTGTACTGCAGTGAAGAAACGAAATTAAGAGATCCTCGCAGCTAAGAACACTACTGAAACGGGTAGTTGAAAATAGGACCTGGAAAAATTTAGGCCTGTACGGGATTTGACCCCATGACCTTTGCGATACCAGTGTAGCGCTCTACCAACTGAGCTAACAAGCCAACTGGGAGCTGGTCAATATGTTGGGTCCAAATAAACCATCCAAGTGATGAATGATGATTTTAAATATATGAAATTCATATATTTGCACCAACTGAGCTAACAAGCCAACTGGGCCTGAATTTTTTTCAGGTCCTATTTCCAACTACTCGTTTCAGTAGTGTTCTTAGCTGCGAGGATCTCTTAATTTCGTTTCTTCACCGCAGTGCAAATATATGAATTTCATATATCTAAAATCATCATTCATGAGTGCTCTCCAAATTTCCCAAGTGCTTCATATCTCCATGAACGCACAGATAACGTATGAACCAATTGTTTTAGAACATTTTCAACCCGATGGAAACTTTTTTTCTCGAGGGATTTGTTTGCTAACGTCATGAGCGAGCACAATAGGAATATGAAGTACGCTCACGCAATTGAATTTGATGAGACAAATTTACTAGCTATGTTATAAATATTAATATTTGCATATGCATAACTCAAATTTTATCTTGTTTTGTATTTTTAGTTTGTACAATAGGTAACGTATTGTGTTCTATTATTTTGTTCAATCAACAAGAATAATGGAACATTTGTTTCACATATTGTCATTTATCAATTGCACTTGTCTTCACTTTTTCTCACCGCGAGATATTTTTCATTTCGGGAGAAACTTCATGTCATTCAGCCAAAGCTTTTTGCCGTTAACAGATGTTCCTCCTTTCAAATTCAGCTCCGTGAATTGCATTTTAATTTTCAGGCTTGCTTAGATCTCTCTGTTTCTAAAAATTATGAAGGTTAGATGTGTTTTCATTGAGTCGCAATTCGACAATATTCAACCGGAAAATGAAGTATTAGCCCCTTCGCTCTTAAACTAAATTTAGAAGGGAAACAGCGATTGTTTGACATTACGAAAGTCCTTTGGAATCCAGTATCACAGCTAAAGTTCTGAATGAGGTTGATAATTGTTGATTCGTTGCCCGTGGCAAATGTACGTAAGTTTGGTAACCAAAGCACAAACCGAATAAAGAGAAACAATATAATTTGCATCACTAACGAACACATCTTGAGTGATCTTATAAACCTTGTTGACTCAACACAAGCTAAGTTCTCGATATCATTTGCTGGTAGCATTCCTTCTCGTCTAACTTGTTCGAGAGACCTGAAACGGTTTGTATGATTTTCTTAACTTTCGTACCTCTCATAAGATTACATCTTAATTTAAGTTGCAGTTCTGAGTTCGGCTTTCCTGCCTTCATACATGTCCGAATCAGTCCCTGCATTAATTAGCAAATCTTTAAACATATCTCATTTGGTTACCAACATCCATCATCAAAAAGTGCACACTGCGTTCCCATTTGTTTCGCGATATGTCCATAGCGCAACATTAGCAAGGGCTATAGGAAGTAAGTGGCAAATAACCTCAGCTCATAACAGAGGAAAAAGATACAAAGAGAACCGTAGTACAAAGTTCCAATGAAATTGACATGAATATTGGGATCCTTGTTTAACCTATCACAAATGATTAATTCTACCCTCTTTGGTCGCTGTGATATATTTCGTTGTAAACAGATATTCTTCCCTTAAAATTCAGCACTGTAATTTCCAATTGTATCCTCAGGCTTAAGCTCTCTTTTTCTTAACTGTATAATGGATAGGTGTATGTTTCCAAGAGTCACAATTCGACCAGACTTGTGGAACAGAGAACAGAGAATAGTTGCTGGGACTAAAGCTTGTATAAATCTTGTTTAGAAGAGTAAATTCTGGCTTTCCCACGGAGTCGTTAATAATTTAAGAGTAATTGAGGAGACTTCCTGGTATAGCTTTAGGGTTTCTTTAGGTCTCCTCACAACTGATATTATACTTTATCACATAAATTGCGGTGTTATACAGGGATTTTCGGCCCTGAGAAAAGCCGTAACAACACACACGAAAAAACATCGTATTTTCTCACGTGTGTTGATACAGCCAATCAGCTGCTGACTCGTCACTTGCCTTTGGCGCCACTCGGTCAGGTGGATGAATGAGCGGCAAAGACTTTACGATTTTAAGTACAAGTTGTTTGTCGGAGCTTTCTCGAATTATGGCGGCTAAAACATTAAAAAAATCCGTATCGCTGACAGACAGTGAGGTTCAAACTTTCCTAAAAGGGGAAGAAAACCAATATATTAAAAGTATACTATATACTATACTATATACTATGAGTATACCCACTCTTTACGGTGGCCAATTTACGTTTTTAACCTAGCTGTTAACACTAAATTACCTGCTATACTCTCCCACCAACGCAGCACCACAGTTTCTTTAGAAACTTACCCCCTTTACTAAAAGAAAAACCGAAAGTTACGTATTCAGCGGCTTTGGTGTTACCATTTCTCTAGGTTAAGAATGAAAATCGACAACTGGAAGATTTGCCACCGGCCGAATTTGGCCGTTTACCCGAAAGACTTCTTTTGACGGTAGGGACAAAGCCAATAAATGAGAATTTTGTAAATTGAAAATTACGACCATTGTCGTTTTTGTAATCATGATTCAACGCATTTTTCCATCTTAAGAGTTAGCGCCAACGCACTCTACGATTGTCGATTCACAATACATTAATGAGGTAGCTTTTCTTCTCAATAAAGGGCTATTGTGTCTATATGATAAACAAAATAATACATGGCTGTTTGTAGATATGGAATTTCTCTTCTCTTGTACAACTCTGCATCTCACTCGTTCGCTGCACTCACTCATAAGCTATCGAGTTGAACACTCGAAGAGAAATTCCATATCTACGCGCGCCCATGTATTATTCTCTATTTAAAACTACTCCTTGGAAAGTTTATGGTAGTGAATCAATTTGAACTTTACCTTGATACTGAAAATACCTTTAAAAATCCTACATGATACCTTTTACATTAGTCATTGACACATCAACCTCGAACCGGTCATGAAGTCTACAAAATTAAAAGCAAAATATGTCTCCAGCTTGTGACTCAATGACACTGATAATTGTTATTCGTTTCGAGGATTCCTTAAGATTTCCTTTGAATCTCCTTCACGAGAAACCTTAATTCGCTGCTGATAAAAAGCATGACGAGTCAGTAAATTATACTGATATTTGGAACAGCACTATTCAATTACATCACTTTTACCAATTCATACATCAAAAGTGATATGCATGCAATATCGATCAATTTTAGCTCATTTGAAATAATGTACAATCTACAGCTCGATTTGAATGATGAAAGAAATCAAAGTAAGTGGGTGAAAGAGATTCAGTATTATGAAACGTTGCAGTATACTGTGTAAAGTAGGTGCCGTTTTTGTCATCAAACCATAATTATTCAAAACACGGTCTACAATTTTGTCATTGACCGGCTGTTCATACCCGGTTATGAACAATTGTTTTCATTGATGCAAACGCCTTGCTCGTTAATATTTGATAGCACCGGAACATTTTAGAAAAAACCGAGGATCGTTTTAGGAAATTTGCTTGCGGTTAGGTATGCTGAGATAATTATTTAATTACAGAAGTCCACTGATAAATGTTATTACTCACAAATGGCTTTCAACTTAAACCTCTTTTAAACTATCTTACCTAATACAAACAACATTATTACTTCGCTTTGGCTTCCGACTCCCATTTGGTACGAGGCAGACTAACAACAAGATAAAGCGTTGTAAATCCGCAAGAGAAGTCATCTTTCCAGCTAGTACAGTTTCCGTCTTACAAGGACTGATCTTTCTAGTAAAAGTAAAAAACATAGTGATCTTGTCCAGAAAGGCGAGTTTCATATCTTTTTTTCCAAGCTCGCGCTGGCTTCGGTTCTCGTAGACACGGGTTTCGCTCGTTTCTTGTGTGTTGTAAGACATTCATGTACCTATGCTAAAACAACAATCCGTTTGATCGGATCTCTTTATTTTTCAGAGTTTTACGGAAATTAAATTTCACTCGAGCAAAGGCTTGTCGTGACACTTTTCAAGACTTAAATTTCATACAACTTTGGAGGACAATTTACAAAAAACTACGGAACTCAGAAAAAAAAATACCACAGCCATGAATATTAACTTTATCTTATATATCGAGGCGACTTTCGTAAACATCACGTTTCAATCAAGGAAACAGGAAGACTTGAATGACACCTTATCGGTTCGCCTAAATCACACACGCCAAAACCGATCAGATTCAAGGTAAATTTTTGAAAAAGTGAGGAGTTCTAAACTGATCCAACTAACATAGCTAGGAAGTAGGTGCCATAAAAAAGGTAACGAGAACTTTATAACTCCGTGAACTTACCTAATTTTTGGCAATCTCCAAGTTTGGCCGCCATTTTGAGGGACTTGTCAACATGAAACGTAACCGATATAAATCAAGCAGGTAGATCTAAAACCGTCAAAAATACATACGAAAGCAATTCAAATGAATTTTACTTTCAATTCAAGCTGCAAAATTTGAAATCGTTCGTTAAACTTACCATCCCCATGCGACCATTTCTTCCAACAATTCAAACACTACAACTAGTATTCGAATTCCCCTCGTCGATTCCACAGTAAGAAATAACCTGTGCCACCCAAGCTTCAACTCGAATGTGAAGTACGAATCAAATAACATAACTGCTTCATCTTCGCGGTAATATCACGCTGGTATTTTGACATTCGGATCGACAAGAACGGTGATCAGGTAGCGATCGCCATGTTTACTTCATAAACGTGATCGCTGACCAGCCGCTGAGTGAAAACAGTACGGTTCAGTGGTGAGTGCAGGGTGAGGGGTGGGTGTGGGCAGATCATCAGAAGATTTTTGGGAACATTCGAACATATGCATTAAAGTATCGTGATAAACATTAGGACTGTCAGTCTTAATGTGAAGGCATGCTTCGTGTTGCAGACAACTTTTGTTTTACTTAGTATTCCTTTTTCTTTCAAATACATTTCGTTCCAAATAGGACTAGCATCAATTCATAGATTTACAAATAAAATCTTTACCACGTAAATAAATGTGTTTAGATAATCGAAATAACCATTGAACCTCTTGTATCGCACTAGAAATAACGTGTCTAGTCTTCGCCCAACTCTGAGAGCGTGGAGCGGCAGAGACGCGAGACACGAGTCTCGCGTCTCGCGGCTTCTCCATGCTCACAGGATACGCGTGACCTCACTATCTTTAAGAAAAATAAGAGACTGCTCGAAGTCTGTATTCCGTTCAACCATTTCATAAGAGTGACGCGAGTCTTTCAATTGAGTGAGAAAGTCACAAACCCATTCTTTACCTCACGAGCGTAACCACTGACCACACTAGGCTTCTCCTTTGACACGGAAATTGAAATCGTATCGAGTATACAAAGTTATAGTGAGTTCCTTTAGATCTCCCGAACTTGTATCGCGTTGGAAACAATTACAAGTACAGGAAGAAGTCGTTCGTTAACGAGACGTTCATTATGTCTCAGGGCTGCTTTTTGAATAGCAAAGATGGAAAAAACTTTGGTTGATCGCGTGGCTTAAGTGGTTTGGTACGACTGTCTGAATGCAATGACGAAGTAAAACATCATTTGATAAGCTGCCACTGCCACCAGGTCTTAAGTGAAAATGAAATAATCTTGGCAAGGATTGGCCTATTTCACCTCGCTCAGGAGGATAAACAAAAAAAATGTGGATTTGCTGTAGGTATCGCCACACTTTGGGGAAGTTTTGGAGAAGTGCAAAGGTAACATGTCAGTATCCTGATCATGATGGTGTCAGGAAGCGTATCCAAGACAGAGATGTAATTACCTTGCATATATCTCAGGACATTCAAAAGCTGTTTGGAGTTATTATTCCAGTTGAATCAGGTAGTCTTCAGTAACATTTTCTGTTATATATTTTTGTCACGTGACATATCTGCTCGAAAAGAGAAGAAATTCTTTATTAGATGAAGAGTACTTAAGTACACATCACGTTGAAAAAACATAGATCTTTTTGTAAGTGCTTTTAATTGCAGATGGAAATATGTACAATGTTGTTTGGTTGATAATCAATAATGTTTTTGTAGAAGGTTAAATCACCTGACAACGCAATACACTTATTCATGCGTACGGTTCACAATTATTTGCGGTCAGTTTTCCTCAGTTTGTATGATTCTCATTAACCAGTATGATTAAATTTGCAGACTAAAATACCCCTTATTTGATTAAGAATAATAAAAGTAAACAGTGCATCACGGTTTTCAATTCCTGATGGATGCGACTGGGCTTTACTTTAACTGAGAAATTTGCAATCGCTTACCTCAACTCTCTGTGTCCCATGCCGTAAGAGGCACTAGAAAAAAGTTGATGATAGTGAGTCTTGGCTGAGACAAGAAGAATCAGAGAAGAATCCATGGTCCTCAGAAACGCCACTTTTAAACACAAGACAACTAAGGTAAATTGAATTAAGGAGTATTTGTTTTATTGAAAACTATCGTTCAAGTTATAAGATACGCGAATAACTCTCCCCACCGATTTTTTCTTACATTCTGTTAATCAAAAGTTTCAATCATTGTAAAGGCTTTCTTGTTGATCGTCTTAATAGTAACAGTTTCCAGGATCCAAGGGGAGCAAAAGAGAGAACAATTTTCTGTGTAGTTAGGTAAGGCGACATGCCGGCTTTATACTTCTTCCGGCGTGATAACGATAATGATGACAACAATGGGTAAAAAGCACCGTCCGCTATTGATGACAATTATCATAGTTATAAACAGATCTCAGTTATAGTCCTGAAAAAAATCTCAGGGGGTCCTTTGAACCATCCACTTCATCTCGCCAGAAGTCAAAGTTGCCTACACTCATTCTAAGGTTCGTGCGATTTTACGACGAATTTTCAATTCCGGTGTGTTGCACGCGCGACTTTTGATAGGAAAAGCCTGCACGCGCCATAACTTAAAAGAACGTGTCAGTGGAATGAATCAAATCTCTATCATTTTGCATACATTCTTGGGAACAGCAAAAATTACCTAGTACAAACATTCTAAGTATAGTGTTCATTCCGTGCAATGAGGCATAAATAAAAGTTCTGGTGGAAAAGACACCTTATCTTATGCCACTGATGACAGGCAAAAAGGTTATATGGGTACCCCGGATAAAAGTATATTGTTAACTCTATTATTTAATACCAGCTCTAATTTAAAAGAGAAAGTTATGAAAATAAAATAAAAGTTGTCTGTACCACGAAGCATGCCTTAATTGTTTAGACTGATAGTCCTAAAGCTTTTTAAGCATGTTTTAGAATATCTTATGACGATAAGCCACCCACCCCACCCCGCGCTATACTGTTTTCACTCAGCGGCTGGTCAGTGGTCACGTTTATGAGGTAAACACACCGATCGATTCCTGATCACCGTGCTTGTCGATCGGAAAATCAAAATACCAGCGTGATATTGCCGCGAAGACGAAGCAGTTGTGTTGTTTGATTCGTACTTCACATTCGAGTCGAAGCTTGGGTGGCACAGGTTATTTCTTACGGTGGAATCGACGAGGGGAATTCGAACACTAGTCGGAGTGTTTGAATTGTTGGAAGAAATGGTCGCATGGGGATGGTAAGTTTAACGAACAGTTTCAAATTTTGCCGCTTGAATTGAAAGTAAAGTTCATATGAATTGCTTTCGTATCTATTTCTGACGGTTTTAGATATACCTGCTTGATTTATATCGGTTACGCTTCATGTTGACAAGTCCCTCAAAATGGCGGCCAAACTTGTAGGTTACCGAAAATTAGGTAAGTTCACCGAGTTATAAAGTTCTCGTAAAGGTCGGGCCGCAAAGTTTTTTTCTGTAGTTACCTTTTCTATGACAACTACTTCAACTACTTCCTAGCTATGTTAGTTGGATCAGTTTAGAACGCCTCACTTTTTCAAAAATTTGCCTTCAATCTGATCGGTTTTGGCGTGTGTGATTTAGGCGAACCGATACGATGTCGTTCAAGTCTTCCTGTTTCCTTGATTGAAACGTGATGTCTGCGAAAGTCGCCTCGATAGATAAGATAAAGTTAATATACATGGCTGTGGTATTTTTTTTTTCTGAGTTCCGTAGTTTTTTGTAAATTGTCCTCCAAAGTTGTATGAAATTAAAGTCTTGAAAAGTGTCACGACAAGCCTTCGCTCGAGTGAAATTTAATTTCCGTAAAACTCCGAAAAGTAAAGAGATCCGATCAAACGGATTGTTGTTTTAGCATAGGTACATGAATGTCTTACAACACACAAGAAACGAGCGAAATCCGTGTCTCAAGCAAAATTGACCGGACCACTCTTACAGAGATACTCTCTTAAACAAGCTCCCAGTTGGCTCGTTATCTCAGTTAGTAGAGCGCTGCACCACTATCGCACAGGTCATGGTTTCAAATCCCATACATTTTTTCAGGCCTTATTTCCACTACTGATTAGGTAGTGATTATCATTACGAAGATCGCTTTCACGTTTAAGTAATATTTTTCTTTCTGGAAAATTTTTGCAGCTACTCGATGGCCGAAGAGATCAGAAACACTACTAACAACGAAATCTACGCGGAGAAGAATATCACCCTGAGTCATTCCTTGGGCTGCATCCCGTGGCTTGTTGCTTCCATCACTGAGAGTCTGGCCATTGTCATCCTCAATCTCCTCACCATTATTGTATTTGTGAAGCAGCGCCAGCTACAGCGCCAGAGTATATACTTGATCATCCATCCGGCCACAGTCGATCTCTTGGTTGGAGCAGTTTCGGGTCCTGTGATTTTTAATTATTTTTTGAGGTACTACTGCGATTTATGGAGGCAAACTCAAACGATTTTTCCATTGGCTAATTTGTTTCCCATGGCCTCACTCGTAAATCTCTCTGCTATTTCTTTAGAAAGAATGCATGCCACATTATTTCCATTTGAGCATCGTGTAATTAGGAGAAGGGTTTACGCAATAGCAATTGCCGCTATTTGGTTTCTAACTTTATCGAGGGAGGCTGTTCAAATCGTGTTACTTAAAGCACAAGGAAATTCTCATCTTGCGGTATCATTCGCAATAGTTACTTCGGTATTATATTGGTCACTTTCTCTGTTTTTGATTTGTGTCTCTTATGTTGCTATTTTCATCAAAGTTCGATTCAGTCCTAATCCTCGACATCATGGTGCAACCAACAGAGAAAGGAAACTCACCGCCACCTTACTTATTGTCACGCTTGCATCTTTGATGACATGGCTTCCATGTACAACTTTCACAATAGTTAGATATTGGCATCAAGACGTTCTTTCAGGCTGGTACCCTCAACGTTCCTTCTTTCACATACTAATGGCGCTAACGGCTTTAGTTGGCGCTAATTCCCTGGCAAATCCTATTGTGTATGCTATAAGGCTGCCAGAATTTAGGGCAGGTATATCTGAAATCTTCCGCAGAACCCCTAGCACTTCATGTCAAGCTGAATTGCCTCTGAGAAATCTACAAAGAACGCGTGTTAGTACTGAACATCAATCAAATAGACACGTAAATACTCACACATGATTGTTTAAAAGTATGAAAAGTATCCCAAAAAATTTAACGCTCGCCATGTAAAAATTTTTTTCTTCTAGACCATTGGCATGGCGGGCACATTCATGAAACATGTGAGAGTTTTAGTTCAACCTTCGTTCCTTGGTTTGCCTCATGAAACAGCCTATAGCTATGAGGAATCACCATTTACGCAAGCCAACCAAGTTGTTGGCTTTCATGAAGACCTAGATCTCATCCAATTCCGCGCTTACGCGATGAACAGTATTCATGTGTAAAGTCAAATAAAAAACTCGTCGTTCTAGCATCAATCAACAATGTGCTTGTTGAATAATATATTTGAAACATGTTACGGGGAAATAGACAATAAATTTGAATATCAAAGAAAACCATCGTATTTCTATCAAACAAACATACGAGCAGATTTTGCTCGAGTGTTAACAAGTTCTGAAAAGAGACCTTACTTCATTCCACACCCAGTCATTAACAAATACAACGTAAAAATTGTCTCGCAGTTGTGAAATTTTCAGTTTGTCTAGTAAAGCTTGCCTCAGCAGACTGACAGACTGACAGCTCACGGTAAGGCTCTTCTGACACGCAAATGAGGAAAAGAGCGCATTTAATTTCGTTTATTGAGAAATAAAAATCATTCAATCCACTATTTGTAAAAATTTTGGTGTGAGACAAGTACTTTTAAAAAAACTCAGAGGTCTCAGAGGAAGGGGGTCTGAACCCCCATACCTTCCCCCTGGGTCCCTAATGCACAAACCGACGCAAGATATCTTGTTGTAGTACCTTTCAGATATGTTAGAGAAGATTGCCACTAACTAATATGGACATTGTCTTATATTTCTTCCAGTACCAGTGCTGTATTATGAGTTAACCTAACTTCGCTAAAAGTTTGTTCTACTTCAGATAACTGTTTTCTAGGGTACGTCGTTAATATGATATTACGAGAGGGCGAATAAACCAGCCAATCAGCATATGTAAACAGAACCTATAGATAAAATGGCAAAAAATAAAGGTTACATGGAAAAAGAACGGTCAAATCTCTGACCAAAAAAGGACACTCTTGTAAGCGGAAAACTCAGCTACCGATCACCCCGACAAAAAACCCTTTGAAACCTTATATTAACTCTGCATTTGTACATTCAGGTAAGTTAGCCTTTTACCAAACTCTCGAAACAACTGTTGTAGTTTTGTCGTTCGTCTCAGCTGTCTCTTAGAGCCTATAAGAGGCTGTCGAAAAAGAACTCTGTAATCTTTGAGCGTTAAGAGATACACATCTCGTCCACTTTAATTTGGGTTTCCATGGGGAAATGGCTGATTTTATCTTTCGTTCGAAATCCTTTAGCAAGTTACAGCGTGCTGCAAAGCATTTTGAAAGGTAACCTGCACACAGGCAGTGGTAGATCGACTCAAACGTGTGATTTATTCATAATATCCGAATTTCCAAGAAGAATCTGATAACCCTCGAAACTCACCGAAGAAGTATGAAGACTACTAAAAATTATAAAAGATCCCTGCAGACATTCTGGTGAATACCAAAGGTTCGTAAAAATAGCAGTGTCTAATGAAAAATGTCCTGTCAATCTGTGATTGACCGGGCGGATGTGAGGAACATGTATAATGCGTCTGACTTGACAGGTATACTAAAATCTACATAACAAACCAAAATCTAAGAGGGCGTCGAATAATTGTTACCTTAATTGGGGACTGCACTGCAAATCTCCTCTTCTTAACAGTTCCATCAGGACAACGAAGAGCAACAGTTATTACCTGATAAAATAAAAACTAACATTGCTTATCAGCCTTTCGTTTTTGTTAATGAAGATCTTTTGGTTAAAACTTCCATGAACAACAAGCTCATGCTGTTACCCCATTCTCCTTGGGATCTGGCTCTTCAGGCAACTGTAATAAAGTAAAATAAATCATCTGTAATTTTCTTTAGGTTAACACATGTACAACTTCTGTTGCAAATGAAAATAAGAGAAAATGTAACCTACACCTGATATCCATGAACTATACAAACATCACAAAAAAATTGAACACAATTAAACAAACTAACCAAATGTGCATCAAAAAATACAGAGTCTGGTGTAACAATGTCCTAAATTACATGGCGTCATTCAATTGTAATTACAGTATAAACTGCAGGTACATTTGTATAATAAGACAAAAACTTTGTTCTCTAAATTTCCCTGAATAACTCAATAAGGTCACAAGACTAAAGGAAATGATCACCAACCAAAGAACCCCTTGATTGTACAACAAATTCCCCTTGTCAGTACCTTAGGAAATTTATAGGGGAGAATATGGAGAATGTGTATAGTGATGTGAGGTTGTAAAGGGTTAATGTTATACTTCTTCATGTGGTACGTTAAGAACAGCATAAACAAAGATTACCTCACGACTCTGTCTGTTTCTCCTTTGACGCACAGAATCTGTCTCAGTCTGTTCTTTTCTAGACATGCACCCATTGTCAGTGAAGTTTGAGGTACCATCATTATGTGGAATCTGTTCTGTGTTTGTACCTTCTTTTGACCTAGGATCTTCATGTAGCAAAAACTCTTGGGATAAAAAGTCTTCTTCAGCTTGTTCTTCAACATGTCCCTTCTGATCAAGTATGGAGCAATTTTGAAAAAAATTACCGTCATTGTTTCTAAGTCTTTAATGGGATTAACCTCAACAATTCAACACTTTTTAAAGATAATAACAACAAAAGCAACTTATACGGTTAAGAATATATGAAAGTCATATATTTGAACTGCGGATAAAGACATGAATGAAAGTGATCCTCGCAGTGATATGCACTACTTAGGCAGTAGTGAAAATAAGGCCTGAAAAAAAAGAAAAAAAGCAACTTAGCTTAAACCACAGACTTAATCATACAAAGATATTTTGTTAAGAGTCACTCAGGCTATGTACTTTTTCATTACACCCACTCCGGTAAACCAAGCCTTTAAGAGCTTAAGACTCATGCTGAAAATTCGTATTTGAACTTGTTTGAATACTTTTAAACCTCTTTTTTTTAAATTCTAATTCTAATTTGTGTATTCAAAAATACACACAAAACAGTTAGAATTTATAAAACGTTTTAATATACAGCTGTAATGGATATAAAACTCAACTGGCAAATCTTACCCGTAATCTTTGACCCTTTCCTCTCCACCTGCTGTCAAACTTGTAGACCTCTGCTTCTTGCTTTGTGTTAAGATTATCTTCTCTTAGATCTAAAATGTTCCCTCTACATATATCAACCTAGAGAAATTCAAATGTCCCTCCTCTACCTTTGACGACGAGATCTAGAGCTACTAACAAATCTTTTTCCAGTGCGGCACAAATACATTTGCGATGCCCTTGTCCGAACCATGGGAGGTCGTCGAATACCGCATGCGCAGTTGCGGAAGTTTGCAAAAATTTATGACATAGTGCCATTTTGGTTTGGGGCAAATCCACGGGAATTCTATTCCTGGAATTCCAAAATTTGATTCAGAAAAACAGACATTTCTCCTTTCTCCAAAGCTCATATAGGGTGAGAGATATTTCGAGAGGAGTGAAATGTAGAGATTCCATGTTGAGTAATAACATGCGATCCTATCTTTGAAAAAATTTTGGTGTCATACAAGTATTTAAACAAACTTATAAGTCTGAGATGAAAAAGATTTCGATGCGCAAAACCGTTCCCCTGGATCCATTATTGCGCAAACACGAACGCCATATGTCTTGTTATTGCACCTTTCAGATTGCCCCTAACATGAATGATTTTTTTTTTTACATTATCTCTCGTCTTAACTGTCACTCAGAGCCTATAACTGTCTATGGAAAGAACTCGGAAACTGTTGCAAGGTGGGGGGTACGCATCTTGTCTCGAGGAAATGGCTAATCTTATCTTCTGTTCCAAATCATATGGCGAGTTATGGCGTGCTGTAATCAGCGCCTTGAACGGGTAACCTTCAGACAAGTACAGAGGAGAAATCGTGGTAGATCAACTCAAACGTGTGTGATTAATTCATACGCGAAGCTGTGTGGTCTCACTGCAAACTATTGAACAACAAGAAGTCCATTTGATCATCTCTATTTTAGCTCAGATCTTCCACCTTCCGGAACTCACAGGATGTTGGATTTCTTTAGAGACCCCTTCAAGGTTATTTAACTTAAATACAGTTGGATAAGTGTCAAATTTTGGACAATCTAAACGGAGGTCCCGACCATCCAACGAATTGTTATGAAAAAGTAGAAATACACTTTGAACTGCACTCTGTAGCTACAGTTTGACTAAACATGAACTGTAAAACAGAACCATAACCCCGTCTCTGTTTTCATGTTTTCGTAACATGTCATCGGGCTAAAAATATTTATTCTCTACGTCAGGAGTCTCTCTCTACCGCTTACGTTTACATGTTCCTGTTTCTGTTTATATCAGCGGCAAAACTGAACGCAGCGCAAATTAATTCTAAAAAAAAAAAAGGAAGAGGGAAGTTTCTAAAAATGTTCTCCAATTTTCCTTTCTACTCATCGAGGTCCATATAAGGTAACGCTTGTCATCGTTGTTAATTAAGATCACCGCAGCAGTAAGAATGTTTAAGTAGGACGTCATTCCACTACCAGCAGTAAAGGGCGTCCATGACCGATTGATTTTCTCGCTAGGGATCGGAAGGAAAGGTATTTTGTAAAAAGTTAAGTCTCTTTTTGTTTGAATTAATCACCGAATTGTATCATCCATATCCTTTTCGTGTTCGCACGAAATCAATATCACGTTTGAATGTCGATAATGGAATCGGCGCTGAGATGTCAGTCTTTATCGCCTTCTAATAATCACTATGCAAAGATTTTGAAGGGAGGCCGGAATGGTCGTCGATGAAGACTGCTCAAAATTTGCATCGAAAAACGAAAACACAGAATAAACATCGGTCGAAAATGTCAATAGGAATGATCGATATTTCCTAGTTCTGTCGAGCTTTTCAACTGTTGTCTTGCCAGAAGTGCCCAAATTCCGTTTAGAAAGAATATTATATCAACTAGACTTCTAGCTCTCAAAAGAGAATCAGAATTAATAGGGGTAAGTTTACGTTTTTATATATGTTTTTTAATATCTCTCCGTTGAAGCGTTAGGCGGTATTCAGACTCAATTGCCAGCTGCTATAAAATATTTCCAGCAGTTGAGTGTATTGCAAACGTCACTGCGAGGAAGTTATACATGAATAAAAAAAAACGCGAAATTTTAGGTCAGAATATTAGTTTCCCACTACAGAATTAACCAACGTGCGCAGAGGTCAGCAATTCAAGAAAGAAATTTGTCATTGGAAAGCCGGTAAAAGTAAGCTATGATGAGAGGACTTTTTACCCTGTTACAGATATTAATTTTAATTTTCGTTTATTCTTAACTATTTTGGAAAACGATGAAGATCTTCATTTGCCTACACAACAATAAATTCAGGCTGGACTAACGGCAAGATAGAGTTTCGACACCTCGGAATAATTTCGGATTATGGCGGCTAAAAAGCTAAAATATCCGTACGACGATTATAGACAGTGACGTTCAAATTTTCCAAAAGGGAAAAAAACCAAAATACGAAATGAAAAACCAAAAGGTACGTATTCGGTGGCTTTGGTAATGGCATATCTCGCGGCTAAGAACGAAAATCGATCTCTGGAAGATTTGCCACAGGCCGATTTTGGCCGTTTACCTGGATGATTTCTTCTGTCGATAAGGACTAATTCAATAACTGAGAATTTTGTATATTGAAAATTAGGCCCATTGTTTGTTTTTGAAGCGATTCAACGCATGTTTTCATTTCGAGTAAGCCAACACACTTTGCGATTTGTAGTTGGGGATTGTCGATCCTTTTACTTTCATTCATTAAAAGAGTTAATTTTTCTCGTCATAAAAAGGCTACTGTGTTTATATGATAAACAAAATAATACATGGTTGCTTGTAAATATTAAATTTCTCTTCTCGTGTTCAACTCGAAGGGAAATTCCATATGTACGTGCGCTCATGTGTTATTCTCTATTTAATTGTCAGAAAATTGATGATTTATTCTTTTTATTTGGAAAATGTTCACAGTTTCCTAATGCTCATGGAAACCAGTAATAATACCGCGTATGTATACCCTAGTTACTCCCTGGACTGCATTCCGTGGCTGGTTGCTTCCATCACTGAATGTCTGGCCATTGTCATCCTCAATCTCCTCACCATTATTGTATTTGTGAAACAGCGCCAGCTACAGCGCCGGAGCACATACTTGATTATCCATCTGGCCACAGTCGATCTTTTGGCTGGAGCAGTTTCGGGTCCAGTGATTGTTCATCATCTTTTGGGGCACTATTGCGATTTATGGAGGCAAACTCAAACGATTTTTCCATTGGCTAATTTGTTTCCCATGGCCTCACTCGTAAATCTCGCTGCCATTTCTTTAGAAAGAATGCATGCCACATTATTTCCAATTGAGCATCGTGTAATTGAGAGAAGGGTTTACGCAATGGCAATCGTCGCTATTTGGTTTCTAACTTCATTGAGGGAGACTGTTCAAATCGTGTTATTCAAAACACAAGGAAATTCTCATCTTGCAGTATCGTTCTCAACAATTACCTTGGTATTATATTGGTCACTTCCTCTATTTTTGATTTGTGTCGCTTATGTTGCTCTTTTCATCAAAGTTCGATTCAGTCCTAATCCTCGACATCATGGTGCAACCAACGGAGAAAGGAAACTCACCGCCACCTTACTTATTGTCACGCTTGCATCTTTAATGACATGGCTTCCATTTACAACTTTCAGAATAATTACATATTGGCATAAAGATTTTCTCTCCGGCTGGTACCCTCAACGTTCCTTTTTTCACATGCGAATGACGCTAGCGGCTTTCGTAGGCGCTAATTCCCTGGCGAATCCTATTGTGTATGCTAGAAGACTGCCAGAATTTAGGGCAGGTATTTCCGAAATGTTCCGCAGAACCCCAAGCACTACATATCAAGCTGAATTGCGTGTGACAAATCTACAGAGCACGCATCTCAGTAATAGACGTCAACCAAATAGACACGTAAATACTTAAATTTGATAGTTTAAAAGTATTGATAGTTTCTAAAAAAAAATTTCATGCAATGTAAACTTTTTTGCTGACGGAGCATAAGCATAGCGGGCACATTCTTGGAACATGAGAGACTTTTGGTTCAGCCTATAGCTATGAGGAATAACCGTTTATGCCAACCAATAAAGTTGTATTGTGAAGACTTAGATCTCATCCAATTCCGCGATTATGCGATGAACAGTATCCATGTGTAAAGTCAAATAAGCTGAAAATTCGTCGTTCCAACATCAATCAACAATGAAATAATTGAATAATATATTTCAGGGCTAAAATTTGGCGGTCGCACGGTCGCACGGTCGCACGGTCGCCAGTGGCGAGTTAAAACTGACCAGGGCCACCAAAAGTTAAGGTTTGAATGCCCGATGTGCGACTACGCTACAGAACTTCGAAAAGTTGCAATGTAAATTATGCGAAGTGCAAAGTTAGAAATAAAACTCAACATGTAGTTTAACTACACTATTTGTAAAAATTTTTGTGTGAGACAAGTACTTTTAAAAAAACCCAGAGGTCTGAGAGGAAGGGGTCTGAACCCCCATACCCTTCCCCTGGGTCCCTAATCACAAACCGACGCAAGATACATTGTGTTAGTACTATTCAGGTATGTTAGAGAAGATTGCCACTAACTAATATGAACATTGTCTTATATTTCTTCCAGTACCAGTGCTGTATCATGAGTTAACCCAGCCTCACTAAAAGTTTGTTCTACTTCAGATAACTGTTTTCTAGGGTACGTCGTTAATAAAATATGACGAGAGGGCGAATAGCCCAGCCAATCAGCATATGTAAACAGCACCTGTAAATAAAAGAGTAACAAGTTGGGGATAAAACAGGTTATATGAATAAAAAACGGTCAAATCTCTGATCAAAAAGGGACACTCTTGTAAGCGGAAAACTCAGCTACCGATCACCTCGACAAAAAACCCTTTGAAACCTCATATTAACTCTGCATTTGCACATTCAGATAAGTTAGCCTGTATCAGACTCTCGAAACAACTGTTGTAGTTCTGTCGTTCGTCTCAGCTGTCTCTTAGAGCCTATAAGAGGCTGTCGAAAAAGAACTCAGTCTGTAATCTTTGAGCGTTAAGAGATACACATCTCGTCTACTTTAATTTGGGCTTCCATGACGAAATGGCTGGTCTTATATTTCGTTCGAAATCCGTTAGCAAGTTATGGCGTGCTGCAAAGCGTTTTGAAAGGTGACCTGCACACAGGCAGTGGTAGATCGACTCAAACGTGTGTGATTTATTCATAACATCCGAATTTCCAAGAAGAATCTGATAACCCTTGAAAAATTATAAAAGATCCCTGTGGACATTCTGGTGAATACCAAAGGTTCATAAAAATAGCAGTGTCTGATGAAAAATGTCCTGTAAATCTGTGATCGACGTTTTTAATAAATACGGACGTGAGGAACATGCATAATGCGTCTGACTTGACAGGTATACTAAATTCAACATAACAAACCAAAATCGAAGAGGGCGTCAAGTAATTGTTACCTTAATTTGGGACTGCACCACAAATCTCCTCTTATTAACACTTCCATCAGGACAACGAAGGGCAACAGTTATTACCTGATAAAATAAAAGTAAACATTGCTTATAAGCCTTTCATTTTTGTTAATGAAGATATTTTGGTTAAAACTTCTAGGAACAACAAGCTCATGCTGTTACCCCATTCTCCTTAGGATCTGGCTCTTCAGGCAACTGTAATAAAGTAAAATAAATCATGTAATTTTTTTTAGGTTAACACATGTGCACCTTATGTTGCAAATGAAAATAAGAGAAAATGTAACCTACACCTGATATCCATGAACTATACAAATATCACAAAAAATTTGAACACAATTAAACAAACGAACCAAATGTGTGTCGAAAAATACACAGAGTCTGGTGTAACAATGTCCTAAATTACATGGGGTCATGCAGTTGTAATTACAGTATAAACTGCAGGTACATTTATATACTAAGACAAAAACTTTGTTCTCTAAATTTCCCTGAATAACTCAATAAGGTCACAAGACTAAAGGAAATGATCCCCAACAAAAGAGGCCCTTGATTCTAAAACAAATTTTCCTTGTCAGTACCTTAGGAAATTTATAGGGAAGAGTATGGAGAATGTGTATAGTGATGTTAGGATGTAAAGGGTTAATGTTATACTTCTTCATGTGGTACGTTAAGAACAGCATAAACATAGATTACCTCACGACTCTGTCTGTTTCTCCTTTGACGCACAGAATCTGTTTCAGTCTGTTCTTTTCTAGACATGCACCCATTGTCAGTGAAGTTTGAGGTACCATCATTATGTGGAATCTGTTCTGTGTTTGTACCTTCTTCTGAGCTAGGATCTTCATGCAGCAAAAACTCTTGGGATAAAAAGTCTTCTTCAGCTTGTTCTTCAACATGTCCCTTCTGATCAAGCAAAAAGCAATTTTGGGAAAAAATTACTGTCACTGTAGTCTTTAAGGGGATTAACCTCAACAATTCAACACTTTTTAAAGATAATAACAACAAAAGCAACTTAGCTTAAACCACAGACTTAATCATACATAGAAATTTTGTTAAGAGTCACTCAGGCCATGCACTTTTTATTACATCCACTCTGGTAAACCAAGCCTTTCAGAGTTTAAGACTCATGCTGAAAATTCATATTTGAACTTGTTTGAATACTATTAATATAACCCTCTATTCTTTTTATTATAATTCTACTTTGTGTATTCAAAAATACACTTAAAACATACGGAGTTTATAAAACCTTTTAACATACAGCTGTAATGCACTTAAAACTCAGCTGGCAAATCTCACCCCTAATCTTTGACCCTTCCCTCTCCACCTGCTGTCAAACTTGTAGAACTCTGCCTCTCTTTTTGCTTTAAGAATCTCTTCTCTTGGATCTAAAATGTTCTCTCTATAGATGTCAACCTAGAGAAATTCAAATGTCTCTCAATTAGCTTTGTGGATGCAAGTGTAAATGTAGAAAAGAACACAATATTAATCCAATGGACACTAGAATGCAGCAATTTAACACAATTTCAGTGAAACTAAACTATAAATTGCTACCTATTGAAGTTTCATTCTAACAAGCTTTGTTCAATATGTTCAAGTTTGATTCAGCTCAGTGGTTGATGGGGAATGTTCCACTGTAGTATGATAGAGTTTGCTTTCGAGAAATTATTGTTGTCAATGTTTCCTCCCACTATATTTTTATTTTCATCTCTGCCACCACGCCATTTGTTATGTTCATATTAATTTACCTTATTATCTTGCAGGAATTGTTTCATTTCCAACGCTCTTTGCCTTCTTTCTTTCAGTTCCGTTTCAGAATATTTTACTAATAAAGACAAAACATGCGCAAATAATTCTATGGAAATCTACTCATAATTTTAGTATTATTGAGGATATCAACCGTGTTTTAAAGGAATTACACTAACTGTTGCAAGTGATTCAGTAAGTTTAAAATAAACAGCTTTACGGGTGCTTAAATCGCATTAATTACGATTTCAACACCTGGCAAATGAGCAACAAAAATAGTCATATGTAGCATCAGCCATGCCACGAAAAAAATTACGGATATTTTGTTGGGATACATCCAATCCCATCTAGGATACAATGAAACTTGACCATGAGCACGCTTTGTTGGCAAACTGATCTTGAGACAGTTGATCACGTAAACAGATATTCACGTTTGTACACGTAGGATACCTTGACTGGTCTGTTGTTCGTCGGGAGAATTATGGAAAAATTTTCCCAACAAAATACTAATCGGCGAGCCAAACAAATGCATTAGGAAGGTCAGGAACCCAAAGCCGATGAACATCCATAAGAGAATCATTTTTAGAGTAATTGCGTTAAGTCCACCCCACACAGCGAGCCCTAAGACACCACAACCAGCGATTAGGACTATCCATGTTTTGTCGAACGCCATATTGTTGACAAATTAAAGGAGCCTGGAGAGAAGACAAGTTTCCAAGCTCACTCAAGCTCGCCCCTTAGGAGGAGACCGGTGAAGAGAGTCTCGTTTCCGTGTCTGATGTCATCATTTCAACATGGCGACTCTATGTAGGGTATTGAGGAAAAGTTTGTTGAAAAATTCACTTTTTCAAGCCTCTAAATGTTTAGGAATTCGAAGTTTTTCGGTGGATGTAGACGATAATGTATCAGGGATCACATCTGAGCAAAAACAGGTTCGTTTTAAGACATTTGTTGTCATCAAAACACCGTTCGTTGGTAACTACGTCTTTTCTTGCGTGTAAAGTCGTTCGATCTTATGCAATTCCTGACACACCTCCGACACACCTCCAGTCCTCTGCTCTCAAGCCTGATTTCCTCAAGGTTGAAAAATCTCTTACGATTTTATGTTTTTCTGTTTTTCGGTGGATAAAACAAATTCGCCAACCTTCTCAATTGCTCGAGAAAAAATTTTGAGGTACATGTGTATGCAGAAAATATATTCGTTCCCTCTAGTCGTTTTGGTCACTCACAGAGCTTCCCACCCTAAATCGGTTAAATTCCAGAAAAGCAAACAATTTAAAAATGGTAGTTAGGTGATATCCTCTACCATTAAAGGGAGACAGCCGAAAAAGGACAAAAAACACAATCTAACTTGTTGTGTTAAATGCCAATATCAAATAGCTTCATGATCTTTGATCAGCGTGGGCAGAAGTTTCTCAGGACATACACGTAGTAAAACGTTCACTGAGGCTACGATAACAATTCTACCACATTGGAGTATGAATTTGATATTTTCTCGAACAATGCTTCATTTTGTTTTAGAAATGAACAACGTTTTTAGACTCGTCACTTGAACACCTGTTAATTCTGATCAACACCTTCATGGTGTTGTTGTAAACGAACAGTACTTTAGTGAGAAAGGTTTCTCAACTTTATTACCTATTTACAGTCTGTAAGTCTGATCTTTAAAGTATTTGTCTTTTCAGTCAACATGACTCTTGATTTCAGGCGACACACTTTGTGTTTACATCAGTTAAAACAAATAAATTCCGTATTGCTGCAGGTCTGTACAGTAATAGGTCACAGAAGATGTCAAATTGTGGTAAGAACTTCAATGACATATGTGTACTGGGCCACATCATGCGTGCCGCGTGCCCCTTATTTGTTATTACCACATTTTAACATCATTTGTGATCTACTGTGGAACAGAAATGCAGCAACATGGAATCTATTTATTAATTACAGAGTAGATCATATTACTCAGAGAAAAGAAGTGAGAGGTTGTTCCCTCACTCAAAAAAGGAATAGAAATTTTATGACAGCCAGAGTCCTTGGTTTTTTACATGTAGCTGAAATTCATGCAGCCTGTAAACAAGTTCTTTATATAATCATGGAAATGTAAGCTATATGAAACTGTATATTCTTTCCAACAGTTAAGAGAGACGGTCAGCAACTTCTGTCAGAAGGAATTAGCCCCATATGCTGATCAAATTGATAAAGAAAATAACTTTTTACAGTTAAGGGTAAGTTCACCAGTGAGAAGACCATCTACTGATCTATGTGATTTCATGATTTGTATTTTGTCTATACAGTTAATTCTTTCTAAAAGTGGCGCCCCAAGACGAGTGTTTATATGAAGGATGGAACTTTTCTTTTAGTTGGTTAATCAGCTATAAGTTGATGAGGCAAATGAATTGCTACAATAAATTTTGAAAAGATAATCATAGCTACGGCAGATTACCTTAAAAGGGAAACCTCCATTCCATCAGAAAAGTTGTACTTAAAATATACAAACTGTATCTTTAATTATTTTTAAGTGTCAAAGGTTTTCATACATTATACCTATAACTATGGAAATAGAAGTTACTGTACTTAAAATGAGTAATGAGTACTTCAGCACTGTAAATGTTCAATACAATTATTTATTTTTCAATTTCCAGGATTTCTGGAAAAATCTTGGTCACTTAGGACTTTTAGGAATAACAGTCCCAGGTTTGTAACTCCTAATTTGCCTGTTATGTAGTAGTTATGATAAAGAAGTTAATCATGCCAAGACACCTTTGCCACTTGTAATAGCTCTCTGTTGAGTTTTATCAACTGACCTTTAAAGCAATATATATATTTGACCCTTTTGAAGAGCAGCAAATTCTGTGCAAATTACTCCAATGTGTTGGACAAAACAACCCTCCTAATATTTCAAAATTATGATTTACCAAGTTTACATTCACTCTTAATCTTTAATCTTTAATCACAGTTCGTAACCATACATCGAACAAAAGTACAAAAATGGTTGAATATCAATTTTGGGATTATTACCTAATTGATCTGATACCAAATTCTCCAAACTAAAATAATGAGAATCATTTGGCAGACAGTAAGGATAATTACTAATGAGATCTTGGGAGTTAAAGGGTTAAGAAAGGTCAAGTTAGTAATCAAGCTTAACAACTCACCTGACCAGAGCCTATTCCAGTTTTCATGGATTGCAGCACAGCGTTTTGTCAGGCTACCCCAAACAGTTCAGCAGTACCCATTTAGTACTATTGAGACAGGCACTGTGAGAGTTGAACTGTAAGTGTCTTGTCCAAGAACACAATGAGACCCCCAGGTCTTGAAGCTAGACATCTCAAGTGTGAATCCATGAGTGTGCTAGCTGTTTATTAAGGCCGCTACATTTGTTTCCCCCATGGGAATTGTCAACCTGACACTTCCTGTTATTGCCACCAAAATGAGTTGTTTATTTCCTTTCAGGAAGGCAGCAATTTTTTTTTTTGTAGTTATTAGTATAACATTATCATACATTTCCTCATAATTTTATTGATACTTTATGTGTGAGCTCTTGCATTCAGCAAAAGTTAGGGCTTCCCCTTTTTGTGTTCTAGGTTCTATTTATGATAAGTCATTTCATTTGTGTAATTTTATCTCAGAACACTTTGGTGGGTCTGGCCTTGGATATTTGGACCACTGCATTATTATGGAAGAGATGAGCAGATACTCTGCAGCAATTGCTCTCAGTTATGGAGCACACTCTAATCTGTGTGTCAATCAAATTTACAGAAATGGTAGTGATACTCAAAAAGAAAAATACTTGCCTAAGGTTTGTTGTGAATGAAAGAGATGGATAATTCATGTATTAAACATCTTGTAAATTGGAAGAATGCTTAAATAATTAAGGGTTTAAGATGCACTTCGTGAACTAGTTATTACATGTTAGAGCTAATTTCAACAAATCCCACTTGGTCTTTTAAGAATAATTTCTCGTCATAAAAATCATGAATTAGAATAAGGTCATGCTTTTAACATGCAATAATCTCTATTTACCTAAAATTTACTCTTAAATGTTCATGGAAAACATTTCAACCCAACATGAAAGTATTAATTTTTAATCAACAATTGAAAAGTTTTGTCACAAAAATTCAGGAATCTTATTTCAAATCATCATCATCATCAATTCATTTTACTAAGTTTCTACTCATTTTATTTATTTGCCTATTTCATTATTATTATTATAATTTCCAATGTCTCTCAGTTGTTGAGTGGTGAACACATAGGTGCCTTAGCCATGAGTGAGACAACAGCAGGATCTGATGTTGTGGCTATGAAAATTAAAGCAGACAAGAAAGGTTATAATTGTTTTTTGTTTGTGTGCTTTTGTTTGTGTGTGTTATTAGCGGTACAGATGCATGTAGCCGTATTTTTATGGAAAGCCTTAATGTCTCCTGCAATAAGACATCTTGATCTAATGTGCTCATTCCCATTACCTGTGAGAACTGTGTGCAAAATAGGTGTCTCGTTGAACTGCAGGCCACAAATCAAATTTTTATTGGATCTGAAACTTTGTAACAATTATATATATTGTGGGTTGGTGATGCAGTCAGTTATAGAGGAACTTGTACGCAGTTAAAAGCATTTCTCAAAAAGAAATAAATATAAAACTTACATGTAATTTAAACTTTAATAACCCCCCATTGTAGTTGGAGCTAATCAGACTAGGAAATAATGTTTTGATTAAAAAACAAAAGATTTAAATGAAAATTTTTTGTATCCTTTTAAGTAGATAGTATGCTATATATACTCGTAATAGAAGGAGTGTGACCCTTACTGTTTCCTTCAAGTTGAGTTGGTCTGAAGAATATTTTCAAGTATGCTGCATATTTTGTGGTTACAAATGAATTCATTGCATTTCATCAGAGTTCTATGTTATTGGAACACAGGAAAGCTCAACTCACATCAATGTTTGCTGTATATGTAATATTGTTAAGTGAAAAATGAAACACTATAAGAAAACAATTTACTAATAGATCTTTAATTTTAGGGGATTATTATGTTCTAAATGGAACTAAGATGTGGATTACAAATGGACCTGATGCTGAAGTCCTGGTAGTTTATGCCAAAACTGATCCCAGTAATCCTAAGCCACAACATGGAATAACTTGCTTTTTAATTGAAAAGGTACGCTTGAAAATTTTTAATTGATCAATTGCTGAACCAATTGAGAATTGACTGTTATTGAGCTTCCTTCAATGACATTGAAATTGCATGACGATATTTTTCATGGAAAAGTTTAATGACATTCATTTGCTAAAGCAAAAAAAACCTTTTTCTTCATGGAGAAAACATGATCCAGCTGACTACTCTGACTCTCTCTCTCCATGTTTACACACTTCTAGGGTATGGAAGGTTTTACCACAAGTCCTAAGCTGGACAAACTCGGAATGCGAGGATCCAACACCTGTGAATTGGTATTCGAGGATTGTAAAGTTCCAGGTAGCATATTATAATTTGTGAAAATTTTCTCCCATGGTGCAAATTGTCATAAGTTGAATATAATTTTATTAACATTATGTGCCTTTATGTTAATTTTAAGCTGCAAATGTAATGGGAGGTGAAGGAAAAGGTGTTTATGTTCTAATGAGTGGTTTGGATTTGGAGAGACTTGTGCTGGCAGCTGGACCTGTAGGGTAGGTTTTTAAAACTACAGTTCTGTATAAACTGGTGTTATTCTTCAAATGGCAAGTTTCCACCATGTTTGAAAACAGGGTAGCTGGTGAAAACTATTTTAACATGAAGAAAGAAAATATCACCAGAAACAGGCTTTCATGGTAACCATGTATCAACCTCTATTAGTTGGCAACTATTTTCAGCATTTGGAACATTGTCTTCTCAAACTGAGCATGATTTTTACATAGGTCAGTGGAAGCCATTGTTATGTGTGTATGATATAGGGAAAGAATAATGAATGATTTCTGCAAAAAATAGAGTATTACAGTTATTATAACATTTTGACTTGTGTTCAAAATATTTTCCATCAGCTGAGAGGTAAACGAAAGAATTATAAGTGAAAACCTTAATTTGAGTGTCAGTGTGACACTAAACAGCCCTGACCAGAACCAAAAAAAACATTGACATTTAGCATCTGAAAAGTTAAAGGGTAATTCTTAAATTTTGAATAAAAAATGATAAGCATATATTGCAATAGACACCAGTGCCACTGTTGTCACCTGACATGAATGAAGCGAGACCCTGTGTGTCGGTCTGCAGTCACCCTCTGTATCAACTGTTGTACTGCTAAGGTGTATCAAGTTTAAGCCATATATTTTCGGACCCCTAGGGTGATGCAGGCATGTCTGGACGTTGCATTCCCTTATGCTCATCTACGAGAGAGTTTTGGAAAGAAAATAGGTGAACATCAGGTAAGGCTGAATGTCAAGAATATGGTCTTATAATGCACAGATATTAATCTCTCCAACTGCATGCTTTTAATCGACGACACCACTGCCTGCTTGTGCTTCAGCAGAGCGTGAGTGCCATAGGCGACTATCTTTTATCTTAATGGACTTGCATAACTTTACTATTATGAAAGGTTTTGTGGCACGCACGATATCTGTGACAAAAGCCTTCAGGAAACCCAGTGTTTCTTCTACGAGTACAGCTTTGAAACGGTGGCAGAGTGGTTTACAGATTCATCCATGTTGTCCTTTCATTTTTTTTCTTTTCAGTTAATTCAAGCCAAGATGGCAGACATGTACACGCGCCTGAGCGCATGTCGCACCTATGTTTATTCAGTAGCTCGTGCGTGCGATACTGGGCATGTTAACTCCAAGGTACATGTACAACTATATTCAAGATGGAGATCTCGTGTTTCATAAGTGTTCGGTAGCGTTTTTATGCAAACACAACATACGTACAAGTACAGAATGAGAACTCAAGGTTTTCAGATGTACGGTACAAATTAGTTATTGCCTTGTTTTGACACCTTGCAAAACAACCCATATGAAGTTGGTGGAGGCCTCCAAATATTACATGTAGTTCAGAAAGATAGAAAAACACACCACATAATCCTTGTATCTAAACTATGTACGTTGCTTGTTTCCAGGACTGTGCCGGTGTGATTCTTTATGCTGCTGAAAATGCAACTCAAGTTGCATTGGACGCCATTCAAATTCTGGGTAAGTCTCTTTCTCTCTATCTCTCTCTCGCCTCTCCGATTAAATTAAATAATTAGTTTGCTACCTTTCCTTTTTTTTTTTCTTTCGTCAAGCGGGTAACCTGTGGCGGAAGTCTCTATTTAAACGCAAGTACACATAGCACAGATCTAGCATTTAAAAATTATGCAACACACTACGCTGGCTAGCAGCTTCATGACAAGAGCTACCGATGCAATGAGTTCTTGAGGACCAGAAGTTGCCTTCGTCTTAACTGAACAGAGAACGTGTCTTGTTTCTTTGACAATTTTCGGTTTATTATTCTATGTTGTTACGCTTTTCCCATGCAGGTGGAAATGGCTACATAAACGACTACCCAACGGGACGATTTCTACGAGACGCGAAGTTATACGAGATTGGCGCCGGCACAAGTGAGATTAGAAGATGGCTAATTGGAGAGAAAATCAACTCACAGTTCCTTTAGTTACCCTCAACTATAATATATTACAGATCTGCTCTCAAAAATCCTGCGCCGGGATTATCTCTAATTTATGAAAGAACAACGCGTAGAAGAAGGAGTGATGAGCACATAACCTTCGAGAAAACGTGAATAGCGTAGTCGTATTTAAAATTATATATATTTTTGTTATTTGGTGGAATTGAACTGAGTCCTTTTAAAAGTATTTAAGTATTTTTTTCAAGATTAATTCTTAGTCTTTGGCATGTAGAGTACTAGTGTCATAGGCCTGGTCGTGGATTTTTAACAGAGGATTCAACACCAGTGTTCTATTACAAATAGGAAAAACATCTGGAGTTTCTTATTCTTTATACCTTGGGGGTTACATACCACGGTATCCAAAGCCCGCTACACGACTACCTGACAATATTCTGGCCAGCCCAATAGAGCGGCCTAAATTTCAAAGATAGAAAGATGTAAAGGGGTGAGCTTAAAGTGAGCACCTGTTCCTGCGATTCAACGGAGCGTTGTAACGGAAGATGGTACAAAAGCCAATCACAAGAGACTCAAAGAACCAGCACGGCAAAGGCGTACCTGATTTTTTAATTTCTCCAATGAACATAGCTATGCAATGAATGACAAACTTAGCACAAGGCCCCTAAGGAACTGTTTCATCTGTTGTCATGGAAGATGAAAGAAGGATCCTGAAGTCTCTGCGTGACATCAAGGACCTGCTGGACCGTTTTAATCCAAGCCTTACCACCAAATTTAGTATCAAAAGTCTTCCAACGCTTGTTGTCGAAAACACATTTTCAGAAATGAGAAGTGGTGCCTTTGACATGCCCCTACAGCTTGAATTCGATTACAGATTCAGCAGGGCAATCAAAGAACGATTGAAGAGGCAATGTTTTACACCATTTGCTTACTTCACAGCTCCCAAGTCCTATTACCCACAGGTTTTCACCACCACATATTACAATGATTTACCCAAGTTATGTCCTCCAAAGGCACACAAACTATCTGAAAAGCAGGTGATTTAATGAGGAACCAAGTTATGTCCCCAGAAAGCTCCAAAACATGCCAGATTGTCTGTGTTAAACAGCCCCTGATTCCAGTGATAAGCTCCCAGTCAATTGTTTTTACATAGTGGCCTTGTCTATTCAAGAGTTCATAATGTCTACAAGAGAATGTGAGAGTTGGCATGAAGAGGGTGAAAGCCAAAGTGTTTATTCAAGATCCTTTCAATTCAGTGCTGTTCACGGAAGATGCAGAGAGACATGTCGGTGTGAGAAACGTTGTTTGTGCCCTAACCTGCTATAACTACCGTGAAGATACCTTAGAGCTTGAAGAAGGTGATCTTATCCTTCTCCTTGATGTGCTTCACCATACCAATGAAGTCGTCACTGTCGCAGAGGCAGCTGAGTCAGTTGAGATGACAGAAACGGCAGTCGATGAAGTACAGCATGAGCGGATTCCAAGGAGAAGAAAGAGGCGGTTCGAAAGTGATTTTTTCTACTATGAATAGAAGGGTACAACAAGCAAAAGAATATGGGAAACAATAATAAACATTTTGGGGGATCAAGGGAACAGGGCAAAAATTTTCGGGATCAAGGGTACATGAGTTGAAAACATTTTTGGGAACAAGGGGTTTTATTAATGGGGAACAAGGGATCAAATCCAAAAAGATTAAGGGATCAAGGGAACACGCACCCCCTCTGGGAGGGGCTCATAAATGAGTGAGAATACCTACTGTTATTTATGAAGATGAAAAAGGCAAATATTATTGTCTAAAATCTCTCTGAAAAATTTTCGGCTTCCTGTTTGTAGAAGGCAAAAGACATTTCCGAAATATTTCAGTTATCCACAGGTTTCTGGAAAAAATAAACGATAGTCATAAAAGCGCTTGAGCCTTTGGTATTTAACTCGTTATGGTGGCGTTGTGTGACTTTATTGTGACAATTTAAACGGATCAGCTTTTCCAAAAGTGTTGGTCGAGCCTGCTATGTCTGAAAATCATCGCTTTTCATGCATTATGATGATGAATTCGTGATACGGCCTTAATTAAATGTTATAGGTAGATCATGTCATGTTGATATTTAATTCCAACCGAAATGCATATTGTAGTTATGTCGACCATCACATTATTTATCTCATCATGAATAAGGAAAAAAAAAATAAACAGTCGTCAAAGAAGAGAGGGTTTGGTTTATGTCCTTCCGACGTAAAGGAAACTTACTAAGGTTAGGAAAGTGCAAAAACTGAATACTCGATATGGCGAAGAGGAGTATTAAACACTTACTTGAACTTCTATTATTTTGCCGAAGGCTGAAAAGTAGCTGCCTTTGGTTCGAAAAGTTCTCCAGGGCAAATTTGTTGTGTTTGATAAACTTTTTAAGGCTCTGAATAAAATTATCCCTATTTTTGCTTAGGGTTAGCGTATTTAACGTATTTGCTCACATATACGATTAGGCTCCCCCTTTTACATACCAGTAATGAACCAAATGATGCTCTTTTCATCACGATGTATACCACTGAAACTAACAGGATGAAAACTCCATATCTAAATGAACCTTGCTGAAATGTTGTGACTTAACTAGTAACTTAACAGGGAAAAAAACCCTTTGAATTTCTATAACTTGTTTTCAGCACCAATAAGGAACGTCAACTTGACCTGATATCTAACTCTTCGGTACCCAAATTGTTTACTTATTTGTCGATCTCTAAAAGCTGCAGCAAAGCATTTGAGCTTCTTGAACCGAGAGGCCCTGGAAACCAGAAGTCTCATCACGGCTGCTTCTTTTCCGAGAATTTCCGGAAGTGCTTTTAAGTATGTTTTCTCAGAGAAGGACAGTCATGCCGCAAATCAGAAACAAGCTGTTACGTGGCTTGTACGCAGAGGCAGAATTTGACAGAGAACATGATGAAGTGAATGAGATAGAAGCAGCCGTAAGGCACCTGGTTAACGAAATCGCGGAGACAATCAGCGAGAAAGAGCCACTTTTCAATAATACAGTATTGCAGAGTGGAAGCTTTTATGAAGACCTCAAAGTTGAGGGACCCAATGAGTTTGATTTTATGCTTTGCTTGGAGAATTTGTCGCAACCTGACGTATGTGAGGTGAAGGAGATTCCGTTTCGATCAGTTCGGGATCCAGGATATGTTCATGTTCAAGTGAAAGACTCGGGCTTGCGACGTCGATGGCAGGGATACATCTCAAAGAAAGAGAACCTAAAACCTAAACCTATGCTGGAAAAGTTTCAAGCTCTGGTTAACGATGCGCTTGTGGAGAAAAGAGAGCATTTTCATAAGAAGCTATCGACAAATTTTGAGGTAGAGCTTAGAAAAATCCCTGTAACATTGAAACTCGTCTGGAATGGAACTAAGTACCAGAACTATGAAATATCGGTGGATTTAGTCCTGTGCATCAGGATGGCAGGATGGCCGAACGATTCCGATGTGAACAAACGGTATAACAGATTTCATCCCAGTTACGAGATGATTCGAAATGCAACTCAAGACGGGTATCATCTCATTGCGTCTTGCATCGGAGAATCAGGAAAACCCAGGCCTTGCTGGCGCTTATCGTTTTCGAGAGCTGAGGGTATTTTGCTACAACACCTCAGCGAAATGTCACCACTCCTCGTACACAAGACAGCGGTCAAAATCTTGAAAGTTCTGCGAAAGAAAAATGAGTCTGAGCTCTGTCTTTACGAGGTGGAACCGGATTTCAGTGATCCTGATGTTGTTCTAGAATATTTAGGAGTACCCGAAAGTTCGTATGTAATCACCTGGGCTTTCCATTCATACATCTTGAAGACAATGTTTCTACACGAATGGTTTGAGTACCCCGAAGATTCTCATTGGACCCAAGAAAAACTTGCTCGACGAATCCACAGTATTCTAGAAAGAATTTTCAAAAGCCTTTCAAAGAAGGATATTAGAAGCTTTTGGTTGCCGGAGTACAAACTATTTAACTTTCGGGCAAGGCGACCAACCCGAACGAAGGCATGCGAAGACAAACTTTCTTCACTGATAACGAATTTCGCAGCCCTCACAGTTTCAAAAAGCTAGTTTCCCATGCAATCAATACAACAATTAAATTTTTATGCATTTTTTCAAAATTTCGCAGTGGAAATAATCGAAAGAGACGAAAAATAATTGGAAATGTAACCCCAAAGATCTCCTTCGAAAAAGCATTGGTCCTGTTCTTGTTTTGATTTTCAAGTAATATTAATGATTTGTTCTGCACGTAATCAGTATAATTATTCTCAAGATTACCCAGTTTAAGATACTCGATTTTATTATAACACCAGGTTAATAACTTAGTGCCTGATTTTTTAAGTGGGTCTATAAAAGAAACTTTTTTGTTAGCAGTGGCTTACGTGCAGCAAGCCTGGGTACTAAATAACAAATCGATCGCAAGTCAGACATTTTCGTTGGTTTTCCGGTTGCTAAGTTTATTAGAATGTACGCAGGAATCGAAACCATCAACAGTTAAGGAAAAACCTTTCAGTTTCTGAGAAAGACACCGTGTCGCGAATGCTTTGTTTGAATGAAAAACAGTTTGAAAAATATAGCGTTGTCATAATAACGATTTTGTCATTCAGCTGTTTGGATGTTGTCAAACTTGCTCGACGAAGACTGCCCTAGTCTAAGACATTTCATCTTACTATAACGCCAGGCTTATAGTTTTAAGTCGGGATTTCCAAGTGAGTCTCTAAAAACCTCAGAAATTTATTGCAAGGGTGAATTACGTCGCCGATCACAACAATTAAAATAGACTGGAAGTCGAGTCATTTTGCATTGTTTGATTTCAAGGTTATAAGGTTGTAGACAGGAATCAAAACTAGCGGGGAAAAGACCTTTAAGTTTCGAAAGACACCTTGTCGGGAACGCTTTGTTTGAATAAAGGGAATTTTTATATGGCAAGGAAGTCCTGAGAGCGCTTGGTTCTTACTTGGTCGGGATTCTGCGGTCATGAGCCATGTATTTTTCATTCAGCTGTCTGGATGTTGCCATCAGTGTAACAATAGAGTATTTGTTGTGTTCGTGCATATTGATGGCACTCAACATTGGGCTAAGTCACGCAAGGCTGTACCAGGGGAATTCGAAGAGAACCTGCCAATAGGTTACCTTCCCGTACCATTACTTAACTGACTGTTATAGAGCGAGAGCTATATAGCCGGGAGCAATTAGCGAAGCTCGGCATATAAATCGCAGGAAGAAGTCACAGAAATCTTCATTTGACTTGAATGTCAGTAACCTGTCTGGCAAACTCTGTCGCTGCAAATCAAATTTCTCCCAAAAAAAAATCGCACAATTCTAACTAGCTGGTTTGGATTCGTGCAACGATCGGAGTCCATCACCATCGATACTCGCAGTATCACAACAAATAATATTGCATACATGATTAGCTAAAATACTGAGACACAGTTGAACTTCATTCAAGATCCTATGCATTTATCAAGCATCACACTCTGCAGAGCTTTGTACGGCCTATTGACTAGGTAATTTCTGCCGAATGGTTCTGCTTCTAAGTAGGATTAAGACATTAGTTAAGTGTGATAATTATGTGAATGTTTGCGACCCTTAAAATTGATCAAAACATCGAAGGAAGATATAATGCCATCGGTGAATGCAACTAATGCAAACCAAAGAAATTAGGAAAATAATCGCTTTCGACATGTAAATACATTTAAAAGAAAATTTAAAAAAACTTGTTTTGAAAATTAGATCGTGAAGTTTTGTATAAGTGATGTTAGGTTATGCAAGCAGGTGTTTGTTTGGGTACGTTTTCTAGCACGAAAATTGAAAAGTTTATACTCTGGAACCCAAAAGCTGCGAATGTCTTTGTTTTTGAGACTGCTTCGAATCCTTTTTAAAATACCCTGAACTCGTTCTCCAAGCTGATCAGAGCCCCAGAGCAAATCATCTGGAAATTCACACCATTCGTGAAGAAACATCGTTTTCAGTACATATGAATGAAAGACCCACTGTATTCTATATGAGACGTCCGGATCATCTGGATCTTCGTAGAGACACAGACCGCCTTCGTGCTTCTTTCGTAAAACTTTCAGAACCTTGAGTGTCGTTTTGTGAATTAAGCTTGGATCTCGACAAATGTGCTTTAAAACAATGCCCTCGGCAACGGAGAACGATAAACGCCAGCAAGGCCTGTGTTTCCCTGCCTCTCCAATCGTTGAGGCAACGAGATGGAAACCAGCCCCGACAGCTTTTTGAAAAACTTGATACCCAGGATGGCTTCCATCCCGAAGTCTCTCTCGTACGTCTGATGCTGCTGGCCATAAATTGGGACCTTTAATGCATAAAGGGAGGTCGAGGCATATCTCATAGTTAGAATATTTATTTCCTTTCCAGGTTAACTTGACTGTGACAGGTATCTTTCTAAGCTCAACCACGATATAATCATCAATATATCCTCTTAAATGACGCTTCTTTTTCATTACAGCTTTTTCAATGAGATCTTTGAATCTATTCAAGAGGACATCCGACTTTAGATTTCCACGTCTCGAAATGTACTGCTTCCACCGTTCGCTAACCTCCTCGTCTTCAATTTGTACATCTACGTAACCTGGATCAGGAACCTTTCGGTCAATATCTTTTATAACACAAACACCTGGTCCTGACAATTCCGTTAAACAAATCATGAAGTCAAATTCATCTGGGCCCACTGCTTTGAGACCTTCGAAATAGCTGCCGCTTGGAATGACAATATTCTTAAACAGCGGATCTTCGCCACCGATGTAATCGGAGACTTTTTGCACGAATCTGGTAATTTTTCTTTCGATTTCCTTTACCTCATTGTGATTCCAATCGAATTCTGCCTCCTGATAGAAACTTCGCAAGTATTTGTTGTCAAAGTGCTGCAACTGCGGCTGGTGAGTGGCCATTACTCTATGTTGCCGAGACGTATTCTATGAAATACTCCAGCTTTCGCGGAAGTACGGCTGACCAACCCCAGACTCACCACGGCCAAGTGGAAACTGGAGCTCAGGACTTTCTTGTGTAGGTGAATTACGTCGCAGAGCACAACAGTTAAATAGACTGCAAGTCGAGTCAATTTGCATAGTTTGATTTCACTTATACTGGTTGCCAGGTTACAAGGTTGTAAACAGGAATCAAAACTAGCAGGGAAAAAACCTTGAAGTTTCGTAAGACGCTTGTCGGGAAAGCTTTGTTTGAATAGAAGGAATTATTAAATGTCAAGCAGGAGCCCATCCCCGGCTCCTGATGTCAAGGCAGTCCTGAGCTTATATCCGAGCGATTGGTTCTTACTTGGTTGGGATTCTGCCACGGAAACGATCATGAGCCATGTATTTTTCTTCGCGAGAGCCAAAAGCTCACTCTTCCTTGAATATTAATTAACATTACCTTTATCCATTTATGATAAAATCGCTGCGAAAAGGTAATATATGGGTTCTGAATCTATGTAGGGCAAAAGATCAGCTACGTTATTTGAATGCTTGTGACTTCCTTGAACAATTCAGACTTCACTGAATACAAGGTTATCATCGTTGGCAAAGAAAGCCACAAAGAAACAGGAAATATTCAGTTAACAATTAAGTTGGCTTTTATGGCTAAGTGATTGTCAGTTCTTCGATAAGGAGTGCAAGGAATTTTTCGCAAGATTCTGTCGCGGTCTGTTTTCTGGCAAGAAAATTATAAAGTTTGTGATCTGGAACCCAGAAACTGCGAATGTCTCGATTTTTAAGACTACGATGAATCGTAGTTAGGATGCCTCTGACTCGACTGCGAAGCTGATCTCGATCCCAAAACGAATCTTCTGGAAATTCACACCATTCGTGAAGGAACATTGTCTTCAGTGTATACGACTGAAAAGCCCAATTTTTGCCATACGAGCCGTTGTCGAAAATTTCGAACTCATGGAGGCATAACGCGTGCGCGTATTTCTTTCGAAGAACTTTTAGGACCTTCAGCGTCTTTGTGTGAATTAGTCTTGGATTCTGACAGATCTTCTCCAAAACAATTCCCTCAGCAACTGAAAACGATAAACGCCAGCAAGGCCTGGGTCTTCCCGACTCTCCAATCTGTGAAGCGACGAGATGATAACCCGCGCGACAAGCTTCCTTAAAAAAGTCGTACCCTGGATGTCCTTTACGGACTCTTCTTCCTATATCCGACGCATTTGGCCATCCTCTTCTCTTGATACAGAAATGTTAAGTCAAAGGATATTTCGTAGTTAGGGTATTTCGTTCCTTTCCATCTCAAATTAATAGTAACAGGAATCTTTCTGAGATTTACTTCAACACGTTTATCAATTTTTTCACTTAATCGACGCTTTCTATTCCTTACAGCTTCCTGTATGAGGTCTCTAAACCTGTTCAAGAGGGCTTCTGGGTCCAGATTTCCTCCTCGTCGTAAAATGTAACGCCGCCATCGCTGCCGAACTTCTTCGCTATCGATTTGAACATGGACGTATCCTGGGTCGAGAACCGGTTGGAGTGGAATGTCTTTTATAATACAAACTCCCGGTTTAGACAAGTCGTCCAGGCAAATCATGAAGTCGAATTCATCAGGGCCCTCAGCCTTGAGATTTTCAAAGTAGCTACCGGTAGGAATAACTTTATTCTTGAAGAGCGGATCTTTGTGACCGATATATGTGGAGATTTCGTCCACCAAGTTGGTAATCCTTTCTTCGATTTCCTTTACCTCTTCGTGTTTCCCATCGAACTTTGCCTCTTTGTATAAATTTTCCAAGTATGCGTTGTTTAATCGTGTAGACTGTAACCGACGAGTTGCCATTACTACGTCGGAGTGGCGTCTCCTTCGTTGAAACCTTCTGGCTTTCTGGGAAGTATTGGTAACTAGCCCCAGATCGTCCACGGTCAAGTGAAAACTGGAAACGACTTGCATTCTAACATTCCAACAATCTCCCAGGCAATACAGTCAAATCACGTTGAGCTGATGGCCAACAGATCTGTCTATAGCTAGGTAACGATATTTAAGTTTATTAATCAATTTTTTTTAGAAACCAGTTATCGAGCAGATTTTCATTGACCATGGAATCCAATCGAAATAGTTTAGCAACACAGCTTCGCGGTAATATTCATAACCCTACGCATGAACATAGTCATGTCGCTAGAGAAAAGCATGCGTAGAAGGCCATCCTGTCCTTGTTGAAACCTCAGTTAGTGTGCTAGTGGACCCAGAATATTAAAAAAGAGGGACCGAATCAGTTAAACGCGGCAAGAACGCAAAATTAAGGCGAGTCCTATCATTTCCTCATGGGCATGCACCCCTAAGACACCAAATAGCAAGCACAAAAACTCTAACTGATAAACAAGAGGTCCCTCGCAAAAAGCAACATCTTCACGCTAAGTCTTGTATTGAATCTCGCTAGTTACTTGGTCAGAATGGCACCTTACGGGAGAAACAAACCTGCCACCATCAAAGTGTGTCCTGGTTGTTTAGGAGAGGGGGTTGCCTGAATCAGGTTCAAACTACAGCCTCTTACATCCTAGACGGAAAAGTTGGGTATTTAAGAAGTGATCGCTTCCAGGACGTAAGGAGATGGTTACATCAATAGGCTTGACTATACACAAAAACACTGCAAAAAAGATATGGTGTTCACCCGTTCGGAAAACAAGTTGTAAATATTTGAAAACGCGGCATTATTAACGTATTTTCTGACATTTTCCGAAAAGAAAATCCAAAGTTTTTCCGTTGTTTTCGAGTCAGCGAATTGGAGTATTCGTTCCATTATCCAGCAGTTTTCCTTTTACAGTTAACTCTAGGAAAACGATTGTTTCCTTAGTGTTAGGAGCGCGGTTAATAGACGAGAAAACGGTTTGTATTTCGTTGTTTACTGGTGTTTTCCAGTAACAAAACATCGTCTTCACACAAGTTTTCCGTCGAAGACAAAGCGTTTTCTTCCACTTTCTAGGACAGTAAATGCATAGTTTCTTGCAATGGCTTGTGCGGTAAACAGACACGGACAGGGAGACAATTGTTTACGTTTCAAAAATATTTATTCTGTTACAGGGCTACGCTGTCACGCACCATCAAACGTATAGCTTTCAAATTACCTCTGCACGTTCATTGAAATGGTTCTGCCGTGAAGTACAAATAGTTTGCCCTCTACAACAGGGCGTAATGTGAACAATTCCAGTTCTTAACCCTATCAGCCCCGTTCGTTGATCATCATCAATTTTCAATAATAATTTTAAGAATTACGAAGCTAATCATCTTTAAAATCTCATCAAACTTTACGAGTAATGAAACGAAGCTACTATAAAATAAAACCGTTAAAACAATCGTAGGGCTGAACGGGTTAATTGTTCAAACTAGTGCAATCAACCAAAAAGTGAAAGTCAACCGTGTGTGTAATTCTTACACTTCACAATGATTTGTGTGCAAACGAATAATTAACATAAAATATTTTTCAAAAATAATCTGAAGGCGCCTTAGCCTGGATAAAAAAAAAAAAAACAATTTTGAATGTAATACTTTCTATGCACAGCTTCTGTTACGCAGCTAGTATATTCTACAATGGCCAGATAGAAAGCTTGTCCTGAGTACTCTGCGGTAAATCAAACTCGATTCTGGTCGGTAATTATTTGATATTGTTACAAAAGACCGAGCGCGGACGTTTCTGAGACAGGTACGCCGCCAGGAAGTAACGACTTCCGATCAAATGCACTTCGACATCAAGGAACCGACTGCAAAGCTTTAAACAGTTTTAGCATCTCAATGCATATAGTTAAAAAAAACATCTGTTGTAAGCTCCAGCTAAGGAAAATAATTCTCAACTTCTGCAGCTTTTCTCGTCTCAAAAACGTCTATGCTCAGGCTCCTTATTGGTGACGGGCATTGAAAATCCTCTCCGGAAATTTTCGATCAGTTGTCGGAAACGTCCGATGACTACCAATAAACGCTATTGTTAATAAACGCCCGCTTCTTCAAATTCCCGGTCATTGTCTGATTCTTTCGTTTTTTTCTTTTTTTTTTTTGAGAATGATCTCGTTCAATATTTTGAAGTATTAAACACACAGCAAGGCGTTATTGAGCAAACTTCCACCATTCTATGAGAAGAAAAGCTTTGCTTCACCACTACTGTTAAATACAATTCATTTACATGCACTAGCTTAAACATGCAAGTCTTTAAATCAGTCCAATACGTTAAAAAGTTGGCAATCTTTACTAAACAATTAAAATTACTTTTGTTTTTTTGTGTGACTGCAGCAAAATTTCTGCCTCCAGTAATTTCCACCTTGTCTCTAAATATGTTTTATATAAATTTTTATCATTTTCTCTTTTTGAATTTTTTCACGGTTGTTTGTTCAAATGAAGACTAAAATGGGCTTCTCGTGAAGTGTAATTTGTAAATAGTGGGATACTGGTATCTCTGCTAACTAAGACCACGCCTCAAGCGTTGAGAACTCAAGCCATTACTTCGGAAACAAATTCTTAGAGGGCTCAGAAGAGTTGAAATCGCATATAGAAAACAAGGCCAATTTTTTTTAGACTTGCGTTTCTTTCATCTGTCACACTAGTCAGAAATGTCACAAAACGATCTGCCTCTTGTTAAAAAAAAAAAAAATTAAAGTCAATTCACAACCGTTGTGTACGACGCCAGAACATAAAATACACAATATAGACATTTCCAGGGAATAAGCACACGAAAACGGTTCTTGTCTATATTTTGGACCGTTAAAACAAGTCTGTTTATGCAATACCAGAGTGGGGATCTTACGGCAAGTACCGCTGACGATTTCAACCAATTCTTAGCCCGCAATAGAGAAACTTAGTCACTTCTATCGATAGTAGTTTTGACTTGAAAAACAAAAGAGAAATTTAACAGTTACAGCCAGTTAAAGACTGGTACTCTCTTAGTTAATGTAAACTGCCATGAAAATGTAATGCTCCGCGACTTTCAAAGGTTGCACAAGTAATGTGTCACGCGATGCATGGTAAGTGTATAATGTGTCACGCAGTTGACAAATGAATTTCAATAGCTATGTACTAGCAACAGTTTCCCTGTCCTCGTCAAATTCATGAATTGAGTGTTTCAAAATTTGGAAAACATGTTAAAACACATGTGTAAGTACGTGTTCAAATCGCAGTACTTTCGAGATAAGGATGTTTAAAACCCAAGGAATTCGCTCCTCATGAGTATAAAAAGTCTCAAAAATTTCTATAAAATTAATATGCATCTGACGGAAGTCTGAAGCTCCTTAATTTAAATCTTGTTCCCAATAAATTTAAAACCTCTCCTTTCTTTTATGTATATCTACCAAACTACGAATAATATTAATTAAGTAACCTTAAACAGAAGAGTGAACTTAGAAATCAGCACAGGAAGAATACTAATTTTGCTTTTGGGGGGGGCGGGGGGTCCACCATACCTTAAATTTAATTTTTTGCTAAACGTCTCTTGCCCCCGTCCCCTAACCAATTGTTGACCACCCCACCCCTTCCTAACCATTGAAAAAGCCTAATTTACCACTCAACTTTGCGAAATTCTTTGCCGGCGAAGTTTGGAAACAAACTTGCTGAACATCTTGCCAACTGATAAATCTCTCGTATGCTGCAGGAAAGTTGTTTTACGCGAAAATGGCAATAATCAGTTACATTCACAACACAAACGAATTGAGAGAAAAGTGTGTAGTTCACTCTCCTGTATAATTAACTTAACGTGCACACAAACTATAAATTAGATAATTATATAATGCTAAATCCGTTTTCTGCAATAACGTGTATTATTTACAACCTCTGCACCGGTTGGATGTTAGCAGCCCAACCAAAATTGTTCGTTGCTTTAGATAATTTACTTGGTTTTCTCTGGTATAATTTATCTGCGCACATAGGGTTGATAAACGGCAATCCCATTATAATTTCTCCCATTCAGTCAGATCGAGCGCACTCTTATATCTAAGGCGGCCCTTGACTAACTTACCCTAGCAAATGCTAGTTCTAAGAACACCCTTACAAAATAGCACAATAGTTCTTAAGTCTTCTCTAAGAGCGAATTTTAAGTAACTTCCTTTACGAGTCACAAAAATTGCTTTAAAAACACAGGGAAATAGGTAAGTCATGTCAACTCTCTTCTAACATACTTACAGTACATATTTTAAGTAAGGTAAGCTTTCAAGGAAGTCACCATTTCCCACTTTTACTTGCGATTCCAATCTGATGTCGTCTGCAGAATGGGAGAGGGCCAAAATCATTGTCCGAAAAAAGGCTTCCCGAGGGTCCAGTACGGTCCGTGGAATCGGAACTCGGTTGTTTTATTTCATGGCTGGGTTTCATTTTCAGGTCTGCGAGACGAAAGTTAATCAAAGACGATTAGCATAGGAAACAAATCGTTTGTTTCTAGGATTGCAAATAGGAGCAGAGGATCTCACTAGTATATCCTGACAAGCATTTGTCTTTGCGAAAAATGTAGAAATGTGCGTATAGAAATTTACCCAAAGCCTTTACACGTGTGCTGGAGTCTATTTCCCAGCCATTCTTAGAGATGTGAAGCTCTCCTGAGGGAGAATAGAGTAACTTGGCATCCTGAGGATAGGATATACAGAAGACCACAAGAGAGAAAAACGTCGGAAGATATCATGCAGTTCATGCCTTTTTGCTAGGGTTGAAAAATAAGCTAAAGGTAAACATGATAACTGTCGTGATTCTACGAGCTCCCACTAAATACCGAGTACCGAAAACAAGTTGAGAAACAAGTTAAGCAAGAAATATCCTACCTGCCTTTGAATAACTTAAAATAACTTTGCAAATGAAGCTTTCAGGAGAATAAATTTCATACGTTGTCCGCTAAAAGCGTAGGTCAGGTACATATCTTCTGGTTAAAGTAGCGACTAAACTTGATAAAAAGAAAGTATCACTTCCTGTTCAGTGACAGTACCAATAACTCACCCTGAATTGTCAGAAGCATTTTCCTCCGCGCACCAAAAGCAGCTATTCCCAGTTCCTTAAGGTCGTCGTCCGTCAAAGTCAGGAACGTTGGCAAGTCAACCTTCGCGAACACAAAATTTGTCTTTGAGATAAAGCCTTTACAGTATTCGCTATACTTAAAAAAAAACCAGCTTCTCTCTCTTTCCTTTTTCACTGAATGATCAAATATACAGGGCCTCAAATATCACGCGATGGTGGAATTTCGAACGATAGGCCAAAAATCTCATCCGTTTGCATATTCCGAGGAATAGAATTACACAATTAGAGTAAAGGAAACTATGAAAATAAAAGGGAAAAATTCCAAAGCTGAGGATTTACAGTATAGTAAGGTTACTTGAAGGAAAAGAAACTTTTGCGAAACATCTGGAAAATACTAAGGTTTTTGCTGTTCTGAGAGAAAGCAAGTAAATGTAACTTACTTGCTTGTGGTGGAACCTACCTCTTGTTCTTGGAAGGTCCTCAGGTACTTTTCAAGACCAACTTTCTCAAACAGGTCCCGAAGATCTGAGGGTCACAGAATCATAATAAATAATTACGAGAGAAAAATAACTTATCGGCGATGACCTATTCAGGACTGTATTTAAGGGCAGATGAGAAGATATTCAAGCTTCAGATATGCATTTCTGAGTGAATAAATGTACTTTCGTGCTGTTTCGTGCATACTTTATCAGAGCAAAGGAGTACGCGGAAAAGAATACAACATTGGGTAGAGCAACCTCAATTTTGCATCAGTTCAACGGCGAAGAGCATTTGAATCGATTTTCGTGTAATTTTTTTCGGCAATTTAAGTATACTATAGCTGGAGTGCTGCCAATCGTAAGATACTCTTTTAGCGCATTATGGCAGATGAATTCGCGTAATTTCCTCCAGGTAAAAGGACACCAAATAAAGAGACCTAGAGAACCAGAAAAGAAAAAAATTCAAACAAAGAACTTTGTCACAAGCAATTTCAGGTCGCACCTGAACAAGTTGAAGAGGATGTGGATGAACAGCTGTTCCTCCTTGAGCCAATGGTTCCTGGTCTGCTACATTCAGCTACAGAAAGGAAAAATACAATTAATATCACAGTCGGTAAAGGATGAGCGATGTATTTTACACAGGCAAAAACATGATTTCGAGTGCAATTTGGTGTTAATAAGCACGAGTAAATATTTCAACGACAAAAAAATTACCCTCAGGGCGAGGGCAATTTGTAGTCTTTGAACAATTTACAAGTGCCTATAACACCAAAATGCAAGTGAAATCATGCTATTACTTGTTAACAATATACATGAAAAAACAACACAACAAGTCAAGACGGACGAAATTTTAAAAGCGTGCGCGCGCTATTTGCAATTTGCACTCGTGTTACAGCTTTACAATCGTACTACATGAGAACGCACTCGTTTTCAACCCATCATAAGCGCGCAAATTTTTCACGGATATCAACCTTTTTTTTTAGTTTCAAAAACATCTGACAACGGGCTACACTTGCTCTCCTCAAGCTACCTAAAAAACTTTACTCACCCGGCAATTCTTCTTCGTCAAGGCGTTCTGGTCTTAGCGTAGACTACAAGAGAATGACAAAACAAATTGAAATAAGAACAGAGGCAGATTCAACGACCAGCACCCCAACTAAAAACAGCAACGCTACTGATATGTCGTAAACATCGAAAGCGTACATCATCAGAAGTGTATACATTTTGTAATTGAAAACGTTGTATTGGGGACAGTTTACAGCAAATTAGCAAAACGCTAGTGTGGGTGAAAATGTTCGGCTTCGTTTTGTTTGAGATGAAAACGGACAGTTCTGAAAACGCATCTGTGCATGTGGTTAGAACCCGAGCCAAAGGGGTCACACCAAGGTAAAGGGTGAAATGGAATAAACAAAGCTCCATCCCCCTTCCTTTCGCCCGTAAGTAAAGTCTTTGCTCATTTTCACTCCATCCGCTTACGTGACTTGCATTCGTCTGAAAGTACACGAAAACCAGCCCGACTTACAGCCTGAATCTATGAAAGTTCACTGTAGATGAACATGAAGTGGGAGCCGGCAAACAATGATACAAACCTCAAATCCACTTCTGCTCCGCGATTCTCTTGGACCAGAGCTGAACAGCGAAGATGTATCGGTAGCCTAATAAATAAAAAAAACATATTCATCAAAGACTTCAAACAAAATAGGGAAATCGAACATTTCATGACATATGTTTTTGCACGAGAGGCGGAAAGTTTCTTCGTCACAGTGGAATCTTCTTTCTGACATGGAGTGTCTACTCTATGTATTAGTGTCTGTCTAATAGGGAGTGTCTCCACGAATCGCTTATCTAAGGAGAGATTTAAGGTTGCCGGGTTGATAAAGTTATCAAGTTGCAGAATCACGAAAAAAAAAAAGGGCCATATAAACTCACTTCAAAACTTCCATTAATCGATCCATTATACGGCAACAGATTCCCTTTGGTATGGGCCTTGAAATCAAGCTGAAAAAGAACAAAAATGGTAACAAGTGATAAATATGGCTAAGAAAATTATTTTGACATTTCCAGTTGCGGAATAGTTTCTTTTGAAAGCTAACTCAAGCTAGTGTTTTAGGTTTTCTTATTAATGACCAAAATTATTGTAAAGAAAGTAAAGAAGAAAATAGTATTGGAAAAAACCTCCTTCGAGCCGGATTTGAACCAGCGACCTAAGGATATCATAGCAAGCTCTACAGTCCTCCGCTCTACCAACTGAGCTATCGAAGGAACCACACTTTCCGTGATCAAACATTACTTATTCCAATATGAAGCACGCATGAAAACGGTTGCACGCTCGAAATTTCACCTCAACTCTTGCAAACGGAACGGAACGCCTACTGACTATGAAAATTTGTACTAAGGTCGGCGCTGTAAATGCACGAAACTCTATGTTCCTCGATCACCATACAACCGTGAATAAAACGAGTGAATATTGGTCAAAATAACCTAATTCATTTTTAAAGCTAAAAAGGTTGATGCTATCAGTGTAAGTGCTATTACTTACTAATTCTTTAATTGCTGATTCCGGCATTGATTTCGAGAATCCAAGACCACTCCAATGGCTTGTAGGCGTTCTCACTTCGTTCATAACAACTTTCTTCTGCATGGCTGATAAAGAAAGACTGGAGTCATTAATTCAGTACATCTTACCTCAAATAAAAATGAAGTAACTGTGACTTCTGTTTCCATGTAAAGAAATCAAGAATTGTTTCGGTTTCGCTTCCTTCACTTTGTGATTGGTCTCAAAAACTCTTGCTTATCTCTCTTCTTAACAGACGTAAAGCTATAACCAATCTCGACTTGGTAACTAGCGTTTCCCCGAGCATTTTTTGTTTTTTTTGTTTTTTTTTTTTGTTTTTTTGCTTTGAGTTTCATTGGATTAATTTAGTTTTGGATTTAAGACGCTTTAAAACTGACTATGTACTAGATGGGAGACCTGTTTTGTCTTACAACAATGAAACACTGACTGGATACCATATAAAATGTGCCTAGTTTTAAGGAAGACTTTGAAAAAACGATTTTTCAAGCAAGCGTTGTATCTCTGTTTTTGACATACTGGCTTAGTCGTAGATTTTCATCTGGATAATCAACTGCAGTTGTTTCATAAGTCTTGTAATTTAGTTATAATATAAATATTGTGAATGTTTTGTTTTGTTAAGTTACAAGTAACAGTTTGGCGCCTAGTAAATATTCAAAGATAAATCTAATCAAAGTTAAGTAGCATTACCTACGGTCGCCTTGGACTTCAAATAGTCGTAACGAGCAGCCTGTTGATCAGTAAAAGCTGAGTGTTAGGCGAAATATGCAAATTATCACACTGTACTGGAAAAGAAAGCATCGACAAAAACAATAGGAAGGAAAAAAAACTTCAAAAATAAGAAACAAACCATGGAAAAACACAGAAACATCTGGGAAGCTACAAGTAATTTAAAACAAATTTTCAAGCAGTCCCTGAGAACCTGTAACAGGTATCTTACCGGCTGAATGGGGGTATTTGGTAGGAGCTGCTGCAGGCTGAAGAATATAATATTTCATAATATTAAAGAACCGCTTGCACTAAATGAAGAAAAAAAACTGTAGTCCTTTGTTTCTCGGTGAAATTATAAATATTATGTGGTTGAAGTCAACCCGCAAGGATATTTTTGCGCTACTCAACTTTATAAACAATAAAATACAAAAAAAAAAGGTTGGGGGAAGGGGGAAGGGGAAGGGGGAAGGGGGTAGGTTACCACATTCGAGTATACAATATCTTGGAGCAGCAATAAGTCCTTTCAAATATGATCATGGTTACGTTAATAACAACAATAACTTTTTTTATTGCTGCAAACAAAGTGATGGTTCACTTATCTCTTATTCCAGAAAATAACAATTTAACACTCTGGTGAATTCCGAGATTATAGCATAAGCTAAGCCACCATGCGCGAAACAATATCATATGTAACTCTGCGCGGTAGGAATTCAGAATGCAACACTTTCATTCAACAAAGGATAAGTATTTGAACTTACAGCGATAAAGACGAACTAAGGCTGTCATCTGATTCACTGGGATCTGAGTTAAGACTTGACGTACTATTACTGCCAAAAAAAGAGACACAGCTGAATCAGTAAAAGAAAAACCAGGAAAGAAATTATAAAACCAGGTTACTCACCGAAGACTAACATTTTTTGCACCAGAAAATATTTGAACAGTTTGTCTTTTAGAACCATGAGTGACTGAGGATCCTGAAATAAATGACACAAAAATACTGTAAAGTTTACATGGTACACAATGAATCTCCCTATCGCTTATAGAAAAAGGATAACCAACATCTAATGATCATACTTTGACGCAAATTTCCCTTCAAATGAACGGACGAAGTTTTTGTTTCCCTGTTATTTGCGGCAAGCTTCTCCTTATTCTGTAACGTTTTGTTTCGTTTTATTTTTCGCTTTTTCTAGGAGACTTCATGTGCATTTGACCTAAAACACTGTGGAGTTTATTACATACCAACTGGGTTTAGGGCTCCATCATTACTGCCGTGCGTCTTAGCGTCGTGATACGGCTGGAAAAAGACGTGAGATTACTAAGCTTAAATCTTATTCAAAACTTTCATAGCTGGCCGCGATATCCATGTGCCATGCATGAGTTTAAGTTGCCAGGAGCAAAACTTTTTCAGGTGACTTTGCCTTTACGTCTATCTGTCCGCATCTAAATGTCCGTCTGTAGTTTGTTTGTCCGTCTGCCTGAGTTTTTATGACTAAACCGAAAGAGCTCCTTTGGCCTTCTTATCCTGTAATACCTTACTTACCAATATTTGCAAAATCATATCACCTTGGTATTGCCACATTCCTGCTAAATATTTTGTCTTTTTGTCTCTCTGTAAGGTTGCCTGTGGCTGTCCGTCCGTACCAATGTGCCGTTATCTTCTGTCTGACTATACTGTCTGTCGGTCCGACCGTTCTTCTATCCATTCTTTTGTACGTTTCCGTTTGTCTGTCTTCATTCTACTCTCATCGTCTCCGTAGTCTTATTGACATGACATTCCAGTGAGTGTTGTGAGTATTTCAGTTTTTACCAGTTCTACAGATGTTGAATTATGTCAGGATGCCAGTATAAGTATTTACCCAGAGCTGTAGCCACTACCAATACGTATGTCGTCCTCTCTGTCTGTCTGTCCGTCTTCCAAAATGTCTGTCGTTTCCCTGTTTTTTTTTTTTTCGTAATGGTCGTCTCCGCAAATGTCATTCGTGCATTCTAAAGTTTACAGTCAGGTTAGTCTGTCTGTTCTTGTTAAAGAAGAAATCTGGCTGCATCAACAGCAGTACTGTGGGCCGTCTATCTTTGCGTTTTTATTTCTCTGACCGTTTGACCGTATTTCAGTTACACTGCTAAAGTATTGTTAAGTTTATGAATCGAAATAGAAAGCAGTAAAGCGTACAACTTTGTTTATGGTTCTCATGAATCAGTTTCCTAAGTATACTTTAAGTATGACAAGAGTAAGCTTAAAAGTAGTGAGTTTATGGCCGGTTAAGGGTTCTTCAGAAGTCTACGTTGACTGGTGTATGTATCTCGGTTCTCAGTGCGTTAACTGCGTGTTCAGTAAGTCTTTGTTACTTACGATAGAGTCAGTCAGGTCATTTCCGCTGGCCACGCTGTTATGATTTGCTGTGAAGGAACAAATCAATACATCGGTCAATCTGATGTCAAGAAGTTTCATTCTACAAAAGTCCTCAATTTGCTCTCTGCGTTTGAACAAAGTATTGGTTTCAAAGTTCGCTGCTTTTCCCATACAAATAACTTCTATTTCCAGACTCAAAATAAAACCACGATGCCATGCTAACACGCAGTAGCCGCAGTAGAAATCATACATTAGCAATTTCGCGGGTTATGTTAAAGAAGGGGCTAAAAATTCAGCGAAACACATAGAAAGTCATTTCCGTCTGTAATTAAACGTTTGCTTATTGTCATAACAACTACAAACTTTATCCTGGCTATCATTGTCTATTTTCTAGACTTGTTCCAACGTTAGCCAATAGTTAGGACTGACTGAGCTTTGTGTGTACCCTCCGCTATACCAAGGAAACCTGTGGCAACGCCAGACTGGGCCCGAAAAAACGGGCCAATCAGCGACCCCTATTTCGGCGGGAAAGTGACGCGAGCACACTTCCCTAACAACCGGCTAGAACAAAACCAAAACAAAATTGTGGCGCAGTTTTCCAAGCACTATTTTACTGGTAAGTTTTTGTTATCTCTTCATTCTTAAAAATATTTCCTCTGGTGTTTCCTAAGACAACTCGCAAACTTCGAAAAACGATGAGATACTAATGAACCACGAAAACTATCGGCCACTTCACGGTCAGTTGCTGGCGATAGTTGAAATATCGAAATAACACTCGTTGAATAAATTTAAAGCTTGCAGACTATTCTCTATAAGGCTACTTTGTGAATAATTCACATTAAGTCAAAAGAAGCGCTTAATTACAAATCCTGAAGGCTAAATACACATGCAAGCATGCTTAATTAATGCCAAAATTCTACTAGAGTTTGATTCAGTATTTGGCTCTTGGTATTTACGCCGTTGAAGGTTACAAGGTTGCGTCAAACATGCAACTTTTTACCCAAAAAGTCAAAATTGAGAATGGAGAAAAAAACCGACTTGCTAAGCAACCGATATCTGACGAAAAGAAAATGTACCTCGTGCGGAGAAAAAGTTATTTTATACAGATAAAATAAACTTACCATCATCCTCAACAGTCATTGGGCTTGTACACTTAGGACTTCTTGGACTCAAACTTCCAGAAGAGCTTCGTCTCATAGGACTGCCATTCAAACTCTGTCTGTCATCAGGGCTTGGTGTTCTTTGTCCTTGAGGACTAGTGGTTCTTCGACTCAAGTGATTCTGTGATTTATGACTTTGCTCTGCTCCTAATTGTAAACAAATCAAATATCGCCATGAGAGGTCGACAACTGCACTAGTTTTGGTAACTTTGAAAAAAACCTCTAATCAATATCACCGCAAAATTGAACTTAAATATTAATTTTATAACTGATGTCAGAAGTATATCATCTGCAACAGTAATCTCAATGCTCAGTTCAGCAAGATGCGTAATTTCAATGCTGGAAACAACTGATATAACTTTAGACTGCAATCAACCCTTATTTCCACTACAATTACCTCCATTAGAGGGACATAAAAATATCTTAGTCTTCCCATATAAGGTTTACACATGTTCAAATTTAATTGTATTTCTTGCTTTTTTACTCTGAAAATCATTTTCAGTTATAATTCACAGGCCAGGAAAATGTTTATAACCAGCAAATTTATTTCTAACAACAATGGCAGATGACCCCATATGGTAAGTTAATGGTACTATTACCTATACTCATGCCGCCAACGTATCCATCTGAACTAGGCAGAGATCCAGAATAATTTATAACATAACCACCCGGAACATTGTTATGCATAGAAGACATTGTAACTGGTGGACCAAGGCCAGGGGGAGGTGGTGGATTGCTTGGATAAGTTGTTGAGCGGTTCATAAGAGGATTCATTGGTGGGGTCACTAAACCACCAATCATGTTCGAGATTGTGGGTGATGATGGAGCCATGGTTGAGGCAAACCATGGATGTGGATTGTTGGATGCTGGATCAATAGGACTCAACATGGGACTTGTGTGTCCATTCATGTGGTCATATAGGTAACCTGGTGGTGACGAACTGAGGCTGAGCTTACTGAAGTAATTTCTTGACATATTGTCTGGGGATGGAATGCCATGATCAACTGAGCTTGATGTTGAGATTGTTGATGATACAGCAAGATTTTCATTTCCATCCAGTCCTAGAATTTCTTGTCTCGCAAGATACATCCTTGCAACATTTTTTTCTGCACTCTTCACAATCACAGACTGCAAATAAACATTTACAGTTTACAAAAATTTATGACATGGTTCACTTTGGGTCAAACAAAGAAAAAGTAGGAAATAGAAATTTTAGAATCATATGCTAAATACTGTTTCAAAGCACTTTAAGACCATTCCATCTGTGTGCATGTGTATAAGTTACATAACATCATTTGTGCAATGATTTGACTTGTACATTTATGTACAGTAGCAGCCAGTAGACCAAACTCCACCCTCTCTCCACATCAATAATCCATGCAATACTAAGCCTCATTTGCTTACCTTGCTTGGCTGCTTGGGTTTTGGTTTTACACTGACAAACACATCATATGCCTCCATTATTTTATTCAAATTTGCTGGAGAAAACAGAACATAGGAATGTTAGCTTTATTCCTACAAATTCATTAAAAGAGCATTGTTTCTAATTCAAAAATACCAGACATGTAAATTTTATGTAAGAAATATTAGTGTTAACAACATTTGTGTCCAGTCAGAACAAGTAAGAGATTTGTACACGCAAACCCCACTTTTGAAAGAAAAAGTTTTGTCAGTCAATGTCAAATCTATTTTCAGTAAGAAAGACTCTCACGTATATCTGGATCTCCATCTTCCTCTCTGAGATCAAACATCAATATCAGGGGTAGACAATCCTAAAAAAATATTGGATCATAGAATAAAAATCAATTCAGGATTTCATACAAATTTTATGCCTTACTCAATTATCCAGGATTGGACAAAGGTAATAAAAGGACAAATTCCATCTATTTTGAAGAATGTACATGTATTGTCATTCAATTAAAATAATAAACCACTTTAAGGCATTCTTCTTACAATAAGCTGTGATCTTGCTTCAATGACTGCATCAACTGTTCCAGTAATAAATACTGTGCCTTTCCTTTGTGTGCCATTAGGATCAGGAAATAAAATACTGCAAAGAGATGAGAAGCAGGGATATAAAATTCTGTAACTTTTCGAGCTCAGAATTTTCTAGCAACATTGTATTGGCACTCCTTATGAAATAACTTCTTTGAAGGTGGAAATATAGTTTATTATATGGCTGCTTGGGGGGTATGGCTTACTTGTGTCTCATGACTGAAAACATGGGAGAGGGGCATATGCATTGAGCTTTTTTCACAAACTACAGAAATAACTGAATAAATTGAAACAAAAAAAATTGAAAATGATTTGCAAAGTAAGTACCAGATCAACATATCACAAACATTCAATCTTTAAAAAAAATAAACAATAAAGAACTTCAGACATAAAAATATCGAGGAGTGAATATAAACAAATCGAAGTCACAACACAGTAAAATACAGAGCTTAAGTTAGTTTTTTGTGCATTACATGCAAAACTCACTTTGCTCCTGTCCTTTGCATGATTTGCTTGATGTTAATACCATTTCTTCCAATTATAAATAAGTGATGCTGGGGTGCAATATCTATCTGCATGTTCACTGGAACTGAAGACTGAACACACATGTATACATAATGATGTTAATAGCATCCTTAAATTTGCACCATCATATCAGAGTTAACAGGTAAAATTCATAGTGACATTTCCTGTTTTCAACTGGACTACCATAGAGCAAATTGATTAGATGTAACAAAAATTTTTGGATTCAGCTTCCTACAACGTATATTTATTATAATTTATCAATTTTGTACACAATGTCATACTTACAGCTATTTTTGCTGTCAAGTGTCCAACAAGATGGGCAATGGCATCCTGAGAACATAGACAAAAAACATAAAAAACCACATGTACCGGCTCTAATAAAATATTTTAATCACCTTACCATAAAAAGATTGACTTAGACTTTCCAGTTATTGGCAACCATAGGCTAAAAATTGTATGCACAGTGAATATGATCAAATCAAGCAAGAGCAACACTACATGTTGAAGGAACAAAATGCTTCTGGTGATTAATACCCAGTCTATAAGGAAGGATACACTTCATTGCTAAGGTGTCTTTTTAAGGGGGAGGGTTGAAAAAAGGATGGACTGAGGGTTCACACATGCACTTTATGTCCTTAAATATCTACATGTCCTTTGTTCTTAAAGACAAAGATTACAATAATGATTATAATGATATAACAATATCATTTCTAATTATCCTCACTGTCATAATAATGATTATGACAATGAACCTACACATGTACTAGTGACCATTACTAGATGCTCTTCATTTGTTATGCCTGAACATGAATATTTTGCAGATAGTCCTCCACCAAAAATGTTTAAACAAAATATGTTATGCAAAAGAAAACACTGAAAATACTGTTTTTGCACAAATGCTGCTAATTCATACAAACCTTTATGCCACTTATATGCTGCTGTGATCCTCTTATAACTGCCGTTTGATTTCCCGCTCTAGGTCTCTGAAAAAGAACAAAACAAATGAATAAATTGTGATACCGACCCCCTCCTTTGATAATTGTCAATGGACAAATAACCAATTTAGGAAGCAGACAGTTTTCTGAGCAAAGGTTGAGAAAAATTGTGAGCAAATTATGTTAAAGGACACGCAGCACATACAGAGTAAATTTAAATATTTTAAGCCAAATAGAGATTTTTGCATTCATTACCTTTCCAATATTTTCCTTTGCTCACCTGTTTGAAAGAAATAGAGACGTTGCAGGTTTGGGCTATATGCTGAATAGTTGGTGAATTGGCATCTGTAGGTAGTCTACCACTCAAGGGTAAATCAAATGTCAGAACCAAAGGCAGTAAATCCTGAGAGAAGAAAAATTAAACAATTATTTTAGCTCTTGATCAAAGATTGCATAGTAACATTTAGTCATAATCTTAATTACCCGGATTTGCTGTCTTGCACTTTCAACACCTAAAGGTTGGCCAGCAATAGACACCTGCAATTACAGAATTTCCCTAATTAAAAATGTATCAATATATAAAAATAACCATTACCAAATTAAAATACTCCAAATCATTCATGAAAATATTTAGTAAATCATATAGGCTGACATGACAAGCACAAGAACATGAATATATGTAGCTTCACTTGTTGTTCCAAAAAACTTAAACCTAATATCGGCACATACCTCAGCTCAGAAATCAGGGCATGAAATTAATTTTTTTTTATGATAGCCACTTGGCTCCTAAATTCATCAAAGTGGTAGCCAATTCAAAAAAAAGTTGGTCGCCATTTTGAAAGACAAACGAAACCTTTTTTTACGCTGCCATCGTTCTAGAAATTAAGTTAGGGAAAAGATCTTTAACGTGCTACAAAGGGGACACTAGGATGGATGATATGCAATGTTTAAGCTCACCTAAATCCAAGATGGCGTCTAGTTATCAATCGAGATGCATCTGCTGCGTTTTGCAAACTTAACGAGGAAGTTTGCCGCAGATTTGTCTTTGCAAATCTTTTTAATTCACTATATCTCTAGGTAAGGTTATGATGGAACATTCTAGTCGCCAATTTGCAACTAATTTTCAGGATTTGGTCGCCAAAGTGAAAAATTTAGTCGCATTGGTGCCTGTATTAGGCGCAATTTCACGCCCTGGAAATGCATTTTCAACTTATGAAAAGGTTGTCACTCTACTGTATATCTAACATCACTTGAATGTGTCTCTTACAGTTTAAAAGAAACTCATAATCATACTTAAAACATACTTGATTACTCTTTTCATTGGTAGCTCCTCTATTTGAGTCAGGGAAATGAATGTGACATCCAGTGTCTTGCATAACTACAAGGAAAAAAACAGGAGAGTAATTAATAAGCTAACATGTTTCTTCTATAACATCTCACAGTTTGGATGAAAATCTACTCACAGTAACACTCTATGACAGTATGCTTAAGAATCAGATCTTGGGATTTCCAAGGACTAAACAAGAAATCATTTGAGAGCAAATTGGCATGATTTGATCTTTCTTCAGAGGACAACAATCACATTGTGATCTGGTGTTTTGATGATTACAACATCCCATATTACAGCAGATTGGGACAATAAAGGGTCAAAGATTAGTGTATATGAAGGTCAGACATGTACTCCATGATAGTCATGAGACATATACATGTTATATACTGTACACATTTCCCTTTGGATTTCCCCTTCCAAACTTTTACAAGCCAGCCTAACTCCTCCTTTGTTTAACTAATCATATCTAGAGCTGCTTGACAAAAAGTTATTGTAAAACTAAATTTGGCTATTTCAATCCAAAGTGAGTCATTACTTTCATGTAAATTGCATGTTACCCTGATTGCATTTGCTACTCTTTTTTGTGGTGTACATCTGATGAGTGCTTCAAAGGAAAGTATTGAAATCAGTGGAATATTAAGTAAGGACTTGGCTTACCTCGCTTAATATTCCCTCCTCCTTTCCCAATGATATGGGAGTGATCAGTGTGAGACACATCCATTTTAAGAGTCACCCTGTTTGACTAAATGTTGAAAGTAAACATCAAAATCAACAGTCTGCCAACAACCCTTTAGTGAAGACCAAAAAACCAAAACCTTATAAATTGAAACTGAACAAAGCAATTACAAGGAAACATTCTACCTTTGTATCTAAGACTGCCATGACTTTCTCTTTTGCTTGTCGCACAGAGTCTGGTAGGCCTGCTACTTTGATATGAGGATCTGAAAAAATTGATTACATATCACTTTCCCTCTTCCCAAACAACAAAACAAAAAAATTAAACCACTGATAACAACCAATCTGGCTCATCTAATAGCCTTAAATAGAGGTAAATGCAGCACATGCACTTAATATGCACACAAGAAAGTCTAATACTGAAATTAAAAAAAAACTCAATTGCAAATTTTCAACTATTCAAATAATAATTATCATCAGATGACCTGTCCAGTCCTGTTCACACTTTGCTATAGAAAACCAAACTGAAAGCTGACACAGTCATGTTAAAAAGCATACTACAGACCATGCAGACCAAGCGATTTTTTTGTTTGCTTTTTTTTCTAACTCTGATTTGCATATGAATAAGGTTTGTACACCTTTTTCATACTATTTTGGTAACATTGGAACAGTTTCAAATTTTTGGACACCACATGACATAATTCTATGAGTCATTTAAAGCTCATTTTACCTTGCAACAATTTGGATGAAATCACAGGTTCAAGTTTGTCTGGCAAATGGAGATTAGCCTCATGCCGCACAGGTGGAGATCAATGAGGGTAAGTTTATTTTAATTTGCCCTTGTATTTGATGTGAATTTCAGTTTTTGTCTTATACTTGTGTTAACTCTTTCTTTCTTTACTGCAGATGTAATTTGTTTGGACAGAGACACTGATTAAGTGATAAGGAATGGGCTGCATGGACAAAGCAAATAATTACCAGGATCTTCACAAGACAGCCCAGAAAACTTTACAGTAAAGAAAGTGCTGCAAGCAAAAAAGCAAACCTTACTTGGAAATAAGAAGGTTTCTGAACCTACAGATAAAGTGGGGAAGGGTCAGGAACAAAATGGGAACTGGTCAGCAAAACCACTCAAAACTTCATGTACGTTTAGTAAAAAAATGATATCTGAGGACCTGTTCAACTTGTTCTAGGGGATCTGTTCACTCTTTGTACCAACCGAAAAATAAACATATAACTTGTGACAATCTCCAAATGATGTTTTGGCTGATATTGAATCAATACTCTAAAGATACCTCTGCAAAGATAAGAGACTATATTCACCAAGACTATATTCACATTGTATTCATGCACTTGCACCCCACATTTTTTGAAAGGACAATGTTGTTAAGATGAAACATACATACACACAGTTTATGGAAGCTTCTGTAAATAAGGCTTTTCAGTGAGGATGATAAATAAAAATGTAAAATCATAGGTGTACTGGATTGAAGGGCAAATTGGCAAGTAACAAATAATTCCACAGTCTGCACAGTCTGTAGTTTGCAGTCTACATTTTAACATGACCAAAGCTAACATGTGTAGGGTCCAACAGGTTAACAATAGAGGGTCTGGATTAAGCTGTCTGACTCAGTACAACCACAGGGTGGTTGCAATGTTTCAAAAATGAATTCTCCTTGAGGATTTAAACTTAAAAGCAGAAATGTGAAATTACATGTAAGGTACATTTTTCTAACAAATTGTGTGTTTCTTATTCTGAATTCAAGGAAGAAGGGAAATGCTTTCATCATGAAATCTTTTCTTATAGTTGTTCAGTGCTCTTAATTTTGTCTACAACATCACATCCTATTTAGATTTATAAATACATAATTTCAAAATACATCAATTTAATGATAAAATACACATTGACTGATAGAGCTAACATACCTTGCACAGAAAGAATGAAACTTCTCATTTTAAGTGCAAAATATAGATTTTCACAGTTCATTTGTTTTGACCCTTTAACTCCCAGAAGTGATTAACATGAAACTTCTCCCAATAATATCCATACATTATTCAGCAAACAGGTCATGAGAATATTCAAACTTCTTAGATAGAAGCTGCTTTCTTGATCTAGCACCAAATTCTCATAACTAATTTAAAAGAAAATGTGTAGCAGCTGGAGGGGAGAATTAACAATCAGATCTTGGGAGTTAAAGGGTTAATTACCAAAGTGTACCTATAATTGTTTTGAAGAGCTCTATCGCTGCACACTACTCAGATAACAGTTTACATTCTACTGGTAAACCATATTCCACTATTTTATAATTCAGAATCAAAAAATACAGCAGAATTACAAGTATACTGACTAAAATCATTCACAATTAATTTGCGTTATCAGACTAATTACAGAGCTACCAATAAAAATTCAGTAGCAACCCAAACAACAACTTAGTCTGTCAGTTTAAACCAGCTACTTTATTCTAATACAAGCTTAATGATATGCTTATTAAAAAAATATACAATTATGGAAATACCATCTATGTACAGCTGCCATTTGCCAGTTTTTAAGGGAAACAAGTCCATAATTTACAAGTAGAAGTGACAGATGTACAAGGGTGAATCAATTCCATGGTAGAAAATTTCTGCAAATAGAACATGTGGGGTATTTTGACTTAATTTGGTTCCCCACTTTACACGTATTCTGAAAAAACTATATGATCTCCACAACAACCTGGCTGCCTACCATTATTGTCCTCTACTTTCAAACTTATAGCCGGCCCTGCTAGTTTTTGTTACCAAATAAACCTCATTGGTGTAAGCTTCATGTCAAAATTGTATTGTTGAGCACTTCATCAAAAAGAAATGTCAAATGTGAAATGCCTTTGGTTATCAGTGACGGTCCTTTCAAAAGGCAATAACGAAGTACTTGGGGAACATTCTTCTGGAGAACTAAATCTTGATTTCATACCTTACTGAAAGGACCAAATTATTCTCCTTTTTTTGAGAGTTATTAACTAATGGATAATTATACTGTAACAGGTCTATTCTCTGTTTTGCATCAATCCAGATTTTACACTCAGTACTATCTGTAGTCCACAGCCATGTATCTAACTGTAGGAGTGTTTTCCTGTACAGGTGAGGGTTCAAATCTTGAACCAAACTGCTTGGGAAATAGTATCTATAAAGGGATCAAAAAATTCCTTTCTTTTTTTTTTAAATGAAAGCTATTCTTTCCTTTTTCTCTAGGTAGTTAAACCAACTAGGATAATACATTCGAATAAATCCTGTTTGTCAATGTTGTTGTTCTTACAAGTTTTTAATGTAAATTAAATCAACACATAAATGTACAGAATTACACAGATACTGTTTGTTTGACCTCATCATATTTGAAATTTTGTTTCTTGGAACAGAAAATATCCAGACAGAGAGACAACTATGTATACTGTTATGTTTTGCAAACAAGTATTCTAGACAACAATGGAATTGATAACTAATTAGATTATCATTTGGCAGCATTGGCTCATGCTAAGATACAGTTAAAAAATAATGCTTTGGATTTTTGTAATTAAAATTGTACTATAAACTTTCATGCTATATAACTTGTTGAACAGTATATAAATAGATTAAAAAAAACGTAAAGCAGGAATTCTTTGAATTAGTTCCACAGCTAGGCTTTGTTGCTCAGGTGTCAGGGTCAGGTCAACAACACTACTTGTTTACTCAAAAGCAAAAAGGCATCTACATAGATTTTGCAGACTCCGTCTCCCCTGTACCACTGCCATGAAAATTACCATGAAATTTGTCACCATGTTATCAACGTGTTGTGATTTGATAATTTTCAAATGCTGGCTTGGATAGCATTAAGTATCCTGCTTATATCTCATGACCCAAAAAACCCAATTATCCATCCCTCAGATTTAAACAGTAAAAACAAATTATTAATTTTTCAAAGAAAACAAAAGTTTAAAATCACACAAAAAGATACAACGAAAGGAAAGATTGGTTGATATGAAATCAAACCATACCATAAAACTATCAACAGCAATGATGAAGGCTTCCTCACTGGTTGAGCTTTATCACTAGATACTTTAAAAAATTTAGATCTGATAAACCTTAACCCAGTTTCTGCATGTACTGCACACCTCAGGCGGAACATAAGTCCTTTTCAACGGGTGTTTACATAAGTTCCTACACGATAATTATGGCTAGCCATCACAATACCTCGATATTCACAAAACAAAGAAACTCTGTATTTTACAATGACAATTACCAGTGGTTTTCAAATCAAAATATACAAATCAAACACAAATGGGAGGTCATTTCAATCGCGACTTGAAATTTATCATCAGACACGTACCGAGTAAGTTCGTAAACACGGCTCCTTGCTTTGAACTCACGTCATACGATGCAAATTAAGTCTATTGTTTACTTCACTAAAGTCGTAAATACTTAGAGAACATTATCAAATAACCCATGCGACTCGCGATCTTCCCAAAGAAACTACAAACATATCGACAACAAAATCATTTTCACCTCGCGCCTTCTATCCCACACGAATTCAAAAGCAATTACGATATTGTAAAGCGTCGTTCGATGTAGAGACACGCGAAGGAACATATTTTCTGCGATAATTGTGTTTGCTTATCCTTCCCGTCGAGACATGAGTTTATTACGTTCGTGCTGGGAAATGTAAGCAACAAAAGGTAGATAAATCAAAGGGCACGAGGTCAGTTACCATGCGTGACTCGCTTCAGCAAGCGTGTCGCCGAAATGAATATTCCCAGTAGGATCGTACATGCATGAATGACTCGAGGCACCGACAAAACAGAAGAGGACAATCCTTTCCACATCCGTAACCTAATTGATTTCGCGAATAAAATACCGTTTAAGGGCTGTCGTGGTAAAATCCCACCGAAGAAAACGGGACATGTTTTTACTATCAATGTAAACAAGAGTGAGTCGCTCGGGCCAGAACAGAATAGAGTTTAGACACTCAACAATCAGTCAAAAAAGAAATTTCACAGAGCGTGCCATAACGGGCCCTTCCGATCAATACTGCGCTCAGGCGAACGCAAGATATTAGAAAGAACTAATTTCGACAAAATTAACATGCAACTAAACTTTCTAGCGCTAAAGCTGAATACAAAACATGTAGCAGCATAGGTCGAGGGATCAAACAATGCTGGAAGATAACCAAATACAATTTAATATTACGCCGTCGATTCGAGTTTTAATAGCTGTATCTCTTGAGAAGAGAATGCAAAACAGGTCAAGCTAGAAACAGAGCCAGCAGAGTATTATTCTCCTTCTCCTCAAAGTTACAGTTTATCTCTACGAAACAATAGATTTCATAGTTTTCGAAGGACTCACTAAATTTCTTAGTTTACTTCACACCTTCCGGAAACGCAAGGGTCAGAAAACAATCGAAAAGAGAAACGCGATTTTCGTCTCGCACCATCGAACTCAGAGACCGCCTGAAGAAACAGTTATTTATAACAAAATAACTGCAATTACTATGCTTATCTTTCGAAAGAAAAGCTTGATACAAAGGAAATTAGCCACAAAAGAAAATAATTTTTTTTCAATCCACACAAAAGCTGTTTCTGGTATCATTAGTGGTAAAACAAGATCCTTCGAGACACGAGGAACTAATAAAAGCAAATGATTCATTTCGGTGAATTTTCTATTTGTGACAATTAGTATTAACAAATTAAAAAATGTTATTAAATGTTTGCGACGGAATACGGGCCAGCTATTCAAACGAATCAAAACAATCACGATTTCCACTTCAGTTTGCAATAGTTTGAGTATGTGACCCATGCTAAAAGCACACTACCATGTCAACGAAGCGCACGAGCCATTTCACCCTTCTCGTTTGAAATAAGTTGTTCCGAGCCAGTGAAATTTAATCAAACCAAGCTATCCTTGACGAACATAAGAGCTGTTTACTGACTAACCTTTCTTTGATTTCGCTCCGATCTTGAGTTTCGAGGGCCATGTTATCGTGGTTGCCGTTTCGTCCATAATCTATGACACATACCACCACAAAACGATTTAAAATACAGCTGCAATTATCTAGCGAGTTAGAAACGATAATTTAACCTCCTCTAACCTTCTGGAAGAACTCTTCGCCTGTTTGTCCACATCCTGCTACCGCAGCTAAAAATCGCAAACATTAAGACAAAATTCAGCTGATAATTTAAGCAAAATAGACTCGAGAGTAAATAAAAATCACGAGTTCCTCCAATTACTGAGCCTGACCTTGAAGCATTTGCTCCAGTTTACGCCGGTCTACGCGAAATCTCTCCTCCACGAAATTAGGATCCCGCTCCTCGATGGTCTCATCAGTGAGCAAATCTTCTTCTTCACTGAACTCGAGGCCTGTCGCCATCTTCATCGTTGATCAAGGCCTGTCAGGCCAGAGTGAGTGAGCAGGACAAATTTCACTCTGCATCGTATTGCGGTGTACGGTATCGTCTTAGGCCAATCACGTGGTTAGAGGTGACGTCAGACACGCCCTATTTAACACCAAAGTATCAATTAGGAAAGAGGCTAAACCAGCCAATCGTAACGCCTCGTAATGAAAAAATTGATGTTTGATTGGTGTCTCAATAGGTTGCTTTGCCACGTTAATTGGCATAATTAGTGATCAAGGACAATCAATATGTGAGGTACAAGATATTCCGAAGTAACCCTCTTCCTTTTGGTCATTCCAGCTGCACCGACAGTCTCAAATTCGCCGAATATTATGCGCGCGATATGCTTTTGTTTCGCTTTGATTTTGCCTATCGTAAAATATTTATAAGTTGCAGATCGTTCGATGAACTCCCGCTTGGTCGATCACGCGCGGAAATCATTGAGTCCGTTGAAAAACAAAGTAGCTAAACAACGCAAGATATTTAAAAGTCCCTTACTAATGATACTCAATTCGGTGCTCATCTGAAAGGAAAGTAAATGGGTCAGTGAACAGTACTCAATAAATGCACTCTAGTGAATATTCAAACGTTAACTTTTAGTTCTATAAATGGCAGATATCATCAACTTTTCCTGCTAAAAATATCCCCGGTATTTGTTCAATCAAGGAGGAACAAAAATAGATAAATAAGCTAGTTAGCAATATATTATTCTGTCTCCTCCCAATTTGTGCAACTGAATATGTATGTAGACTTGTCAGGAAATATATCATATATCGTCATAAAAGATATGTATTTTAACAAACAGATTAGTCTGCAAATTAATCGACTAAGATTTTTTTTTCTACCAACCCCTATACTGAAAACTTCATGGCGCTGAGGCTCTTAATATCTACTGACCCCTAACTGAGGCCATTTGGAACGTTTAACTGCGTCTACCTTCGTCAGAGCTCGTTTAACGTTTAATTTCTTCATGGTAAAAACGAATTTAGCTTTTTCAAACTCTTCTTCGCCAAAACTTTGAGTACATTCCAGAGTCGTTCATTCTCCCAATGGCATAAAAATGAATAATTCTCAAACAGACAAATGTGAAATTTTTTTCATCAATCAGATCTAGAGGATTGTATCAGATTTCCTTAGCAACTGCAATTAAACAGAACTAACAAGCTGTTGCTAATTTCCGAATAAAAGTCCAGTAGACATCTAAGATCTTAAGCGACAATAGCGGTTTAAACTTTAATTTCGCTTTCATCAACCACAAATTGCTAACTACACACTGCACGGAAACCATTGACCGCAGGCAAGTAGAGTAAGTTGATAAATTCATTGAAGCATTGAAGACAGCCGGTGCCATGGTTTCTTTTACAGAGATTCTCAATGATCGCGATACGACCCGTTTAGAGCAAACAAGCGCCCTTACGCGTTCTCTACATTCCAGATCGCTTAGTTCAGTTAACAAATGAATATTTATACAACATTAGCTGGTTGTGGGCTCCTCTGACCCGCTGCACACCTCTTCACATGAACGCTCTCACTCACATTCGCTCCACTGAACGGTAAATCAGCTCATCCCCGTGTGCGTCAGTATTCATGACCCGTTCAATGATTATCACCGGAACAATATATAGTTAGAGAGGCGAGCTAAGCTCTGAGAATATTGCACGAAAATCAGTGAACTTTTGCTTGAGGGGAGTCAACCGAAATAAACGTTGAAGAGGGGGCTAAGAGATTTCACAAGACACTAAAGCAAGCGAGAAAGTTCTCAATGTGACCGATAATTGGCAGGTAATGAGTACATACTGAGTTGGTTACGAACTACAAGTCTCGTCGTAAACGAGAAAGCCAGTTCAGTTTGACACGTTCACCGAAATACCTTCACCCCTTAATTATGTTATCTTTTGCTGATGTGATATAAACCAGGGGAAATCTGAGTCCATTTCTTACCCCCCTGGATTTCAAGGAAAGATGGCATCACATTGCGTTATGAATTCGCTTAAGTTAATGCAATGTTCGATATTACGTGTAATGATTTTACGTATTATAATTAGAGGTGAAAAAAATGTAGAAAAGTAACTAAACGGCTCTGTTTTGGTAACCTTTTACCGTGGTGTCATTTCTCTCTCTTTGCACATTCTTCTCTCTGATTATTATAATCCAGTAATACAGTTTCCGCTCTCTTTTTTTTTGTTTTAGTTTTCATTTTACAATTTTTTTTTCTGTGTGCTGAGTTGAAAATGAATACCTTCTATATTCGTTTCCTTATTTACTTGGTGGTTTCGAGAATTGCGATATCAAAGTGTACAAGCACTGCGCCATGTAAAGAAAAAATGCGTGCTTAAGTTATGTTAGTATCCTTTTCATAACGGATTGTGGAAGTATAGGACTGTCTTGCAAATAATGTTACATTAATTTCAATGACTAAAATTTTTGGAGCTAATGTATCTGTTATTAGTTCGTGCATGTCACAGAACATATGTACTTGATGTCATAAAATACTTCTGATTAAGTGTCCATACCGTTAGCTACTGTAAGCGTGAGAAAAGAAGTCCATCAACATTGCACCTGCATCGCCGACTGATTTGCATCGTTTAATGAGATATGGATTTCAAAAATCATGGTCTCTGCTATCCATCTCAATATTGCAAAAAAAAAAACTCAGTTGCAGGGGCGTGATAGACTCGGGATAAATCGCTATGTAACGCCGGGTTAAGTACTTTGCTAACATTGGACAAGATCTATTCTATGAGTGGCGGATGTAAATGCTCCTGCCAGTCTTCCAACAACCACGGTGTGGTGTGGCTACAAACGGATGCGCAGTCGTACTTGAAGCTGAATATCGTTGAATATGAGAACCTAAACTGCGTTCTATTGGTAATAGCTGATCGATATTTACCTAATTCCCGAAGCAAAAAATAACGTAGCAATCAGTAGCAAGTAGAACAAGAAAAAGAAAGGCATACACAATAAAAACATTAATAAAATGAGGTTTCCACTCCTTTCACGATCGCCATTTTATCTCAGAGATAAGCACAAGGATCAATTGAAATGCTGCTTCGATTACTTAGTGCCTAAATAATATTTGGGCTGTACAAATCATGTTGAAAAACGGATACCTCCACGAACTACGAATTTAATGAACAAGAACGCAAAAGAGGTAATTTACTTCCTACACGTAAAAGTAAATGGTAACGGATGCACAAGATTATCAATGATTACATAATAAAGAACTTCAAAAGCGTAAGCCGATTATTTGTGGTACGAAACCAATGACGTAACTCCTTTGATGAACAGCCTGCAATCAGTCAGAGGTGACTGATATGAGAAAGAATGTGAAATAAAAGTATTGCATCGTCCATAGATTCTAGATTATCGTTCATAGAATTCATAAACACAAACAAAACCGACCAGTTTACCCTGCCATATTAGCTCCGCTTACAAGTATAACCACATAATACCTATCGACCTCTTAGTCTCTACCTCCATCCATAGAACAAAAGAACGGAAACCTCTTCAACATTTTGTGATCTTGTATTTACCTGACGGAAACTATTGTGTAAGAGTTATTGAAGTTCATTTGTTTGTTTACATCACACCTGGAGATAATTAGTATTTTTAGTCACGTACGAAAACAACACGTTCACTCCCGCACCACTCAAGATTGACATCTTGAGTGCGGGCCAGAAGCCAAGGTCACAAATTCGAAGGTTCTACAGGCAGCCCTATGACACAATGTCTGTAGTAACCATTGATCTCTTAACTCTCTTACATCAAATCGAAAAAAAGGGAATAAATTAAAAAAGTGGGTATCGGCACGAGTGACATAAAAAGTAACTTTCTCAAATACGCTTTCCAATGCAGACTGAGTGTCTGGCTAGAATATTCGAGGGAGCAAGAGCCATCCCTATGACACAATGTCTGTTATAACCATTCATCTGTTTACTCTTATCCACCAAATCGAAAGGAACTATCGAAAAAAGTAAGCTTTTTCAATTGCACTTTCTAATGGAAACTGAGGGCTGGGTTGGCAAAGTGTTCGCGTACGTCGCTTGGAGACTTTCATATGTCATGTTGCATTCCATCTTTGAGAGTGAATAGTAAAATAGCATATACACCGGGATAAGAGCCACCCTAAGAACCTTAGTTCAAAATATTTTTAACATTCTTTGTCGCTCACGAACTCTCAATCATTTTAACTACAAGTGGTGATACTGACGGGTCTGGAAAATTCTTTTCTTAATGCAGCTTAATTCTTCTGAATTGTTTATTTATTTATCATTTTGTTCAGGGACCGTGTTCGGGAATTGCTGAATATAGATAAATTGCTATTCTTGCTGAATCGAACCTCTATGACCGAGTTGGATAAATCCTATTTACACCTCTCAAGAAAGCTTTCAAATTCTTCCAATATGATGCACTCCTTAAAATCTTTGGTATGTTGCATCAGGGGCTTATTACATAGTTTCTACACTTTTCCAGACTCTCGACCAGTGGGAGCGTGCGACCAAGAGGGTGGGCGAAAAATGTACCGTTGGCAAGGAGACAGCTTTTTTTTTTTTTTTCGCTGTCTGACCCTGCCGTCTTACTTGAAGCACTTCCAATTTTCTTCTCGCTCATTTCCAGTGCGAACTTGGCACAGGCCAATTTGTTTCCGTCTTGTACCCTTCTGTTTTGGGTTTACGTATCGATTTTTTCAATTCCGGTCACGTATGCCCCCAAATACTAGAGATGATCAAGTTTGCGTAAGAAAAATCCACTGAAACAGGAGATACAGACTGGCTGCTGAGTCACAGACAACAGCACGAAAAACAATATTAATGTAGCACCTGGCTCATTGTTTCATGCCTCGAGGGCACAACATCGTATCACGCCGATTAATTGTTGTCATTAATGAAAGTCTGGTGATATTTTGCACAAATGCAAACAAAAGGAAATTGCGTAACATCACGAACACGTACACGTACGAGATATATTTGTGACTCACTTCCTCTGCGATCTCTGTATCACTGATTAAGTCCCCTTAAAGCTATGAAAAGAGGTTTGAACACAATCACTTCACAGAAATTAGCGCTCTTTTGAGGAGACCGAAAATGGCTGTTGCAGTTTTAATTGTATTTCTAAAGAGGATTAAAAAGCTGTCAAGTTAAGCATGAAAATGGCCCAAAACACTTCCTGTTTGTTCGTGTAATGTTGCATTCCTCTCACATTGCGTATCAAATGACGAGTCTTGAAACTATAGAGGAGGAACATAGAAGACATATAATGAGCAGCTTAGACAAAAGCTATTCGGAAAAAAAAAACTTACGTCGAGTTATTTTTTGCCAAGTGATTGGATTGTATTGGTAAATCCCGTTAAGAGCACTCCAATTATAATATAAAAAGACAATTCATAAACCACAATTATCCTTTCTTTATTCTTTTAATCCGCTGTTGTTGTTGCTGCGGTTGTCGCCTTTTTTCTTTACTATTGAATTGGTACAATGTATTTTAAGATACGTGGGCGTATTTAGCAAAAAAATGGTATTGGGTGGGCCGGACCAAGACCAGAGCCATTCCCCATAAGAGAGTGGTTCAAAAAGACGTCTAATTTCACAAAAATTCTCCCCATCAGAAGAAAAAAACGTCTTTTCTTCTATCCGACGGTGGATATAATAAACCCATCGCCGACAGGAAACTTAACACTTGGGTAGACATTCTCATTACCCATGGGGCACAGTCAGGATGCTGACAAAAGATGCTCAAAGTCTGGAGTGCATATCAGGCGATGATTTGTATGTCCTAGGCACACCATCTCTGACCTGTCGTCTTCCGTGTGAACAGCGACAACGTCCTAAGTAAAAAATACAGTCAGATTTGTTAGGTTGATGAATCATGGGTTTGTTGGTTTCTTTCTTCTTTTGGTCTGTTTTTGATCTTTCTTTTGTGATGGAAATTGATATGGAGCCCTTAGAATGTTGACCAATCTCTATAGGGGTTCACCTCTCCTTACAAATAATATCCCAGTAGGTACTTGACCTGTAAAACCTGTTACTATACCTCACGACAAAGTCTCATATAACAATTTAACAAGAGGTCTTGTGTGATCACTCTAATTTAATTCTAAGGTGGTTTCACTCCTGTGCATTTTCTCCAAAACACTACATGCACTTAAACGTCACAATATGCAAAGTTTGTTTAGTAGAGAAAGTAAAGAGCATACCTGTAAAAATCCACATGGTGTTCCCATGGTTACATCGAGAGCCACATCCCCCAAAAGCAATCTACAACGGCAAATTTTTACTGTTGAATGTTTTTCGATTCTTTTAAACATTTTTTGCGTTACAGTTACAGCTCCCATTCTGGCAGTGCACACCAGGGATGTTTATGTTTTTCTCATTTATCCGTTACACTACTTTGATCAGCTTTCCCAGCTCATCATGTTTAATTGATTTAACCTTACCAACTTATCATATCTCTAGACTCGATTTCTTTAGTTCTGTTGAGTTTGCTTTGTTTTCTTAAAAGGAGGGGTTGGAAGGTTGGTCATATGTCTGCTGATGCTTCCAAGCTTGGCCACAAGAGACTCTTTTCAGGAGTGATATTGTTCGACCATAACTTTGTATAGGCATGTCATCGGCGCCCGCTTACTTTTCCTCAATGACGGTGCGCAAAAGATTTAGGAGATGAATGGTGTATATGAAAGGCATAAATGATACAGAGACGAAATGGTACATTTTCTTTCCTCATACCTGGCTTTGCCAGATCTCAACAGCTGAAGTTTACCAATATAACCCTCGGATGCATTCTTGAGTGACAGCCTTTGAGGTTCTTTAGACTTCAAAGTAAGAAAATATTATACACATGAACATCAAAATCACATTACAATAATTATTATCCATTGAGGAAATTTAATTTATAGTTCTAGGTTAATTTCCGTTGATTATAAGGTTATTTGCTGAGTAATTTTATCAATTTTGACAACCAGTTTAGTATAAAGCCGCATCGTTTGATTCTAGCCAGTTGATCTAAATAGCTGCTTTCAGCAGATGAGGTTAAGTTCTAGTCTAGCCACGCCCTCTGACAAATGTGTCTGCAAATGCTACATCCCAGAGTTCTTTCAAGTGTTTTAAGCGGGAAAGCAGTCACTCAGATTAGTTATATTGTGTTCTGCGAAACTCGTCTGGAAATGTTGAATGACCGAGATCTTTCAAATGTTTGTGGCAAGAAAGCAATAACTACATTGTTACTATCCAAGTTCTGGACATGACCGAGTTCTTATAAATATTTTTCTAGAGAATGCGATGAATCTTGGTATATATTAGTTAAACGATAAACAGTAACCGTGGCTGAGTAAAGCTTTGAGAGTTACCCAAAGAACGTTAAATATACTTTTCCAAATTTCATCGTATGCCAAGCCGATACTGTTTCACAAGGATCAACTTTACAATTGGAAAAATCTTGCGGTAAAACTCGTCCCTGAATCTAAGGATCACTTAGTATGATCGGCCACACCACATTCAAAGTAAAATCCAACCTTTTCTGATGTAGCTGCTTGTTCACTGGATGTTCCCTCCGTAGTCATTGGCTCATCTTGGTTACTGGGGGGTGGTCTGATGGGCATCACATCAGGAAATTGAAAAAATAGTAACTTACGCTCTCCCTGAAAAAAAGACATTTTGATCATCCTGGTTACTGTCTTGCATAATACAACTGATAAAAATATATACAGTGTGTGTGTGCCTACAGTAAAATGTGAAAAAGAAATAGAGCGAAATGCAAGTACAAATACTGCATGGAGATATCATTTACATGTAGAAATACACTAAACGAAATTACTAAAATAACAGAGGGACTTTAGTAAAGTGCTTGCTTGTGGTCAGAGAAGTAATCTTAAATTATCCTTTTATCGGTTTCATCCGTACCATCGATGTTGCTGACAAGAGACTGGAAAGATTCGCTTCATCCTGTGTTTCTTTCTTCACTGCTACTTGTTTCACTGGTTTCTTCATTGTTTCCAAAGGAGGGGCTTTTCCTGAATCAACACTGTCCACATCCATGAGCTCACTTTTCACTAATTTGCAAAACAATATTTAGTAAATAATTCCCTTCAAACGGCTGGTATGTCGGCTGATAATTTCCGCGGTCGAGATATTGTCTGAAAAATGAATATTTGGCCGAGAAGCGAAGCTTTCAGGGTAAATGTAAAATTCCACCATTACTTTTCGTATCGAGAGTTGACAGTAAATTTGCTGACTTTTTTGTGCTTTCCGGAGCAGCATTGAAAAATATGAAAAAGTGAACTCCTGAGTTCGTTTTTTTTCGCGCTGGCTTTGTTTATTTATCAGGGCAAATATCGACGTAAACGAGGGTTATTACGTGATAACTATCCGGCGATTTAATACCAAGCGACATAAAGTAACAAATAGAGTCGCGCGAAAATACATGGGTGGGTTAATGGAAACTGAAAATAAAATACTTCAGCCGACGTCAACGACATAATTCTTTTGAATTTTTCCATTAAAGAAAACAAAATGCAAACACCTGAAAGCTGAAAATAGGCTGGGAAATAGGTTCATTATGAGACAAGCATCCTGCACACTGCTATGATCAGTAATATCCCAGGCATTGTGTGAATACATATAAAAACTAGAGAAAGATTTTTTTCCGTCTTGTCACGAGCGTGCCAGACAAAGAAAAAATTCTGAGTCCCCATGAGGAATCGAACCTCTGACCTTCGGATTCCGCGCTCTAACCACTGAGCCACAGAGACTCCACGGTAAGCGAACATTCAATATAGTCTTCCTTATTCTAGGAACCCGAATCATAGCATGCTTCACGTCACCCAATAGTAATTGCTGTGAACTTAACCACAGGCAGAGCCAAGTTGAAAGTAAACAAATGTATCTACTGCACCTTTCATGTCATCCTGCATTGTGGCACACTCAGTTTGCTTTTCATTCATCCTCACTGCATGAAAGGACAGTGGCAACTGTACGGGCATGATGCCAGATTCACCGTCCATATCATCATTGATATCGCCCTAATTACCATTAATCAAAAAATAGTCATGAGTGAATGCATGTAACTGATCAGACCTATGGGTATCTTTCAACATCTACTACATTGTACAATGTCAAATGATTTCACACAATCAGATTTTTACCAAAAATCGTCATGTATGTGTGCCCATGTTCTGTAAAACTGTGTTTTAACCCAGGTCAGAAAAACTGGCTCACACACCTCAAGACCAGGCTCACTGGTGAACTGTCTGCATGATGAAGTCAGAGCAATTTCCAACTGAGTTTGGAAGGTAACCTAGGACTGTTTTGCTTCACTTCCCTTCATGATTGATTTAAAGATTTGTGCCACCCTCCAAACCAATCAGATGCTCTTTTAAAACTAAATATCCCTTTTGGATCCATTGTGCTGTTAAAACACTTTGCATTAAGGTTAGGCTAATAGCCCTGAATCAACATTTACATGCATCCATATTGTTATAATATTGAGTAATCATGATCACTGAGATCGCATGTTGCTTTGCAAGTCAGCTTCATTATAGGTCAAATCACTTTCAACTGATGGTTACAGTTATAATATTACTAGGAAATTGTACACAAATATTAAAACTACATGATCAAGTTGGTAAATAGTGGTCATGAAATGATATCATTCTGAGTCTTACACTTGTTTCTAGCATCTTGAGAACCCTTCTTGATTCTTCTTCATCATCATTACCCCTGCAACATTAATTTTGTGTTTACATGACACTCTCTTAAAGTGATGGTACCTTGGCAAACATAAGTAAGACATATGTTCGTGTAATGAGCTACTTTAGACAAATGACTTTGCTCCACCAGCACAGAGTTTCTGGCTTGAGCTATACCTTCCACCTTTTGGGATAAGTAGTAGCACCATGTACATAATAAAATCATTTCTTTGAGAATGATGTAGTGAACTGGTTACTTGCTCCAGGGTCCTAATTGTGAATGTATAGGGCATAACGGATGATGCCGAACAACCAAGGCCAGATATATTGCATAAATGAGACATGGCATAATAAAAATACAAATTTGCTTTGGCCACTACAGATAAGACACAAGGTTTAATATACCCTTCTTTGGTTTAATACCTAGAAGAAAAACAACTTACATGTTGTACCCTTCTTTCTTAATTTTTACACCAGGATGACTGTCTCTTGTTCCAGATGCTCCATAATCTGGAATAGAACTTCCTTGCCCTTGATTCAAAATATAAATCAAAATATCACTGTAGAAATTACAATTTGCCACAAATATTGATTTCCATTGACATGTACATGTAGAAAAATATACTGTAACATAATCATCCCAAAGGTCTCACTTAATCAAGTAAGCTTTCCAACTCACCAATTCTCTGTTTCTCAACAATCATCCCAAAGGTCTCACTTAATCAAGTACGCTTTCCAGCTCACCAATTCTCTGTTTCTCAACAGGGCCCACTCCCATTGAAAAAACTGAAGATGCCTGGATAATGTTTGGTTTGCCTCGATGCCCTCTGCCTCGTCCTCTACCCTCCCCACGGCCTCTTCCCCTTCCTCCATCTTGTCGTCTTCTCTCTTCTGACCTCTAACAAAAAAAGCAAACATTTAAAAGATCTCCCTTGTTTATCTTAAGCTATGCACCTCAAACAATTTTGTAATTTAAATCATTTTTTTTCATCACATGCTACAAAAAACCGGAACTTACAATATTTCGAGGTTTACAGCAATTAAAACTAAACTAAATAAAAATTAAGAACTTGCTCCAAACTACCGATAGCAACAGCTTTCTTTAACCTTACCCCTGGTGATTTGGCAGATTCCTCTTTTGGTCTAAATGGGAACAATAGAGAAAGGACAGTGAATTAACCAGCCAGAAAAAAATAGTGTCATTGAGGTTTGAACATTTTTGGTTGTGTTTGCTTGGCTAGACAAGGCAAGTTAGAGATGCTCATATAACCATCTGATCAGTCTGAGTTGGTAATATCAACTGTTCAGTTTGAGCTCTTAATGGATACTTTATATGTCATGCTTTAACTAGGCAGTGTGTGTCATTTGCACATTCTCTTGCTCTGTGTTTCATCAACATTTAAATTTAAATTATTTAGGAAAACATAAAACTAGACATTCAATGGATTAACTCATTACATGGCCTGCAAGCTTGGTAAAGAGATATCTTTGCCTTGTGCCCTCAGCCAACTACTGTACATGTATGCTTAGCTCATACTTCCTGGCTTCAAAGAAAACAAAACAACTATTTTATTGTACGTGCTAGTGAAAGTATTTCTCTGTAATCACATTCCTCAGTTAACAAGTCAGACTGTTTAATTTTGCATAAGACAGGCTACATTTATGATCAGTCCAAATTAAACTCCAATCAATCATCTTAACATTTATGATTTTAGTGTCTTACTCCTGTTTAATCCTCCTGGTGGGTATATTTGGAGTGAATGTCCTCTGAAATTTTAAATGAAAGCCACATTAAACAACAACAACAAAGTTTCATTATTTTTAGATAAATTTGCTTATTTAAATATCCCTAGCACTGAATTTTACAGCCTTTTTTAAGGGAAATACACTTGCAATAACAGCGGTTACACATGAAAAACAACTCTCCTAATGTTGACAACCTGTCATTTTATGATTTCCAAAACAAATGCAGATTTTTTTTCTATGAAAAAATATAGTCCCACTCTCAGAGCAGAATAGGATACACTCACTCAAAATTTTAATATGCACAGTAATAAAAACAAAAGGATAATGCTGCTATGAGTCAAGGATATGTACTTGGAAACTTATACTAACAAATGTTTGGGAGAAAATAAGCCAAGAAAACATAAATCTCCACATCTTCACATCTCTTACATAATAATTATTAGTTTATTCTTCAAGCAATTTTGAATTTGCATTTTCAACCTAATTACTGGTAGACAAGACTGCCATTTAAAAATTTATTTCAAAATAACTAAGATTCACCTTTGGCGTTGAACTGAAAGAAAGTTTAGGTGTAGCTCCAAGGGTCAAATCTCTAGCTGGTCTGAGTGATGGTAGTCTACCAGGGCTGTAAAACAATAAAGTATTATAAATATTAGTATTATTATTATCATCATCATCATTATTATATTACTGGTATTATTAATTATAACCCCAAAACAGCTGGATCACTATAGTTGTACTAAAAAGTGATTGAGTATTCTTGCATACATGTTTTTATTTATAGCAGTGAACAATCCCTATTGAGTTAATTATTGCATGATAAATCACATTTTCCCGCAATATCCAATTAGCCATACCTTGGGGATGTATTATTGAGTTGTCTTGATAACAATGCTGAAAAAAATGTAACATAAGGGGAGCTGATGATTTTTGTATACATGTACATGTATGCATTTTGCAATGTAAAATGAAATCACCACAAACCAAACTCTACGGAGAAATTTTAAATGGAGAGGCGAGAGTAATCTAGGATTGCTTAGTTTTGCTTTAATTTGCTACGTGATTAATTCAGAAAACTAGCAAATCGCCATTTGCTTTGTACTACCCATCAGGCAGTTTCCCTGATTTTCTTTGCATTCTTTTAGGCTCCATGTAATGTCTTCCTTAGGTTTGTTGTGATTACTTTGGCTGTGGTTTTACAACACCCAATTGGAGCGTCTTTGATGAACGGGAAACACTCCTACACCCATCAATTTGCAAAGTGAAGCAACTTTACGACCTGATTTTATATACAAACCTCTTGCTCCCAAGAGTGGAGTTTTTCTTGAGCTACTTGGTACCTCTTTATCAGCGTTTCCATCTTTACTAGACATCACTGCTGCTATGTTTGCACAAACAATTCGTTTTCCCGCTATCGGTTCACCAAATTTTCCTTAATTCTGGGTCTTTGAGAGTAATTACGCTAAAGTCCTCCATATTGAAATGTATATTGTGTTGGTCAGCGGTCACTGTTTGCGAATAATTGTCTTCAAGTAAATCATTAGTGTTATCCCTACCTTTTTCCTCGAGAGGTGAACAGAATGTGTTTTTGATGATTATCGGGATGGAAACGCGAAAAAGCTAAACAAACTAATTAAACTAAACTAAATACAAAATAATTCGCTCTGACGAAGGGCTAACGCCCGAAACGTCAGCTATGGAAACTCTTTACGGCGGCCAATTTACATCAAATTACCTAATCAAACAAAAATAAAGGTTTACAGTTCTCATGCCTCGTTATACTGTTGTAGATAATGAATTACTAATACACCACCAAGATGAGATCATGAAATTTATAAATTTTACAACACCCTTAGTCTTTCTACAATGTCGATCCACAAAACTTTCTTCAAATGACTTACAAAAACGTTTTCCACCTTTCTGCGCAAACTGTACGACTCGTGGACAAAATAGATACTTTCAGTTAAGGTCGGTAAATAAATGTTTTTTTTCATCTGTTAAGTGAGATACAAATGTCAAAGTGTAATTATTAGGACAATACAGTTACATTGTTATTCTATTCTACATTCTACGTCTTTTTTCTTAACTGTCTACATACTTAGATTTTCATTCACCGGGTGTTAGGTTAAGAAGAGACGCTAATAATATTTTTCATGTTGTCGGTATTTAACACATTGCCGGATGTTATTCATTTTCACCATCTACAGGCAGGAAAACAAACAAAAAGTACGTAGATATTGTTTTCGACTGTTACTACGAAATTTGGGAGCGGCCAACGGATAATAACAAAATAGAGAATGAAGTGAGATATGAATACCAAGATGTTAAGATTAGGATAAAGCAGTTACACTGTTATACTATTTTAAATTCTACGTCCTTTTTCTTCACTGTCTACATGCTTAGATTTTAATTAACCGGATGTCAGTTTAAGAAGATGCGCTAATAATTCTTTTTTGGTTGTCGATATTTTCCACATTGCCGAATGATATTCGTTTTCACCATATACAGGCAAGAAAACAAACAGAAAGTACGTAGATGTTGTTTCGACCATTACTTCGAAACCTGGGAATGGCCATTTGGAATGAATGAACTTATTTTGTTATTATCCGTTTTTTGTTTCAATTTTTTTAGCATCCCCTTCCTCAGCGTTTTATGAATTTTTGAATTAGCTAAATTTTTTTTATTCTATACAGCTTTCTGATTGGTTGGTTTAGTATTGTCCTGAATTGAATAACCCTCCCAAATCATCAGTTTCTTCTCAAAACTCATAAGCTGCTCGATGCTCACTAGGCAGGGCTTGAAAACCTTCAGCAGTATCTTTACATGACTTACTGATCAACCTATACATAACTGTGGGGATACATACGCTATGAATTCTGATCACCAACTGGATAATCTTACGAAGTGCAAGAACAGAACAGAGCTCGGTGCTGTTTCAAGTGATACTCAACGACCACTTAGTGTTGATGGCGTGCAGATTGTTCTTACTGACCAAACAGAAGATAACAAGCCCATTGGTTTTTCAAGTGGCGGAAGTTCCAAAGCGGAATTGGAAAAGGAAACAAACAGGCCAGTGGATAATATTTCCAGCACAGTCAAAGGAGAAGCGAGTGGTATTCGCATGAGGCGGATGGGGTTTGTTGCGGCCAATCACTCGGAGCTGACGAAGATGAGAGTTTTGCGTAAAAAATTAGGTGAATATGTAGAAGGAGAAGAACCCCAAACTTTGGTCAAGAAACTGTAAATATTATGATGTCCGGTTTTTTCATATTTCAGTTATTTTCATGTACGCCAATCGAAGACACGTCGCATTTAGTAGACGGCCCATTTTTTTTTTATTTCCCTTTTTTTGTTTTGGAATGGAAAGGGAACGCACCTTACAGATCCCATTATATTACATACTTTAACACGTTCAGCCGGAAATTTCAGGGTCAACAAAATCTTGAAAGAAAAAAGAAGGTTCTCGCAAATTATGATATTGTTTGTTTCGAAATTAATAATAACTATTACGATTTCCTCAACTGTATGAGGAATATTTCACTGATCATTCCGTACAGTTGAAATCAGATAGTGTAATTGGCAGGTGGTTGTGATTAGACACCCGTAATCGGACAGTTGAAGCAGCCAATCATACTAAGTCTATTCAGCTAAGTCCACCAATACCAGAATTGATCACAATAACCATAGCAACAACCACTTATCCTGAAAAATAACTAAGGAATATCCACAACGGAGGATTTTTTTCATATCGATATTGTCTACCGGATATTTTTTATGAATAATTTGTAAAATCGTCCGTCCAATTTTGTTAATCACTGGTATGCTTACAGACTGAATTGAACTCCACTTCGTCCTATTACCATTATTAATGAAAATTAGTTCTGTAAACATGGTTTAAATCAAGAGATTATCCTGTCCTGGAGAAAATTGAGGAAGAAACCATGAGGCCAAGTTCTCAGAGGGTTAGACATTAAAAATGTAATGTTTTAAGTTCTTCGGGTTTATTAGACTCGTTATTACAATTTTTTATTTTTTATTTTTCTTCTTACTGGAGATAAATTTACTTGACAGCACCCCATTACATTGCTTATATATGGGGGGGGGGAGGAATGGTAGAAATGGGAAAGAGTGATGAAGCAAAATATCGCACATAATCACTCCAGGTTGACAATAGCCATTCTACCTTGCACTACTTACACCGTGATTGCAGCATTCCCACGTGAGTAAAGTGCTGGTAACTTAAGGGAAACACACGCATGTTACACCAAAAAACCCGCCTGCAGCAGAAGAGGCCGATTATTCGCAATTTCTCGTAATTTTAAATTTCCCTTTTGTTTCCCAGTACAAGCATATGCTTGTATTATTTTACACGGATGCGATAGAAATTAATTGGAAATTAATTGGAAAAGCATAGGAAGTCGTCGTGTGTTTTGAGCGAAAGAGATCGTCAAGTGATCAAAACAACACCGGCCAGATTATGGTAACGTGCTCAGCAACGACTTGTAGAGACCGATCATATTTCATTCTTACCATCAAAACTGCCTAGATAAACAATAAAACAAAAGGACCATAACAAAAAGACCGAAACAGCTGCCAAAAAGGCCAGAAAAAAACCTTGAAACGAAAGAAATAATGCTGTAAACTAACATTTTTTTATTTTTAAGTCATGGGTACGTGTTTCCGTGGGAATTTCCATGTCAACAGCTTGCTCTGTCGCTCACAAACTCTTCATGATTCTCGCTGCTCCTCGTTATGTGCAGCGCATGGACGATTCGAAGACCCTTCAAATTTTGTCTTTAAATTGATCATAGCACTAATCTTAAACATTTGAAGTCCATTTCAATTTAGTAAATGTCGAAACAGCCTTGTAGAGACAATAAACATCGCAACGATCGATGCAATCACAATGGCGCCAGGACCTCAGACTTCTTCAGAAGGATAGATCTTGAGTTCGGAGCCGACTAATTACGACTAATTACGACGAGTTCACGCTAATCTGCATATCCCAAAGAGCCCACAACGACTCGTTTCTACGCGATCGCGTATCCACGAGTTAAAAATCGTATTATTAAATAACATGTTCCTACGTCAGGAAACAGTTGTCTTCCCGCTGTCATTGTTGCCAAAACATATTTTGTAGAAAAACTAGTTAAATTGAAAGGTTTCGAGGGGAAGAATCACTCCAGTATATCAAGCCTGGCGGAAAACTTGCCTTTTATTTTCACCAACACCGGTGATAAGTTGGACGCCGTTTGAGTATTGCAGCAGAAACGATTTGATGATATTTTTCTGTTCTTATTACAAAAAGAAGACAGGAAGTCTTCCGGCGCTTATATAAAATTTATTAGAGAAATCTAACGAAGTTTTAAAATGACTGATAAACCTCCGATAGATCTGGAAATAATGCACCTATTGTAGACCAAGACAAGAGCTCATATACGACCGCTCAGGACTTTATTTGTACCTTTCTATTAGGTTGGTGAGTTTTTGTATTAAATTTGCGACTAAAAATTTCTAATTTCTGAAGTGAATTTTAATATTTTTCAAGTTGCTTGTAGTCATGTTTCTTTTCTTCGTTTTGCAGAGCAAGTGACAACCACAGCTGTGGATGTGAAGGAGTTGCAAATTCTTGTTGATACCAATGGCCAATAACGCCAGCAGCCAAACTCAAATTTCTACGGCCGACAAGGACCAAATGCCCATTTCTGCCTCGCAATCGGTTTCATGACTCGTTCTGTTCATGACTGAATGTCTCGCCATGGTGATCCTTAATATCATCACCATTATTGTGTTTGTGAAGCAGCGCCAGCTACAGCGCCGGAGCACCTACTTAATTATTCATCTGGCGGTAGTGGATCTCTTAACAGGAGTAGTTTCGGGGCCTCTGCAGATTGAACGAATCGGAAGCAATGATCATCTACGGGAGTACAATCGACCCGATATCTCCTATTTATTAATACTGGAAAGGATATTTGGGTATTTATTTCCAGTTATTTCTTTTCTTATTCTCGCTTTTATTTCAGTTGAAAGGGTACATGCAACATTTTGTCCATTCAGGCATCGTTTTATTACGAGACGGTTCTATAGACTAATTACAGCAGTCATTTGGTTAGTACCTCTAGCAGTGAGAACGGCACAAGCATTGATGATCCACTTTTTTAGTCTCTCGAGCAATAATTTCAACACTTCTATCATCTATTTATCATACTTCGTAGTTCTATTTGTTGTCATCTGTGTTTGCTATGTTCTTATTTACCTCAAAGTTCGTTTCAGTCGTTATCCTCAACACCATGGTGCAGCCGACCTGAGAGAAAGAAAACTGACCAGCACATTGTTTCTTGTCACTCTTGGATCGTTATTAACTATTCTTCCAACAATAATATTTATAAGTTTATTAGTATTTCATTTCGAATTTCTTAGGAGTTTTTCCCGAAAGTCGTCCTTTAACTTTCTTCTGGTGATGGATTTGCTTTTTTTCACGAACTCGCTCATAAACCCTATAATCTATGCCGTCCGAATGCCCAAAGTGAGAGCAAGTTTAATACAACTTTTATTCTGCAAGTCTTAAAGTCACTCCAGTCCAACTCAGTCGATTTCCCTCTTCGCAATCTTTAGTCTGTTTACAGATTTTGTTACAACCATCGCTACTCAAAATATATGTAACAAAACATCATCTACGTGTACATCAATAGATTTAAACCTAAAATTATTGGAAACAATTGGAATCGTGTTAGATCCTCTTTAAAAATCGCTTCAGACTAAGCATGCATGGGTAATCGCATGGGCCAAGTAAAATTAAGTATAAATGATCACACGTGTTTTCAGAAGTCGCAGAAATTGCCCGAGTCACGAACGAATCCACTGGAAGCAAAACGCTGCAAAGTCGGTATTTCGTAGTCTATCGTCTTCTTTATCAGAATAGTTTTAAAAATCGACCACATTGGTGCAACGCCTATTACCGTTCTAACTTTAGTGACAACATCCAAAATATTCCTTTGCTGTTATTTGTGTTAAAAATGTCATAACACATAATTTTACAGCTGGAAGCTAAACCGGAACTCTCCTCTATCCCTAATAAGCCCTAACATGAGTGAGGCGCTTGAAAAGTGTGCCTCACTCAAAGATCTCACGCGGCGCGGATTTCGCCGAAAAGGAGGGACTACTTGTAGACTAGGCCATTTTGAGCGGCCATAATTTATCCCAACACTAACTAGGCTGGTTTCAATTTTTTTACGGCGCTCTTGCAAACAAAGCTCGGATGTTGACTAAAATGACAATAGTCGCTTCTACGCTTCGCGTATCCACGACTAAAAAACCAAATGATTTAACTCAAAATCGAAGGTAAAACGGCCTATTTGAAGTGCATATGAAAATAAAATAATCTTGACACCAAAATTGTTCAAGTCTTACACATCCGCTTCGTCTTCCCTCTCTCTGACTTCGTCGACATCAGCCGCGGCAACTTGGTTTGATGTATGGCGGCAGCACAACAGTTTGCGGAATTCTGTTTGGAACCCACAATTTGTAAAAGCATAAATAAAAGGATTTATTGTGGCACTTAGAAAAAGAAAAAAAGTAACGAGATTTGCTGCTCTTCTAGGACAGGTTTCTGGAGAAAAACGCTTCCAAAGGATGAATGCCCACATTGGTATCCAGCAACATAAAAATCCAGTGGCAACGTACAACAAGACTCGAGTAAGATGTATCTCCTTCAATGAACTGCTTCCTCCACAATTAGTCCAGTAACAGAGTGATGGAGCTGTGTTCACTTGATGTTGATGGGTAGTGGATAATACCTTGTAGTAGCTGAACATACCACTGCATAGCGGTACAGTGAAAAACAATCCAAACATCATGCAGAAATGAACGATTCGAACTCTCATATTTGCGAAACCGAGAGCACATACTTCAAAGCCAGGAACGAATTCAAAACTGAGTAAATTTGTAGCTCGACCAGTCAATAAGTAAAGCAAAAGGAAAATCCAAACACAACACAACCAAATTTTGGATCTGAGGGGCGAAAAATATTTTTTGTAGTGGTTCGTCTTCACAATTTTCAAGTATCGGTTAACTGCAGTCAAACCAAGGGTTGCTGGGGTTGCGTAAGTAGAAAACACGTCAATAAAACCTTGAATTTGGCATACCGCGTCGCCAAAATCCCATCTTCCAATGATTAGCGTTGTAGACGCCAAAGGCATTTCTATTGTTGCACAGAGCAGATCGCTGACTGCTAAGGCAATGATATACAGATTTGTGGTTGATCGCAGGTTTGGGTTTCTGTATGCTGCCATACAGACCAGACTGTTTCCAGTGATGCTTGTAATGTTTAGTGCGACGCAAATACTTGCTTCAATTAAAAGAACAGGCAGGCTTCGACTTGGCAGCTCTAAGTTTGACATCTAGTGGAAAAAAGAAATGAGTATATGAGAGATTAAAAAGGGGCAACTGTATAAATGAATGTATGGTTCATAAAAGAGAAATGGAAACAGACTCCTAAAGGTCTTATGCGTGCACCAATCGCTTCATACACCACTGCCTAAGTAGTGTTCATTACTGCGAAGATCGCTCACGTTATCGGATTGGAATCGTAAATAATGCCTTGCGGAATTCTCTTTCTTTTTCTGTTTTTCTCGTTTCATTGTTCTCTTTATCATGATTATCATGATCATAATTGTGGATATCATTATTATAATCATCATTCTTGCAATCATTCTTATTTTTTGTTATCATTCTCGTTGTTTTTATAATTATTATTATCATAGTTCAGAGTTGGTGTGCAAGAAATTTACAGTAATTTACTTTCACGCTTTACTTGGATCGAGAAAACAGATATCCGCGCTGACTCCTTTCGCTTCTTTAAGCATTTCTGTTTTACTAGTGATTTAGATTTTAACCGGCCAAGGAAGAAGTAGATTTGCATATGTTATAACTCTAAAGCTGACAGTGAATTAATGTGCTTCCTTCAACCTTTTGTCGCTTAAGAAAGCTTTTTTTTGTCATTATCATAATTAAACGTTTTCGGTACCGGTGCGTTTATTTGAACTCTGCGTTTTCCTACTTTTGAATTAAAATTTTGTTAATGTTCTGCGTTTTTTCTCTTCTGCTTCTTTTGGCAAGCTGTATTGAATGTCTCCTTTCTTTTTCTTCCTCCTTTTTTGTCCATTAGTTGAAAAAGGCAGAAAAATTAGGCGGTTCACGCATGCTTCCCACTTAAATTCTTTTGTCTCTCTATGTATCTCCATAAGTGCACGTTGGTGTAGAGAAATGTTTTCTGACAAAATTTTTACTGACATAGGCATCAACAAACGCAACAAATGGATTTTACTCAAAACGGTTATCACTTATTTCCTTTGGTCCAAGTATTACAAAATGGAGTGTCAAAATACTTGCTACCCCATCGTGCTGTCAACCTACTTTCAGCTTTGAACAAATCGATAATTCTCAATCCGTTTCCATAAAACTGAAAAAATGGAAATTCAAGTTACATGTAATTTTAATAGATATGACGAGAGTAAATGCAGCGATTATTTAGATATGTGGAATTTTACTCACCCTGCCTGAAAGAGAAAAGTACTTTTCGCTCCTAATTTTTTTTTTGGCCTGTCAACTTTCCGTGCGCTTAAGCTCTTAATTGCAATGGAAAATTAACATTTTAATAAAAAATTCTGTGTCTTCTGCGCTCAAATTGAATTACTTTTCGGCAGAAAAATTAAAATTTCTGCCCTTCTTTGTATAAACCGCAATTTCTCGTTACTTTCACATGTCCTACGCGTGCAATATTTCATTTTTATCGTTGGTTGCCCGAATAAAAGGCCTAAGTATGTATTGCAGCAACGTTACAGTAGCAATGGCGTAGTATTTTGGCCTAAGGAAAAATATTTTTCCCTTTAAAGACGTCATTTCAAAGAGTTAGAAAACATGGTTACGATCCCTGAACATCAGTTGTTACTTCACACTGAAACTTGGAACAAAGAGTTAGCTGTACACGCCAATTCATTCCGTTTCAGTTTTATCCTATTTTCTTTATCACTATTTTTCTTGCTTAGGAAGAAGTTTATTTGCATGTTTTATCTTCATGTTTATTTGTATTCACTAAGGTCGGCAATAGACTATTATGTTTTCTTATGTTTAAGCATTTTCTATGGCCTGTATAAGGGTTTAGTTTTAAACTTTCATATTTCAACGTTCCTTTTTCACTTTGTGCTAAATAATCTCCATTGATTTTCCTCTTTAACCCTTTAACTCCCAGAAGTGATTAAAATGAAACTTCTCTCTATAATATCCATACCTCATTCAGCAAACAGGTAATGAGACTATTCTAATTCATCACATAGAAGTTGCCATCTTGATCTAGCACCAAGTTCTCATGATTAATGAAGCAGCTAGAGGGGAGAATTAACAATTAGATCTTGGGAGTTAAAGGGTTAAACTTTTTATTTAAATTTCCAAAGCCTTCCTTTTTCTCCTCAGCAGTTGGAAGTCGTGTATAAAATTGCCGAAATCGACGGAATGTTTGGCAATTCCTTACACGCTTTCCGGCCAAGTCCTGTTACAACAGAGTTCTTTTCACACATCTCCACCGGTTCATTTTGGCGAAGAAGAGAAGTTAACGAACTCTGACAACATCTATACAAAGACAAATGACACATCCAACGAATTTTACATGAAAGAGTTATAATTGATGGCCTTCAGTTCAAGCGTTTTTTAACGGAATTGTCGTAACATAGCATCCTATTTCTGAAACTCTATCTTGTTGTCAGTCCTTCCTGGATTTAGGGTGAATCTATAAAAACTCATAATAATTAGTGGTGTTTTTCATCTGTTAACATTATTTACAAGGCTGATGGGAGTTTTTTAAGCTAATAATTATCATAGCCTATGTTTTCTAAAATAACCTCGGGTTCTATATAATTTTAGAAGGCGATGACACTCATAATCGAACGGAGCGTTTGCATCGCACAGCCATTGAACAAGAAAAATTGTAGATCGAGAACTGATTAACTATCTTTCCTAATATGCACAAAATTGATGTTTTTCTCAATTTTCATTACAGTTGACAGGTGAATTTAGGGTGAATCTACTAAACATTGAAAAGAGATGGTGGTCTTTATCAGTTGCAGAAATACTTGAAGGTTGAAAACAATTTGTTAGGTAAATAATATTCATGGCCTACCTTATCTTAAACAACGATTTTAGGTGAGTCTGTGGGTTCCTTATGGTTTTTCAGGGATAATGCTCACAGTCAAGCAAGACGTTTTCATCTCAGAATCAGCATTTCATAGGCTTAACTCGGCCGGTCAATAAGAAAATTGGAGATCGCAAACAGAGTAATTATCCTTTTTAAGATGTACGCAACCGACGTGTTTCTATTCTTTACTTCTTCCCCAATGATAGATGTTAATTAAAGCTAGGTGTAATAAGTCTGAAAAACGCGATGATTAAGGGATGACTGTCGTCCATGGTAAGGGATCTAAATAGGGTTAAGATTTCTTGTCACTGTTACACCATCCGATCGGTTGACTAGTAAGAAATGCTAACACCTCACAATAGCGTCGTTTAACTAATTTAGGTTACTGGGGTGTTACACGGGTATGATTTCCGGAGGGCCGAATTCGCGGCTTTCGAGAGCGATTGGGCTTTTTTCAATCTTTGTCCATGGGTATTGGAAGATACTTTGGAGTGTAGCTGAAACTACCAATGCACAGAAGTAAAATGGAAACAAATCCAATTACGATGCAATGATAAACGGTTTAAAGGTTCGTATTTGCGAAACCAAGGGTAAAAGGGAATGATGCATCAAAAGAGGATTCAACTTTGACAGAAGGATTGAGGGATTCCATAGCTATAAGTCTATTAGGTTGATTTTCCTTTAAAACGTCTACCCCTACCTTTGGCAAACAGTTCGCAAACAGCGGGTACTTTGATTATTGCATGTACTTATGAAATTGTATTATTTGTGTCAGAGAGTCCTTTTCATAGCTCTTCATTGTTCAAACAGAACACTTCAAGATAAAAGAAAAGTGGAGTGACACTGTTAAGCAACAATTAAGCGGCTATCAGGATGCTAGTAAGATTGAAAATGGCGAGGACTTTTCTATCCTGGTCCTATTCACTGACCATGGGTTTAGCACAAGGTGACGTTAAGAGTACGGCCAATTACACCTTTTGAATAGAGATTTTTGAATTAATTCACTTAATTAACAAAATGTGAGGTTATTAAATATAATCGATTTTACAGTATAAACTTTTATATTCATATTTTTCATGGGATATTCTAAAATTACAATTGTATGATCTGTTTCAGCAGCGAATACACAGTCGAGAAATTCACTGAATACCACTTTATATTGGCAAAGACCTCTTTAATTTGTAAAATCAGCTAAAATTAGTGTAATGCATAGCTTATATTCTTCTCTACTAATGATTATTGTAACACTTTTGATATTTGTTGGTTTTCCCAAGTGTAAACTTAAGTTCAATAAACTTCTTCTACTCTTCATTTTAACAGATAAACTAAACCCTAACGAAGAAGTTTTTCTTTTTATATTTCCATGACATGTTGTTACAACTGACATATATTTGTGAACAGAGTTGCTTTTACGGTAGAATAAATTTTTAAAGGTGTGGTTAAAAGGTCGAACATGCAGCATGCACTCTGACTCTTCCTCTCTCTCCACGCAATCAATTCCTTCAGATCAGCTCGCTTGAAAATTATCTCGTCATTCTTTTCTTCCTAAAGTATGTGTTTTGCTTCTAAAAGACTCTTTTAAAGATTTTCAAGTGGGATATCGATTGGGTTTCTAGGATTTGGAGCCTTGCGAAATATTATCTGTAATATTCCTGCTCGTATTTCTGGCATCCGTATGGCGTAGACTATAGGATTTATTAGCGAGCTGGTAAAAACAAATGTTATCACTGACATCTCAATATGAAATCGAGACTGACCGAAAAACATGTAAAGCAACCGGGGATTAAAATGTGTAAAGCCCCAGAATACCATCATCGGTAGAAACGTTATTAATGAACCAAGGGTAACAACAAATAATGTTCGAGTCAACTTTCTTTCTCTCAGGCAGGCTGCACCATGATTTTGAAGACGACAACTAGAACGTACTTTGAGATAGATAGAGATGTAGCAAAAGAACATGACAAAAAGAAGGGCAAAATAATATGAAAGATAGATCAATTCGCAATTGACATAGCTGTAAGAACAGTTGTCTAGCTCTGATATAATGGAGTTTACGACTAGAGGCACTAACCAAGTGACTATCATGATCACTCCATAAACCCGTTTCTTAATAAACCGATGCTTGAAAGGACGAAATGTTGCGTGTACTCGTTCTAATGAAATACATACGAGATTGAAAAGGGAGACTTGATGGACTTGAAACCCAATTAGTCTCTCTAGAATAAATACCCAGTTGATATCAGGCCTATTGTACTCCCAAATATCGCAATAAGAGCCCTCAGACCAGTTAATCCACAGAGGCCCATTCACTGCTCCCACCAAGAGATCGACTATGGCCAGATGAATAATCATGTATGTACTCTTCCTCTGTAGCTGGCGCTGCTTTCCAAATACAATGATTATAATGATATTGAGGATGACTATGGTCAGACATTCAATGACGTGCACCAGAAGCCACGGAATACATTGTGACGCAGTAAGCAGCTTCCAGTGGTAGAGGATCGTGTCACTGTAGGTACTATTTTTAGGACCAGCGATCATTGAGTTCCACTTGAACCAGCCACAGCCAACCAAAAGATCTTAACGGGGATGAAAAACGTTTATCATCTAACAAAAAGAGAGACGCTGCCGTGAGAACCAACAAGGGATCATCCAGAGATATTCTTCTACCAGCTTTGTTGCCCGTTTTCTTTGTTCTGATTTTCAACGCTCTAAAGCGCAAACAAAACCGCCAGCTGCGCAAGCAAATAGTTTGGTGCTTTCTTCGAACCAAAGGATAAGGTCTATCTTTCATGCATCTTCTTTCGGCCCGCACCGCTCTTCGGAGAAATAAGTCTAGATGAAAGAGTAATGGATGGTGTTCTTAACGAAATACTGAAGTTGCCTGTGTTCGTATTGACGGGTAATATGATGGATAACGATTCTTCAAATAGGAAGCGATTTTGATAAAGAGGGTCAGTATTTTGAATTTCATTTAACTCAATGCCATCGTTTTTTATTTCCATTTTCTTCGACATGAATCTGCAAGGAACTCAGAGTTTTTGAGAAAAAGTTAAGAAAAAAAGAGCAGAGATCTGGCAAATCATCAGCAACATGAAAAAGTAAAAATGTTCGAACTCAGCGTTTTTAACGGTACATCATTCGTTAAGGTAGAAATACGTAAGAGGGAACTATGTTATTTCAAAGCTGAAACCAAGAGAGAAAACATACCTTACTAATGAGATTGATTCGAACATAGTATATAATGCCAACAACCATGGATTATATACTCCATAGAACAGAAAATATATTTTAGGGACATATAGGATTAAACTATGAATCAAGCGAGAAAGTTTCCCTTTATCCGTTTATAAGGAAATTCAGATGCTTTCGCTATGAAGAAGCCCTCCCTATGGCGAGGAAAAAAGTATCCTAAGGCTGAATATATATTACCCACCAAAGAAAGAATTTATCAAGTTCTTGCAACTCTCTCGCTGCTACATCCGCTGATATAGAAGTTCTTAGCCATATCAGACTTATCCTAATAACAACAAAACACGTCACAAACTGATCATATTTTGCAGTCTAAGGATACCAACAATCGAGCTATAACAAAATAGGCCATATCTTACGTACCCTTATAACATCAAGCGGAGAATATCAGAGACGGAGGATCCTATAAGAGGTATGCCATTAATTCAGAAATACGACTGATGTGAATAATAATACGCTCTCGAAGAAATAAACGTTTAACCTTAAACATGGGCAGCAATCATGGAAGACATTAGTGATGAAACGTGTGAGGGTCAATTATTTCCCCGAAAGCCGCAAATTAATTATCTAAGAAAATCATTTTTCAGTATTTACTTTGAATAACAGAGTAAATTAGGATAAATGCCAAATTGTCTGGTAAATGAGAAATTATAAAATTGAGACAACTCCGTCTTCATTGACATCGACGTAGGGAGACAGCGAAACTAACATGCTATTTATCTTTTGATGCGCGCCAAAGTATGATGTATTAAGTAATTGAGCTCTTTGACTAATAAAAGTTTTTCGGTCATTGTATTTTCTTGCTTTTATTTCTCAGCTGTTTGCCATCTTATAATGAAGCACAATATTTGTCTTTTCTTTTTGTGATAAACGTACAAAAGGGGCATGCTCAGTCCGAACAGTGAATTACACATCGAAAACAAGATACCCTGACAGCCAGTGTACACCGAAAAAGACGAACGGGCATTGCTGCTAAGCGTCATTTCATTGTTAACCGTTTTCCGATAGAACAAATGTGGATTTATACGAGTGGCATTCGAATTCCATTACCTCAGCAAACAAAACTTAATCTAAGTAATTGCTTTCAGATTCCAATTGTTATTGCTATCCCTTCTTTTAAGCATTTATAACAGTCTTAACCTATTCTGGTCATAAAACAGTCGTCAGAATAATACTTAAAAACTTAAGATTGTCAGATGTCAAGCTTCATCTTTTCTTAATACTACAGAATAAAACGTGTAATTAAGAAGATTTCGGCAAAGTGCACTCCCTAAGAAAGTCACGTAGCTTTCCGACAAGAGGTAATTTCCTGCCAAAGCTTTCTACCTTTTCTGTTTATTGAGGCTTTTATTTGAACTAGATTTGCAGTGTTTAAACTCTGTATGTATTGTCGGTCTTAACATCCTCACCCCATTATGTGGCTCCGTATAATCTGAGGAGATCAGTGTATTTCGATCCTCAGTAAGAAAATCAATACATTTTTTTCCTTCAGACAGGCAATTGCCGTTCAGATAACTCGTATTTCTAAACCGCCACGACAGCGGGCATCAACGAGTTGAGGATCCCATTTTCCCTGTTGAAGTACAGTACAGTACATCTGAAGTAAAAGGCTGCTTCTGCAGTGCTCTTCTCCTGCTCCGTTGACTCGGCAAAGAAGCCAGTAAGTACGAACAGTCGAATATCCACTTCGCAGTCTTAAGTTCAGGCTGAAGCTTCATTTTTCGCAATAATTTTAATCAGAAAATGTAAATAAAATGTTAAAATGGCTAAGCGACTCGCCGAATGTCAACAGCCTTTTCTTGTTGCTTATTTTTCGTGTTGAGTCTGGCTTGTAACGATAAACCCCAAGTTACATATAACATTTCAGAACAAAGAAACACACAACTAGCGGTACCATACGGGTCGGGCGCAGTTTCATGAATACAAATGATGAGCAACAAGGGGATCAAAAGAGAAAATTCATATATTCATATATTTAAATTACAGACTGAGCTGAATGTGCACCTACTTATTTATTTTTATTTTGCGTGATAATTAATTTACTTCTGTCGGGTTCCAGTAAACCATAGTCCTTCACACGCAAGAACACAGCAATACACCCTGTTGAGGAATAAAAAAAACAAAAAAAATTACCCGTGAAAATTATCATAGCGCAGAGATAAAAGCACAGAGCAGACCTTCTTCCGTTTTCAGCTCAACCTAATGAAAAAACCTGAATATTTCTTCGAGCAGACCCAATTTTAAATAGACACCTTATCTATATATATAGGCACTATCACGGCTGCTGAATGTGGGTAGTGGTACAGATTTATGCAAACGTACATTCCAAGATATTTAAATAATGAAGAAATTGAAGGAAAATTACAAAGCATTACATCACAGTACACTGTAATAGAACAATTTTGAAATTTATTTTTCCCTAGTTGATTATTGACTACACACATGTTTGTCAGTTCACGTTAACTATTGATAATTTTGAATAAACGATTGTATGAAGGTGCAATTGATTGTACGTCTCTATGCAAATTGTGTTATTGCGTGTCTCTAATACGCAATTGATTGTCATACCAAGCAATTGATTTTCTATTAGTGTTAATGATCAACCATTGCGCGAGATTGAAAGTATATTTGTTATGTTTGATTGTCGAAAGGTGCAATTGTTCATCCGTTAATGCTGTTAAATGTTAATACATATGCAAATAGCGTTATTGAAAGTTCGTTCGCGTTCATGATGTTCATGGAACTGCAAATGAATGTCTATTTGCCGTATAGTTTCAACTGTTGACGTAAATGAATGTGCATTTTGCGTAAATGAACAGCAAAAGGTGTAAATATCTTTAACTATCGCGCCAATTCCCTTGTCTCTCTAGAATGGAAAGAAAATATAAAATACCTTGGTGACCTTATCGATTCAAAATGATCTCGGACTCACACATTTCATTTACTTCATCTAAGATTAGCAAGTCTTTAAGTATTTTATCAAGATTGAGAAATTTCGTCCCACAAACTGTGTTGCTTAACTTGCATCGATCTTTTATTCAAGCTTAGTTGTCCAACTGGGTTGCAGTCTGAGGCCAAGTTGCTCAATTGAGTTTGGAAAAGGTGTTGATTATGCAAAAACGGGCTCATACTGTACCTTTTGTCAACTTGTTAAACATTCTTCCTCTTCATCTGACCTATTTTAAAACAATCTGTTCTTTTATGCATGATTTTGTCAACGACCAAGTACCACCTAACATTTCAGACTTATTTAGTTATTCTTCAGAAAAACACCACCATTATACAAGGTCCTCAGCGGCTGGCAATCTCTGTCTTAAATATTCGAGAACAAACATAAAAAAAAATCTTTCTCAAGACTGGGTGCAAGGATCTGGAATACTATTCCCATCTGTCTTCGTTCTCTACCTAAATATGAATTTAAATGGCACATATTGACAGCTACTGAACATTTTGACGCGAGTGGATACCTATGTTGACGTCCATACTGTAACTAATAAATTTATAAAATTATAATATTTTTCGATTCATTTTTTTTTTGTTTTTTTTTTTTGGTATGTTTTTGTATTGTATGTTTTTTTTCGTATGTTTTTGTTTTCTCGCGTGTAATTTTATTCTAGTTGTAACATATAATACCTTATTGGCTCCTCTATGATTTATCATATTGTGTTTTTTTCATCGTTCATGTATGTGCATGCCCTCTCAGTCATTTCCTTTTTGCAGTTAAACTTGTTATTGAAGAATTTTTGTTTCCCTCCCGCCTCGATTAGCTTCGTTATTTTTCGGGTAGAGATTGTTAGATAGGTATTTTAATTGCCAAAGTAAATGAAGAAATTTTATTGCTGTTGTTCATATTGGTTTCCAAAGCCGTGGAGTTGTCACCAGAATGAATTAAGAAGAATAAAAGGTTTTTATTCCAGACCATCTAGAATAATGACAAACTGAAATTCAAATCATAGAAGAAAGCGCGAGATAAATGGAGTGTAAAAGCATTGGAACTTTTTTTTTTTAATCCTATTCTACGCGTGTTTTCATGGCTTGCGATTTAATAAAAAGCAGAATAACGGAATCTACAGCATACCGTAGAATCAACTTTAAAAAGATATTCAGTCACTCCCGCCAAAATACGGTAAAGTGGGCTGAAATAAAGTCTACATCTGTAAAGTATGAGGTCATGTGATATATTTATTAATTTTATTAACTTCCTCTTCCTGTCCATGCACCTGTCCTACTAATACATTCAACTTAGCCATCACGTAGGAATACTATATAAATTGGAGGATTTCGACGGGTGTTTTCAGTTGAAGAAGCCAAGCATGACCGAAGTCATCTCTTTGTTTTACTAATCCAAGTGATATTTTAGGCTTTTAAAGCGCTGCCGTGGATGAGAACTTTCTGTCCTAAACAAAAACAAAAGACTTGGAAATCGTCCATTAATCCCTTGAGGTATGTCATTTAAGAATAACTAAACCACAAGATTCCGAGATGTTACACCTCATGTAAATCATGTTATGATATCACCAATGACCATTTCAAGATAGACTCATGTCTGATGGTTGCTTTATGCATGTAGCAAATGGCCTAACTTATTTTACATAAAAATGACTAAAAGCTTTGGGATCGAAATTAAAGATTCTTTGTGGTATGCCTCATGAAATACAAATTTACAAATCCTGAATGATCGTATTTTGCATGCATTCCTTTTTTCTTTTTAAACAAAATATTATTTATGTTACTTAGTAGTGTTAGCTCGTCACTAGCAATTTTCATCCCGCAATTTTAGTGAGAGACCCAGCTACTATTTCAGTCCACACTCAGTGAATATTTTAAGTTACAAGTGGTAAATGTCTTTCCTCCAAGAATAACTAGTTGTTCATTCAAAGTAAGCCGATGGAACTTAATGTTTGAAATTGTTGATAATGAAGATTAAGTTGAGTAAATTCCGGGGTGATGCGTCTCGAGGAAATTTGTCAAGCTGTATTTATTTAATTTGGCCCCATTTTTTTGATTAGTTAATAAGACGACGCTGAATTGTTTTAAAAATTTATCTAAACTCTTCGTCTTTGAATATCATTTTTTTCACCATTCGATAATCAGTACAAAATTTGATTCTTTATAAAAGTTCTGTGGCAATTGTCCAGTATCACTCATCAGTTAAGATCGATCAGACCTTTCGCCGCTTACTAATATGACATAAAATCCATAGTCTTTCAAATAGAAAGATCATCATCAATGGCAGTCCTTGTCCTGGAATATTGTTACTTTTTCGCTTTCTGTAGACTGTTACGTTTTCATACATACTTAGATTATTTGGCTTGCAGTAAACCAATCTCAGTGGAAGTCAATGGCTACCAACTCTAGTGCAGCTTCTCACAATATCACGAGCCATAAGCACCAGAGGTCGCTTCCAACCTCTCCCTGTATCCCGTGGTTTGCTGTGCTCAGCGTTGAATTTCTGGCCACAGTTATCCTCAACTTCATCACCATTACTGTATTTGTGAAGCAGCGCCAGCTACAGAGGAAAAGTACATACTTGATCATCCATTTGGCCATAGTTGATTTGTTGGCCGGAGCCGTATCAGGACCGATGCTGATACATTCACTCGTTTGTTCGTGTTACGGGAAGAGTTGGGATATAACGTTTTCAAGAATAAGTTTAGCAATACGTACTTTTTTCCCCTTCACATCTCTTGTTAATCTCGCTTTCATCTCGTTTGAACGAGTACACGCCACATATCGCCCATTTAAGCACCGTTTAATCAAGAAATGGGTTTATGGACTAGTCATAGCTTTTATATATTTATCAGCAATATGCAAAAGTACAATAGAAGCATTAATCAATTGGCCGTTTAGCTTTATTTGGGTTTCTAGTTCTTATTTCGTTCTTCTGGTTCTCATGTGCATATGTTACATTTCAATTTATATCAAAGTTCGTTGTAGTCGTCAACATCAACTTAATGGTGCAGCCGGTCTGAGGGAGAGAAAACTGACGAGAACATTGTTCCTTGTCACCATAGCATCATTATTAACTTTTCTACCAATTGTTATTGTGAACATTATGATTTTCCTTCATATCTTGTCTTTTTCAAACTGGTCCACTTATCTGCAAATTGGTTGCACTATAATAACATTATTCTTTGCCAACTCGCTAATAAATCCTATTCTCTATGCAGTGCGGATGCCAGAATTTAGGGCAGGTATATCAAAGATGGTATTTTGCAGGACACCTCAAGACCATCGAAATCCGGTCGAATATCCACTTCGCGATCTTTAGTTCAGGCCGACACTCAATTTTTTTGCAATAGTTTTGATCAGAAAATGTAAATACAATATTTAAAATGGTTTAGCGATTCAAAGAATCTGTACAGCTGTAATTTTCATTATCCATATTAAAATATTCGATGTCGTTGCACATGTTTTGTGTTTAGCCTGACTTGTAATGGTAAACCACAAGTTAAAATATATTTCAGAACGAAGAGACAAACAACGAGCGGGACCACAAGGATCGGGCGCTTATTATTAAAGTAAATGATGAACAACAAGATGGTGGAAAAAGCCGTATCCAGCCCTATAAACAACAGAAAGCAACATTACGTCATCTGGAGACCCCAGTTAAAACGGAGACTATATGATGAGTGAACTTAACTCAAAGTGGCAATTTTTCTTGACACAATTAATCTAAAACACACCCGTATTTGGAAAACTCCATAATAACGCAGACTTAATCATCACAACTGAGGCTTCTGTTTAACCGAAACTCTAAGAGGTTTAACAACAGACTTTCTGTCGTTATTTACGAAAGCTGTACAGTTCTAAAATCATTTCCAGATCACGCTAACTTAGCAAATTTTCAGTATACGGCTTAAGAGAGCTAAATTCACCGCGGCGTTGATAAAAGATGGTGAGCCACAAAGAGACCAACCTATTTGCGTTGAAATTTTCCTTAGTTGATGCGCCATCACAGGCGCGCTTGAAAGGAATGAGGGGAGAAAAATATATATTTCATAAAATAGCCACGGCAATAATAAGTTTAAGGATGTAACAGCAAACCGTTAATCTTTGTTAACGACAACCTGCATCAAACAGAAATCCTGTATTTATGTCAATGTCCTTTAACTTGACGGGTTTTATCCAACAAGTTGAGAAGAAAGTACCGAAACTCTTTACATGAGTTGTGATATTCTTTTAAAATTCGCTTTTCCGATCATGGAAAGCAAGGAGCGATCATCTGTGGGATTAACTTGGCTATTTACATATCCAAAAAAATGAATGAAATTCAAAACATAGAAGGAAGCGCGAGGTAATTGGAAAGTAAGCATTGCAAAAGTTTCTTTTATCTGCCTCTGTTTTCTGTTGATATTTCCATGGCTTGTGATTTCATTAAAGGTAGAATCACAAAATTTAAAGCGTAACTGTAGGATTGACCTTTAAACTAACTCATTCCCCCTGGGCAAAAGGACGATTTGAAGCTATTTTAAGATATTTTCTTGAAGGAAACTGGGCTACAATATGTTCTGTAGCTGTAAGGTAAGAAGTCGTTTGATGTATTGATATAATTCATTACTGTCCTCTTTCTGGCCATCTCTTCTATTGATTCATTTAACTCAGCCATCACGCATTTCGTAGGAAAACTGAATTGAAGGATCTCGATATGTGATTTTGCAAGAGTTTTCCGGAGAAATCGCCGTTAAACGGTTGTTATATAACAACAGGATAAACAGAAAAGGTGGAAAAGAAGGTTGTACATAAGGTACCGCCCTTTTTCATAAATCATCGTCGAGCGTCGTGCTCCTCAAACAGAAGATTTTAATTAAAAATTCAGTGCAGAGGGTCAAAAGTCGACGCTGTTTACAAGTACAATCACTATGGGAGAATTGAACATAAAAACTAAACATAGTTAACTCAATAAAGCTAACAGTCACAGTAACTTAACAGCTGCTTAACGCCGTGTTTATGATGGAAAATTGAAGAAACGAGTGAATTCAGCGGTGCATGTGGCAACTTAAAATAAGGCTGAAAATTTGGTACTCTTTCATCTTTTTAGACAATACATTTATCTCTTGTACTTCCCTGTCGTTAGACGCAATTTTTCGTTATCAATTTCATAGCGAGTCACCGAACACGAGATATTAAGTTAGAATTGGTAGTTTTTTTTCTTCTTAAAACTTGTTCTTCTTTCAACATAAACCGACATTGAAATGTTTTGTTGATGAAAAATATAATAATTTAAATGGCGAGGTGTTGTGTTTCAAAGAAATTGGTCCAGCTGAATTTATTTTTAAATCTATGAATGGCTAATAACATAGCGTTCACCTGTTTTGACAAAGACTAAAAACTCATCAACTTAAAATCCATTTCTGTTTCATCATTCAGTAATTCTGGATAACATCTCCCTCATGGTTGCCCATTGGAGCATCCGCCCTATCTTCGAATTGTGTGTTCTGTTTCTTTTATTTGGTTTTTTCTTCTTTTGTTAAGATCTTGAGAAAAATTCCATACTTACTAGTAGGCAAAGGCGAGTCATTTACGTGCACCTTTATACAACTACAAGAACATAAAAGAAATCTGATTTCCTGTAAAAAACATAGATAGCTTCATTTAGCGTCTACTCCGTTAGCAGCTCTTTAGTTGTGGCAGTTGTTCAGCATTACTTGTCAGTTAAGGACGAGCAAATGTTCGCCGGTTGCTTTTAATTTATGCATCTTAGTTCTAAATAAAAAACATTATATATTAAAAATGGCTAAGCGACTCACCGAATGTTAGCAGCCTTTTCTTGTTGCATATGTTTCGTGTTGAGTCTGGCTTGTAACGATAAACCCCAAGTTACTTATAACATTTCAGAACAAAGAAACACACAACTAGCGGTACTATATACGGGTCGGGCGCAGTTTCATTAATACAAACGATGAGCAACAAATGGATCGAAAGAGAAAATTCATATATTCATATATTTAAATTACAGACTGAGCTGAATATGCACAAACTTGTTAATTTTTTTGTTTTGCGTGATAATCAATTTACTTCTGTGGGGCTCCAGTCAACCATAGTCCTTTACACGCAAGAACACAGCAATACGCCCTGTTGAGGAATAAAAAATCTGAAAAAAAACTGAAAAAAATACCCGTGAAAATTATCACAGCGCAGAAATAAAAGCACAGAGCAGATCTTCTTCCGTTTTCAGCTCAACCTTATAAAAAATTAGCAGATCCAATTTTAAATGGACACCTTAGGTGCGGCAAACTGGGCCAACGTCGCGATATGTTTTCTTTATTTCAAAACATACCCGTATTTGGCGAACACCTTTATTTCGCGGAAGTGATCACCGTAATTGCGTCCTTTAGTGACTTAAAATTTCTTTTTCAGCAGAAACTTTGCGAGGTTTAACTACAGATGGTCTTTCCTAATTCACGAAAGCAGTATTTTTCTTAGATCGTGTTCAGTTGAAAAAAATGGGAGCTTCAGGTATTTCCTTCCGGAATTATCAAACTGCTTTCACGTCTACTCTTCCCATTTTAAACGAACAATAAGAGACCAGTCATTTAATGATTATCGCAGCTTTGAAGACTTTTCATTACCACCTGATATAAGATAAAATATCATTTACCGTCAGTTCTAGACATTTTCCTAAACTGAATTTCAGTCATATGAGATAATAAACACATCCCGTTGTGTCAAAAATAATATTTGCACGAAACAAAAGGCAAGCAGTTTATGTATACCAACATAATGGTTCTACATTAAGAAATTAGATTCATCCTCTGAAGACTGTGTAATTATCTTTCTTTTTAATTTCTTTAAGTTGCTAAGAATAAAAAAATTGATGGAATTTTATTTCGACTTCTACCGACCGAGTTTGGGCAAAGATTAATAGAATAAGTTAGAAAATCATCCAGTTCTTCTGAGCTGAAGTATATGCTTGATCATCTCAACACTAACTTTGAACTATTCAGATCGTATCAAAAACGTGTTAACTCGGAAGTGAACATAAATATCCTTAACTTTAGTGCCAATTACCTAGACTCTCTGGAAAGGAAAGAATACATAAAATGCGTAGGTGTATTTATCGATTCAACATGATCTCGGACTCACACATTTCATTTATTTCATCTAAGATTAGCAAGTCTTTAAGCATTTTATCAAGATTGAGAAATTTTGTCCCACAAACTGTATTGTTTAACTTACATCGATCTTTTATTTAAGCTCACTTGTCCAACGGGGTTGCAGTCTGAGGCCAAGTTGCTTAATCGAATTTAAACAAGGTGTTGATTATGCAAGAACGTGCTCATGCTGTACCTTTTGTCAACTTGTCAAACATTTTTCCTCTTCATCAGACCTATTTTAAAACAATCTGTTCTTTTATGCATGATTTTGTCAACGATTTAGCACCACCTAACATTTCAGAATTATTTAGTTATTCTTCAGAAAAACACCACCATTATACAAGGTCCTCAGCGGCTGGCAATCTCTGTCTTAAATATTCGAGAACAAAACATAAGAAAAATTATATCTCAAGACTGGGTGCAAGGATCTGGAATAGTATTCCCATCTGTCTTCTTTCTCTACCTAAATATAAATTTAAATGGTATACAAAGACAGCTGCTGAACATTTTGATGCGAGAGTATACTTATGTTGACGTCCATACTTTAGCTGACAAATTTAGAAAATTATACCATTTTTAGATTCATTTGTTTTCTTTTTGTTTTTCCGCGTGTAATTTTATTCTGTTTGTAATACGTAATACCTAATTGGCTCCTCTATAATTCATCGTACTGTTTTTTCAACATTCCTGTATGTGTATGCTCTCCTAGTCATTTCCTCTTTGCAGTTAAACTTGGTATTGAAGAACGTTTGTTTCCCTCCCGCCTCGATTAGCTTCGCTATTTTTCGGGTAGGGATTGTTAGATAGGAATTTAAATTGCCAAAGTAAATAAATAAATTTTATTGTCGTTGTTCATGTTGCTTTCCAAAGCGGTGGAGTCGTCACCAGAATGAATTAAGAGAAATGAAAGGTTGTTATTCTAGACCATTTAGTTTAAAGACAAACCGAAATTAAAATCATAGAAGAAAGCGCGAGGTAAATGGAGTGTAAAAGGATTGGAACCGTGTTTTTTTTAGTCCTAGTCCATGCGTGTTTTCATGGCTTGCGATTTAATAAAAAGCTGAATAATAGAATCTATAGCATACTGTAAGCTCAACTTTAAAAAGATATTCAGTCACTCCTGCCAAAATGCCGGAAAGCGGTCTAAAATAAAGTCTACACCTGTAAAGTAAGAGGTCATGCGATACATTTACTAATTTTTATTCATGTCCTCTTCCTGTTTACCTGTGCTATTGATTCATTTAACTAAGCCATTACGTAGGAATACTATATAAATTGAGTGATTTCGACGGGTGTTTTCAGTTGAGGTAGCTAAGCTTGACCGAGGTCTTCTCTTTCTTTTACTAATTTAGAGGCTTTTAGAGTGCCGCCGTGGTTGATAACTTTCTGTCCTACCCAGAAACAAAAAGACTTGGAAATCGTCCATTGCTCACCTGAGGCATGTCATTTAAGTACAACTAAACCACAAGATTCCGAGATATTATACCTCATGTAAATCGTGTTAAGATATCACCAATGATCGTTTCAGGAGAGACTTATATCTGATGGTCGCTTAATGCATGTAGCAAATGGCCCAATTTATTTCACATAAATATAACTAAAATCTTTGGGGCCTAAACTAAAGATTTCTTGTGGTATGCCTCTTATAGTACAAATTGAGAAATCATGAAGGACCGTGTTTTGCATGCATTCCTTTTTTCTTTTTAAACAACATATTTTTGTGTTATTTAGTCGTGTTGGCTCGTCACTTGTAATTTTCATCTCTCAATTTTACAGCGAGGCACTGCTGCAATTTCACTCCACACTCAGCAACTATTTAAAGTTAGCAGCGGTAATTTTCTTTCCTCCAATAATAACTAGCTGATCATTCAAGGTAAGCCGATAGAACTTTATGATTAAAATTGTAGACAATGAAGATCAAGTTAAGCAAAATTCCAGAGTGATGTGTTCCGAGGAGATTTGTCAAGCTGAATTTATTTAATTTTGCCCCATTTTTCGAGTAGTTAACAAGAGGACGCTGAATTGGTTTGAAATAATTTAAACTCTTTGTCTTTGAATATCATTATTTTTCACCATTTGATAATTCGTACAAAATTTGATTCTTTATAAAAGTTCTGTGGCAATTGTTCAGTATCACTCATAGTTAAGATCGATCAGACCTTCGCCGCCTACTAGTATGACATACATCCATAGTCCATCAAATAGAAAGATCATCATCAACAGTTGTCCTGGAATATTGTTACTTTTTTCGCTTTCTGTAGACTGTTATGTTTCATTCATATTTAGATTATTTGGCTTGCGGTAAATTACAGTGGAAGTCAATGGCTTCCAACTCTAGTTTAGCTTCTCACAATATCACGAGCCCCAAGCACCAGAGGTCACCTCCAACCTCTTCTTGTATCCCGTGGTGTGCTGTGCTCAGCATTGAATGTCTGGCTATAGTCATCCTCAACATCACCACCATTACTGTATTTGTGAAGCAGCGCCAGCTACAGAGGAAGAGTACATACTTGATTATCCACCTTGCCATAGCTGATTTGTTAGTCGGGGCCATATCAGGGCCGATGCAGGTTCATGCATTCATGGCTCTCTGTTACGATGAGGTTTGGGATATAACGTTTTCAAGAATAAGTTTAGCAATACGTCCCTTTTTCCTCTTTGCATCCCTTGTCAATCTTGCGTTCATTTCGTTGGAAAGAGTACACGCAATATATCGTCCTTTTAAACATCGTTTAATCAAGAAATGGTTGTATAGACTAGTTATAGCTTTTATATATTTATCAACAATATGCAAAGGTACAATAGAAATAGTAACCGATTGGCCATTAAACTTAATTTGAGTTTATAGTTCTTATTTCATTCTTCTGGTTCTCGTGTGCCTATGTTACATTTCAATTTATATCAAAGTTCGTTGTAGTCGTCAACATCAACTTCATGGTGCAGCCGGCCTGAGGGAAAGAAAACTGACGAGTACGTTGTTTCTTGTCACCTTTGCATCATTATTAACTTTTCTACCACTTACTATTTGGGAAAGTATGATTTTCCTTCATAACATTTCAATCCCAAACTGGTCCACTTATCTGCAAATTGGTGGCACTACACGAACATTATTCTTGGCCAACTCGCTAATAAATCCTATTCTCTATGCAGTGCGGATGCCAGAATTTAGGGTTGGTATATTAAAGCTGGTATTCTGCAGGACGCCCCAAGACCATCGAAATCCGGTTGAATATCCACTTCGCAATCTTTAGTTCAGGCCGACGCTTCATATTTTTTGCAATATTTTTGACCGGAAAATGTAAATACAATATTCAAAATAGTTTAGCGATTCAAAGAATCTGTACAGCTGTAATTTTCATTATTCATATTAAAATATTCTTTGTCGTTACACATGTTTTGTGTTTAGCCTGACTTGTAAACCTGATTGGTAAACCACAAGTTAAAATATATTTCAGACAAAAGAAACAAACAACGAGCAGGACTACAAGGATCGGGCGCATTATCATTAATATAAATGATAAACAGCAAATTGGCGGAAAAAGAAGTATCCAGCCCTGTAGACGAAAACAAAAAACCAAATTTTTTCTAAGACTGGAGCATTACGTCAACTGGAGACCCCATTTAAAACGGAGACCATATGATGAGCGAACTTAACCCAAAGTGGCAATTTTTTCATGACACAATTAATCTAAAACATACCCGTATTTGGCAAACTCCAACATAACGCAGACTTAATCATCACAAATGAGTCCTTTGGTGACTAAAAACTTTTGTTTGACCGAAACTCCAAGAGGGACTCCAACAGATTTTCTGTCGTTATTTACGAGAGCTGCACTGTTCTAAAATCATTTCCAGATCACGCTCACTTAGAAAATTTTCAGTATACGGTTTAAGAGAGCTGAAATCACCGCGGCGTTGATAAAAGATGTTGAGCCACAAAGTGACCAACCTATTTGCTTTGAAATTTTTTGAAACGCCATCACAGGCGCGCTTAAGAGAAATGAGGGGAGAAAAAAGATATCTTTCATTAAGTAGCCACGGCAATATGAAGTTTAAGGATGGAACGGAGCAAAACGTTAATCTTTGTTAACTAAAACCCGCATCAAACAGAAATTCTATATTGATGTTAAAGTCCGCTTACTTGACGGGTTTTATCCCACAGGTTGAGAAGAAAGCACAGAAACTCTTTTCATGAGTTGTGATATTCTTTTAACATTCGCTTTTCCGATCATGGAAAGCAAGGAGCGATCATCTGTGGGATTAACTTGGCTATTTACATACCTAGAGAAAATATTCTTACAAAATAGCATTAAATGTCTGTGTTGTTTCGGTTTAATAAAATGAGAGCCCCAGATATCTCCTTCCAGAATTGTGGAATTGCTCTCACTTCTACTCATCCCAATTTGAACGAATGTTTTCGCACAACAAAGGGCGAGTGTTATAGAATGGTTCTATTTTGCGAAATAGGATTCGTTCTCTGAAGTCTTTATATTAACTTTTATATTTATAACTTTTCTCTTTTAATTTTCGTTTTTTTACAATTTATACAACTTGCGTATCATGATAGCTGCATGTTTCATTTTCATTTCGACTCAGTTTTGAATTCATCTCTGCCGATCAAGTTTGAGCGAAGATTTTCGTCCCCCTTTAATGACGCCATGGCTAATGGAGAGTGTCTAAGTGCTGTTAAATGAAAGTGCTTTGTCCTTTGTTATATGTCAGAAAATAGTTCAGTTCCTCTAAGATAAAATATTTACTTAATCATCTTGGTTTCCAGAAAGACAGAGTCGCAAGCGGAATAACAGCAAGGATAGTTAAAGATATAAGACATCTAGGGTAAAAAAAATAAATGAAATTCAAAACATAGAAGGAAGCGAGAGGTACTTGGAAAGTAAGCATTGCAAAAGTTTCTTTCATCTGATTCTGTTGATGTTTCCATGGCTTGTAATTTCATTAAAGGTAGAATCACCAAATTTAAAGCGTAACTGTAGGATCGACCTTTAAACTAACTCATTCCCCCCAGGCAAAAGGACGATTTAAAGCTATTTTAAGATGTTTTCGTGAAGGAAACTGCGCTACAATATGTTCTGCAGCTGTAAGGTATGAAGTCATTTGATGTATTGATATAGTGCATTACTGTCCTCTTTCTGGCCATCTATTCTATTGATTCATTCAACTTAGCCATCACGCATTTCGTAGGAAAACTGAATTGAAGGATCTCGAAATGAGATTTTAGTTAAAAGAGGTTTCCGAAGAAATCGCCGCTTACGTTATTATATTACAAAAAATAAACAGAGAAGATGGAAAAGAAGGTTCTACCTAAGGTACCGCCCTTTTTCGTAAATTATCGTCGAGCGCCGTGCTCCTCGAACAAAAGATTTTAATTACGAATTCAGTGCGGTGGATTCAAAGTCGATGTTGTTTACAAGTACAATCACCATGGAAGAACTGAACACAAAAAACGAGACATAGTTAACTCAAAATAGCTAACAGTCACAGTAACTCAATAGCTGCTTAACGCCGTATTCATGATGGAAAATTAAAGAAACGAGTTAATTCGACGGAGCATGTCGCAATTTAAAATAAGGCTGAGAATTTTGTATTTTTTTTTCTCTTTAAACAATGTAGTTTTCTGTTACTTAGTAATATTAGCAACACATGGTGGAATGTGGATCTAATACTTCCCTTTCGTCAGTTGCAATTTTTCGTTATCAGTTTCATAGCGAGTCACCGAACACGAGAACTTAAGTTAGAATTGGTCTTTTTCTTTCCTCTTAAAACTTGTTCTTCTTTCAATATCAACCGATAAAAATTAATGTTGAAAAGTTTTGTTGATGAAGAATAAGATAACTTAAATTGCGAGGTGTTGTGTCTCAAAGAAATTGGTCAGGCTGAATTTATTTTAAAATCTATGAATAGCTAATAACATAATGTTCAACTGTTTTGACAAAGACTGAAAACTCATCATAAAATACATTTTTGTTTTATCATTCAATAATGCTGGATAACATCTCACGAATGGTTGCCCATTGGAGCATTCGCCCTATCTTCAAATTGTGCCTTCTGTTTCTTTTACTTGTTGTTTTTTTTTCTTTTGTTAAGATCTTGAAAAAAATTCCAAAGTTACCAGTAGGCAAAAGTGAATCAATTACATGCACCGTAATACAAATGCAAGAACATTAAAAGAAATCTGATTTCCCAGTAGAAAACATAGATAGCTTCATTTGGCGTCTACTCCGTTGGCAGCCCTTTAGTTGAGGCAATTGTTCAGCATTAATTGTCAGTTAAGGACAAGCAAATGTTCGCCGCTTGCTATTAGTTTATGCATCTTAGTCCTCACTCCTGAGCGTAAAACTGTCTGGTTAAGCAACCCGAGAATTGTCTTACTTCATTTGTATTATTCGTGTTTAGATCAATAGGATTGAAATAAACCAATTCCAATGGAACTCAACCAGGAATACCAATATTCCAGCAGTGCTTCTTATGATATCGCGTCCTTCCAGCACCAGCGGTCGCTTCCAACCTCCAACCTCCTCTGTATTCCGTAACTTTTTGCACTAAGCACTGAATCTCTGGCCATAGTTATTTTTAATATAATTGTATTTGTATCTAATATCGTTTGTATTTAATATCGTTGTACTTTCATTGTATTTGTGAAAAAGCGCCAGCTCCAGCGCCGAAGTACATACTTGATCATTCATCTGGCCTCAGTTGATATGTTAGTCGGGACTGTATCAGGGCCGATGCAGATTCTTTTCTTCATTGCATGGTGTTTCGGGAAGAGTTGGGATACACCAGAATAAGTTTAGCAATACGTCCTTTTTTCCCCTTTGCATCTCTTGTTAAGATCGCGTTCATTTTCGTTGGAATACGCACACGCAACATATCGTCCTTTTAAGCATCGTTTAATCAAGAAATGGGTTTATAGACTAGTTATAGATTTTATTCATTTATGAAAAATAATATGTAGGGGTACAACACAAGAAATAACCTATTGGCCATTAAATCTTATTTGGGTTTATTCCTCTTGTCTCTTTCTTAGTGTTTTCATTTGTGTATATTATATTTTCATTTACATCAAAGTTCATCGTGATCGTCTTTTTCGACATCATTCGACATGATGCAGCTGATCAAGGGAGAGAAAACTGACGATGACATTGTGTCTTGTTACCTGCGCATCATTATTAACCTTTCTACCGCTAGCTATTTACAAAGGTATGGTTTACACTCATATCTTTGCCGTACCAAAATTTCCTTACATCTTCAAATTTCTTGTACCAAGCAACAACATTAACCATCTCGTAATCTTTTGTTAAGGCCGAAGCTTCATTTTTCGCAATTATTCTAATCCGAGAATGTGAATATAGTATTCAAAGTGTGAATCACAGAGTGTGAACAGCTGTTTTTATTTTGATCATTACTATTAAAATATTCTTTTCATTTCACATGTTTTGTGTTGAGTCTGACTTGTAATGATAAAACCTACGTTATAATACTCTTTAGAACAAAGACACAAACAACGAGAGGCTTTGTGAAAATAAGTGTCTCCGAATTGATGCAGAAGCCTTTATGATAATTATCTAACTTATGTCTGCGGTATAAGATAACACCTACGTTTCAATACTTCTTCATAGATTTTATGGGAAGCCTAACACTCACCCGACTTTGTTGGGTATTTTTGTCTTGGAACTTTTTCAACTTTTTGCATTGTTTGAGAAACATTGACGTGTTCTCAACCAATGAGCATGCTGAAATTTTTGAAAAGGTGTTATTAGAGGGGTAACCGAAATGAACATCTTAGTTTGATCATCAAAACTTAACTGAGTATAATGCACAAAATTATAACTCTCTTTGACAAATAAGAATCTACTGGCCGATGAGGTTTTTCGCTTTTATAACCCAAACGACTTGTCATCTGATGATTTTTTCTTGTTCTTCTTTATTCTTCATGTCGAAGCATAAATTTGCAGTCAAAATCGTAAATAACATATATCAACATCAGCCAGAATACCTTGACAGCAAAAATACAACAAAAGAAACGAACGAGTGCTGTTGCCATACATTACTTCACTATTCATTCGTATTGGCTAAAAAAATAATTGTGGAATCATAATGGTGACCCCATAAGAGTTTTACGTTTTCACCATATTAATTTTTCAAATAACCTGAACTAAGTAATACCCTTCAGTTTAAAATTGCTTTCCCTCATTTTAAACGATAGTGCAGTCGTAAAAATATAACATAAAAATAG